TGCCCCTTTGAAGCGGGTGCCCCTTTGGGGGTGCCGGCCAGGATTTGCTTGGGCCGGAAGAAAGTGATTAGTTGAAACACGGGAGGGACATGTCAGCAAACCAATTTGGCCTTGCCTTCGAGCTGGGCAAGCTCAACAAACACTAGCTTTGGGTGCATCCTATTTTTTAGTGACACCCTGCGCTTACAAAAGTGCTACGCAGGCCCTGGACCTTGAAGGAGCCCCTAAACAACGTTTTGTGTCTGAACAACAACGCGCTGTAAGAAGAGTGCTGAACTAGGCAAAGACTCGGCGAGTAAAGTCCACCAAGAAACTCTCGCCAGGAGAATTCCTACTTTGGGGCGGATCAGAGGTTCGCATAAAATGGCTGGGGTCTGTTCGAAAGAACACGGCGTGTCCCGGCATGTTGAATAAAGTTCTCGGAGCGCAGCTCCAGCCAAGCATCATGCATTGACCTCAGTGTACAGGAACTCCAATTGGCGCCAGCGCCGGCCGAGGTCGCAAACGCAGCGGCAGGGAAGATGGCGCTGGCGCTGGCATTAGCGCAAGCAGCTTGTGGCCGGGCTGCCACTCCAACCTCGGCTTCGAACGCTGTAATGGGAACCCAGGGCTGATAAACCCCTGTCATGACGGGGTGTCCCTTTTTGGAGATCCACTTGGCAAACACCGTGAACCCCTGACTCCCCGCCAACTGCTGCCATGCCGCAAGAGCTCCACGGAGCGAAGCTGCCAATATGCTTTAAACGTTATCGTTGGAGCGACCGCGCCCATGGTAAGGAGCTCTATGTGCTCTTCCAGCTTGAGCCAGCTGACGGCGTGTTCTAAAGCTCCGACTCTGCCATCCAACTCCATACTCCGAAGATTAGGGCACCAGCCCAATTTTCCAAATGTGAAACTTCCTCTGCGAGCAGATCTGCAAGAGGTCCGGCGTAGGAATGCCAAAAGCAAGACCCAATGTGGATGCAAACCGGCAAAAACATATGCGCAAAGAAAGCGAGCGGTAGTGTCTTGGCCAAAGCTCATTTGGGTGTGAAAAAAGGGACCCCCTACAATATTTGATGTTGAACAGTCCCCCAAAGGAAACCTGCTATTTGGAGCCCTTGATTGTGAAACGGTAACTTCCTAGTTCGCCTAGGTAACTCGGACGATTTGTGCCGAGGCCTTGTACGTCAGCGCAAGGGGAGTGGCCTCACAGCTTTGCGCAGGGAGGATTGGCTTTGTAACCACCATGGACTTGCCAGGTTGCTTCCGAGAGCAAGCTTGCATGCCGGGATCTCTTGCCCTAGGACACCTTCCTCAATTGGCATAAACTGCTGCAACGCCAACTTACTAACTGCTCATCCTGGCGAGGGCTATTACACTACCTCTAGCTGAAGCACTTTGATCACATGCTCAATCGAATTTCAATTCTGGTGCACGGAGCGCGTCTTCTCTTGAACTGTTCAAGGTCCACGAGCTGCGGCTTAGGGGGGAGAGCATTCACTGCAGTTCACCTTTGATCATCACTCCTCTGAAGAGACACTCACTGAAAATCAAACCCAGCACGACATGCTGTTCGACATACTTAGAGGAGGGCAAATCTAGCTGGAGCTTTCAGAGTTAAAAATAGGTGCCCAGAATAAGCAGACTCATCCAAATACAAGCAAACATGAGCCCTTTCCCCCCCCCCATGTCCTGTGAAAACACCCCGGCTCAGGTCTTCCAAAGCTGGGCCGCCAACCCATGCAGGAGTGGTTCCCCGCAGCATGCGGACGGCCTTCTTTGCATCCTGAGGGAGGGAAAGGTGGCGAAAGCGACATTTTGAGCAAACCTCAAGATAGCTGCAAGCCAGGGTGGTTGGACCCGCTGGGTTCAAGTCCACCTTGGATTTGGCTCACAAAAAAGGGAACCCTGTCACCCCCACGCCCAACGACTGCATTCTGGACTCGGGATTTTGGACATGGGACATGAAGCAGTGGTTGGAAGCATGCTGGTGTAAACACTGACCAATTCCACCGACCAATGTTTTGATTGCCCATCTATTCGTTCCATTCATGCCTCCACTGAGCCCATTCGGATCAGCGCGGCGCACTCCTGCCGCTTCGAAAAGAATGGGGACCCCGTCGGCCTTTTTTGGGTTGGTCTGTAAATTGGAGTCCCCAAAAGGAGGATTCCATTTGACTTCCGCCTAAAGAAGAGAATGGGGACCGAGGTTGAAACGCAAAGAGTGTGCAATGACCAAGTGCTTGCTGTGTGGGCAACGCAGAAAGCCAGCACAAAAAGTACTGAGTATGTCAAAACCCTTCTCTGGCCTTGATAGTTGAAGCTTGAACTCACCCTGAGAATGTAGCCAAATCCTTTTGGCAAGGGCATGCCTGACGTGTCACGTGGCGCAACGACTGGATCAACTTGCGACGCAAAGCAAAGCCCCTGTTGAACCTGAAGTCATGTCTCTCCATATCCAAAGGGCTGTGCATTGAGTGAAACACTTCACGAATGGAGTCCTTCTTGCCATGCCGCAAAATCTTCATCTCCAACACCTGCGACATCGTTTAAAGAACCATAGCGCACAGAGCACGTCAGGCCCCTGTCCTTTTTTGCGTGTTTCACTTACTCCCACCATGGCTAGCTTCAGAGTGGCCATGCGACTCCATGTCAAAATGCTTGGCATCAGCCTCCAAAGCTTCACGAAAGCTCTCCTGGAACCGGTAACCCCTCATTCAATCGCCTTCAAAGCCTTTGGAAAGCACTCTGATACTCAGGCGTTAACGCGCCGTTCGCAAGGCACGGCCAGCCTTGCCAGCCTTTGAGAAGGCTGCTTGTAGATGAGCTTCATTGATAAAGGCCGGTAGGGCCTTGAGGCTGCAACACAAGGCGCATATCTGATGGGTGCCGTTTTTGGGGGAGTATCAGTTGTAAAGGGAAACCAAAGGAAAACCACAAAAATTGTGGGGGTTCTTTTTGGGAGTCCAGCTTTGCTAGCTGCTGATTTGTGCCCCATGATGCCCCGTGCATGTCTTGCAAACCTTCCCAGCTGCTGCTCGCGGAATTCGACAAGAAAGGGAGCCTAAATGATTGGAGGGCCAGCCTTCACGTAGAGGTTGTTGCAAGGCGTCTCCTTCCCATCATGGCCTGCAAATGAGGCAGTTGTGGTTTGTGGTGCTCTCATGTCCCGTGCGAGTTGCACCCCTCTTGTTGGATATTGGGGGTAATTTTGTTGGCCCAAGCTGCATCCCAATTGGTGGCACTCGACTCCCCTGCCTTTGCCCTTTCGGCCTGCAAGGCTGCAAGCTACCAGCTCAACCGTCACCACGGATTTGTGTTCAAGCCAGACTACAATTCTCATGTCCCGCTTGCACCAGCCATTCAGCTGTCACTTACGTGCCAGGCTCACAATGTAAAAACATGACATGCTCAATGCAAAGCGGCTGTAGCTTTCCACGCTGAGGGACATCAGCTTTGCGATGACCAACTAACGTTAAAGCACAAAAATGCAAAAAACAACCTAGAACTGGAACGCCAGCTTCCCTACTAAGTAGCTGTATACTGAATTAACTCTGCGCGTCAAAGTCTGCTGGCTTCAAGCTGCTTGAATCAGCTCCCTCATTCTGGCTGTCAGCATCCTTCTCTTCCTCTCCCTCCTGCAGCAAGCCCCACGAGACACAGTACCGGCTGCCATGGCAGTTGATGCCATTGTAGAATCCACTGCGGCAGTTCACATACTTTCTGCAGGTGCGGCCACCGCCGCCACCGCCACCGCCACCACCCCACTTTGTGCAGTAGCGGCCTCCGCTGCACTTGACGCCGTGGTAGAAGCCGTTGTGGCAGCTGACATAGTGAGTGCAGTGGCGCCCATCGTCGCCCACAGCCTGCTCCTCGCTGTCGGCCTCCGTGCTAGCCTCAGAAATGCTTGCATCAGCTGCCTCATTCTCGCTGTCAGCATCCTTCTCTTCCTCTCCCTCCTGCAGCAAGCCCCACGTGACGCAGTACCGGCTGCCATGGCAGTTGATGCCATTGTAGAAGCCACTGCGGCAGTTCACATACTTTCTGCAGGTGCGGCCACCGCCACCACCGCCACCACCGCCACCACCCCACTTTGTGCAGTAGCGGCCTCCGCTGCACTTGACGCCGTGGTAGAAGCCGTTGTGGCAGCTGACATAGTGAGTGCAGTGGCGCCCATCGTCGCCCACGGCCTGCTCCTCACTGTCGGCCTCCGTGCTAGCCTCAGAAGTGCTTGCATCAGCTGCCTCATTCTCGCTGTCAGCATCCTTCTCTTCCTCTCCCTCCTGCAGCAAGCCCCACGTGACGCAGTACCGGCTGCCATGGCAGTTGATGCCATTGTAGAAGCCACTGCGGCAGTTCACATACTTTCTGCAGGTGCGGCCACCGCCGCCACCGCCACCACCCCACTTTGTGCAGTAGCGGCCTCCGCTGCACTTGACGCCGTGGTAGAAGCCGTTGTGGCAGCTGACATAGTGAGTGCAGTGGCGCCCATCGTCGCCCACAGCCTGCTCCTCACTGTCGGCCTCCGTGCTAGCCTCAGACATGCTTGCATCAGCTGCCTCATTCTCGCTGTCAGCATCCTTCTCTTCCTCTCCCTCCTGCAGCAAGCCCCACGTGACGCAGTACCGGCTGCCATGGCAGTTGATGCCATTGTAGAAGCCACTGCGGCAGTTCACATACTTTCTGCAGGTGCGGCCACCGCCGCCACCGCCACCACCCCACTTTGTGCAGTAGCGGCCTCCGCTGCACTTGACGCCGTGGTAGAAGCCGTTGTGGCAGCTGACATAGTGAGTGCAGTGGCGCCCATCGTCGCCCACAGCCTGCTCCTCACTGTCGGCCTCCGTGCTAGCCTCAGAAATGCTTGCATCAGCTGCCTCATTCTGGCTGTCAGCATCCTTCTCTTCCTCTCCCTCCTGCAGCAAGCCCCACGTGACGCAGTACCGGCTGCCATGACAGTTGATGCCATTGTAGAAGCCACTGCGGCAGTTCACATACTTTCTGCAGGTGCGGCCACCGCCGCCACCGCCACCACCCCACTTTGTGCAGTAGCGGCCTCCGCTGCACTTGACGCCGTGGTAGAAGCCGTTGTGGCAGCTGACATAGTGAGTGCAGTGGCGCCCATCGTCGCCCACAGCCTGCTCCTCACTGTCGGCCTCCGTGCTAGCCTCAGAAATGCTTGCATCAGCTGCCTCATTCTCGCTGTCAGCATCCTTCTCTTCCTCTCCCTCCTCTTCCTCTCCCTCCTGCAGCAAGCCCCACGTGACGCAGTACCGGCTGCCATGGCAGTTGATGCCATTGTAGAAGCCACTGCGGCAGTTCACATACTTTCTGCAGGTGCGGCCACCGCCGCCACCGCCACCACCGCCACCACCCCACTTTGTGCAGTAGCGGCCTCCGCTGCACTTGACGCCGTGGTAGAAGCCGTTGTGGCAGCTGACATAGTGAGTGCAGTGGCGCCCATCGTCGCCCACAGCCTGCTCCTCGCTGTCGGCCTCCGTGCTAGCCTCAGAAATGCTTGCATCAGCTGCCTCATTCTGGCTGTCAGCATCCTTCTCTTCCTCTCCCTCCTGCAGCAAGCCCCACGTGACACAGTACCGGCTGCCATGGCAGTTGATGCCATTGTAGAAGCCACTGCGGCAGTTCACATACTTTCTGCAGGTGCGGCCGCCGCCGCCACCGCCACCACCCCACTTTGTGCAGTAGCGGCCTCCGCTGCACTTGACGCCGTGGTAGAAGCCGTTGTGGCAGCTGACATAGTGAGTGCAGTGGCGCCCATCGTCGCTCACAGCCTGCTCCTCACTGTCGGCCTCCGTGCTAGCCTCAGAAATGCTTGCATCAGCTGCCTCATTCTGGCTGTCAGCATCCTTCTCTTCCTCTCCCTCCTGCAGCAAGCCCCACGTGACGCAGTACCGGCTGCCATGACAGTTGATGCCATTGTAGAAGCCACTGCGGCAGTTCACATACTTTCTGCAAGTCCGGCCACCGCCGCCACCGCCACCACCCCACTTTGTGCAGTAGCGGCCTCCGCTGCACTTGACGCCGTGGTAGAAGCCGTTGTGGCAGCTGACATAGTGAGTGCAGTGGCGCCCATCGTCGCCCACAGCCTGCTCCTCACTGTCGGCCTCCGTGCTAGCCTCAGAAATGCTTGCATCAGCTGCCTCATTCTCGCTGTCAGCATCCTTCTCTTCCTCTCCCTCCTGCAGCAAGCCCCACGTGACGCAGTACCGGCTGCCATGGCAGTTGATGCCATTGTAGAATCCACTGCGGCAGTTCACATACTTTCTGCAGGTGCGGCCACCGCCGCCACCGCCACCACCCCACTTTGTGCAGTAGCGGCCTCCGCTGCACTTGACGCCGTGGTAGAAGCCGTTGTGGCAGCTGACATAGTGAGTGCAGTGGCGCCCATCGTCGCCCACAGCCTGCTCCTCACTGTCGGCCTCCGTGCTAGCCTCAGAAATGCTTGCATCAGCTGCCTCATTCTCGCTGTCAGCATCCTTCTCTTCCTCTCCCTCCTGCAGCAAGCCCCACGTGACGCAGTACCGGCTGCCATGGCAGTTGATGCCATTGTAGAAGCCACTGTGGCAGTTCACATACTTTCTGCAGGTGCGGCCACCGCCACCACTGCCACCACCGCCACCACCCCACTTTGTGCAGTAGCGGCCTCCGCTGCACTTGACGCCGTGGTAGAAGCCGTTGTGGCAGCTGACATAGTGAGTGCAGTGGCGCCCATCGTCGCCCACAGCCTGCTCCTCACTGTCGGCCTCCGTGCTAGCCTCAGAAATGCTTGCATCAGCTGCATCATTCTCGCTGTCAGCATCCTTCTCTTCCTCTCCCTCCTGCAGCAAGCCCCACGTGACGCAGTACCGGCTGCCATGGCAGTTGATGCCATTGTAGAAGCCACTGCGGCAGTTCACATACTTTCTGCAGGTGCGGCCACCGCCGCCACCGCCGCCACCGCCACCACCCCACTTTGTGCAGTAGCGGCCTCCGCTGCACTTGACGCCGTGGTAGAAGCCGTTGTGGCAGCTGACATAGTGAGTGCAGTGGCGCCCATCGTCGCCCACAGCCTGCTCCTCACTGTCGGCCTCCGTGCTAGCCTCAGACATGCTTGCATCAGCTGCCTCATTCTGGCTGTCAGCATCCTTCTCTTCCTCTCCCTCCTGCAGCAAGCCCCACGTGACGCAGTACCGGCTGCCATGGCAGTTGATGCCATTGTAGAAGCCACTGCGGCAGTTCACATACTTTCTGCAGGTGCGGCCACCGCCACCACCGCCACCACCGCCACCACCCCACTTTGTGCAGTAGCGGCCTCCGCTGCACTTGCGAAGCCGTTGTCCGCAGTGCACTTGACCCCGTGGTAGAAGCCGTTGTGGCAGCTGACATAGTGAGTGCAGTGGCGCCCATCGTCATCCCACAGCCTGCTCCTCACTGTCGGCCTCCGTGCTAGCCTCAGACATGCTTGCATCAGCTGCCTCATTCTGGCTGTCAGCATCCTTCTCTTCCTCTCCCTCCTGCAGCAAGCCCCACGTGACGCAGTACCGGCTGCCATGGCAGTTGATGCCATTGTAGAATCCACTGCGGCAGTTCACATACTTTCTGCAGGTGCGGCCACCGCCGCCACCGCCACCACCCCACTTTGTGCAGTAGCGGCCTCCGCTGCACTTGACGCCGTGGTAGAAGCCGTTGTGGCAGCTGACATAGTGAGTGCAGTGGCGCCCATCGTCGCCCACAGCCTGCTCCTCACTGTCGGCCTCCGTGCTAGCCTCAGAAATGCTTGCATCAGCTTCCTCATTTTCGCTGCCTCAGTTGTTGACAACATCAGCATGAATGGATGAGCGCTGATTAAACAATTGACATTTGTGCTTGGGAGGTCAGGAGACTTTTGCAATGTTGGTCCTTCAAATATCGGAGCGTGGACATGGTGCAAAACTACCGTAACCCAAACACCTTGACGGAAACAAATTAATACGTTTAGAAGGAGTGCCTCGCACCCAGCACCCAAGCTTTAAATGAATTCAGCAGGCCGGCTTTGCAAAAAAAGATGTGTGCACGAGCATGCAGCAGGTCAAGTTGGGAGACACATCAAATGAGTCGCCCAGAGAAGCGCACAAAGCATCTGGCAGCCTCCGCAAACAGATGTGCATTATCGTAGATCAATCAAGAACCCCGACAAGCTGTCTAGGAAATTGCTTGTTTCGTTCAACAGAACAAGATAAGGTTGGGTGCAGTCGTAGATGGGTGTGCTTGTCGTTTAATGCGGTGAGAGGTGAAAGAGCCCAATATTTTGGCACTAAAAGCCCCATGAATGGAACAAGCAGGCACCAAAAGCATGTGCTCTCAAAAACCATCCTTGCCCAGCAAGCTTCAGAGCAAGCTTCAGCAAGATATCATGATCAAACACTTGCGCGCCATGTAAATGAGCACTTGATGCACTAGCTTGCTGAGCAAGATGCTTGTGGAAGCTTCCCCAAGTTCTTGGGTCACCTTCCTGGCACGCAAATGAAGCATTTCGAGACCGCACTCCGCTCCGTCGCATGGCTCATCGTTGACCAGTTCGGGTGCGAAGTCCTCCGCGAAGACTCCCGCGAAGAGTCCGGCGAGCAAGGCCCAAGGCATCATCAGCGCCATGAGGGATCAACAGAAAGTCTAGAGAAACGACAACTTAATCGCTTTTCACTCAAGAGCCAAACTTGCCGCCACTGTTTCAACACGCACAACGCGGCACATCATTGGAAAGTGGCGCATTCAACCGCAATGTGCGCCCTCTGTCTGACTCTGCCCCGCCCTTCAAGCAGCACAAGCGTACAAGCATCTCAATGAGAACTGGAACCACAATTCACATGTCGATTAGCCCGAGGCCTGTCTTCAAGTCTTCCTCGGCAAACTTCACCTTGGGCTGGGCCAGGTCTATCAAGCGAGAAACTTCCAACTCGAAGCAGTCACATGAGCAAAAGGATCCAGTCAAAAGCACTTTGGATTACTTTGGCAGCTACTGGATGGCTATTGGCGAACAAGCTGAAAAGCTTATCAAGCATGTGCCAATTCCCCACGCCGCGCTTCACCGTGACTATCAATCCAAGTGCCAAGGTGGACCTGCAAGGTGAACCTTTGTTGCACGGCGTGTAAATGCGAACAGTAAAAATCCCCTTCTCTTATGCCCCAATGTTTTCTGCACATGGTGTGGGGGTGTCGGATTTTGCGCGCACCAGTTTGCTTGTGGCCCTGCTTTCAATGGCTTTTTTCAGCCTGGGCTGCCGGGCGGCCCACTCCTGGTTCCGCCAGGCCTCCACCACAGCAGCCGCCTCCCAAGGCGTGTGGGGAGCTTCTGGGAAGCCGGAAGCGAGTATCAGGACTACATAGGACTACTTGGTGCACATCATTTACATGGGGATGTCTGGGGATGTCTGGCCATGAGTGAGGGGGTTCCCAAGTAAAATTCCTAGCCATGCGTTTCCCGCACATGCCTAGCTTGGGATGTGTTTTTCAATCTGTTTAGCCGTGGACCTTTGTCTGAACGCACGGGACAAACAAGACACCTTGGACGGGGAGTTGCTTTTCTGGCCTTCTGCAAGAACTGACGGTTAGCGAAGCACTGAGGCGTGAAGTCACGAATCACGCAAACGACGGAGCAAAGCTGTCGTATCTCGCTTTGGGTTAAATGTCCTCGGGAAAGGACAAACCGTTGGCTTCCACACGGTCCAAGGCGACAGCAATTCTTCCATAGCCGTTGCGCCGATTTGCACGGAGAGGCAGTTTGTAATAAAGGGACAAGCATGCATAAGGGTTCACAAGGCACTGTGTCAAAAGAAGGGCTATTGTTCAAATGGTACTCCTAACGCCACGCTCCATAATTGTACATAGACTGTCACAAATATAATACACCTTGGCAAATGAAGGCAGGATTAAACAAAGGACTCGGGTGTTTCTCCTCCAGCCAGCTGCCAGCCCTCAACCCGAATAGCCTCTTAAAAACATCATAACAAATTGGTACTTTGAGTCCCCGGCCTGCTGGATTGTCTCCATCTTCACCAGGGCACACCTCACAGGTGCTGCAGAACTTTGGGCAGCTCCGCAATGGCAAGTCGAGACTTGCGCGCAATCACCGCGCGCCTGGAGCCGGCCCTACAACTTGGCATGCCAAAGATGTCGACATGCTAAGGCGAAATCGTTCGAAGGCTACCATGGAAGAATCCTGAGCCGAACCGCTGATGCAACCCTTGGTGCTGTTTCTCTCTCTCTCTCTCTCTCTGTCTCTCTCTGTCTCTCTCTGTCTCTCTCTGTCTCTCTCTGTCTCTCTCTGCTCTCTCTCTCTCTCTCTCTCTCTCTTCCTCTCTTCCTCCCTTTCTCTCTCTCCCCAAGTCGGCAATATACATACACCGACCCAACACCTCCAAATTCGGAACCACGTGCCCTCGGATCCAAAGCAACTTATCCAAAACAGAAACCGATGTTACAAGCATCATGGCGCACCAAATCCATGTGGGAGATCATCACAGTTGCCTCACCAAAGGTCAGCCATATGATTGATAAAGCAAAACAACTTTGCAACGGCTTTGCAAAAATAGCCTGGCACCACGCATGTGCCCGCTGCCTCTGTCTTGTCCGTGTTTTATTCTTTGTGCAAGAACACGGCCAACCAAGTGTCGGCAGGAGACCACCTTCCCGTTGGCTGCGAAGGCCTGGTAAGGCCGCACAACAATGAGAGGCCTCTTCGATACAACATGGTGTATTTTTGTTAGGGACCTTTTGGTTGCTTTTGAAAGGATACTTACAGGCCAATTTGAGCCTCCAATTCGAGACGAACCTGTACGCTATAACCTGTACGCTATCGACTGCAAGAAAGCTCGACATGGCACGTTTCAAATGCAGCGGTTCTGCTCGGAAGAAGGCAAACATGCACAGCAAGCCGGGCGTTTGATATGCCCCTCGCCAGCATTGCATCCTAGTAAGCGCTTGCACAAGCCCTTTACACCTCAAGAAGTCAACAAGCCAGACATATATCAACTCGGCCGCGCGGCGATTTGTTTCGCCAGCGTGCCTCCTGCAAGTGCTCTGCCGTCAGATCCTCTAGCTGCACGTGGCAGCCAAAGGCCGAAGAAGGCAGTCGGAAGTTGCAGAAACAACTACAAGTTGGTATGCAAGTGGCCAATGAAATCAGCGCAGCCAAACATGACATGTTGCACCAAACCCTCTTGTAACATGTGCCACGGTCAAAATTCCTGATGTGGCGCATAGTCATGGCTCCCGTAAGAGGAATCCTTATCGTGATTGTCGATTTCTTCCACCAAGTGGTCCGTGGCAATTCCTATCAGCAATTCCTATCAACCTAAGTGAAAGGTGCTTTAACATTTGACTGAAATATGCAGCTACACCAAACATCACGTGTCACCCAGGACTCCTCCGAAAGATTGCCCACAAAGAGGTTGCTGTGCTCAAGCTCCGAGCTGCAAGAACTGCTCCGCTCTCTCCTTGCCCCTGGGCCGCTGGAAGCACATTTCATGGCAAACAAACTCGCCAGCTCTGGGTTGTCTTGACCATCATCAGGAGCAGCATCTCGGGTGGAAAAATAAGAGCCAAGAAGAACAAGCGGAAGAACAGGCGTCATGACTGTTTTCTTGGGCCCAGAATTTCAGTACAAAGCTGGGCTGGCCTTGCCAATGGAATGCTTCGTTCATGCCTTGCAGCAAAATTACCCATATCACAAAATGGGCAGTGTGATATCCATATCCAGAACATGATTGCTGAGTCTTGTCAGTCCAGCTAGGGCTTGAGGCCAAATAGTCTAGGTATGCAATCTCAGCATGGCCCTCGGGCAAGCTGATTTGACTCAGCGGAAGGTTGAGGGAGTGTTTCCAAACTCAAATGTAGGCGAATAGCAAAGCTTCTGCAGCCACGCCTTCATGGTTCGCTCCTCCGTAGCCTTTGTTGGTGCAATTCCTGGCAGGGATGTGTCTGGCTGAAGCAAGGGGACACTGTTTTCTGGCTCGCAGCTTGCTTTTGGGCCAATGTAAAATGGAGGTAAAAACCCACATTTGGAGTTGGAATAACAGGTCCTGGTTACTGGGAAACAGCCTGGCAGTGTCCCACTGCAGCGATGTTTTTTGTGGGTTTTTCTCGTGGCAAGCCGGGGCAGGCAGCAATTGAGCTTTCCTTTTGTTGATGCTGCCAATAACGTGCGAAATGCCAACACCAAACCTGTCAGCGCGGCGGGGATGTGGGTAAAGACACCTGCCAGGAAGGAGCAGAAAACCAAACAAGAACATCGGTGATATTTCCAAAGACCCAGCATCACACAGCGCTGAGATCTGCAGACAGTGCCAGGATTTGGCCATTGCCAAAATCTTGACTCTCCAAAAGGTTGGCTCTGTTGGTTTCCGTGATGCCTCTCCCAGCCAAAGACTGATCTGAATCTCTGGGGGCCCAACATGATTCGCATCCTAAGGGACCCGCGGCAGGGGGAGGGGGGGGACCTGCGGGAGATGCACACAAACATGAAAACCGCAAAAATACCCTCCTCCACGCACCAGCCTTGCCGCGCTGCGGCGAGCCATTCCGCACACCTGCGCTATGGACAGAGTGGAGCATAGAAGTGGCGCCAACATGTTCGTTGTTAGCGCTGGACGGGGCCCAACATGTTTTGTCGAAACGGGGGGGGGGTGGGGGTGGTGGCGGTGAAACACTGTTTCTTGCAACACTGCGATGAGCAAAGCCGTTCTAACGGTTTGGAAGGAATTTCCGGAGCATGCGTATCATGGATCGCACATTTGCAGGTTTCAGCTTTCGGGTTCATGATGCAGCTGGGACGTGCAATGTACGCTTGCAATGTGCAATTTCCAATAAGAGACCCGGCTTGGATGCTTCCGCTCCACACTGACGACTTTCGCTGTCTCTCGCGGGTTGACGCGCTCTTCTGTGGATGCTCCACTGATATGTTGACCGGCAGAAGGCTCATATTGTGGATTAATCTATACACCCTTCGTCTGCGACATTGGTCCTTCCCGGACAAAACCCGAAAGATAGTCTCAACCAGAGAGATGGTCTCGTGATTCTCTGGATCTGTTCCGGAAGCACGGGCCCTGCCAGATCCAAAAAAAGCGCTGCGCAAGGGCAGAATCACGTAAACCACTAAACAAGGTGATGGAGGAGTAAGTAGTCTGCTCAGTCCCTCTCGAATTGGGAAGATTATGCTCGTATCACAACGAAGCCTAGCTGAAACGCTGGCTGACCAATTAGTTTATTTGTCGCACGGCCGGCTATCACTTCGATCCAGATTGCATGAACAGCATCAACAGCATCACCAGCATTACCAGCAACGAAGTCGAGCTGAAACGACCACTGACGAACAGGCGAATTCGTCACACTGTCGGCCATCACCTTGAGACCACCAGCATCGCCAGCATCACCAGCATTGCCAGCCACGATGTTTAGCTGAAACGACCGGTGACGCGCCGATCTACAGACTGCACCACCCTTTGATCCTTTGGTGCAGGGGCCCAAAAAAGCAGGGGATTCAAAAGCGAATAGGTCCAGAACCAGACCTCAAGCGGCTGGAGGCAGAAAAAACATCATCTCACGAGCTAGCCGCGTGTTACACAGGCTTGAAGGTCTAGATGTGTCCTTACAAGTTAACTGCGTGTCTGAGGTTTGGAGAGCTAAGGCAATTCTGTGCTCGCTCCCTGCATCTGACCAGAACACACCTACCTGAGTAAACAACGAAACAGAAGCAACAAAACCCGCCAACTTGTCGTGGGCATGTGTCCTTACGAGTTAGCTGCGGCGTGCACAGGCTTGAAGGCCGAGGGTCTGGAGCGATGTGTCCTTACGAGTTAGCTGCGGCGTGCACAGGCTTGAAGGCCGAGGGTCTGGAGCGATGTGTCCTTATGAGTTGGCTGCGTGTCACACAGAGTTCAAGGTCTGAGGGCGGACCAGGGATAGATATCTAATAATTGAGGAGGTACCTCACCCCCCCAACCCTTACAGAGACCTTGCTAACGCAAGGAAGTACTCAAGGTAGCCACCAAAAGGCTACCTTCGTGATTTCCCAAGTTTATGTCGAAACCCTTGTGCCACAGGCAATAAGTAACCCCGATAGACCCCAATAGCGATGGGACCAGCCCCTGTTTCTGCCTCGAAATTCCCACCGCTCTCGACTATTTATCGCGCATTGGCCAAATCGTAGGCAGCGTGTCGCACCGAAGCCAAGCCTGATTGAAGTGGCCTGCCCTAGACATTAAACTCGTTTGGGATTGGTCTCGTTTGGGATTGGTTTTGGAGCGTTGCCCCCAACCACCAAAACTCGCCCACAACTCACTCAACCACACCTGAAGCAACCCTAAAGCCGCTGCTAAACCAGTAGCACACCAATCACAAATCAGCTCCAAGCCAACCCAAACCCACTCAAAGTCAAGCCTAAACCCGCCCAACAAGAAGCCTGGATGTCAGCCCTTCACTTCACCAAAATTAACCCCAAGCCTCCCCAAGATCCACCCTCATGAAGATCTAAGCCAGCCAAAAGCCCCCCTAACTCCCAGACTCCCAACTGCCACCCAATCAGAGCCAAGAGGCAACCCCAGCCAGGGCCAAGTAAGGCAGTGAGGCGGTCCACGAGGAGTCTTTTCGCGTCAAAGGCGACTGGTTTGGCCCATAATTCGGAAAACAATCAAAACTACCAAAACCACAAGTAAAGCACGCGCAATTTGGCTATTCTTTGGAAATTAAGCTACCAAAAGTGGAATTCAACAACCAAACTTTGGTAAATCCAAAGGACACTGACCGACCAAAACCGATTCAAATTTCCCTTGAAACTCCGGCCAAAACAACCACACTACCAGGACACCACCAAAAATAACTAGGACACCACACGAGCACAACCAGGAAACCACGCCGCAGTCACACCCGGGACACCCAGGATACAGGACACCACCAAAACACCACACCACTCGAGCACCACTGGGACGCAAGGATATCCCCAAACAACTCCACACAATGCCAGGGCACCGACCCCGAAAAGCATGGGCGCACGGACTCTTTCAAGGTAGCGGAGTTTAGGACCACATAGCTGACGCGATTGGGGAAAAATGGATCCTTGAACACAAAGGCCCTGGTCCCTGTGCCATTCACTAAAGCATCTGCGTTGAAACCTTGTGGTTTCCAGTAGGTCCGGGTGCTCACTACCTTTGACAGATCTCGCTGACACGGTGAAATTTTATCCTGCATGAAAACAAACATAAGATCTACACTTCGTGTAGACGTTGGTAACATGTGGCAGCCCCCAAGCGAACTGCACACGGAAGTGGGCCAGCCGAAGCCAACCCACCCTCCCAAGCAAGGGCACTCAAGCCTTGAGCAAGACATCGAGAATACCCACCAACCACCAACCAAGGGGGGAAGAAACAACCAACACCCCCAAAAGCGACCATTAACCACACGACTGGAGAGGCCAGTCGAAGCGTGCATCTACACTTCGACGCCCGCCTGACAAGCCATAGCTCATCCATCCGCTCAGCTAACCGCCGTTGGGCGGGAACTCCATGCTGTTGCGAAACGCGGGCCTGCCTCCGCCCAGGGACCGCCAAGCCTCTTGCAAGGTTTCTTTGGGACTGACTGCAAAAAATAAAGCAAGTGCAAGAAAGATTGAGCATCATTGCCCCTAAACGTTTGCGCCTGTCGGTGATGATGACTGGCGTATGTGTGTCCAGTCACAACAAAAGCACAACACTGAACTTGCCCTTGCAACAAGCGCCAAAGTGGATTAAGGAAAGGGCACCCGTAGCCGTAAACAAACAACATGACATAATTATGTGAACAGAGATGCATGAACCACGAAGCACTCGGGCCGGGCATATGCGACCAACTCTCACGGGAAGCAACTAGGCACTGTGACTGGCTGCCAAGCTAGCCTCCAATGCACATTCGCCGACGCAGATCTCTTTCAGGTGGAACATCTTGGACTCTCATGCATTGTGCGCCACAGCGCTCTTGTGGCGCAAATGCATCGGAACGGTAAGTGGCCTTGCCACCTCTGTCCAAACTGTTCCTGGAAGGCATTGTTGCCGGGAAATTACCTTTATTCAGGCGAACTGCGGCTCGGATGAGTCCAGCAAGGGGATGTAAAAAGTAAGCTACCAGCGATAAAGACTGGTCTCAAGAAAACTCATGCACTGACCTTGCGCGAAGCTTATTTCTGAGCTCCTTTCGCAAAGGACAAGTATGCCGTCCAAACAAAGGAGACGACCTTGGCCGGAGCATGGCATGACAAGTCTTGCCACTGAGACCAAGATCGGAGAATTGTGAAGGACGCTCAACAGACTATAAATAGTTGCACGTAGCTCTACATTAGCTGACCGAACAATCCCAAGTGAACAAATGCCAGCTACAGATGAGTGGCTGATGTCAGTTTGGCCACCATTGGCCCTAGAAGGACCGCACACAGTCTGCGCATGTGCAAGACTTTCCTCAGAGTTTGATGTTCTTGAGGCGGCCGGACTGAGCAAAGGACGCAACGTTGTGTCTTATTCACAAAACGGTCCAATGGGCCAAAAAGATGGGGTCTTTAGGAGTAAGCTCAGGCAGGTTGAAAGATGCAGTGCAAGGCCTCGGAGGATGGGGACTCATCAGACATCTTATTGGTCGCTGGTTGATTTTGGGGACTTGTTTTCTCTGCTCTGACTGACGTTGACTCGATAAATATTGGACTCTTTGTTAACAAAAAGAAAGAGTATCAACCCCGAGGAATTTGCAGTCTTGGGCCTGGTTCCGCTTGTTGCATTTGTTTGCCAGGGAAAACCCTTCTGGTGCTGCCCGGCTCGCGATGTGTTGCTCGTATGATGTCTGTCCACCAGCAATTTCCCGGGTCTTTCGATTGCCCTTCCTGAGTATGTTCATATCGACGTGCTCAATGCCCAAACGACCAAAGCAAATCTGGTCTTCTATATTCAGAATTGGCCTTGCACGTGGGTTGGTCTCAGAATTAAGTTTTCTTTTGGTTTCCTGTAAAGCCAAACGCGGAATCCAAAAAAACGGAAGCACACCCCATATATGTCTGTTAGCTCTGTGAGTGAGTTACCCGAGGCTCCCGGCATGACGCGTGGGCAGGCGGGCCCACAAGGGCACCGAGAAGCAAATGAGATCGGCAGGGCCCCAGACGCGGAAGACATCGTAGAAGTCCTGGTGCAAGGGAAAAGCTCGCCCAGAGGACTACGCACAATGAGCTCAGGCTGGCCGGCGCAAGCTTGGTGGGGTACTCCTATTGGCATTCTTCACTTGCGGTCCTTTTGCCAGTTCTTCACGTAGGCACCTGAGCGGCAAGCATGCGGCTGTATCATCTACCATTGCAACTCACTGAGGATCTGGGGCAAAACCGACCCAATTGCAAATATCTTCGAATGCCTAACTGCCAACATATTGTTACGGCTCGCACTGTGTCAATTTCTAGAAGAATTCCGCTAGTACCCAGGTGGCTCTTGGTCAACTCGCCAGCAAAGCGGCCCTGGTTGAATCTGCAGGTTGCCTCTTGGTTTCTTCGCGGTTTCGTCCAGTTTAGGCAGACACCAACTGTAATCAATCATTCCCCAGTGTCGCCCATGGAAATCACCACCTTTGGACAAATTTCTGTCACCAGCTATTGGCAAGGCGCCGATGCCGTTCTTGGCCCAGGCAGTAGCGTCCCATGTGTCGCTGAAGACGCAGGCCTTGAACACAAAGAACGTGGGCAAGTAGACGCAGGTCCTGGCACAAAGGCTTGCGACGGCAGGATTCAAAGACTCCCAACACCAAGTCTTTCCTCAATCGGACAATTGAGATTGCTAGCCACGGGAGTGCTCCATATGAGAATGACGCATGTGTGCAACCAGATCCGGAAAAGAAAATGGTCCCCTGTTGTCAGTTTGACATTTTTGGATTTCTGGAGGAATCAAAGGACCTTTGAAATCGTAACTTTTGCAAAACAAAAGGGCCCCTCAAATGAATTTTGGAAAACTGTTAATCCGGGATGGATGAACCCTCAAGGGACACAATCTCTCTCCCCAGCTGAGCCCGTGGCAGCATGCCCAAGTCCAAGGCCTCATTGAACGGCGTTGGGTTGAACGGCGTTGGGTGATCCCAGAGAAGGGGGTCTTGACGTTTTCGGTCCGCGTTGCCTGTTGGCTCAGAGCCAATGTGACTTTGAGTTCGATGTGATCTTCTTGTTGCTTCTTTCATTGGGCATGGTGAAATGGGCTAGGCCGTAGCCAATGCACAGAACCGATCCCACATAGCCCCTATATGCCCTCATGGCGGAGCCCACCAAAAGACAAACCAGGCCTGCGACATCCTTGTTCAATCGGGATTCACAAACACCGCAAGTGGTCGAACCAAACGGAAACGGCAATCCTAAGCCCTCTGAAACAAAAACACCATGGGTTTTCTCCGCTTGCGTTGTTCCGTTCCACTGTTTGGCTCTCACAAATGCAAGGAACCAAACACCTGACAGGGTGAGCAACCCAAGGACAGCACGCTCACCTATGTCTAAAGCACAGCTGTCCGAGTTTTAAACACGGCAAGTTGCCCAGCGTGATCTAACCAATGAATAGACGTGAGGCACTCCTCCGGCCCGAGTTGACTTACGGTCCCCGCAAAATTTGCCCAGGCATGGAACATCCAAACTGCTGGATTTTTCATCTTAAGCTGGTGCATTCCATTGATGTTCCCCCCTTTTGCGAAGTAAATTGACAATTTTCAAGCCCTGCTGCTGTTGCACCTGAGTTCAGCAGAAAATCAAGCAGCTTTTTTAAGCGCGCCCGTCTGATTGATGCACCTGGATTGACGCCAGCGCGGCGAACCTCCCTCGGCTCGTTGAGCCTCCCCGGCTTCTGCATGTTGCAAGGCACCGTGAAACCCTAGGCCTCCGGGCCGTCTGGGCGCCCAAGGTCTTGAGGCCGGGCAGGTCCTGCAGCTTCTCAGACCAGGGCTGGGAAGTGAACCTGTCCTTAGGGCGCGCAATCGTTTTTTGGGAGCAGGACGCGCCAAGCACGTTGGGCAACGTGCGCGCTCGCAGTTCGATGTTCTTGTCTATATACTTAGAAGCGCGCTGTCAACCCTCTCGGCAATAGTTGTCTCTTGGCCTCATGTGTTGCGCTAGGCGGCTGGCTCTCGCCGACACGGGGCAAGCGCGCTGAAACTTGGTTGGCGCATATTGAAGCATCGCAGGGCTCTTGTTCGACTCCGTAGCGTAATTTCCGATGACAATGCTTGGGCGCGTCAACAAGCGCAACAATTCAGTCACATCGAACTCTTGCAGCAGAGCACGAGTTTCACTGCTGGGAAGAGCTTGTCATACCCAAAGCAGCAGTTTGGGCGGGGGAGAGGAGCATGACTTTCCAATTTAGAGCGCGTCAACTTGTTGCATTAAACCGCAATTTCACTTCAATAGCGCCCTTGCCCGTGTTCCTTTCACAGAGCGATGAGTCCGTCGCTTTTTAAGCGTTCGCCAAAGCTTGTGTAATAGGTCAAGGACAAATTTCGACAGGCAAACGCGTTCCCAAAGACACCCCCGCGACACCGTCTACACAAAACTCTAAAACCCTTGAAGCGATCCGCAAGAAAGTTCCTCAACACACCTCCCCCCAGAGCCCACGACACGACAACCACCATTTTCCCCCAAAAAACTCCGGCAAGGCAAATGCGCCCAGCGACAGAGACACACGTCCCAAAACACATGCCAAAAACAAACTCTGACGGCACCGCCCCAAAGGACTCAGAAACATGGTTTAAAGACATCCCCGCGAAGCACCTTCCAAAGCTGTTTTCAAAGCCAGCCAAAGACAGCACACGGGACAGCCATTCCCGACCACACCTCAAAGACACAAAACAACCGCAAAGACAGCCCAAAGACATCGCCCAAGAACAACCTCAGAGACGCCCCTGAAGAAATCCCAGCACCCACAACGGCAAGCACATCAAACATTTACCGCAAACAGTGCCATAACTTCATCACTAAAATCGCACTGCCACCAACTTGAACACACACCTTGCTAACAACAGCTTGACCAGCACCCTGGATCGCAAAACAAGCACCGGAGCAACCACAACAGCACCTTAAGCGCGCAAACAGCACCCTGACAAACACCCAAAACAACACCTTGAACAGCAGCCACAACAGACCTCATCGCGCAACAGGCACTGTCAGCAACCACCGCTGCACCTTGAACGCACCCTCGCAAAACGCTCCTCTTTGGACTAGGGATTAAGAACCCCTATGGCTGAAGCTCAAGGGGAACGGCACCAGCACCAGCACCCTGACCAGCACCCTGACTCACCAGCATCCTGACTCACCAGCACCCTGACTGCAGCGCCAAACAAGCACTGCCAGTCACCACCACAGCACCTTGAGCGCAAGAACAGCACCCTGACCAGCACCCTGACCAGCACCGCAGCACCCACCTGGCCCGATTTCGCTGAACAAACCCCACCTCTCTAAAACCCCACCACCTCTTTAGCGGCAAGATCCCGTATAGCTGAATCCATCTCAGGAAAACAATGTGTTTTTGTTAGTTTCCAGCACACCAATCAACCAACCAACCAACCAACCGCCCGACCGACCAAGCAAGCAACCAACCAAAAAGAGCGCTAGGATCCTTGCGCCACTTCCAAAGCTGGTTGAACCACCCAAAGGTGGTTGAACCGATCAAAATGGTTCAACATTTAGGTGTGTTTCTAAGTAAGGGATACGCCAGAATCCCTATCCCCTGGTAAATTGCTCAAAAAGGGACAGACCCACTTGGAGCCTGGTGGGCATCATGGATGCCTCACGTATGATGGAACTATGGCACCCTTGTCGACCTAAGCTGCTCGAGATCAGATTAATATGAATTACCCGTGGCAACCCGTGAGCATTGTGCGAGTTCTTGCTTTCTTTTTCACTTTCAGGCCATTGAGCTTATCTCTCGCATCGCTGGGAATTGCAAGTTCGCTCCAAATGGGCCTTGCGACTCTCAACTCAGCTTAGCCAGCAAGCGGCCTGAGCCTAAGCTCAAAATTGCTATAAAACAGTTTGGCCAAATTTGTCCTCAGATTCTGGGCAAAGAAGCTGGCAAAAGTTATCAAACTTTTCGACAAGTGGTCCGTTGTATCCAATTGGAATCCAACAAGTATCAAGCCATAAACTTGCAGTGGCGCTGTGTCCACTGATCTACGGATGATGGCTGTCTGCCGGGCGGCGACCCCAGTGAAGATCTGCTTGAAGATGTTCACCTAGCAAACAGCTCTCAGCTTGCTGGGCGCTGTGGCCAATACCTAGTGGCAAATGACAAAACTGGGAAACCCCATATTGGCAAGCTTCCAATGACAGAAAAGCGCAGCTGCAAGAGATGCACTGGAGTAGCAACTCTGGGGACCTCTAGGACTTTCATGCACAATCCAGCCCATGGGCCCGTCCTGATACCAATACCTCAGTGACGCGCACGCTCACTCTATGAACTCTCCTGCAAATGTCCAAACAGGAAAACCTTGCCACTCTTGAGACGGCACAATTACTTGCAAGCTCGCGTCCAGCTCTCTCTCTCTCTCTCTCTCTCTCTCTCTTTTGCTGCTGCTTAAGGAGAGTTTTCCTCTGGCCCCAGGCTCTGCGATCAGGACAAAGCTTAGGACCTTTCATTGTCAAGGCCTATGCCCCTCTTTGGGTTCATTCCGAGCAGCTGAAAGGCACCCAGGTAGAGTGCCCCGAACATGCAAAAGACCTCAGCGCGCTGCGCACGCAGAGTCCCACTCAGCCGGCCTGTGTTGACCACACTTGCGCAGCTTGTTGCTTCTGATTTCGAGCACGGCCCGAATAGCATTCGGATGCTTGAGGTTTGCAGTTTTTGTTTTCTCTGCTGCCACTTCGGCTACATGTCATGCCCAGGACGAGGCACCAAGTTTCTCTTCCAGTCGATCTCCCTCAATGACTTCCGTGAGATCACGCATTGCGCAACCAAATCAGCAGCAGAGGTTTTGAGCGTCGCGATCAGCAGGTTGTTCCTTCAGCGTGCATTCATGCCCTTCCATGCCAACAGAAAGGATCAGCTCATGTTCAGGCCGACAACGCCTCGCAATAAGCATTTTGTGACAGTATACACAAGTGTCCCTTTCCACCTGACAAACAAAACGGCGGGGTAACGCTGAGAACACTTGGGGTCGCTTTGGATCTACAGGCCAATCAGTGTAATCACGAGACATAGCCCCAAGCCCATGATCCAGTGTTCACAGGTTGATCCAGTGTTCACATTGCCTTCAAAGGCTGAAGGCCCAAGGCTCGCGAAGGGGAATTCCTTCGCAAAGGCCATGTAGGACCATTCGCCCGAATCACCGGCCGCCTCCTCTCATGAACACACGCGCACCCTTGAAACGCTTCGTTCAAGGGCAAACAAAGGTCTCACAAATGCTTGGAAGTCAAAGGGAGTATGAAGGACACTTTGCAATTGGGTGGAGGTCCTGAGAATCTTGTGACTAGAACGCCACTGCATTTTGGCAGTGGTAACCTGCCGCTGCCTGCCCTGCTGCAGACCTGAAATTCCCAACTGACTGGCCGCCCATTTAGCCTGTCAGTCGTGCCTAGCAGCCTACCAACTGTCCTACAACTGCAACTCGTCTTGCCACCCACATCATTGCCACAGCCAACTAACAAAGGTCACTGATGCTAAAAACGGCACTGATAGTGCTATTGAAGCGCTGCGAGCATTGCTTGTGCTGCGAGTACATGTATTAGTACTGATGGCTCTACTGCAGCTCTGCTTTTGACTCCACTTATGCGACCAGCGTTTCAACTGCTGCCACTTGCTGGCCCACGTCGATGACTACCCGACTACGTCAACAGCAGCCTGGGAGGTTTGAAACCACCCTTCAACTTGTTCTCTGCTGGAGTAACTCGCAAGCTCCCACTAGTCTTGTCCAGTGTTTGGTGGATGACCTGGGGTGCAAAGGCCGATTTCATGTCCATTTGGGGCAACGCATGTCGCCCGGCATGACCTGGAGACTTCCCGAATTGCGCTTTGCTCCTCGGCCGTGGCTGGGCGCTTGGCCGTGAAATCGCTGCACTGAAAGCCTGCGGCGCCAAGCCGGGCCTCAAAAAGGTTCTCGCCAACATCTCTCAACCCTTTTCGCGTCTCAGCCGATCCCACCTGGCAGCCAGGACCATGAGAAGATCGCCAGTAGCAAAATCCCCAGGGTCTTTGACTTTCTGCCGGTCCTGGGGTCAACAGCAATCAAGCAAACATGTGTCCTCGGAAAAACGACATGTTTCTCCAAAGAGGACGTGAATGCATTGGGATCAATTTCCAGGGCGAGCCCCCCAGGCCCTCTAAATTGTCCCGTAAAATCAGGTACATCTTTAAATGAGCCAGTCGGCACTTTGGTTGGCAGTAATTGCATGCCAGAATTATGTACATTCTAACTACCGGTGTTACTGCTTGCTTGGCAGCCTTTTTTTTTCACAGTATGGATGTCAAACACTTGTCTGTGAAAAAGGTTTCTTGACCAATCCCGTTGGGCAAACTGTTTAAACTAGCAGCATGGCGTTTTGTCCAGCCAAGCAAGGACAATGACCCTTTAGACTGTTACTTGAAATCTGGACTTTATCCTGGTTCTGCCTTGCAACGCGCAGCCTTTGTGTAACAAAAGGAGACTTTGAGCTCTCTCCAAACCACCGATAGTCGGTGGAGTGAACATTGCACAGCCCTTGCTTAAGCTAACAGCTACATAATCATAAACGCTCTTGCTGACAGCTCCAAATGCTACAATAGATGGCAGATTCTATCTCGTGTTGGCAACAACCTCTCTTCCAGCAAGCACGGAAAGTGCTGCTTCGAGCTCAACACGAAATTACTCCTGACCTTGCTGGCAGTTGCCGCACTGACACTGACTTCTTTGATGGCATCCAGGTTGGTGACCCAAGGCAGACTGCAAACCAGCAGCGGAACTATTTCACAGGCAATAGAGAACTTGCCTCACAACCTCTTGCTCAGCTCGCTCAGGCTCGGGTCATGGACGAGCACAGGCCACATTACTTTCAGAAAAGGCTGGACTCTCGGTTGTATCTATGTGATGCATTTCATACATGTTGATCTCTAGGAAGCTTGCAACTGTGCTCTTTACGTAGAACTCCGCAGATGTCTGGTGCTGTTTCTGCTGGTTGCAAGGCTGACTCTCGTGGAGCAATTGCCAATCGCATTGAATCATGGCTAGATGGCGATTTCTGTACCTTTACTCACTTTGCTCGCTGTCTCGTAATCGACACGTAGTGTGGTCAGCACGGCGCCAAGTAATTGGTATGTACCGGATGAGATCCTCCACGCAGTGCTTGCTGGAAAGCTTTATATATCTGGCGCGTGCGTTCCTGTCTTCTCGACCTGCAAACCGGTTGGCATTGACAAAACCTCGCAACGATTCTGCTGTGTTCAGAGTGCACCGGGTCAAATTGAATGCTTCGTCTGTTTGGCTTAGGGTGTGCTCTTATTCTAACTTGAAGCGGCGCAAAGATCCCTGAGCACTCCTCGCAGGCAAGGCCCGCAAGCTGGTGGTCTTCATCGCCTGGCCATCCATCCCCACTCAAGGGGAAGTTCATAACTTGATTCCCTGGACGAATCCCCATGGCAACTACCGCCGCTAGCCCTAGTAATGGAGAGTCCTCCCTGTATCAGAAGGTTGAGCATCTGCCCACAATGCGCTTAGTGCGGCTCATGCCTCCATGTCGACTTTTGCGACTCCTGGCAGGAGATGCTCACACAAATCGCACAGCGCACACCTGCTACTAGCACATTGGATCTACAGATTGCACATATGTATCACCACAAACAAATGCAGTGCAAAACCACGCCATTGAATACAAGGGCGTTTTGGCGTAACCTGGCAATGAACGCAACGCCGCAGCCGCAATGGCAGCGCCCGCAGCACTTTCAAAACAGCAGCATACCAACTTTCTGACGGAATGGCACCATTGGCATGCAGCACTGGACAGCAGCTGGGTGGCACCGCAGGCAAACATGTTAGCGTGCACGCACGCAAGTGGCACTAGAAGCAGGGCCGATTCTGCTCAAAGCAGTGTGCCTTCCTATGTCAATGTGGAAATCAACCTTTCTCCTGCCATTTGCCACACTAGCCAGGTTAAAAAATGCAGGTGTGGGCCTTCGGGCCAAGAGCTAGTGTTTGGGGCAAATCACTTGCGGCGTCAAATGCGACACGTGCAGTACAAAGCTATGAGACCCTCGCAGCCCATCCCAAGCCTCTTGGATGCTGCCTGTGGCGCGGCGAAATTGCCAAGAGTATAAATTTTCGATTGGGACCCTGCGGGAGGCATCATTTACATATGACTACCTGCCATTTTGGTTAGGAACAAACATATTGCAAAATGCCTGTGTACCTGCACAGACCTTGCAATGGCATGACAAGCCGAGATCCAGGTCCGAGAGTGTAAATTGACATGCGGAAGGAGCACTGCAAGGCACAAATCATTCTCAAGGTCCCAGCAAAAACATCTGCTAGCCTTGTCCTTGCTGTTTTGCACTATCCGAATGCGACAAATGAGCTCAAGCTCAGAAACAACTAATCGGCACATGCTGCCACCCGTCCGATGACACCTTGCTCACCGCCATGGAAATTGGCAAATGCGAAGCATGGGCTGTTGCCAGCATTCGCAGGATACCGTCTGCCCCCAACCCGGGTTGAACGTAAAGCTCTCCTGAACGTGGGAAACCAAGGTGCAGGGTCGCGGGAGGTGATCCCAGGCAATGAAACTGACAAACTTCCCCACAGCTCTCATGTCAAGCCTCTCCCAGAAACTTGAGGAAATGAACCTGACTGAAGCTCACTGGGCCAGTCTTGAAGGCACGGCAACTCTCCGTCGATGGTTGCCGGTCTGGCTTTGATACCGACTTGGACCTGCTTTAAAGGGAAACCAAGAGGAAAGCACTCAGCTTAGGGGCCCTAAATTTGCGAAATGATATAGCCATATTATGAGTGTTATCTGAGAAGAGCAAAGTCTTTAAAGAGATCAAGAGAGCTGTGGAGTTGCCTCTGAAATTCACCACACTCAGCTCGCCTCGGTGTTATTGCCCGCGTAAGTGGCTCGTTGAGACACCAACAGGAAGTAAACACACTTGAGATGCGATGGCAGCGCGACAGCGAAAAGACAAATTCGCCCTGTTTGCTTGGCATCTGATTCCGCTCTTGGCTCTTCGCTGATTTTTCTGGGGGGAACATACTTGGTTTCAACACCGGCGTCTGTTTCTTTTCGAGGTGCGAGCGACCTGACCTGTTGATGCGCCATTCGTGATTGCTTCATGGTGGGGAGACATGGCCGGATTCAGGCTACCGCCGTGACACCTGGGACCCAGCAGCTGTACCAGGCTTCACAACTTGTCCTTTCCAGCATTCGCAGTCGCGCTCTGCGGCACACCACGTGCATCTGCTCGTGGGACGGGAAAGTGTCATTGGCACCTTTGTCCAATCCTGCTGACTATTTTCAGACAGCCCTGTCGAACCGTAAAAACAGGGTAAAACGGAAAGGTAAAACTGTGGAAAACGGGAAGGGGCCGATTTCTGCGGCCCATGAAAACTCATGCATGAGGCCACCTATTTGTTGGCGCCGCGCGCGAAGGAGAGGTATGCTGTCCACACAAAGGAGACCACCTTGGCCCAGCAAAGCACAAAATGCTTCGACGTCGTTAACAGCAAACCTGGCCTCCAGGATATGGCTTCCATGCTTTTCACACCCCAATGCAAGTGCAACTAGACCCTTGCGTCCTTGGCTCCATTGCGACAGCCGACAGGACCCGTGACCATGTGGCTTCTTGATTGCCATGGTTCATGTCATCCCAAATCAGTGAGGCCTGGAGCGCGATACCACTTTCACCCCATGTCTGTGGCTCGAGAGATGCGGCAGAATCGTTCACCCCATGTCCATGGCTCATGTGGCTGAAGCGGGTGGAAGAAGGGGTCATTTGGCTGAAGCTGTTGCGAGAAATGTCCTTTTGTGCCAGGCACCAAACCGAGCAAAAGTCTAGACATCTAGGGAGCCGCGAAAATCGGAAGCCTCTTTCGGAACATTGGGGCCCGGGCATGGCGCACGGGCAGGCGGAGCCACAAGGGCACCGAGAAGCAAACGAGGTCTGCCGGGCCCCAAACGCGGAACACGTCGTAGAAGTCCTGCGACCAACATGGGCCAAGCGGTTCAAAGGGAATCACATGGCAGGTGGCAATAGGTGGGCGGTGCTAGATGGAATCAACAAGTATTGAATATCAGATGGATCAGGTATCAAATAGATCAGCTCACATGAAAGTTAATATGGGAGTAATGGGAACCGAACTGTCATGATCACTGTCACAGCTTGAAAAAAACAACACAACCGCTATTGTGGAAACTGCACAAGTGAGGGCGCCAGTCCCTCCCAACAGCTTCACGCCATCAATAAACTCGGGTTCGAACATGGACACATTCACACGTTCGAAAATGCCTGGCACAACGCGCTGCAAGCGGGAGGAGTCCGGGGCATTGAGGCCAAATCCATGCATGTGCTGATACCAACATGAGCCAACCGACCAAGAAGCAGCAATCACATCACATGTGGCATTGCGCAAGGTCAAACTTTGGCGTAGGTTTGTCGGGGTTCATGGTGGCGCGATGCCGCACAAGATGCTTCCCCACAGACGGCTCTCACCGCTCGCCGAAGAACCAATCATTTTACAGTCCTCAACAACTGATGTGCTTTTTTCAGGATCACAAGCCTTCACACCAATGGAGGCCACTCACAAGTTTGGGATGTGGACGCCGCCTACTTCTTGGCCGAGAAACAAATTGTAAGGCGGCTAATTCTAGATCATTGTCAAGGGCAATTCTGCTGCTTGCACGTGGCGGGTCCTTTTGCCAGTTGGTTGTGTAGCTTCCTGAGCGCGAAACTACAAAGAGCTGATACAACCAGGGTTGAGGTTGTTTTTTTACTAGCCCCGGCTTCTTACTAGGCCCGGCTCAAGGCCTCCCTCATGTGGCTCTAAAGAGGTTGGCTGGGAACCTTGATTCGCTCTCAGGTTGGGGGCAACCGGCGGTATTCTCTGGGGGCCAAGTTGGCCATGTTGGGGGGGTCGTGTTGGTGGGCCGCATCCCCAGCATCACTGGCCTCGTTCGGACTAGGGCTGCCTATTATTGACTTTGATTTGGTGGCAGTTCAGGGTTGCTCGAGGCTGGTTTCGGGTGAGTGTTGGGCTTGCTGAGGTCTTATATAATGAGGGCGGGTCGTGGGTTTGCGTGGGGTTCATATAGGTTTGGTAAAGGGCTGATATCCAGGATGCTGTTGGGAGGGTTTAAGGTTGACTTTGAGTCGGTTTGGGTTGGCTTGGAGCTGATTTGCGCTAGGTTTGCGGCCTGGTTTTAGCAGTAGCTTTTGGACTTTTTTTGCTTCATTGAACCACATCCCTAAAGCAGCCCAACAGCTACTGCAAAAACCAGGCCGCAAACCTCGCTCAAATCAGGTCCAAGCCAACCCAAACCCACTCGAAGTCAGCCTCAAACCCTCCCAATATCTCCCAATCACAGACACACAGACACGCAGACACGCAGACACACAGACACACAGACACACAGACACACAGACACCACACCACAGACACACAGACACACCTCACAGACACAGACAGACACACCACAGACACCACACCACAGACACACCACAGACACACCACAAACACACCACAGACACACACCACACACACACACACATGCTACGCACGATGTGTCCAAGGCTCCGATGCCGTTCTTCACCCAAACGGCGGCGTCCCAGGTGCCGCTAAAGACGCTGGCTTTGAACACGTAGAAGGTGGGCAGGTAGACGCAGGTCCTGGGCGCGGTGGAGCGGTCTGAGGTCTGAGGTTCCATTGGCATGGTGTCGCAATCGGGGAAGCAGGCCACATGAGTGTGCTGTGGGCGTCCGTCTGTCAGCACCAAAGACTGGCTCCTGCTTGTATGATGACTCAGCTAACCTTTGGAGATATGGACTCGCCCAGCCTGAATCAACTCCTGGAGATGCACATGAACCAAAAGGGTCTTGCAAAGCCTGCTGAGGTCACGATGACAGCTAGGCATGGTGAGTCGCTGACAATGAAGTGCCGAAACGCTGATGCATCACATCCACAGCTCTCCCATTCAACTAGCATGAACCATGCATCAGCAGTTTCCTCTACACAAGACCTGAGACAATGGTTCTGCTTCTTCAGGTTTTTCCGCTCAACTTGGCGCCAACCGTCGACCACATCGCAAAGCACTGAGAAACGGGCAACATGCCCAGGTCGAGGGCCTGGGCTCATAATGAGGTTGAACATGCAAGAGCAAGAGGTACAGGATGGTACTGGAAGGATGGCACACCTGATCATCTCCAGAAGGCATTGCTTTTTGGACAAAACATCGAGGCAGTGTCTCAATAAAAGTTGAGAAGTCTGGCTGATGCAACCCTCACAGGCTTCACATAGCCTGGATTGCTGGGAGCACTCATTGCCAGCTCATGCTCCCCGGTGGTCCTGTCAATTCCGACACAAGGCACCTCTTGCGAACAACCTATCTCGGGGCCTCAGGGAGCAACTGGCTCTTTGCTCGTTCCTACATCGGCATTCCGTCAAACACTCTTGCTTTTGCCTTGGCTTTGGGTTGTGTCGCGTCTTTCCCCATCTACAGAAACGGGACTTGGCATGAATTTGGCAGAAATGCTCTGACTGCAAGGAGAGGAAGCTTTGCTTACTGAGAAGACAAGGGCTGGTACGAGTACGCCATGCTGGAGCATGTAGCTTGTTCCCTCGGACGCGCTTGGTGCTGGGCCTCCAAACTTCAAAGGCGTGTACAGCCAATGCGTTTCAAGCTTTCCTGCTCCCGAGTACAATGCCATATCCAAGCGTGCTGAACAAGTATGGGTGACACTGTGGATTGCTTCAACTTTCGCTGCCATCCATGTACTTACGTGACTTACGTCCTGTCGCACTCTTGGGGGTGGGCAAGATCTTCCCTGCCGGTCACCGGGAGCCGGGCAGTCTGCGCTCCCAGGGCCTTGAGCCCAGCCGTGTCCCGCAGCTTCGCGGCTAAGGGCTGCGTGGTGAACTTCTCCTCAAGTGCAGTGGCAAATCTCTCAAGAACAACTCCACTACAATTGGAAGGGACTCATGGACGAAGCTTTGTGGTCCCCTAAGTCCGCATGACAGTTGTTTCCTTCTTCACCTTTCCTGGGCGCTGCTGTTGTGTGAATGCAGATGGGATCCAAAGCCAAGCCTAGCGACAAAAAAGCGGCGCATACACTTGAACCATCGATCTATTTGAAACGCACTTGAACACATCTGCACACTTATGTCCTAAGCGCCTAGACCAACTGCCAACACAACAACTCTAGAATCTATTTGACCATATTTGACCCTTGCTGAAGGGAGGGTGGGGACCCTTGCTGACGGGAGAGTGGGGAGGAGTATCCCTACGGGAAAAAATATTTACAAGCCAGGTTTCCGTCGTTTCCGCATGAGCAAGCTTCAAACCTGTGATGTTGCGCTGTTTGGAGAGCCCAAACATGAAAGCAAAGGATGTGCATACTTGCTGCACCATGATTCTTGCACAGCCCGAAAGCAGGGAAGCCTCTCTATCCCTCTCTGACCTTTGAGGTCACTGGACCAAAGCTCTTGCCGCCAGGGGACGACTCCCTTGAACATCCGCGTGAAGATATTCACCTGTCACTTTGCTTTTGGCTGCTTGATACAAGGAAAAGGCCGGTGAGAAGTGCCGATGATTTTCGGCACCTCGCTTAGCGTGCTTCTCTATTCAGAGAAGTAAAGGGGCCAAAAGAAAGTCGCAAGATTTGAGCATGAGAACGCGCAGCCTACCATCGGTGCCATCACAACCACAAGTGGTTTGGTCAATCGACTTCCTAGCTTGTAATATTGTCAGCTAAGAAGGAGCGACGTTCTGAAGGCTAAGCTCCGATCCTGGTACCAATACCTCAGCGGTGCCACAAGACGTGATTGTGAGTTTGTAAGCATGCTCCGCTCTCACGCGCCAAACTGCTCTGTGCGCTAAAAACAGCCACCTTACACGACATGGTAACACTGAGCAAGAATGTCGGACACAAGTCTACGTCGGTTGCACGGAGTGCGAACGAATGGCAAGTTTCAGCTTCCGGGAGCTCCGAGCAGTTTGCAACACATGAAGGGAAGCGAAGAGGCGATACATGGACGATGCGCTGAGCTTTTTAACTTCTGACACGACAAGCCGGAGATGCAAACCCGTCATCCATTGCAGCTCAGAGCACTTTGTAACCAAGGACAACTCTGAAACAATTGGACGAGCAATGACGCAAAATGACATCGGAGTCCCAACTTTTCCGGTTCTGGGAAACGTATGCAAATCAGGGACAATTTGAGGAGAGATTGGTTCCAAACCTGGCGCAATTCAAGGGACTGGAAGGCACCCAGGTAGACCGCGCCGAACATGCAGAAGACCTCAGACCCGATCGAGGGAAGGAGACCCCGGCCCTGGTCACATGGAATAATTGAAGTACGGAGCGACGGGCCAGGAAAAGGATTGATTTGCTGTATCTTCACGTCCATTGTTGAATTCTTAAAAACGGCTTACGTTCAAAGGTTGCGGAACCCACTGGCGATTTCAATGTGCCTCTATCCCCAGAGCAAGCCGGGAGCAGTTGAACTTCGCAGGGTCTGTGTCTAAATTATAACACCCATACTAGTGGTTCGCTTACGTGCGATAGATTGGCAATCCAAAGCGTTTTGCCGCGCAATGCGCAGGCTGGGCATGAAGCGAGAGCCTTCAGAAGACAATCTTGGCTATGGCTGCTCTGATACAACCAGTGATGCAGGCGAGGTACCAAGTTTCTCTTCCAATCAACCTCCTTCAACGACTTCCGCTCGATCACGCATTGCGCGACCAAATCAGCGGCAGAAGTCTTCATTGTTGCGATGATGAGGTTGTTCCTTGCATCAGCGATCAGGAACTACGGAATCAATTAGCACCAGTCCACATGCATGACTACCTGACCTCATGTTGGAGTTCGAGTCATGCCACGGATAGTGAACTGCAACCTTCCAAGAAGTACCCAAAGCTGAGACACGTCCTTCCAGGCACCAAAAACATCCGGAGAAACCTGCCGAGATAAATTACACGGTTGCCTGAATGGCTGAATTGTGCTAACACACAAACCGTAACCACGATTGCCAACCCCTGGTCACAGTTCAGCATGCAATTGCTGCACTTGGCCAACCAAGCGTCGTGAAGGGAAACGCCTTCGCAAAGGCTACATAGGACCAGCGGCTCTGGGCAGTCTTGGCTGCTTCCTGCCAATCTCGGGTCGCAACCACCTGCCTGTGCTTGGTGCATTTAAATTCCATCATTTCACTTGAACAAAGGCCCATACTCAACGAATGCCGGGGGAACTGAGCGCGTCTATAGACGTCGTGCGGGCGTCAGTGGAAAATCTGTCAAACTAGTGATCCGTGACTTAAAGTAGACTGCTGTCTGAGAGCCCACTTGTAGTCTCATGCTCAATCAGCAATAGCGTATTAGGCAAAGCTATGATGTTGGTGATCGCCATCACTTGTTAGGCGTGTGTTCTCATGCATAGGCCCAAATCTCATAGCGAGTGCTTAACATCGATTGATAGCTCCACCCACTCGTGCAACCGGTCAAAGGCGATCGCTGGTCCCAAACGATGAAGCTTGGTGATTCCGCGACTCCCCCAAGCACCCACGCCTCAGCAGCCAGGGTTGCCTTGGCGCGCAGCGCACAGCTGCCGCAGCCGCCCCATTGTTGGAATCCTTGGAATCCTGGAAGGGCCAAATGTGACGACTGAAGCACGGACGTGCGTGCATGCCGGCTGGGTGGGTTGGTGGGGTGTAGGTGGAGTGAGTGTGGGTGTGCGGGTGTGTGGGTGTGTGGCTGTGTGTGTGTGTGTGTGTGTGTGTGTGTGTGTGGGTGGGTGGTGGGTGGGTGGGTGGGTGGGTGGGTGGGTGGGTGGGTGGGTGGGTGGGTGGGTGGGTGGGTGGGTGGGTGGGTGGGTGGGTGGGTGGGTGGGTGGGTGGGTGGGTGGGTGGGTGGGTGGGTGGGTGGGTGGGTGGGTGGGTGTGCACTTCAAGGGGCTGTCGCTCCATGCATTCCTCTGACAAAAAGGGAAGCGGAGCGTGGCAATGTGCTAAAAGCCAGCATTTCAAAAGAATCTCATTTGTGAGACACCCTGTTTGGCTTCCATGCTACTTGGCTGAGTAATGAGGGGCACGCACGTAACCGAGAACCAAATGCAAAGGTCTGAGTCTGATGGGCATGAGCATCAGCTCGCGGCCCTTCGGTCGCCACGAGCTTCGCTTGGTTTCTAAGCCATCTGGCACTGTGTCGAGCTCCAGGCAAGCCAGGAGCTTCTCCGCTCAAATGGGTCTTGGATTGGTCGATGGGGATGCTTTTGGCCAACAAGGAAATTTCCAAGGAGGGTCCGTAATCTGAAGTGGGGCACCCAGGGAAGATAAGAATTGAGGATTGACTTTGAACCGAGTCTTTGTCAAAAAGGACTTCTTTGGGCAGCTGTTGACAGGCCCCGCCTGCCAGCCGTGGCTGCAGGCCCGCCGAGCGCCTTGCCAGCAGGCGAAATGACTGCCTGAGGCGGCAAGGGGCGATGGCTCTTTGTACTGTCACTTCAAATTATCCCAATCCAATAAGCACGGCAGCAAGGCACCTCACAAAACATCACAAAGGCTGCCACTGAACAGCTTTTCCGGACTTTTCTCACTGTGGAACGCACCCTCCACACTTGGGATTCACACCACAGAGAGGGCAAGGATGCCTGCGCACAGCGCGTGCCATGTGGCAGACAAAACTATTCTGGCGCAGTTGCGACGCTCGCAGTGTCGCAAGCAGCGCAGTCCAGAAGTATCGCCGAGAACACAGCAAATGCCAAGTTGCTGGAGACCCCAGTCAATCAAAGCACCAGTCTATGCAACCCTCTAGAATGAGTGTCCGCACAACTGGCTAAAACACTGCAGCCTACAAGCAAACATAAGCAAACCATGGATTCGGTGTGCAATTGGCGTTGGAGAGCAAGGCTAATGCGTGTCACGCATCCCGGTTTACTTGGTGCGGGGGTCAGCTCTGCATTCTAGATGCTGAGATGCAGAAACAACCCCTCCCCGAAATTTATCAAATGATAATTTGAAGGGATATCGGGTGTCTTAAAATGCAGAGCCAACCCCAATAATCACAAAGCAGCAGCTTGCCCGAACAGTTTTGACAGGGCCTTTGGATAATTTTCGCTTGCAAGCTGGTGGAAACCTGGCTAAGAGTTATGATGGACAGATTTTGGCAACAGGAGCGCATTTTGTAGAAGAGAAACTATCACTTTGCGCATGCTTGCAAAAACTTAGAAACTTTCGCAACAAATCCAAAGGGGCAAGTTCATCCTTGAGTACTGGGCCTTGACCAGCCCGTTGCCCTGGAGTGGACAGTGCGAACTTTCCCGGCCAGCAAGTGGAGGAGATGAATATGATGTTCCATGTCACCAAGAAGAACGGCTACAGCAGCTCGCTAGAGAGAGTGAGGACTCCAACAGACCTCGCGATGATTACACATCGGTATGGAGGCGCACATCAGATGGATATGCCCAGATATATGTTTGCAAATTGTGCGGCCACCGAGGCGATGCACGTGGGATCTGGTCACAAAGAGGTGGAATTTGGTTTGCTGCAGGGAATATTCGTGTGGATCCAACAGGAATGCAGGAGGACAAAAAGAGAGAGAAAGAGAGAGAGAGAGAGAGAGAGAAGGAGGTCGCACAGGCGAACCATGCTCTGGCTCTACGACGCCACAATAGTTGTGACGTCTACACGATCCTACGGTCTCGACCGCAAACTTGGGCAGCAAGGAAGCTGAGGGGCATCAGCAGACTCCACAGCTACATTTGCATGTGCCAAGCCTTGACCCGTTGCTTCGCAATTGCGCCTTGTTGCTGCCACCTTTTGCAGCTTTGCTCATTTTCCAGCTTGCCCAAAGAGCTTTGACAGGGCCTTTGGATAAACTTCAGCAAAACATGCAAAAAAGCGCCTCCAAACCCATGGAAGCTTGATTGCGCCCAGCTTGCCACATGTTCCCAGCATGACCCATGTGCGCAGAAATAAAGGCATTGTGTTCGTGATAAATACATAAACAACGGTGAAAACGATCCCCTGTCTTTCCGTGAGATCTGATTCCGTGGTACAGGCATAAAATGCGAGAGCCAAGTCACGCTACAAAAGTGGCGTCCGGCTAATTCGAGCGGATTATCTGGGGTCATCTGGGGTCAACCTCCGCATTTTAGAAATTCACTACAGACCGGTATCTTACACTGTGCTCGCCTTCTTCCATGCGCTGGTAATGCAAACCGAACGCAAAGCTATTAAAACGACTCTGCGTGAACGTGGTCTGAAATATTGTTCCCGGGCTCAGCGCACACTATCTTTTTCGACGGCAAAAACAAAACAAGTGAACTGCAGAATTCCAATGCAACTTGCCTGATGGGTTTCCAAAGATTCAGCCTCACCCGAATGTGGCTTTCAGTATTACCCCATGAGCCCTTGAACCAGAGCTCCCCGCAAGCGTTGCAACATGTTGCAACCACCGACTGCCTTATCTTTGCATGATTGGCCACTCAGGATGTTTGAAAGCAAACCCACAATCTCCGAGGCTCCAGCATTGGCTTCAAAGGCAGGTGCTAAATCCGATTCCCATTCGAGCCCAGCTGGAATTAAGCGACACAAGGACATGAGATGGGCGCACACCAGCCAAAGTGCTGAATACCTTCCTACTGAGTGCTCGCGGCGAGCTTGCATCCACCATCCAGCATCCGTCCACCCACCATCATCCATCCATCGTATGGCTCGGTTTTGTCTGTAGGCATTTTACTGGCATGCGAGGTCGAGAAAATACAACTGTTGTTTGTGAGTTGATGTTTTGCTCGGTACCATACACCATTCAGAACCCTTACATTTCTCGCCTTTAACAGCAGCTCTACTCGATTGAACGCCCAACATCGCCCACACTGGACCGCTATCCAATGAGCTGGCGTGCCAACTGTACAGAACGATGTGGTGGGAACACGCAATCGCCATAACGGCAGCCCGCCGTAATGTTTGAAACCTGGAACCAATCAGTCAGATTCCGGCCTTGGATTCTGGAGGACTCTTCTTACACATCGAGATGATGCGCCAAGCACGTTTGCATCAAAACAACAATTCGTCTTACCCTCTGACAATGCTGTTGGCTCTACCTGAGTTTGATCACTTTGGGACACGCAGGCCCTTGTCAATGCCATACGAACTTCAGCAACATGGTTCCACAAGCAACCGGCTAGCGCAAGCTGACCCCCTATCTCTGCAGATTTGCTCTCAGGCAAGAGGAGACATGACACACGGACTCGTCCAAGGTCATGGCCGCCTGGGGGCGGCAGCGTGGCCTGCGTGAATTAATTGTCTAAGTGCGCAACTAGCACCCCACACAGGCTTTCTTTCCGCTCACAGTCAGTTGTTCTGCAGCGCTCTGCATCCGTGTCCGCAGCGCAACTGAAGAGCTGACGCGCAGCTCTCTCCAATAACGTCTGTTCAACTCTGGTTTTAAGCGCGGTTACTTTAACATGAGTTGGCGCGCAAGATTGCGCAGCATCGCACTTTGCTCAAAGCCCTGCTACACCCTGCAAACCCTCGCAGCGAGTTACACATGGTAGAGAATTCCAGTCGCCAGTGATGTAGAATTCCACGTTTCGCCCTCCACAGGGGCTGCCCCGGTGGAACAATTTGCCTTCCCACCGCCCAGCGGTTCAACGCTCAGCTCGACTGGCGCTGGGAAAGAGCAAAAATCCGCCCGCCGCCGGTGGATCAAACCCAACAAAAACATTGGCTGGTCGGCATGCTTGTTTAGGGTTTAGGGTCTATGGTATTCACCTTAAACTTAAACCCTACAGAGGCGGAGCAGACACAAAACATTTTCAAAAAAAACAATTCGGCGTGTTTCCCTTCAACAGTTGGGAACCTCTTTTGGGTTGTTGCAAAGGGAAACTACCGGAAAAAAGGCCCCCCTCTCCAACAAACCCACACGGACTGTCGTTCTTTATCGTTCGAGGGTCCGCTGCACAAGCTGCTGGGATGTTTGAGGGCTTTGGCGCTCTGCCTTTTCTCTCATGATTGCCGTCAGAGGCGCCTGCGCAGAGCAATCAAAAGTGGCTCTAGGGAACCAACACCTATTAAACCTATCATAAACATGATGAAACACATAAAAGCTGATGGAGCAGACCATCATGATGGAGCGGACATACCATCCACCCGCGATCAAGGTTTGCGACAGCTGTACTTTTGCTTCTTCCCCGTGGGCCCAACTCGTGGCGAGATCTCTTGGCAAGTCAGGCCCTTTGCACAAACTGCGGAGTCATTGTCGCAAGGCCACCCCTCTGGCTGATTCATGCAGTAGTGGCCATGGAAGGGGTAGAACTTCCAGTCGTCCTCTGAAATCAGAATCAATCAACGCAATCAAAGATACAATGCTCGAAACACACATACTGTAAACCAAGTGCAAACCATGAACAACACATGTTGGGGCCGGACCCATTCAGTGTGCCATCGGTCCTCGCCCACGCAACAGTGGAGCTCCCAACCACCCCAGCAACAGGCTTTCGTCAAGCAGTCAGAGTCGCTTCTGCAGGAATCCCCTGGCGTCTTTCCATCTGGATTCAGGCGAAAGAGCTGGGAGAACTTGATGGAATCGGTCCTTCGGCAAGCTGGTAACACCAGGCTTGGTGCGCGGTAGCGGCACCCAGTTATTACCTGAGAAGTTATATGTAGACATGGAACCACCCTACACCAAACAGCTCTTGAACCAAGCAGGATTTGCAGCAAGCACCTTATTTGCAGCAAGCCCCTTTACACCAAGAACAACAAGAACTTGGCAAGACTTTCCATCAGCAACAACAATGAAGATGACAAGCTTTCTATGACACGCCCGTGGACAAACATGTTCACCAAGTCCTTTGCGTGCACTCCTCACAACGGCAATTCTTCCCTTTCTCATCACAGCATTTTCCATTGCAGTTGAAACGTGTCGAAAAGGGACCAGTCCAAATTCCCACGAAGCCCTCGGCGACCTTGGGACGTCGTTTGCCATCTGAACCCGTTAGGCCAGGATAGGTCCACTCATCCACATAGGCCATGACGTCTGGATGGTTCCATGCGATCTGCTCACTTCCTCCATCATTGCGAAGGCGTGCATAAGGGTTCTCAGCGAGATGTTCCCAAGCCTCCTTGTACTTCGCTTGATCCTTAAGCCACCTGCCATCCATATCCATTTCCACACGGACGATGCCTTCCCATGTGTTGTAGAAATGGTCACGCCCTCGATGGTTAACACTCTGGGTGTGCCAGCCCAAGCCATTGATCTGTGTTTCCCAAGTGTCGAAGGCCGAATCCACGGCGCTGAGGATATTCTCCTTGGACGCCACCTGGGCACATGCGACTCGGCAAAGCCAATGAACGACGAGTAGCTGGTGGCTGCAACACCCCACTATCTACAACTCTTGACAGAGTTGTAATCCATCTTACGTGGCACAGGATTCTGTCCATCAGCAGTAGGTCCCAATCATCCACCGAAATGATCCTTGTGGCGATCATGCAAAAGTGAATCGGGGTAACCCCGCGGCTATGGACAACCCCAAAATGAAGCCACTCATCTCATGGGGACCGGGCATCTCACCTATATGAAGGATTCCTTGTAGGATCATGCAGGGGTATATAGACCTCTATTGTATCATTTGGGTTCCATTTGGTTGATGAACATGCCCCACAAGGTGGTACACAACCATCAGGCTTGACTATTGCCTCGTGGCACACGGCCAGGCATCTTGAAATGCTCCTGGGATTGATGGGTCACAAATGCTGATCAAACTGCTTAAAACCATAATTTCCTGCAAGTGTTCCCACAAACCATAGAATCACCCTCCAGCCAAAGTTCGGAAAGCATAAGCAAAAAAAAAGAGAAACGCTTTTCCGGACTCAGGAGATCTCGGGAGTAATTGGGTCAATTTGGGAAATGGATGTCACCACCTCAACTACATCCGATTGCCCCTTGTGGCCCCCGACCTGTGGTGAGTATGACACGTACAATGAGTAGATCTCCGCATCTGTGTGGTTTCCCATGTTGGCTTGCATGGCCGCAATCAGTGTCCTGGCACCATAGATCGATTGTCCGTTCCCTTGTGTTTCAACGCCATTCAAATATCCAAACTCGCATGATTCGTGCTCAAAGTTTCTCTTACCCCGAAACCGGACTTTTTGCAATAGAATTCCAGCCAACCAGCTGCTCGCAGTCTGCCTGGCACCATGTACATGTGTGTTTGACTCACACGGGATCTTGCGTAGTGGGTGTCAATACCTCCAATGAGAGTGTGTTGTTACATGAACTTTCAAACTTGTTGAACCGTTCCAAACCTCGCTGTGTTGCCCACCCAGGAGCCATCCCCATCCGGCCTTTGTTCGGCTTTCAACGCATCCAAGAAACGGTTGGCCGGATTGTTGCGGAACTTGTTCTGCAGTTCAATTTTGATCTTATCGATTCCCTTCCTGAGGGCCGGTCGAGTATGCAACGGAGCAACCCAAAGTGTGGCATTGAGTGACATGGAGTGTGTCACAAGGTGTGACCCCAAAGGTTCTGAGATTTTCTGAGTCAAAACAAACAAAGATCCGCAATAGGTCCAGCAAAAAAAGAAGAACACCAACTTGAATTCCAAAGCTGATCCAAGGCCATGCCCCGGCGATCCGAGAATCTTTTTCAAGCTGGTGATGGACTTTTCCATGACCCCCTCGATGTTCTGCATGGTTTTTACTATTGCTTCCAGATCCTTCAGTCCCTCCACCAGCGAGGAGGACTTGAAACGGCCCACCGCCGGACAGAAAAGCGCACCCATGACCATGTCGAGGAGGAAGGCGACCCATGGATCTCCTTTGTCCTTCTGCTTCTGAATCTCTTCCTTAGCAGTTTGGTGACACAATTCCCAGTTCATCGAACCCCGTACCGAGCAGTTAGGCCGCGAAACTCAAACGATGCTTCGATATCACCGAGACCAAGAGTCCAATTCATGCTTCTTCTCAGCAACGGCACTCGTGAGGTCTGTGTAATAAAGGTCCATCTGGTGCATCAAAATGCTTACCCGCATTCTCCTAGCAGGTCATTAGGTGCTCACTATTACGTCGGCCCTAGGCTTTCAAACATCTCCTGGGAAAGTAATTTGGGCTCCAAGCGCAGTATCAGTGGGCATTTGGAAGGCCGTTGTTGCTCAAATATCCATATTCCATGTATTGTTTGCTCTCCCAATGGCATAACATCTACATCCAAATAACCCGGAATCTCCTTGCATCTTCCTTGGTGCGCGGCTTGCCGCCCTGCTTCCCGGCTGCCTCCCAGAGTTCATCCACTGTGCGGCCAATGTCTGAGGCGGAGATCAACTTCCGCAGCTTGCATAGGTCTTCTTGCCCCTCTGGGCAGGGAGCCTGGGGGAAGAATGCTTGCGCTGCATATGCCACACATATGACATATGCAGCATATGCATAAAATCGGCTAAATGCGGTGAATCCTTCAACCCCCCATCTTCATGGCCCATAGATCCTGCGATGGCCGCCGGGCTTCGCCAAGGGACTTGATGCTGAAGCAGCACGGATTCACAGGTTTCGTTTAAGTTCTCTGCCAGGGCCCACTGGGCCAAGGCCATGAACAGGCGCACAGCTGCCATGACAGCTGGAAGGGCCTGGAACAGAAATGCTTGATCATGCTTGATCCAAGCTGCGGCTTCGCAAACGTAATTGATTCATTCATTGGTCGTGGAGTACGTCAGGCCCTCAGCAAGCCTAGAGATATCTCCCAGCACATGGCGGACCACTCCGGCGTCTCCCGCGGGGGCGGGGATGTAAGACTGCTCTCCCTGTCCCTCTCTCCCTGATTTTGCCAGAGCGACAAACAGACAAGACCCTGTCCTGCATGGCCTGTGACAGGGCGAAGGCAAAGTATCTGGGCAAACTTGAAATGCTTAGTCGTTTGGGGGCCATTTACCCGAAAAGTGATCACTTTTTACCATAGTTTCCCTAAATGATTTTACCCTGAGGTGCCCCAGCTGCCTGCTTGTTTTCCGAAGCAGCTGCGTATGCGACCCAGCATATCAACGAACTCCAAAGTCGACTCTGAAGCCTGGAAAGGTCCTTCCAGGATCCTGGCTGTCCAAGCGTGCCAGGATCATGTTGAATACTGTCATCCGCCTGGAAACTCATACAGTATGTTGTGCGAGCGCGCATCTTCTTTCTCCTCGCGGTGGCTGCTCTATGCACTCGGCTCAGGATCACATCACTCTGTTGAGAGCATGTCGGACCTTCGCTACAAGGCAGCCATAAAGCGAAGTGACAAGAAACAAATACCGTGCATGGCCAAATTCAATGTGATAGGTGATTGATGTGCATCGCTTGATTCCAAACCTCCAGGTTGCAGAGTTCAGGAGATTGGATAACCCACACATGCTCTGCAGATTCAACTTAAGATGGGACACTCGAACTCCCCAAATATTGAATCAGAGAAGCCTCAGCCCAACAACGTTCTCCGAGTCACATTGGAAGCAGGTGGGTGGGACCAATTGGTTGGGGTTGTTTTTCGTGGGTCCCTCTGCGCCAACCACTTGCTGTGAGGCATGTCCTAAAGGCCCTCTCGTGGGTGAGGGCCCAGGTATTGAACTGTGATTCAACCGCTTTGCATAAGGCGGCCCCTGCATCATGAGGTGCCAAACAACAGCATCCGATTGCAGGATTGCAGCGCCTCATGCAAGGTTCAGCAAAGACCTGGCAGATTTGGGTCGGGCCCCGGCCAAGCGGAGCGAAATGCGTCTTCTCTTTTGGGATCCTGAGTTGAGGCTGGGTTTTGTCCACATCCTAATGTGACATGTGCTGGATGTTACTCATCAGCTCGCCTCGGGGGGAAGCCTGGCCAAAAAACCAAACTTTGCAAGGACTCAGATTGATACGCAGAACGCCGTTCTATCGCACATTGCATTGAAGTTGGCTTGTTTCATGTCGGACCAAGAAACGATGATCCGTTCCCCCACAAAAACAAGGTCCACCTAATGACAACAATAAGAATGAATCACAACCCCAGCGGGCCCGATACTAAACCAGAATAGGCCAACTCTAAACCAATATCAAACTTGCGATTTCTCCCAACGACCAGACCCTCTGCTCTGAGCGAACCCGCCGGGAAGTGTCCAAACCCAGCAGCCTGGACCCACCCAGAAGTGAACAAAACACGAGACGTGACGTCCCAAACCTGGAACCGGGGACACCAGAATAGCATCTGTGTTTCTTTTGCCCAAGGGGGCCTTTATTGTTAGGGGTGGCCGTAGAAATTATGGGGAACGAATTGCACAGTACATCCCACAAGATAAGTCAGTTGAGACTTGGTTAGGTGGCAGTGATTGCCACCAAGCCTATATCACTTGATAACCTTGTCATGAAGTGAACGCTCTCCACTGTAGAAGCCAAAAACAACTCAAACAAACCACAAACTCCTCACGCCTGGTGGCTACCACCAAACACGGATGGATGCCATTGCCTATGATGGCTCCCAGTCTGTGATGTCAAATGCACGTGTCGGAATTGGGGGCTCTTCCCTCTGTCTCTTCTTCAAATCCGAACATACGCCCAGAGGGCCCGCGGGAGGGGGAAGGGCTGTTGTCCTGAGCTAAACAAACACCACCATATCCAAGTTATTTAATTCTTAGACTCCCTTGCCAACTGCAACTCGCCTGGGCTTCGGCTGCACCTGCAGGGGCACTCAGCTTTCTCAGGCCACCAGGGTATGTCCTTCTTTTGGGATACCCGTTTTGGGGTTGTATTTCAACTGAAAACCACCCTCAATTTCAGCAGTTCCCCTACTTATCTCGCGTCAGAAATGCCAGTATATAGCTGAGTTCTCACTCCGCAGCAAAAGATGCAGCCTGCCTGACATGACAATTTTGTGCTTTTCCAAATGCACACAAATGCAAGCAACTGGCCTCCTTGTTGCCCGCTGGCAGGACACGCTCCTGGGCATATTATCCACATCACTGTTCCGAACTACATCAGCTGCAGTGCACAAGGCCTTAAACTTAGGCTAATTTTAATGGACGCAATGGATTCAACCGCTCGGCCGCTCAGCCCGGCGCCACCACCGCTGCGAACTTCCGGAGCGTGGTGTCTGCCGGTGGCATGTCGATGGCGGGCCTCACGGGTGACTGACACGCATCCATATGTCAGTCGGAACTTTTGAGGGGCCCTCGTAGGATCCCCCCAACTGGACACCAAAGGACAAAGGTGATGTATCTGTTTTCTCTGGAAGCGTGCCAACATTGATCCCTTGAAAGAGCGGATCCGCGCGTTTTGCGGCACACTTGTTTCCCCAGGTGTCAAAGGGTGAAGACGCGCGTTTTGGAGCCCGCTGCGCTCGACAGGCTGCCGATGAATTGGCAGCTCTTTTACCAGCAATAAGCATGATTGGACGAAGACATGGACAGTGTCCGGCCAGGCAAAAAAACAACTGGTTTTACCCCAGTTCACTGCGAAATGGTTGGAAATGCCAAGTGCAAGAGCCCGATGATTGCCACTTGCTGAGGCTCCTGCGGTATGTGGGATGGACATTGGGTCGAGAAGAGGCACTTGGAGAACTCAACCTGCGCGTAGAAAATTGACTTGGCGATGCACATTTACAACTATCAAAACAATGCAATGGCATGATGGCATCAAACCCAAACAGTAGCAATAGTGTGATGACAATAATATCATTAACAGCTTTGATAGCAATGCCGCAAAGTATGAACCACAATTGCAGACCTATATTTTGGGCATCTTCAGCTTCATCAGTCCCAATAATACACGTACGTCTTCACCTTGAAGTTGTTGTCAGTATTATCAGTGTAGTCATCGATACTAGTCTAAATCTAGTTGTGCATTTACATTACGTAGGTACACTATCTGAACCTGCAATCCTTGTAGATAATCCAATGCTCCTTCAATATTAATACATAGGTGAATGCGCTGCTGCTTTTGCTTTGTGAAAGTGGCATATCTTCAATACCTCGTAAAATATGTCTTTTTTATCCAACTGGTTGGCACATGTACCTGCTCAGCTTCCCGGGCAAAGTCAGCTTGTCTTAGAGTAGCTGGGAACTTGGGAAGGCGTGTTGCCTTTGCACATTGTTTCCAGGTCTGTGAGCCATAGAATCAGAATCACAAATCCTGCATTTTTCTCTTTAATTAGGTTTCATGAGCTACCGGAATTTAAGAGCCAGAAGTTCTAGCGGCCCTTGTCGCCTCCAACAGGTCTGCGGCCGCCGCCTCCAAGCTCACCGACCTCGGAACAGGACCCCCCGGCCCCATGCCCCCACGCGGCAACTGCGCCCATTCCCTTAAGCTTGCGTTTCCTCCCCATTCTGCCAGCAAATCTATTGCCAAGATTGTTCACTTCAGAAAGACTTGCAAACCTTCAACCTCAGCTCTTTGAGTTTGCAGAGTGGGGCCCCGGCACCGTCTGCTCGCTGGAGCCCAACGCCCCCAAGGACCCCAGGGAGGTCAGAAACTGGCCGGAGGGGTTAGGAAGCGGTGAGATCCCTCTTTGATTACGTCAAGCTTCCCCTCTCGTGTCCTAAACTTTCCTCCTTGACGGAGACCTTGATGAGGTTGTCCTGCATATCTGCGCGATAGCGTGGAGGCGACCCCCAAGCCTTCTTGGCCGGCGGCAGTTTGCCCTCGGACTGCGGCTCTAGTGCTAAGCGCCGGCCAAAGCTGCCTCAAGCTGCCCTGAAGCAAGCCCCTTCTTGCACTATCCCATCCCCTTGCTCTTCGCCGACCCCGCCCCAACCTGCTGCCCTTGGACTATGTGGCCTTGAGGGCGGCAGCCCCGGCTTACGGCTACAGGTCTAAGCCAACCAACAATATGCGACTGACGCTGGCCGAGGCAGGCAGCGCGAAGCGTTTGCCACAAAACTTGACAAAGGCTCAGAGTCACATGAGGCCCTTCCATGGACATGAGCAGGCGTCGGCCTCAAGCTGACCGCCTCTGACACTACAAAGCGCTGGGGTGCGAAGATCTTCTGACAGTTGTGCAGTACTGTACCTCTTGCAAGTTTCCTCAGTCCAGCTCGTTCTCTGGTTTTAGCTGCTTTGCCGCTTGCTTGCTGCATTCATTCCCTGAGCCTGGTGCCATGGCTTGTTGGCCAAGGCATTCTGAAGCATACCGTTGCCAGGCCCCACGGCCTTTGCCAAGCGCTGGAGTGAGCTCATAGGCTCACTTGGGCCCCACAGGCTGCACCCATCCCTTACGATCGTTCCTGGAACTGTCGACAAGATTCTGATTTCACCCACGGAGTAGGCCTGCCCTGTCGATCACATCCAAATATCCGGCTTCTCATTCAGCCGAACCGCAACCATTTACATCTGCTTCTTCTTCTCCAGGACTCTTGGCACACGCCATGTCCACTGGATGGAGTGTCCCCGGGGGAAAGCTCGCAGCGCGTCATCAAAGCTCCTGTTCGAGCCACCAATGCCAGCCTTTGATTAATAGCCTACCCCCAACCAAGCAACTCTTCAACTCTTCTGAATAGGGTTGACTACTGTTGAGAAATGTAGAATATCTTAGTGTTGCTGCCTTCTCTGTTGGCGTCTTTTGCCTCGTTTAGTGTTGCGTCCTCCTCTTCTGGCTTTGGGCGGCCAGGCTAAACAGAACAGTATCTAGGGCCATCAAATTTAGTGCTTCATGTGCCGCCGCTCCCCCGCTCTCTCTGGGATAGAATTTACTTGTTCAACCAAACGTCGTGCTTCATGTCCGTCAAAGAAATCATTTTGTGAAGTTCATAGTTGTCATTCTTGGTGAGCTTGCTCAGCTCAAAGCTTGTTCGTTCTTCTCCCCATGGGCAGGCAAGCCAGAATCCTAAATTTCTTTGAGACTGTGTCCTTCCATGTTTCCAACCGACTCCCCCCCCCTGCGAAGAAAACCAACCGCTTTGTTTGAGGGGCATTTGTTGCATGATCCGTGCAAGCCGGGCAAGACACGCTATTTGAGAAGCAAGCCGCGGCAAAACCAAAGCGCAAAAAGCGGTTCCGCCTGAGGTGTCACGTCCATGGAGCCGCCTGGGCGCGGATCCCAAAGCTCCGAAGCTCGTAATCCTCCCGTGTATGTGTAGATCATTGTGCACAACTCGACTCAACATGCCTCCTGGCTCAATGTCATGCTGGTGTGCCACTATGAGATATATATATATACATATAATATAACATAATATAATAGAATATAGATTGCACACATGAACATATTACAAAGACATATGTAGAGGGGTGTCCCAGCAACAAGACCTTAGGCACTGAACTCATGATTGCAATATGCTTTGGATGTGATTACGTATAACTCAAAGGGTCACAAACTAAGAGTCTGTGATTTTGTGATTCCGATTCCGAGGTCCCCTTCCCTTGCCCAACTCCTTTCGAGGGGCAATGGGCAGTGTCTTCACCTTATATACTCGTCGGTGTGTACCTGTAGGACCTCGAACCTTTTGTTTGTTTGCCCATGTCTTTGGGGGACAGCTATATCGCTGTCGGTTACGTGGGGTTACAATCAACGCTGACTGAGCCAGAAGAATGCAACACCGTGTAAAGAACACATTCCAACAGCATAGCTGCGCCCACCACAAACCGAAGAAGCACTGACAAAGTCAGATACCTCAATTCGCAACAAACATGCGCAAGTCAGCCGGAAGATTGCATTTGCAAGCATGATAGCAGTTCTGACGTACGCCCAACATTGCATCTTGCCCTCTGACGATTCTCTTTGCTCAACTAATTCATGGTCAGTTTACAGTGTACAGCATCAGGTTGTGATGCACATTAAGAAATGGCCGGCAACCACCACCTTTGCTGGCTCTAACGGATTTGTTAGACATGCAGGCGGTACTTGCACATTTGACATGTTTTGCTAGGTGCCAGCAAGACAGCATGCTTTTCTTGTGAAATAGCTTTAACAAACAACAAACTGGCCCAGCACCAGTCCCAGCCGAAACAGCAAGGCTCCTGCGGCCGCAAAACACATTTACTCCAAAAGGTTGTCTTCTTCTCTGGAGCTGGTGGGGGTTGCTAGGGAAACCAAGGTAACACCCAATTGGGGCGCCCCAATGGAGACAAATCGAGTTCTGCACCGGTCCCACCCTTCTCCCCAGGGCAGCGGGCCGTTCCGCATGGCGCCGCGACGCCGCTCGGAACCTCATAGGAAGCAGCGGACACGCGCGCGCGCGAGCGCTGGCACCCGAGCTGCCCCAAACGACGGCGCCCTTTCTGGGATGACTCTGTGACATTGAAATGCTTCAAAAAACGGGCAAAAGGCCCCCGATTTGGAGGGAACCAAGCTGGAGGCTCCGCCTTTTCAAGAGAAGCCCAAACGGGCCCACTGAGAGACTGCTCAATGCCCGCGATTTCAGCTCCCGACTCTCGCCCATCCTTGCACCACACCGCATGGAAACCCAAAGAACAGCTTCCAACGGCCTAGCTTGAACAAAGACAGACAAAAGGCAAGGAACCTCCGAACTTCCTTGCACATGTGGCCTTTCCTACTTGCATACTTGCAGAGCTCTTAGCAATGTGTTGGCTCTATAAGTACAGTAATGATTCAAGCCATGCCCTTCCACGACATGCTTGAGTCTTTCTTGCAACCGGGTTGCTTTGGGGCGTCCTTGGCCTTCGGCTTCGGCTTTGGCTTAGGCTCAGCCTGCGCGGGATGCTGTCGGATGATATCCCGATAGAACCAGCCCCAAGATGTATGCTGAATAAATCGATGGTCTTGCCAACAGCATCACCGTGCGCAACCCTTGACAACAACGCCGTACGCACTAGCAACCAATACTTTCAGGAGCTGTCACAAGGGCTCCAAGGGGCTTCCCACAGAAAAAGCTGAATGGAGCCCAAGAATTCCTTGAAAGGCGTGCCTTGGGCTGGCCACCAGCACTGCCTTCACGCCTTGGCCAACACATCGCAAGAACTCTGGGGTTTCCAAGTCAGTGCCCCGAAGCCGAAGTCGCTCTCCGCAGGAAACCAGGGCCACCCACCCTTTGGACACGCGGGGTACTGGGCCTCGGCGAGCGAAAGGAAACAAACACCGGCACAGTAGGGGTGCGTGTGCACCATTCTTACATGGGGATTTCTGTCCACCGACCATCTTTCCGGGTGTATTATATACCCTTATTGACCCAGAAAGCATCGCCGCAATCTGAATACGGGTCAGTGCAGAATATTGGCGGAAAATCAAGCAGGCAATACATATGCAGCGCGTGAACTGTGAAAGGAACCTTGCGCTGAGGAGCATGCAGGAAGGAGGAGGGTACTAGTTATAAATTGTAACATCTCGAGGCATCAACGCCAGCTGCTTCGACGATGAGTTCTCACAAGCTTGCAGAACGAGAGCGGCCAATCGACCGAGCAGGTGGCCTGGGCTCTTAGCCGCTGAGAGCTTTGGAGACGCCTGGCACGGGCTCCGTCAGCAGGAAACCAAATGTCTTGCTCACATCCGCAATGTGTGGCGCATGCCCAAGGGGGGCATTTGCCGATACCTGCATCGTCAGCATCGGCTGATGTCAAGTGACGAAATGGACTGCTTGTGCAGGGCCAGCAAGCCATACAACGGTCAACACATCATAAACACGGGGAAACAAGAGACTGCCTCGCATGAGGCAAATATGCACATGGCCTGCACCTTTGAAGAGCAGCGAACAATTGCAGATTGAGCTAGACAAGTGTTGAGAGGAGATGGATGGGGGCTGGTGGAGGTGGCTGGGTTCTTGCAAAAGCAACGGTTGGCGGTTTTCTTCGCCATGCCACTGGCCTTCGGCTGAACCTTTGGAGCAGCTGCAGGCGGCTTCCTGGTCCGATCGAAAGAAGAGCGGCCGGAGCCCCCAATTTGAGGTTGACTTCTCCGCTTGATGAAAATGAAGCGACCCCCAAGAGAGTGTGCACACCTCACACTTTTATTGGCGAGGTGATCAGATCGAACTAAATCCTGGAGCTCTTGTGGACCATCAAACAGATCAAAGCTGACGATACTCTAGGATAGAATACTTTAGACTCCAACAAAATCTAGGTGAGAGGCAGCCTGTTTGATCTCCGCATATCCCGAAAGCAATGAATGTGTGGAACAACGTGCAGAGCATCAACGTGCAGAGCATCAACGTGCAGAGCATCAACGTGCAGAGCATCAACCAGCAGGCAAGTCTTCAAAAAAAATGGTTACAGGAAGTATGCGCTGGGTAGGTAAGGAGGGAACATCACAACCAAAGACCCCGTTTGGATGGCATAGGAACAACTGGCTGACAACTATAGGCGGAAACAAAACGCAAGCAAGAAGGACACCAATGCGGAACAAAACGGAAACCAATGGGTAATCCACACTTCAAAGGGGTCCGTAGATTTGACACTTTCCCGGAGCCGGCTTCTTGAAGCTCCACTTTGCGGCTCCTTGGCGTTGCCAACCTCGGACTTGTGTGCAAAACTCATCCGAGGCTGACAACAAAGGAGGTACAGCTCAAAATGAGAGAATTTCAGGTTCAGAGCCACCACAGTCCCTGAAGCCAAGTTGAAGACTGCAAATGTGCCCATCTGAAACCACTGTCATCCCTCACCACTGAACCAAGGCCGCTGCCCGCCGGAGGCTGTCGAGCGATTGGCTCGGTCCTGGCAAGGCCGTGAACTCATTGCGTACGTACCTTTACTGGACAAAGCTGAAGAGAAGACCCCTAGGCCAAAGCATTCCAAATGACGCTGAAGCACGCATCAAATGTGCTTAAACAGGAGCGTGATCTTGTCTTCTCCTCCGGACTTCCGACATCTCAGCTCAAGGTTCCAACTGCTTCGCCCATCTCGTCTCAGAATTTAGTCCTTTCAGTGCCTTTTTGGTTTTTGTTGGAGGGTGCGTTGGTTTCTGCCGAGTCCATGCGACTTGGGCTCGAAGCCTTCCCAGGCCAAAGACCCCAGGACCAGCCTCAGGGTTGACGCCGGAAGGTCCTCAGATGCCAACACTTGGCAAGCAGGGGCCATGTTGAGCACCCAGGCAACCACGACTGACATCATTTCTCCACCGTGTCAAGATATGTTTTTCTCAAATAAATCCTCGCATGGATCATAGGCAAAGAGCAAAACATTTAGGGAGTTAAGAAGATGAAGCAGGGACAACAAAATGCGGGCATCTGAGCAATCATGCCTTGACCATTTGCTGAGAGTTGCAATCAGTGCCGAGTGAATTGCTGCCGAATCAGACATGGCATGTGACTATGGTTTAGTCGAATGGGGGCTTTCGCACAAGCTTCTGAACGAACTGCTTGCAACATGTGAAAGGACAACTCCGTACAACAAGTAAGTCGTGCCAACTGCCTGCTAAGTTGGCGCATCGCCTGATTCTGGTTCGTGAAATCAATGATGGATACATTGGCGCACCAAGCGCACCAGCTCTTCAACTTGGATCCGTAGGTGCATCAAAGAAGGTCACTTGACGCTCAACCCCGCTCAAGGCTCAGGTCATTTTTTTTGCAGTTCCAGCGCCGCTGCCGGCAAATCCGGAAACAACGATGCTGCACCATTGCTGGTGTGCAAACCTGTCAGCCAAGCAATGTCAAGGCGAACCTTGTGGATGCGGCACTGCAGCGTGCGGACGGCGTGATCCAGCCGTGCAACTGCAAGTCGAGTCTGCAACTGTTGCACGTGCTCGTACAGATTGTCCAAGCGGGCTTTGCGTAACCTAGTGTTCAGTGTATTTATGTGTCGCGCTCTTTCACAGCCGTCCGAATCCAGCTTCTTATACCGTGACTGGTTACCTTTGTTGTTCTCGCTGCCAACACGCACAGATGCATGGAACGTGGCCGTACGTACATGCTCGGCTGCATTGCGTTTTTGCAAAAGACCAGCTGACACGAGGCGATGCAGAACCAGGCTGGCCTCCCTCCTGGAAATTGAGCAACGATAGTAAGCAGCAGACACCTGATGTACATATAAGCCGCTGCATGCCGAAACGTTCTCCCGCAGGAACGAGCAAATTGCATCAAGTATGGGAGAGTCTCTCTGCGCCAAGTCGAGCACAATTCCGCTACTACAGGACCGAACCTTGATACATCCTTCAGCGTCAAAGAAACCTGCTAGGTACGACCACGAAAGGGGCAGATGAGAATCCATGTTGGGACGAATCTTTTTCACCTTTAAACTTTCCTGGCAAGAGCGACGTTCATTGGGACAGTCCGGCCATTCTGCTGCAATCTGCAATTGCTCCCGCTTCGTGAGACTGAAAATTGCCAAAGAGGCAGCCGCTGACCGTGCTCTGCCTCCATAGACCACCCAACGAAGCATTGGCTGCCTCATCCCTTCACCACTTCTCAGCAAGCAAATAGTTCCACCAAAGCAGCGCAAGAAAAGCAACAACACCTCAGCAGCGGAGGCTCTCTGCCCAACAGTCAGCCTGCAACCGGACAGATCGGTCAGGCCAGACACACATCCATCCCCGTCAAAGAATCCCGCCAAATATGCACGTTTGGACTCAAGTAACGCTTCGGAGGGGTCTTCCTTCCATTGGAGTGGCAGCGCGTAGCTCGCAGCTCCTGCCTCAAAATGCGAAATGCGGGGCCACTTCAATGTTCGCATCGTCTGCAAACGTTTGCTGATGACCTCAAGCTTCTTCAAATGCTGCTTGTGCGGAATGGACGTCTCCACACTCCACTTTGCGGTGCTGCTCGGCAGGCACGCTAAAACTCCTAAAATGGAGCCTGGAGAGAGAAGGAAAACGAGAGGAAACAAACGGGGAAGGCCGGAAGGCAAAGCAGCACTTCGATGGAGCTGCGTGGTGGCCATTTTCTACGATCTCTGAGGCCTCGAGCTGCTTATTGGACTGATCCATCCCCGAGGCGTAACTCCTTTCTTCCTGAAGCCTGCCCTGAGTGCTCCCGTGTATCTGTCAGGAAACCCAAGGGATTGCTAACCACCATTCGGGATGAATTGGAAGAAATGCTTCAGCAATCCTCTGCCTAGTCGCGGATCCACTCCAGCTGGCGACTACCTTCCAAACCTTCCAAAGGGGTTCAAAAGAAGTCCTCTTCATTGCGACAACCCTCTCGACTGAACCAGGCGACGCAGGCGCACTGAGTGTGGGTCTGCTGACTCTCGCGGATTTCGGCGCTGACCTGGGAGTTACGGGTGGTATTCCAGATTTGTGCTCCTCTCCAAAAAAAGCCTCACTCCCACAAATACCAGGTATGCGTATGCCTCGAATCTAAATCAGATGGCTGAGCAAGACACATTTACTGCCAGGGATTGAAGCCCGAACTCGAGGCAGATCCAAGTCAAGCTTGCAGGGCGTCCAGCCTTCTTCTTTGGTCGCCCCACTACGAAATGGACCCACTGCCCCAGTCTGCACATGTTGCCCAGCATCACAAATCACTTTTCTGCTTGGCTCCTCTCGCCGCTCCAAGGACACTAGCGCGAACTCACGTGATCTCCCGATTCCAACGCGTGGCGGTCGCCGGCTCCGCCTGCAAGATTGTCTCTGGATGCGGCCCTCCATTAGTAGCTGACAAGAGCCCCCTAGCAAGGGTGCCAACGTCAACAAGAAGAGCAAATATCCTTGGTTACGGGCAGCACGCTTAAACATGTGGACCCTCAATACGTCACGGGTAGCCAGTGACTACCCCATCCTACGCACTCTGCTCATAACAAACCTTCTGTTGCGGTCTCAACGCAGAAATCGACTTTGCGCCCGCTACCTGTTTTGCCCACTGATGATTTCAATAACAAGCCTTTTGACTCCGAATTTCATTGCCCAGCTTCCGCTGAGCTGCGCTCTCTGACGCGAGGGGAGGCGCCTTCTTTGGCTGTCGGATGTGGTGGCAGTCGTCCTGCCGCTTCGAGGGGTACTTGGTGTAGACTAGCCTGGGCTCAGGTGTGGAAAACGCCCTGTGCAGGACCCCAAACATATCTCAAAAATGCGCCAAAATGCCTCAGCTGGCAGTGCCGGACTTTAACTCAGACGTACGGTTGCAAATCAAGGTCCGCTTCCTAAGCCCAAAGGCAATCAACCAAGGGGCTGCCAAAGCTTTGTCCGCCTTGCTTGAAAGGAGGCCGCGCAGCAATCAAGGTAATACTCCTTAGCTTGCTTGTAATGGACAACACAGGTCTGAGAAGCCGCCCAAAGCCACGTGCCTGTTGGAGAATTGAAGCAGAATTCGGGCTGATCCAACTACGTTTCGTTTCCTGTTCTGTTCAATTGGAACACCGCAATCACGAACGCCACTCTTTCTTCGGCCAAAGCGTCCCACATACGTCTGAATCGCTCCTCGAACTCCTCGAGGCCCTGCCAGTTATTCAACCGACTCTTCCAGGCCCTCAGGGTCTTGGCATAGCTCACCCCGAAGCTTTGCCAGTCTTCCAAGTGCCATCTCTCCTGGAACTGTTGGGTGAAGTGCGACCTCGACAGTTTCGCCTACAAAAGCCCTCCCACGCCTTAAAGCATGCCGAACATGCGGCGTTCCAAGCGTTCAACTGTCTGCGCCTTGCCGTCAAACTACCCGCAGGCGGACCCAGTACGGTAACCCCTCACAACTTAGACGACAACCGCAGGACCTCAACGACTTATACGTTAGCGTGGCTCACTTATGATCCAGGAAAGAAATCTGGCAGGTTCGCCCATTTTGGCTGAGGGGCATTGTCGGAAGCTCGGCTCCCGGAAAAATGTACGTATTCATCCAGCCGCCATGATTCCACTCGCCGTCTCTGCAAAAACCAATGCTGTGAATGAGCATGATGCCGTCATCCTTGAGAAGCTCATGGCACTTCTCGAAGTAGGTCTCGTAGCAGTTTCGGCCAATGTGCTCAAAAATGCCCACTGAATAGATGCGATCGAACTTCTGGCCCGTCATGCTTCTGTAATCTTGCAATCTGATGTCCACCAGGGGGTTATTAAAGTGCTTCTTCGCGTAGGCATGCTGATCCTTGGCTGCGAGAGCATAAGAGTGTCTGTGTCTGTGTGTGTGTGTCTGTGGGTGTGTGTCTGTGTGTATGTGTGTCTGTGTGTGTGTGTGTCTGTGTCTGTGTCTGTGTCTGTGTCTGTGTCGGTGTTGGTGTCCGTGTCTGTGTCCGTGTCTGTGTCTGTGTCTGTGTTTGTGTCTGTGTCTGTGACTGTGTCTGTGTGTGTGTGTGTGTCGGTGTCCGTGTCCGTGTCCGTGTCCGTGTCTGTGTCTGTGTCTGTGTCTTTGTTTGTGTGTGTGTGTGCTGTGTCTGTGCCTGTGTCTGTGTCTGTGCTCGCGTGCGTGCGTGCGTGCGTGTGCAAAACAATTAGTCACGTGTGAACATACGTACGTGTAGACATGCCGGTTCTGTTCAGTCATATATACAACTCCAATTCGGCTGCCAGCTGTTCGGTATCCATGTCCACACTGCAACGTTTGGCAGCCGAGTCGGCAACCTCAACTTGCCGTTTTGTACATCCGAGAGAGTTGGCGCACGCCCAAGCCCCGTCTTAGCACTCACCAACGAGTAGCACTCACCAACGAGTAGGTACACCCTGCGCAGAGCCTTCAACGCCACCGGAACACCGCCGAGATGCCACCAACGCCACAGAGACACCACCGGAAGGGACGCCGCCGTGACTGTATTATATATAAAAAAAAAAAAAAAAAAAAAAAAAAACGGGACACGACTGGGACACCGCAGAAACACCACCCGGAAAACCAAATCAACACCGCCTTCACGTTTTCAACCCCGAGGGCCGAGTGTTGACAAAGAGGCACAGGCACAGGCAAAAGACTCAGACACAGACACAGACACAGACACAGACACAGACACGGACACGGACACGGACACGGACAAGGACACGGACACGGACACGGACACGGACAAGGACACGGACACGGACACAGACACAGACACAGAGACGCAGAGACGCAGAGACGCAGAGACACAGAGACACAGAGACACACAGACACACAGACACACACGCAGACAGTCACAGACAGACACAGACACAGACACAGCACACACACACACACAAACACAGACACAGACACAGGCACAGACACCGACACCGACACCGACACAGACACAGACACAGGCACAGACACGGACACAGACACGGACACGGACACGGACACGGACACAAACACCGACACAGACACAGGCACAGACACACACACACACACACACACCCCACAAACAGACACACACACACAGACACACATACACTCAGACACACACACAGACACAGTCACAGACACAGACACAGACACACACAGACACAGACACAGACACACACAGACACACACACACACACAAAGAACATTTGACCGCAAGCCAAAACAGTCCGACAACGGTGCGTGTGCTTGCACACGCACACAGACACAGGCTCTTAAAATACTTGCATCCTCCCATGTTTGCTTTCCTTCCGAATCATGACACTTTGAAATGAAAGCCCGCAGCAGTTGCAACGGGCACGCCAATCGAATTACGACTGCCTTTCTGCACGCTTTGCAGATCGGGTTCGCCGACCTTGGACAAATCGCCGTTGCTTGCCTCAAGAAATCTCAAGCAAAACCACCAAACGTCCCCATCTAGTAAGTTACTATATTCATTTATGTCCGCCCTTCTCCTGAGTTTCTGAAGATGGGTATGAAATGGGCCCACCATGTTCCGAGTCCGGAGAACGGAACAAGCCGAGGCTCCTCGGACAACGTGACTCCGGTGATCTCCACCCCATACTCCGTGGCGATAAGATCCGCCAGGGCCCCGAAGCCACAGCCCAGCTCCAGGACCTTCATGCCTCATATGGCCATGGGTCAAAATCCAAATCGTACCCAGAGTGAACACCTCAATCCCCACTAAAATAGACTAAAATGGGTAGTGCAGCTACCCCAAAATGGTACCGCCACATTGCGCCGGAAGGGGACAAGAATCCGGGTGGCTGGATGAATTGCTCGGTCTAAAGAATATGAGGAAAAAAACCAAAAAACATCGCATTGTCCTGGAAGTTTAGGAATCTCCACATTCGACCTACGAGGAATCCTGAATTTGAGGATGCCTGGTCTTCACGTCTCGCATGACGGAGCTTGCTTGACTTCAGTGACGGCGACCCAAGGAGGCCAAAAGTACCCGCAAGGGGAAACTATACACTACTATAGCATGCGGTGCTGTGCTTCGTCGGCCAGTCCGTGCAATGCACTCACTCACTCCAATCCTGCCTGGCTTCAGATCCAATTTCTCGGCGACCAGCCGCATTTTGGCCAGCTGCGCTTGCTCGAGCGTCATGCCCGGCGCATGGTAGTATGCGCCGGAGTACCTGGGAGTTGAATATCTGGCATTGGTTCAGCGTGTGAATGGCCTACGCAGTCAAACTCCGCAATTACAATGAACTACCCAAACTCGGTGATCCACAGTGTCTGCCAAAGGCGTGAAGCTAAAGAAATCATCTCAGCACAACCATTAGGAGGAACTCAATGTGGGTAAGTCTTTAAATGGGGGAAGCCTCAAGTGCTAGCTGTTCGTTTGGCTGTCCTTTAGAACGACCCAGAAAGGGTAATTACCCACAACAAAGAGACACACATATTCACAAACAAACAGCGATAGCCATGCCAGCTTGTGCTAATCAGAAAAGGGCTCTGTAACCTGCAGGGCTCAGGTGCTGGATCACCAACAATGTAACAAAGGCGGGGCCGTCAAGCGAGCAAATAAGACAAAGCTTTGGACTTAGCGCCTTTGCTTGGCTCAGAAGCAAACACGATCCCATTGCTTCCAAGGCGCTGCATCGTCGGCCCAAGCATCTGCTCATAGAGCTTCATGGAGATGTCGTAGTGGCTGGCCGTGCTCCAGATCAAGCCATGTAGTTCTGAAAACAACAGTTTGCGGTTTTGTGGGGGAACCTCTGGCTCCTTGATAAAAAAAAAGTATGCCAGTTTCAACAAATCTTACATAAACCAGCGAGGCGCTTGTTCCTTTCATGTTGCCGGCGGTCTTTTTGGCTTGCTTCTGATTGCAACCTGCATCTTCCTTGCCGACGAGACAACGAGACATTGCAGATTCTCGGTTCGTGTGCAACAAAACAACCTAGTTGGTTCGTTGCATGCCCATGTTGAAGAGTAGTGCATCAGCGCACATAGTGCTGCATGTGAAGGGAAACATGCATGGCAAATCAGCAGGGAGCTGTATATCTCTGCCTACATGTCCACATGCAAATTACTATGATTCTCAAACGAAAACACACGCAATTTTGGGTGAAGGTAGCTGTCGCGCAAATCCCCGTTATCTTTGGTCATGTCTGCACTCACAAACATAGATTGTGCCATTCCCTTTCACACTGCGCCCATGCTGATCAACTGGCCTCGCGATGTTCTTCTTGGCCCCCTCCGCGCTTAGGTTGCTGGGGAAAAGCAGCCAGGAGGCCGCACCCAGAGCAGCGCCCAGCAGCAGAGGGAGGCCCAGCAGCCCCAGATCCTTCTTTACCGCCTCTGGGGTTTGATGGAGTCATGCGCAGACTCTTTGGGGGTTCTTCAGAAAGCCGCTGAATACCAACCCTTAAAGTGGGAAGACAAGCGGCTCGTTATCAAGACTGGATTCATGCGGTGGATCGCAAAAAGTCGTGGAAAGTAAACAACACACAAACTCTCTCAAATCAGAAGTGTCGTCTTGCGCTCAACTTGAACATTTGGGACTTGTTTACGGCGATCTTGCAGTTCAATAGTTGCAATTGTGTTGAGACGCAAAACACAGTCCATTGTAATACGCAAAGCACACTTTTCCTCTGGTCATTAGATGCGCGTCGGAATTGTCTGGAACATGCTGTAAATGCTGTTCTTCGCAAACGCTGACGTCAAAATGCTCCTGCCCGCGGATTTTGGGTCTATGGCATCATGCGTGCCGGGCTAGGCTAAACTGCAAGGAGTCGCTTGATGCCTGGTTCCAGGTGATTCCTGCAGCTTGCTTACTGGCCAACACTGGATGATTCCTGGAAAACAGTGCTCCTGCTTCACTTCCTCGTTTGTGTCAATGCACGTTCCTCCTATAGTTGTATACACATCGAAGTCGGTGATTCACTATAGTTGACCTCCTGAACAGCATGCAGCCAGGCGCCTGCCTCACCCCACAGAGGGCAGATGCCCCTTGGCGAACTTGCTTGAGATCCCAACTTCCTTCGGCCGCACACGGCTAGTGTCATGAAATCCCCTACAACCCCACACCCTTAGCCAGCTTGGCCCGTGTGCCCCAACCTGCCTCCAGCTTGATCATTTCGAACATGAACCCCTCCAGGTCGTTGGTCTCCCAAAGGCCCTCCATGTAGCCTGGGATACACGGCGTGTGTTTTGTCGAGTCCTTTTTTTCACCTTGATTTGATGGGCGCCCCTGTTCTGACACATACATGGCCGTGCCCAGCCAGTCTCACTGATAGCTGGTGGCTGCCAGCCACCTTGAAAAGGAGCATTTTTGCTCTTTCTAAAGGCAGGTGTTGAAAATAGAAATGAGCATACCGTCCAGTTCAGAAGGACTTGCTGCTGCTGGTTGCTAGAAGACTTCAATGGTTCTCGGGTGGCAATCGTTTCCCGGCCTCGACTGAAACAAGCACCTCTAAAACGGGGTCCGGCCAGTAACTAGCTCGAGTAACTAGCTCGAACCAGTAACTAGCTTTCAACTACAACGGACGCACAGCGCACACGCAAAAAACAAAAAACTAGTGTCTTGTCTTTTGCTAACAAGCAAAACAACAAAAACCCTGACGGGCGCAAAGCGTGTCAGCCACCTTTGGCCATGGTGCTCTCTCCCAGCCCAAGGTCGCCTTGCACCAGCACCCGCCGGTAGACGCTGGGGTCCTTGACGTACCAAGTGACGCCATCAACGGGCGGGGAGCCTGGCATGCCGTTTGGGGCGTCCACCACTTGGATCTCGGTGTACTTTTGGATGAGCTCCTGTGTGCTTTCCGAATAGGTGTGGTTCTCTGGTTTACTCCCCTTTCTTCCAAGGGTCCAAATGTCTCACTCAACTGCTGCATCCATGTCCCTATCTCCGAAATCATCCGAAATTCCCGTGGCATGTGACCATGTGACCATGAGGCCCCGTTGGTCATGCACTGCCATCAAGCCATCCTCCCCGCGCATCGTCCTTCAGCGCCGCACCCTCGTTGACCTGGCGCACCGTCTCCAGGCCAAGCACCCCGGTAAGCACCGAGGCGGCCAAAGGCAGCAGCACCGAGCCCCCTGAAAGTGGCGTGAAGCGCATCGAAAAACACGTGCCTCTCTGTTTATTTCTTTGCTGTCTGGAGGAGTTTCATGGCTAGCTGCGGACATAGTGTTGCTTGTGCTTCCTTTGTTTCGGCATATTGCTGATACTTCATGTGAGCAGTGGATTTCCTGTTGCATTTGTGGACAAGGTGGCGGAGCTGTGCAACGGGGTTCGCAAGTACCGGACTCTCGCTTTGGAACGACTTTGTTGACGCTTATCTGCCTACAAATTGTTTTAAGGTATACACATTTTCGGGTGCGTAACGGCTTCTTTCCGGTGTAGTCTTGGCAGCTGGAAACCTTGCCTGTGACAAAGGAGGCCCTGGCCGTGGCCGTTTTCATCTGCTTCCTCTCCAGATCCAAGGACCTGCGGCTTCCCCGCAGCGGCACCGGGGCAACGAAGGAGGGCGCTAGCGCGGCCAGCGCGGCCAGCGCGGCCGCGAGGATGGCGACTGCGAGACCACGAGGCCGTGCCATGGCGCCCGAGGGAAGTGGAACGGGGAGCCCTCGGGCGCGGAACAGGGCCAAAGCCAACACGCTTGGCCTGGGTTGGTGCCTGGGAAATGAGAGGATCTTGCCGCAAAAATACAGGGCATGCGGGAATGACTGGGGAGTGGCATGGCGAGCCCAAGCTGCGGGTATCCTGATTTATGACTTGGCGGCTGAAATCCAATGCCCTGAAACGCTGTGAAAAAGCAACAAGACGAGTAGCAAAGCGTGTTGGGTCATGGCCATTGCATGAAATATGTGCGTCCGCATTCCTGCACGCATCATTCCCCTATGAACACAAAACCAGAGCAACACCCATTTGTAATCCAATCGTGTTGTGGTCTTGTGAGGGTAGATATGCTGTCATGTCAAATGAATGCTGTCGTATGCAGCTTGGCGCCGCTGAGGTTACTGCCCTGCGCGCTGGGCTGGGGCGAACTTGGCTTTGGGGACCTGAGGCGGTCTGGACGGGCTACGGATGGTGAAGGTTCTTAAGGTTCACACGATCAGTCCTAGCAGTGGCCATCTGAGCAAAACCCAAGGGATGAACCAGTTGCGGTATGTACCCATTCACAGTCCATGGCTAAGAGACTAGCCAACTGATTGAATATGCCCAAGCCCGGCCATCGGCTATTCAATATTTCGAGGCATGCCATCAACATGTCTTCTTCTTCTTTTTTTTGGGGGGGGGGGGTGAAAGCACAATCACCACACCCCTGGCAAGTGAAGCGTGATGAGCACTAAGAAAATCACTCTGCAACTTTCCCACACCCCTTGCCATTAAAAGGGACGCTTCAGAGGGAGGGACGCTCCAATCTCAAGGTGCGACAATGGGCGCTGCACGACTCTGGGTATTTTAAGTTGTGGGGTGCCGAAAAACAAACGTTTACCTCTGCGCTTGTTGACATGCATAACTGTTCTTAACCAACCTCAACGCAGGCATCTTTTCTGCATTGTGATTGGCGGTCAATTATAATGGCGTTGAATAAGCGGCAACACACCCAAAACCAGTCCCAGATCTTTCTTGCCAAACACCTCGAACGTTCACCCTGGCTTCCGAGTCATTGGCAGCCTTGCTTTGCTGTCCTAGAAAGCGAGCTGAGAAATACAAGCAGTTGAGAACTCAAAGGTCCATGAGTCACCATGAGTTTTGACTCAACAAACTGGCGCTCAATCTGCTATGCATGTCTCAACGGGGGAACGCCTTGTTTAAAAATGTGCAGAACAAATCGCAGCAGGTCAGTATGAAACATGGACCGCAAACATTGGCAAGAAAGCCAAAGGCCTAAGTAGTTCCCCCTCCTTTGACACAAGCCCCATGCCAATGCCAGAAATTGATTTTCTTACGTAAACACCCGTTCTGGCTTTGACATGGCTGGGGCAGGCCATTGACCTGTTTGCCACAGCCTCCTAGCTCCCTGGCACAGCAGTCCTGGCCGCTCGCGAGGCGTCGCTTGCAAACTGGCGAGGCCTAGGCTTGTCGGCGATGCAAACCAATGAAAGTCGTCTCGGTAAAAATCGAGCCGTTGATGCTTCAGAGAAAACAAAGAAGCCATGCGCACGAAAGCCAAGTGCTTGGCTGGTTTTACCCAGTTTTCCCTTCAGTATATAATGCAGAAAGAAAAGTCTCTAATATGCAACACACCTTTCGCCCTCCAATGCAGCAAGTCACAGGGCGGCGACCGCTGCGACCCATGCAAACTGTCTTCTGCCAATTGTTCTCCTTCCTTCCTCTTAAAAGTGGTGACTCCAAACATGCCATCAAGTGTTTGCAGCTGGCCACTATGCTTAGCAATAGTTTTTCATGATTAGACACGCCATTCACTGGATCTTTGTTGGATTTTGGACAATACCATCTTGAGCGTCTCCCCACACTGGCAGATTTGACTGTGATCGAATGGAACACAGGAGTACCAGGGTGCATGATGAGCATGTGAACCACAATGCCAAGTATCCTGGCCCACGGACGACCACTGTATCTGATTTGACAAGCAGCCGGGGCAAGGGATAAATGGCTGGCAGTATGGAGGGCCATAGTGTCTAAAGATGCTTCGTACGGCAATGAGCTTCAGATCGTACCCAAAGTGCAGGACCATTGATTTGAACATCATTCAAGCTCGGCAGCAATCAACAGTAACGCTACCAATGAGTAAGAGAGTGGACCTAATGCCAGAGATATCATAGTGCACATCCGAATCGCGGGATTTAGCAAACAGCAAACAACTCCATGGGCCTGAAAGACGTGAGAACGGCAACCAGCTGCTTGCAACTTCTGCGTCCTTCAGGATAGCACGAAGGCACTAACGAACTCAAACGGCAAGCTGAAATGATGAGAGGGGTAAAACGACAGATTCAGAGACTGGAATCAAGCTGGTTGCCCGGCGTGCATCGATCTGCTCCAACTCTTTCTCCAGAAGTGCCTTGACGCGTGGCACGGAAATGGCATGGGTGCTGCATGAAGAGTTAGCAGGATGTTTGGCCTCTGGGAAACACCTGGCCACGATAGTGTGGGCCGCGCGTCAGAAACACGTCGGCATTCAGCTAAGACTCTCAACTCAGTGAACCAAAAAGTCAGTGGGTGGGCCCACGGCTCTTCAACTGGTTTCCTGCTGCACCAATTTGTGGTTGGGACAGTGCGGCTACGAGTAGCAGGTTGTGATTGTGGTTCAATAGGTCTTGCCCCAAAAGGCACAACTCGAGCAGTCCCCAGCATAGGAGGAAAACGGCCCGGCCTCGGCATCTTCCACCGCCTGGCGACGCAATACGACAGGCCGAGCCCTGGCCGTTTCATTCTTGTGGGTGCCCTTTGGGGGAACCTGGTTGGGTGATCTCACAGATCCCGTGCCCTCACCTCAAATTGGGAGTTGGGCACTTCAACCCGGCATTGCGGCATTGACCAATGCGTGAAACAGGAGAGGAAAGGAACCTCCGCGAGCTGCACAGCCATGGACATGTAAGGAGAGCTGCAAGGCTGTGTGGAAGTGGGCAATCCATGCGTTTCGCTCGGGAGTCATCAAGCTGATCTGAATCGCTTGCTCTCAAGTCTATTCAATCAACAGGGAACGATTGATTTCCTTTTAAATCAGTACCAAACAGGGTGCCCTCAAAACAGACACCCATATGCTGGGAGCTTGCTGGTGATTCCAGGATTCATTCATCCGATCTCCATTGCGTTGCGCCGAGGCTGCTCTTCTCGGGCTGGTGAATGTCAAAAGATTTCCCCCACAGACCCCTAGACCCCAAAGCAAACAGATGGCACTTCATAGGGATGGTCCAGGGTTTGGGACTAGAAGTCTTTGAACATGAAGATCAAACTCTCGTGGAAAGAGACGGCCATGAATAGAGTTCAGGTTTCCGAACTAGGTCCTGGCAAGGCATGCTTGGAAGGCTGGCAAAAGTTGTTTGGGAACCACCTGGCTGGGTTTGCGTTAATTTGCAAACCACTGGGAATTATGCTCATCTTCCTGTACGGGGGCTTAACTTGCCACACACACGCAAACACGCACTGCTACTTGTGACTCTCGTATCGCGGGTTGAACGATCCGGGCAACATCTGAAGAATCTACATCTAGAGAATGCGAATGACTGGCAAAAATGCTGAAGGCTGAAGGCCAGCATACACAAAAGTCCATAATCCCCGTGCAAGTCTAAAGCGAATGCTACAAGGACTACTTATAACAGCCTCCAGCCTGTTCATCTGCCTCACACACATGCATCTGCTGATGTTCCAGCTTGGTCGCATGTCAGCAGTAGCTCTGTCGCTGGCTGCGTGGCAGCATTTCTAACATGGAAGCCTCTGTGGCTGCATTCGCTGGAAAGCATCAATCCGGCCTGCGGCATCTGAAATCACATGGCTCGCAACTAACTTGAACGCCGCGGGCTCATGGGCTTACCCACCCGGCCCTAACAAACTGGCTGTTCTCGCGTGCTTCGCCCTCCCAAAGATCCAGAAGCTGTCTGGTTTGCACACTGTGGCATCATTCGCTGAACCCGTCTTTGCTGCTGGAGACTGTTCTTGCCTGCCAGCTTGGCTTGCAGCTCATGCTGTCTGCAACCCTTGGACTGCAATCACCGAAGATGGCGTAAAGCATATTATCAACATTTACCACATCACGGCGCGTGTCACAGGTTAGAGTTACGCAGCAATGGATGCGCACCCTGCCATGGCATCATGAGTCTCACAACTCCACAAAGATTGGCTCAAACGTCCAAATGTTCAACCGCTAGAAAGGCGATTGAGCAACGATCACATGCCCTAAGAGTACGTGCTGACGCTCTGACCCCACATAGCTCTGATCAACAAATTAACCAACGCTCGTTCAAAACCTTCACAAAAGCCCCAGTCGGGGCCTGAAGAAAGCATGGCTCACCCTGCCAGGTCTTATTTGGAGCCTTCTCTTGTTGACCGACGCATCGCTCGATCTCTTTTTTTGAAACTTTTTCACAACCGGCCGGGCGCTTTCATCCTATTTCAGTCGCGGGCTGGTGAGTTGCGCCTGTGGTCAATATGCTGAAAACATAAGTCGTTGCACCTCAGTGGCCTCAGCTCTGTGCATTTTGCCAAAGAAAGGCTGCGAAACAACATTGGGCAGCGCTGGCTCAGGTGCGGCACATTGCCACTGGTCGGCTCTCAGGCGTTGATCTTGCACCCGTGTGGCATGCGCCTTGCTCACTCCGAGCCGCGGGCGACTTGGCTTCAGGAGGTTTTCTGCGCGCGTTTTGCAGCTCCTGGCAAACGCGCAGTGTTACTTCAAGCCAAAGTACGGAACGCACCATCCGAGCTTCTCCCTGAATCCCACATCTCGCCTGTCAACTGCACGACCGCCTGTCTCAGACTCAACAATCCGTGGTCAACAATCCAAAGGCCGAATATCCTCACCTATTAATGGCTGGCAGTGTCCCCTGCTGGTCTTGGTATACCTGGTTCGGCTTTGATTGTTGCGCACTTGTACGTTGGGGGCGGCTTGTTCTATCTTTTGGGACCATGAGTCCAAAAGCGAAATCGAGCTTGAAACAAACACAGGTCTAGCTACCCAAGTTGTGACTTGTCTCCCGGTACATCTCGGAAATCTAATTCCACCACGGTCTCTTGCCTCAGACATGGAAGGAATCATCCACCATTCAACTTACATCGGCCCGTGTCATGCTTGATGGTGCAACCTTTTGGGGGAACCTTCTGGATTTGGGTTTGCTTCAAATGGAAGCTAGGGCCAGTCGTTGTAACCAAAGCTCAAGCATAGCAGTTGGTTCCTGCAAAACGAACCCCTTGCGCAATAGGTTCCTTGAGTTTCCGTTTGAATGCGCAGCTGCCTTTCACCGCAGGGGGACCAGAGCCGACCTGCCTATCCAGTCCATCCAAGCTATGGGAAGCTGGTCTGACGTGGAAGTCGCTGTGCATTTGTTGAGATGTAACCGTTTCCAGCTAGAGGGAAGCCAGTGTCTCGCCAGCTGAACCCGTCGTACTCGAAATCTACCAAGCTGAACCCGATCCAACTCGAGGATTAGAATTCTCCTCGGGCGTCTAAGTGTGTTTGTATTTGCGCTTGCTTGTTTGTCTGTTTTTGTCTGTGTTTTCGTCAGCGTGTGTTTGTGTATGTGTGTTGGTCTCTGGGTTGATCAAAAACTCAAACAAACCCAAACGAAGCCAAAAGGCCCAACCAAGACACAGGGCTACCCGAGGGTCCCTGGATGGGGTGAACACACTTAGACGCCCGAGGAGAATTCTAATCCTCGAGTTGGATCGGGTTCAGCTTGGTAGATTTCGAGTACGACGGGTTCAGCTGGCGAGACACTGGCTTCCCTCTAGCTGGAAACGGTTACATCCTCAACAAAAGCACAGCGAGAAAACCAAAGGGTTAGAAGGGCTTTGCGCTACAAGTACTGGTAAAAGTGGTTGATCAGATCGCTCATCCCATACCTTCGCTATCCCATACCCTTGTTGGACTGGATAGGCAGATCGGCTCCAGTCCCGCTGCGGTGAAACTGTTAGTCTCTGGGTTGATCAGAGATCCGCGCACACACACACAAGCACACAAACGCGCAATCACACGCGCACACACACACACACACACAGAAGCACACACGGGACTCTAGGATAAGACATGAGAGTTCACCCACCTGTGTCTCGTCCAATTATTGGCCAAGCCAAGAGACGGTGATTATGAATCTATGCTTCGCTGTCTTTTTATGTTGTTTGTCTTTGAAGTGTTGGCAATCCGATGTGACAAGAGAAAGAGAAAGACATGTTATCAGGTTTTATGTTTTTCCAGCCGGTATGCTGCACTTATCTGATCCATCTTTCGGCCGATATCTGTCTTTCATATCAAATAGAGCGAATGGAACAGGACAAAATGTAAACAAAAAAAATAGATTTGTTCTGTCCCATATTTTGTAAGTTTATGTAGCTCGACTTAATCTCCAAACATACTCGCAAGTTAATGAATGATTATGATTACACGCTTATGTTGGGCATATCTATATTTCTCAAATTATGAATCTGCATTAGTTCGAAAGGGTTGGAAAGGTTAGGAGACTATACGTCCATTCATATCTGTGCACCTTCATATTGCTTGTCTCCTTATCCATAAGAAAGCTATTGATTTGTCTGTCGCCATGTCTCTTCTTCTTTACATGTGTCTATCGTTTATGTGGGCCCCAGGCTGGAGAAGCGATTGGCTATGGTTCCGCATCGCCGGCACAGGGCGGCAGCCCTTTTATAAACACTTGTCCAACCCCCCCCCCCTCCAATGAACTCTTGCTGGTTGGACTGGCTGCCCGACGCCCAAATGCCAAAAGAAGAGGCAGCCAGGAGGCAGCAATACTAAGCAATAGGAAACGTTACAGTAAAGCGGAGGCAGCAGCACTAAGCAACCAGAAAGAGTTACAGGAAGCAAAGGACTGGAGAAGGACAGAAGAAGCAGTAATACTAAACAATAGGAATCAGTTCTACATCAAAGAAAGTTCACCAAACAACTCTGTTCGGGAGAATTCCTTGTTCGGGGCCGGGGTGGGGGTGGGGTCATGCCATTCTATGGCTCGAACAGACCGGTTAAATGCGCGTGTCCCACGATCTCCGACTGAGTGAAGAGCATCCGTGTTGCGAACCAAGCTGGTGCCCTCAGCCGCGAGTCATGTCACCGATTGGAGCGCCGATTCGTTGAGAGCGAACCGGCACTCCAATCGGTGCCAGGACGGGCGCGGGCAGCCACTCGAACCTGGGCTTCAACAACTCCATATCCCGAAGGAAACCCAAACAAAAATTAACGCCTGGTTGATCCGTTGATTTTTTCGACAGGGTGTCCTATTGTAGAGGGGGGTTTGGGAAACACCCCCCCCCCCCACTCCTCGCCCTCAAGTCTTGTCAGGCCGCAGGAGATCCGTTGAAGTCTGGAGCTGCCAATAGGCATCAAAGGCCATCATTGGCATCGGAGCAATGAGGCTGCATATAGAGCTTGGTTCCATGCAGGCAGCGCCACGTGCTGCCTGCATGGAACCCAGCTCTATATCTACCCTTCAAACTTGAGCCGATGCTCTGCAGCATATCCACAAGGTTGTAAGCAACACCTGTTCAAACCAGCAAAAAATGCACATGCCTTTTTCGAGGGCATCGTTCTTTAAGATCCCAGTGTTGGCATTAGCCCCATGATACAGACCTGAAGTCGCCCATTGCAAGTCTAAAGCGAATGCTTACAAGGACGAGTTGTAACAGCCTCAATCAAGCCTGTTTATGTACCTCACATGCATCAGCATGGTCGCATGTCAGCGGTAGCTCTGTCGCTGGCTGCGTGGCAGCATTTCTAACATGGAAGCCTCTGTGTGGCTGCGTTCGCTGGAAAGCATCAAGTCGGCCTGCGGCATCTGAAATCACATGGCTCGCAACTGCTTACCTCGCCAAACTGACTGTTTTCGCGTGCTTCGCCCTCCGGATAATTATCCAGAAGCTGTTCGGTTTGCACACTGTGGCAGCTGACCCCGTCTTTGCTGCTCGAGACGTTTCTTGCCGGCCAGCTTGGCTTGCAGCTCATGCTTTCCGCAACCCTTGGGCTGCAAGCATCGAAGAGGGTATTAAACATGTCAACATTCCACCACATCACGGTGTGTGTGTGTGTGTGTCGCAGTTTAGAGTTACTCAGCAGGGATTGCAGCCAACGGATGCGTACCCTTGCCGTGGCATCATGAGTCTCACAAATCCAAAAACCCTCTACACAAAGATTGGTCCAAATGTTAGCAACGATCGCATGGCCTACGAGTGCGGGCGAGCCACATAGCTTTGACCCCACATAGCTCTGATCGACAAATTAACCAACGCTCGTTCAAAACCTTCACAAAAGCCCCAGTCGGGGCCTGAAGAAAGCATCTTCCGCAGATGGCAGCACGAACCCGTAGCAATCTGCCCTGAGAGCGGGGTGACAGCAAAACAACCCGGTTGAAAGGCATTGAAACTAAGTGCTGGGCTCATTTGTATCGTGAAGACTTGCTGACATCTTCTCTTCTTTCACCCAGCCCCCGTCCTGCAAAGTCAAGCTCAGACACGGCGCAGGAAGGGCAAGGCGGGAGAGTGGGTTTGACAGGCAAAGCTCTCCTTGTGGCTGTACATGTCGATTTCATCTGCATCACACGTGCGAGGACAGTCCCAAACAACACCGGACCCGCCAACCCGCTTCTAAGCGCATGGCTAGGTCGTCCACCTGATATAGCCAACCAAAAGCGTGAACCACCACTCCCGAACACAGAAAAGAACTGAGGCAAGCCCTCGCTAAGTGAAGCAACTGAGGCGGGGACATTGTAGCAATTTTGAACGGATTGCCCGTCAATTCAAACTGTTCGCCGTCCTCGAACTTCACAAGCGCTGGAATTCACTTCATGTGGAAGTTCGGCAAGTGTTCAAACAGGATCCGAACAAAATCATCCGCTTGTCTTTGAGAATGAATTGCCTTCAACATGGACATGAATGCGCTGCCTACGTCAAAGAACTGGCGGTCCTTGCTTGGCTGGAGCTGACGGACCCAAACAGCTGGAAGTGCTGAGGCAGCGCCTTGAAGGCTGAAGGGCTCAGAAAAGGCGAGTGTCCTCTTCACGTCGTCGTTGAACAGACTCAGGCCTGAGAGCAACTCTGCCAACTCTGCTCACACATGCCAGCATCGGATGGAATCCCAGGAACGATGCCAAGCCACTGTGGAGCATCAGCGTGTTGCAACTTGAGACAACAAACTGCAACGATTTGCCATGATGCCCGGCTGAAAACTTCTTTGCAACGATGGCGTCCATTCATCGAATATCCTCTCAAAGGCTCTGTTCATCACTCAGCCCCAGACGGGTGCTCCAGCGCGCGCTCTGTGATTCGCCTTGTGGTTCGGAATCGGGGAGAGGTGGGTGCCAGTTGTCAATGTGATTAAGCTGTTTGGCATGTCAACTTCTATGTCATGATGGCTTCGTGTACGTGCTCTTGCTGGGTTTCCTTTTTAGCAACGGACCCAAGTTCAGAACCTGCTTGCCTACTGTTTGCTCTCTAAAGGCAAAATATGCCATGGGGCGATGGTCTTTGCAACATGATCTGCTTTCCAGCCCCCTGTCCACCAGTAAGCCCAGCAGATTGAAAATAGGGGCCAAGAGAAGCAACCGACGCAGCGATCGCTCGATCTCCTTTTTGAAACAAAGTAATCTGCGGGCTGAGCGCGTCAATCTCACGTTCTCCTGCCTGGCAAGTTTCGCCTGTCCTGGTCTATGCGCTTGAAACATAAGCCGTTGAACTCATACTCTTCTGCGCTTCGTGTGGTGCTGCTTTCGATGAGAATATGTGTAGTTGAAACAAGCAACAGCGAGCTGCAGTCGTGGCTTGGCGGAGGTGTTGCATGTGTTGCCAGGCCACACAAGCGCTAGCTTGCCAGGCGCTGCAGCGCCCTCTTATATTGTATCCGATTGAGCATTCAAAGGCGCTCACTGGCGCTCGCTGCGCCTCGATGAGCCTGGCACGCGCAATCTCAGAAACCTCTTTGGAGTTACCTGCCCGCCTCGCACTCGCATGTGTAGCAGGGTTGAGGCTCCGCGAATTCGTACCTTGGACACGGAAATGTCTCTGAAAGCAACGTTCCCCCCCACCCCCGGCATGCACTGATTCATGAATGCCCCTCAAACATTGCGTTTCCTTTTGTGTTTCTTTTTTGCTGGGGGGGGGGGCCGGCGAAGCTTTGTTCCGGGTGGGCCGCAAAAGAGAATCATCAGGGTGGGAATATAAGAAGGGCTACGTAAGTTAATTTAAGCCCCAAGACCGATTTTGCTTGTTTGGCCTGGCTGCCACAAGCCGAACAAAAATAAGAACAAGCAGTCTTTGATCCGAGCAAGCTCACAAAACATGAAAAATATGACCTTCCCCGCTAGTACTATTTTCTAATAACAACCTTTGCTTACACAAATCAAACATCTGTCCCGAAAGCCGGTGGCGCATCAAAGGCCCGGATCCTAAAGAACAACTTTATTTTGCGCCCTGCTAATAAGTTTTCCTGTTTGGCCACGGCAGGGCCCAGATCCTCACTAAACACTTTGTCCGCCCCCCCCAAATGAACTCTTTCTGGTTGGACTGGCTGCCCAAAGCCCAAAGGAAGAGACAGCCAGGCCAGGAAGCAGCAATACTTTGAATAGGAACAAGCAGATAAAAGAAGATCAGAAGGCAACAATACTAAGCAATAGGAAGCGTGACCGAAAAAAAGTGAAGGGTGAAGGCTCCAGTACAAAGCACGAGAAACGAGTCCTAAACAATAAGCAAGAGTCACAGGAGGGGACCGGAGAAGAAAAGAAGAGGCAGCAATATTATATACACGTAGGAAAGAGTCCCGAGATAGGGAAAAAGGGCGCAGCAATACTGAGCAATTCTACATCAAAGAATATTTGCCAAACAACTCTATTCAGGAAAATTCCTTGTTTGGGGCGGTTGGGGGGGGGGGGTTATGCCACTAAATGGCTCAGGCGCTTAAGAACATCCGGGTTGTGAACCAAGCTCGCGCCATCAGCCGAGAGTCATTTGGCCTTAGCGAAGAGGCACTCCAATCGGTGCCAGCACCGGACGTGGCCGCGGACGCGGCTGGAGGGAAGATGCCGGCGCTGGCGCTGGCAGGGTGCCAAGCAGGACGGGCGCGGGCAGCCACTCGAACCTGGGCTTCAACAACTCCATATCCCGAAGGAAACCCAAACAACAATTAACGCCTGGTTGATCGGTTGATTCTTTTGCAGAATCTCCCATTGTAGAGGGGGTTTTGGGAAACACCCCCACTCCTCGCCCTCAACTCTTACCAGGCCGCAAGAGCTCCGTTGAGCGGAGCTGCCAATAGGCGTCAAAGGCCGTCATTGGCAACGGAGCAGGTGCTGGTGCTGCCATGGAACCAGCTCTATATGTAGCCTTTAAACTTGAGCCAGTGCCTTGCAGCATATCCTCAAGGTTTTGAGTTCAAACTAGTGTGCCTTTTTCGGGTTCAGCATTTTTTTAAGATCCCCGGTTTGGCACTCCCCCATGAAATAGACCCAAGCTTCACTGAGAAGTCAAGGTCCGGACAGCCTGGGGTCGTAGCGCGTGAGCCGGTCGAGCAGTCCACGCCATCTGCACCCACCTGAAGCACAAAAAGCCTTGGGTGAGAAAATATGCGCTCCTTTGAACAAAATGGATGGCAAATTGTCACAACCTTGAACCAATGCCAATCATGTTCAACCCAACTGACCTATGCAATTGAACAATCCAATTGTCATGCCCCCCATATTTGTGTTTGCTTGTTTGTCTGTTTTTGTCTGTGTTTTCGTCAGCGTGTGTTTGTGTATGTGTGTTGGTCTCTGGGTTGATCAAAAACTCAAACAAACCCAAACGAAGCCAAAAGGCCCAACCAAGACACAGGGCTACCCGAGGGTCCCTGGATGGGGTGAACACACTTAGACGCCCGAGGAGAATTCTAATCCTCGAGTTGGATCGGGTTCAGCTTGGTAGATTTCGAGTACGACGGGTTCAGCTGGCGAGACACTGGCTTCCCTCTAGCTGGAAACGGTTACATCCTCAACAAAAGCACAGCGAGAAAACCAAAGGGTTAGAAGGGCTTTAGTCCCAAACAAGAACGGACCCGCCAACCCGCTTCTGAGCGCATGGCTTCTTTGAGGTCGTCCACCTGATATAGCCAACCAAAAGCGTGAACCACCACTCCCGAACACAGAGAAGAACTGAGGCAATCCCTCGCTAAGTGAAGCAACTGAGGCGGGGACATCTCTGACACTTGCAGTAATTTTGAACGGATTGCCCGTCAATTCAAACTGTTCGCCGTCCTCGAACTTCACAAGCGCTGGAATTCACTTCATGTGGAAGTTCGGCAAGTGTTCAAACAGGATCCGAACAAAATCATCCGCTTGTCTTTGAGAATGAATTGCCTTCAACATGGACATGAATGCGCTGCCTACGTCAAAGAACTGGCGGTCCTTGCTTGGCTGGAGCTGACGGACCCAAACAGCTGGAAGTGCTGAGGCAGCGCCTTGAAGGCTGAAGGGCTCAGAAAAGGCGAGTGTCCTCTTCACGTCGTCGTTGAACAGACTCAGGCCTGAGAGCAACTCTGCCAACTCTGCTCACACATGCCAGCATCGGATGGAATCCCAGGAACGATGCCAAGCCACTGTGGGAGCATCAGCGTGTTGCAACTTGACACAACAAAAACTGCAATTTGCCATGGATGCCGCGGCTGAAAACTTTTTCAATAAGGCGTCCATTCATCATCGATATCCTCTCAGGCTCTGTATCATATCTCATCCCCGAGAGGGGGCAGCAGCGCGCGCTCTGTGATTCGCCTTGTGGTTCGGAATCGGGGAGAGGTGGGTGCCAGTTGTCAATGTGATTAAGCTGTTTGGCATGTCAACTTCTATGTCATGATGGCTTCGTGTACGTGCTCTTGCTGGGTTTCCTTTTTAGCAACGGACCCGAGTTCAGAACCTGCTTGCCTACTGTTTGCTCTCTAAAGGCAAAATATGCCATGGCGGCGATGGTCTTTGCAACATGATCTGCTTTCCAGCACCCCTGTCCACCAGTAAGCCCAGCAGATTGAAAATAGGGGCCAAGAGAAGCAACCGACGCAGCGATCGCTCGATCTCCTTTTTTGAAACAAAGTAATCTGCGGGCTGAGCGCGTCGATCTCACGTTCTCCTGCCTGGCAAGTTTCGCCTGTCCTGGTCTATGCGCTTGAAACATAAGCCGTTGAACTCATACTCTTCTGCGCTTCGTGTGGTGCTGCTTTCGATGAGAATATGCGTAGTTAAAACAAGCAACAGCGAGCTGCAGTCGTGGCTTGGCGGAGGTGTTGCATGTGTTGCCAGGCCACACAAGCGCTAGCTTGCCAGGCGCTGCAGCGCCCTCTTATATTGTATCCGATTGAGCATTCAAAGGCGCTCACTGGCGCTCGCTGCGCCTCGATGAGCCTGGCACGCGCAATCTCAGAAACCTCTTTGGAGTTACCTGCCCGCCTCGCACTCGCATGTGTAGCAGGGATTGAGGCTCCGCGAATTCGTACCTTGGACACGGAAATGTCTCTGAAAGCAACGTTCCCCCCCACCCCCGGCATGCACTGATTCATGAATGCCCCTCAAACATTGCGTTTCCTTTTGTGTTTCTTTTTTGCTGGGGGGGGGGGGCCGGCGAAGCTTTGTTCCGGGTGGGCCGCAAAAGAGAATCATCAGGGTGGGAATATAAGAAGGGCTACGTAAGTTAATTTAAGCCCCAAGACCGATTTTGCTTGTTTGGCCTGGCTGCCACAAGCCGAACAAAAATAAGAACAAGCAGTCTTTGATCCGAGCAAGCTCACAAAACATGAAAAATATGACCTTCCCCGCTAGTACTATTTTCTAATAACAACCTTTGCTTACACAAATCAAACATCTGTCCCGAAAGCGGGTGGCGCATCAAAGGCCCGGATCCTAAAGAACAACTTTATTTTGCGCCCTGCTAATAAGTTTTCCTGTTTGGCCACGGCAAGGCCCAGATCCTCAATAAACACTTTGTCCGCCCCCCCCAAATGAACTCTTTCTGGTTGGACTGGCTGCCCAAAGCCCAAAGGAAGAGACAGCCAGGCCAGGAAGCAGCAGTACTTTGAATAGGAACAAGCAAATAAAAGAAGATCAGAAGGCAACAATACTAAGCAATAGGAAGCGTGACCGAAAAAAAGTGAAGGGTGAAGGCTCCAGTACTAAGCACGAGAAACGAGTCCTAAACAATAAGCAAGAGTCACAGGAGGGGACCGGAGAAGAAAAGAAGAGGCAGCAATATTATATACACGTAGGAAAGAGTCCCGAGATAGGGAAAAAGGGCGCAGCAATACTGAGCAATTCTACATCAAAGAATATTTGCCAAACAACTCTATTCAGGAAAATTCCTTGTTTGGGGCGGTTGGGGGGGGGGTTATGCCACTAAATGGCTCAGGCGCTTAAGAACATCCGGGTTGTGAACCAAGCTCGCGCCATCAGCCGAGAGTCATTTGGCCTTAGCGAAGAGGCACTCCAATCGGTGCCAGCACCGGACGTGGCCGCGGACGCGGCTGGAGGGAAGATGCCGGCGCTGGCGCTGGCAGGGTGCCAAGCAGGACGGGCGCGGGCAGCCACTCGAACCTGGGCTTCAACAACTCCATATCCCGAAGGAAACCCAAACAACAATTAACGCCTGGTTGATCGGTTGATTCTTTTGCAGAATCTCCCACTGTAGAGGGGGTTTTGGGAAACACCACTCCTCGCCCTCAACTCTTACCAGGCCGCAAGAGCTCCGTTGAGCGGAGCTGCCAATAGGCGTCAAAGGCCGTCATTGGCAACGGAGCAGGTGCTGGTGCTGCCATGGAACCAGCTCTATATGTAGCCTTTAAACTTGAGCCAGTGCCTTGCAGCATATCCTCAAGGTTTTGAGTTCAAACTAGTGTGCCTTTTTCGGGTTCAGCATTTTTTTAAGATCCCCGGTTTGGCACTCCCCCATGAAATAGACCCAAGCTTCACTGAGAAGTCAAGGTCCGGACAGCCTGGGGTCGTAGCGCGTGAGCCGGTCGAGCAGTCCACGCCATCTGCACCCACCTGAAGCACAAAAAGCCTTGGGTGAGAAAATATGCGCTCCTTTGAACAAAATGGATGGCAAATTGTCACAACCTTGAACCAATGCCAATCATGTTCAACCCAACTGACCTATGCAATTGAACAATCCAATTGTCATGCCCCCCATATTTGTGTTTGCTTGTTTGTCTGTTTTTGTCTGTGTTTTCGTCAGCGTGTGTTTGTGTATGTGTGTTGGTCTCTGGGTTGATCAAAAACTCAAACAAACCCAAACGAAGCCAAAAGGCCAAACCAAGACACAGGGCTACCCGAAAGTCCCTGGATGGGGTGAACACACTTAGACGCCCGAGGAGAATTCTAATCCTCGAGTTGGATCGGGTTCAGCTTGGTAGATTTCGAGTACGACGGGTTCAGCTGGCGAGACACTGGCTTCCCTCTAGCTGGAAACGGTTACATCCTCAACAAAAGCACAGCGAGAAAACCAAAGGGTTAGAAGGGCTTTAGTCCCAAACAAGAACGGACCCGCCAACCCGCTTCTGAGCGCATGGCTTCTTTGAGGTCGTCCACCTGATATAGCCAACCAAAAGCGTGAACCACCACTCCCGAACACAGAGAAGAACTGCGGCAATCCCTCGCTAAGTGAAGCAACTGAGGCGGGGACATCTCTGACACTTGCAGTAATTTTGAACGGATTGCCCGTCAATTCAAACTGTTCGCCGTCCTCGAACTTCACAAGCGCTGGAATTCACTTCATGTGGAAGTTCGGCAAGTGTTCAAACAGGATCCGAACAAAATCATCCGCTTGTCTTTGAGAATGAATTGCCTTCAACATGGACATGAATGCGCTGCCTACGTCAAAGAACTGGCGGTCCTTGCTTGGCTGGAGCTGACGGACCCAAACAGCTGGAAGTGCTGAGGCAGCGCCTTGAAGGCTGAAGGGCTCAGAAAAGGCGAGTGTCCTCTTCACGTCGTCGTTGAACAGACTCAGGCCTGAGAGCAACTCTGCCAACTCTGCTCACACATGCCAGCATCGGATGGAATCCCAGGAACGATGCCAAGCCACTGTGGGAGCATCAGCGTGTTGCAACTTGACACAACAAACTGCAACGATTTGCCATGATGCCCGGCTGAAAACTTCTTTGCAACGATGGCGTCCATTCATCGAATATCCTCTCAAAGGCTCTGTTCATCACTCAGCCCCAGACGGGTGCTCCAGCGCGCGCTCTGTGATTCGCCTTGTGGTTCGGAATCGGGGAGAGGTGGGTGCCAGTTGTCAATGTGACTAAGCTGTTTGGCATGTCAACTTCTATGTCATGATGGCTTCGTGTACGTGCTCTTGCTGGGTTTCCTTTTTAGCAACGGACCCAAGTTCAGAACCTGCTTGCCTACTGTTTGCTCTCTAAAGGCAAAATATGCCATGGCGGCGATGGTCTTTGCAACATGATCTGCTTTCCAGCACCCCTGTCCACCAGTAAGCCCAGCAGATTGAAAATAGGGGCCAAGAGAAGCAACCGACGCAGCGATCGCTCGATCTCCTTTTTTGAAACAAAGTAATCTGCGGGCTGAGCGCGTCGATCTCACGTTCTCCTGCCTGGCAAGTTTCGCCTGTCCTGGTCTATGCGCTTGAAACATAAGCCGTTGAACTCATACTCTTCTGCGCTTCGTGTGGTGCTGCTTTCGATGAGAATATGCGTAGTTAAAACAAGCAACAGCGAGCTGCAGTCGTGGCTTGGCGGAGGTGTTGCATGTGTTGCCAGGCCACACAAGCGCTAGCTTGCCAGGCGCTGCAGCGCCCTCTTATATTGTATCCGATTGAGCATTCAAAGGCGCTCACTGGCGCTCACTGGCGCTCGCTGCGCCTCGATGAGCCTGGCACGCGCAATCTCAGAAACCTCTTTGCAGTTACCTGCCCGCCTCGCACTCGCATGTGTAGCAGGGATTGAGGCTCCGCGAATTCGTACCTTGGACACGGAAATGTCTCTGAAAGCAACGTTCCCCCCCACCCCCGGCATGCACTGATTCATGAATGCCCCTCAAACATTGCGTTTCCTTTTTTTCCCCCAACAGCTGAAGGCTTTGGGGTCTCAGCCCAGATAGGCTCCGGGGTGGTTCGGGGCGACACTGAGCCAAGGTTCCACCAGGGTTCCACCAGGGGTTCCACCAAGGTTCCACCAGGCCTCCACCACGGTTCCACCAGGGTTCCACCAGGGTTCCACCAGGATTCCACCAGGGTTCCACCAGGTTCTGCAAGGGCGGGGTGGTCTGGGGTGGTTTGAGGTAAGGTTCCACGAGGGTTTCACCAGGGTTCCACCAATTTCTTCGAGGACTGCGGGTTTGAGGAAGGTTTCACGAGGGTTCCGCCAGGGTTCCACCAGGGTTCCAGGCTGCGGGGTGGTCTGGGTGGTTTGAGGTAAGGTTCCACGAAAATTCCACCAAGGTTCCAGCAATTTCTTCGAGGGCTGGGGTGGTCTGGTTTGAGGAAGGTTCTACGAGGGTTCCACCAGATTTCCACCAGAATTCTGCCAGAGTTTCACCAGGTTCTGCGAGGGCTGCAGGGTGGTCCGAGGTGGTTTGAGGTAAGGTTCCACGAGCGTTCGAGGGCTCCACCAGGGTTCCACCAATTTCTTCGAGGGTGCGGCGTGGTCCGGGGAACTTTCCACGAGGGTTCCACCAGGGTTTCACCAGGGTTCCACCAGCGGTCCGGGCTGGTTTGAGGTAATGTTGCATGAGAATTCCACCAGAATTCCACGCAAGGTAAGGTTCCATTCCAGCACGGTTCTAGCAGGGTCCCACGAGGTTCTGCGAGGGCTGCGGGGTGGTCCTTGAGGTAAGGTTGTATGAGGGTTTCAGGGTTCCACAAGATTCTGCGAGGGCTGTGGGCCCTGAGGTTTGACAGGGTTCCACAAAGCTCTGCAAGGATTCCACCGGGTTCCACAAGGCCCCAAAGGGTGTGTCGTGCGCCCGTGGTCTGAAAAGCCATCGGATCAAGATCGCTTTGCTCATGGGCGGAACACTAAGCAAAACCGAATTCAATAGTTTTTAGCACACTTTCACTGTTTTGTGACTTGCTCACTTGCTCGGGCAAATGTTGGCTTTGTGGCAAATCAGATCACGTCGCTGCGGAACTCACGGTGCAGCAGAGTAACTGCTTGGCATTGCTGCTTGGTGGGCTTTTGGGCGGTTTCCGCGGTTCGGGGCCCGATTGCACTGTCGGATTGCACCGTTTGGGCCCGATCGGCCCCGATTGCGCCATCGCGCCCCGATCGGGGCCCAACTCAGTCGGGCCCCGTCAATTGTACCAAGCTGGCATCGCCTAGTTTTGCTATAGATACAATTGCAATCCGCATACTAAGGCAAACCGGCGTTGAGCTACAATATGCACTGTCGGGCCCCGATCGGGCCCTGATTGCACCGTCGGGCCCCGATCGGGCCCCGATCGGGCGATCGGGCCCCGATTGCGCCGTCGGGCCCCGATCGGGTCCCGATTGCGCCGTCGGGCCCCGATCGGGGCCCGACTCAGTCGGGCCCCGTCAATTGTACTAGGCTGGCATCGCCTGGTTTTGCTATACCTGGAGATTCATTCTCCGGCCTTTTCCTAGGCGTTTTAGTTTCCTGGTAGTTTTGGGCGTGTTGGGCGTTCTAGGTGGTTTCTAGGAGTTTCGCGCGACTCCCGAGCCCAAAAAGCGTCTTTTTCTGATTTGCGGGCGTTTGCGGGGTTTTGCGGGCGATTGCGGTTTGCGGGCGTTTTGCGGGTAATCCTGGGCGGGGAGAACGTGAAACCGTACCAATTCTGAAATTTCACAAACATATAGGAGCTTTTGTAGTTTTTGGCGACTTCACGAAAAAAACATCGATATTTACGAAAAGCAAGTCAAAGCCGAGAACTACCAGGAAACTCATGGAGAATGAATCTCCAGGTAGATACAGTTGCAATCCGCATGCTAAGGAAAACCGGCGTTGAGCTATAATATGGGTGGCTGGCGTTGCACCACGGGACGATCGGGGCCCGATTGCACCGTCGGGCCCCGATCGGGCCCTGATTGCACTGTCGGGCCCCGATTGCACCGTCGGGCCCCGATTGCGCCGTTGGGCCCCGATCGGGCCCCGATTGCGCCGTCGGGCCCAGGGCGAGATTGCGCTGTCACTCGTAGCTTTGCTTTACAAGGCAGCATCCTCAGCAACACCGGCGGTAAGGATGGTCTCGGGGCGTTCCGCGAGGATTCTGGGAGGGTGTGGTGCTGTTGGGGATATCGCCCGAGCTTATGTTTCTTTTTTGCTGGGGGGGGGGGCCGGCGAAGCTTTGTTCCGGGTGGGCCGCAAAAGAGAATCATCAGGGTGGGAATATAAGAAGGGCTACGTAAGTTAATTTAAGCCCCAAGACCGATTTTGCTTGTTTGGCCTGGCTGCCACAAGCCGAACAAAAATAAGAACAAGCAGTCTTTGATCCGAGCAAGCTCACAAAACATGAAAAATATGACCTTCCCCGCTAGTACTATTTTCTAATAACAACCTTTGCTTACACAAATCAAACATCTGTCCCGAAAGCGGGTGGCGCATCAAAGGCCCGGATCCTAAAGAACAACTTTATTTTGCGCCCTGCTAATAAGTTTTCCTGTTTGGCCACGGCAAGGCCCAGATCCTCAATAAACACTTTGTCCGCCCCCCCCAAATGAACTCTTTCTGGTTGGACTGGCTGCCCAAAGCCCAAAGGAAGAGACAGCCAGGCCAGGAAGCAGCAATACTTTGAATAGGAACAAGCAAATAAAAGAAGATCAGAAGGCAACAATACTAAGCAATAGGAAGCGTGACCGAAAAAAAGTGAAGGGTGAAGGCTCCAGTACTAAGCACGAGAAACGAGTCCTAAACAATAAGCAAGAGTCACGGGAGGGGACCGGAGAAGAAAAGAAGAGGCAGCAATATTATATACACGTAGGAAAGAGTCCCGAGATAGGGAAAAAGGGCGCAGCAATACTGAGCAATTCTACATCAAAGAATATTTGCCAAACAACTCTATTCAGGAAAATTCCTTGTTTGGGGCGGTTGGGGGGGGGGTTATGCCACTAAATGGCTCAGGCGCTTAAGAACATCCGGGTTGTGAACCAAGCTCGCGCCATCAGCCGAGAGTCATTTGGCCTTAGCGAAGAGGCACTCCAATCGGTGCCAGCACCGGACGTGGCCGCGGACGCGGCTGGAGGGAAGATGCCGGCGCTGGCGCTGGCAGGGTGCCAAGCAGGACGGGCGCGGGCAGCCACTCGAACCTGGGCTTCAACAACTCCATATCCCGAAGGAAACCCAAACAACAATTAACGCCTGGTTGATCGGTTGATTCTTTTGCAGAATCTCCCATTGTAGAGGGGGTTTTGGGAAACACCCCCACTCCTCGCCCTCAACTCTTACCAGGCCGCAAGAGCTCCGTTGAGCGGAGCTGCCAATAGGCGTCAAAGGCCGTCATTGGCAACGGAGCAGGTGCTGGTGCTGCCATGGAACCAGCTCTATTTGTAGCCTTTAAACTTGAGCCAGTGCCTTGCAGCATATCCTCAAGGTTTTGAGTTCAAACTAGTGTGCCTTTTTCGGGTTCAGCATTTTTTTAAGATTCCCGGTTTGGCACTCCCCCATGAAATAGACCCAAGCTTCACTGAGAAGTCAAGGTCCGGACAGCCTGGGGTCGTAGCGCGTGAGCCGGTCGAGCAGTCCACGCCATCTGCACCCACCTGAAGCACAAAAAGCCTTGGGTGAGAAAATATGCGCTCCTTTGAACAAAATGGATGGCAAATTGTCACAACCTTGAACCAATGCCAATCATGTTCAACCCAACTGACCTATGCAATTGAACAATCCAATTGTCATGCCCCCCATATTTGTGTTTGCTGTTTGTCTGTTTTTGTCTGTGTTTTCGTCAGCGTGTGTTTGTGTATGTGTGTTGGTCTCTGGGTTGATCAAAAACTCAAACAAACCCAAACGAAGCCAAAAGGCCCAACCAAGACACAGGGCTACCCGAAAGTCCCTGGATGGGGTGAACACACTTAGACGCCCGAGGAGAATTCTAATCCTCGAGTTGGATCGGGTTCAGCTTGGTAGATTTCGAGTACGACGGGTTCAGCTGGCGAGACACTGGCTTCCCTCTAGCTGGAAACGGTTACATCCTCAACAAAAGCACAGCGAGAAAACCAAAGGGTTAGAAGGGCTTTAGTCCCAAACAAGAACGGACCCGCCAACCCGCTTCTGAGCGCATGGCTTCTTTGAGGTCGTCCACCTCCAAAAGCGTGAACCACCACTCCCGAACACAGAGAAGAACTGAGGCAATCCCTCGCTAAGTGAAGCAACTGAGGCGGGGACATCTCTGACACTTGCAGTAATTTTGAACGGATTGCCCGTCAATTCAAACTGTTCGCCGTCCTCGAACTTCACAAGCGCTGGAATTCACTTCATGTGGAAGTTCGGCAAGTGTTCAAACAGGATCCGAACAAAATCATCCGCTTGTCTTTGAGAATGAATTGCCTTCAACATGGACATGAATGCGCTGCCTACGTCAAAGAACTGGCGGTCCTTGCTTGGCTGGAGCTGACGGACCCAAACAGCTGGAAGTGCTGAGGCAGCGCCTTGAAGGCTGAAGGGCTCAGAAAAGGCGAGTGTCCTCTTCACGTCGTCCAGCATCGGATGGAATCCCAGGAACGATGCCAAGCCACTGTGGGAGCATCAGCGTGTTGCAACTTGACACAACAAACTGCAACGATTTGCCATGATGCCCGGCTGAAAACTTCTTTGCAACGATGGCGTCCATTCATCGAATATCCTCTCAAAGGCTCTGTTCATCACTCAGCCCCAGACGGGTGCTCCAGCGCGCGCTCTGTGATTCGCCTTGTGGTTCGGAATCGGGGAGAGGTGGGTGCCAGTTGTCAATGTGATTAAGCTGTTTGGCATGTCAACTTCTATGTCACGATGGCTTCGTGTACGTGCTCTTGCTGGGTTTCCTTTTTAGCAACGGACCCAAGTTCAGAACCTGCTTGCCTACTGTTTGCTCTCTAAAGGCAAAATATGCCATGGCGGCGATGGTCTTTGCAACATGATCTGCTTTCCAGCACCCCTGTCCACCAGTAAGCCCAGCAGATTGAAAATAGGGGCCAAGAGAAGCAACCGACGCAGCGATCGCTCGATCTCCTTTTTGAAACAAAGTAATCTGCGGGCTGAGCGCGTCGATCTCACGTTCTCCTGCCTGGCAAGTTTCGCCTGTCCTGGTCTATGCGCTTGAAACATAAGCCGTTGAACTCATACTCTTCTGCGCTTCGTGTGGTGCTGCTTTCGATGAGAATATGTGTAGTTAAAACAAGCAACAGCGAGCAGCAGTCGTGGCTTGGCGGAGGTGTTGCATGTGTTGCCAGGCCACACAAGCGCTAGCTTGCCAGGCGCTGCAGCGCCCTCTTATATTGTATCCGATTGAGCATTCAAAGGCGCTCACTGGCGCTCGCTGCGCCTCGATGAGCCTGGCACGCGCAATCTCAGAAACCTCTTTGGAGTTACCTGCCCGCCTCGCACTCGCATGTGTAGCAGGGATTGAGGCTCCGCGAATTCGTACCTTGGACACGGAAATGTCTCTGAAAGCAACGTTCCCCCCCACCCCCGGCATGCACTGATTCATGAATGCCCCTCAAACATTGCGTTTCCTTTTTTGTTTCTTTTTTGCTGGGGGGGGGGGGGCCGGCGAAGCTTTGTTCCGGGTGGGCCGCAAAAGAGAATCATCAGGGTGGGAATATAAGAAGGGCTACGTAAGTTAATTTAAGCCCCAAGACCGATTTTGCTTGTTTGGCCTGGCTGCCACAAGCCGAACAAAAATAAGAACAAGCAGTCTTTGATCCGAGCAAGCTCACAAAACATGAAAAATATGACCTTCCCCGCTAGTACTATTTTCTAATAACAACCTTTGCTTACACAAATCAAACATCTGTCCCGAAAGCGGGTGGCGCATCAAAGGCCCGGATCCTAAAGAACAACTTTATTTTGCGCCCTGCTAATAAGTTTTCCTGTTTGGCCACGGCAAGGCCCAGATCCTCAATAAACACTTTGTCCGCCCCCCCCAAATGAACTCTTTCTGGTTGGACTGGCTGCCCAAAGCCCAAAGGAAGAGACAGCCAGGCCAGGAAGCAGCAATACTTTGAATAGGAACAAGCAAATAAAAGAAGATCAGAAGGCAACAATACTAAGCAATAGGAAGCGTGACCGAAAAAAAGTGAAGGGTGAAGGCTCCAGTACTAAGCACGAGAAACGAGTCCTAAACAATAAGCAAGAGTCACAGGAGGGGACCGGAGAAGAAAAGAAGAGGCAGCAATATTATATACACGTAGGAAAGAGTCCCGAGATAGGGAAAAAGGGCGCAGCAATACTGAGCAATTCTACATCAAAGAATATTTGCCAAACAACTCTATTCAGGAAAATTCCTTGTTTGGGGCGGTTGGGGGGGGGGTTATGCCACTAAATGGCTCAGGCGCTTAAGAACATCCGGGTTGTGAACCAAGCTCGCGCCATCAGCCGAGAGTCATTTGGCCTTAGCGAAGAGGCACTCCAATCGGTGCCAGCACCGGACGTGGCCGCGGACGCGGCTGGAGGGAAGATGCCGGCGCTGGCGCTGGCAGGGTGCCAAGCAGGACGGGCGCGGGCAGCCACTCGAACCTGGGCTTCAACAACTCCATATCCCGAAGGAAACCCAAACAACAATTAACGCCTGGTTGATCGGTTGATTCTTTTGCAGAATCTCCCACTGTAGAGGGGGTTTTGGGAAACACCACTCCTCGCCCTCAACTCTTACCAGGCCGCAAGAGCTCCGTTGAGCGGAGCTGCCAATAGGCGTCAAAGGCCGTCATTGGCAACGGAGCAGGTGCTGGTGCTGCCATGGAACCAGCTCTATATGTAGCCTTTAAACTTGAGCCAGTGCCTTGCAGCATATCCTCAAGGTTTTGAGTTCAAACTAGTGTGCCTTTTTCGGGTTCAGCATTTTTTTAAGATCCCCGGTTTGGCACTCCCCCATGAAATAGACCCAAGCTTCACTGAGAAGTCAAGGTCCGGACAGCCTGGGGTCGTAGCGCGTGAGCCGGTCGAGCAGTCCACGCCATCTGCACCCACCTGAAGCACCAAAAGCCTTGGGTGAGAAAATATGCGCTCCTTTGAACAAAATGGCAAATTGTCACAACCTTGAACCAATGCCAATCATGTTCAACCCAACTGACCTATGCAATTGAACAATCCAATTGTCATGCCCCCCCATATTTGTGTTTGCTGTTTGTCTGTTTTTGTCTGTGTTTTCGTCAGCGTGTGTTTGTGTATGTGTGTTGGTCTCTGGGTTGATCAAAAACTCAAACAAACCCAAACGAAGCCAAAAGGCCCAACCAAGACACAGGGCTACCCGAGGGTCCCTGGATGGGGTGAACACACTTAAACGCCCGAGGAGAATTCTAATCCTCGAGTTGGATCGGGTTCAGCTTGGTAGATTTCGAGTACGACGGGTTCAGCTGGCGAGACACTGGCTTCCCTCTAGCTGGAAACGGTTACATCCTCAACAAAAGCACAGCGAGAAAACCAAAGGGTTAGAAGGGCTTTAGTCCCAAACAAGAACGGACCCGCCAACCCGCTTCTGAGCGCATGGCTTCTTTGAGGTCGTCCACCTCCAAAAGCGTGAACCACCACTCCCGAACACAGAGAAGAACTGAGGCAATCCCTCGCTAAGTGAAGCAACTGAGGCGGGGACATCTCTGACACTTGCAGTAATTTTGAACGGATTGCCCGTTAATTCAAACTGTTCGCCGTCCTCGAACTTCACAAGCGCTGGAATTCACTTCATGTGGAAGTTCGGCAAGTGTTCAAACAGGTTCCGAACAAAATCATCCGCTTGTCTTTGAGAATGAATTGCCTTCAACATGGACATGAATGCGCTGCCTACGTCAAAGAACTGGCGGTCCTTGCTTGGCTGGAGCTGACGGACCCAAACAGCTGGAAGTGCTGAGGCAGCGCCTTGAAGGCTGAAGGGCTCAGAAAAGGCGAGTGTCCTCTTCACGTCGTCGTTGAACAGACTCAGGCCTGAGAGCAATTCTGCCAACTCTGCTCACACATGCCAGCATCGGATGGAATCCCAGGAACGATGCCAAGCCACTGTGGGAGCATCAGCGTGTTGCAACTTGACACAACAAACTGCGATTTGCCATGATGCCCGGCTGAAAACTTCTTTGCAACGATGGCGTCCATTCATCCAATATCCTCTCAAAGGCTCTGTTCATCACTCAGCCCCAGACGGGTGCTCCAGCGCGCGCTCTGTGATTCGCCTTGTGGTTCGGAGAGCAAACAGTAGGCAAGCAGGTTCTGAACTCGGGTCCGTTGCTAAAAAGGAAACCCAGCAAGAGCACGTACACGAAGCCATCATGACATAGAAGTTGACATGCCAAACAGCTTAATCACATTGACAACTCAAAATATGCCATGGCGGCGATGGTCTTTGCAACATGATCTGCTTTCCAGCACCCCTGTCCACTAGTAAGCCCAGCAGATTGAAAATAGGGGCCAAGAGAAGCAACCGACGCAGCGATCGCTCGATCTCCTTTTTGAAACAAAGTAATCTGCGGGCTGAGCGCGCCGATCTCACGTTCTCCTGCCTGGCAAGTTTCGCCTGTCCTGGTCTATGCGCTTGAAACATAAGCCGTTGAACTCATACTCTTCTGCGCTTCGTGTGGTGCTGCTTTCGATGAGAATATGTGTAGTTAAAACAAGCAACAGCGAGCTGCAGTCGTGGCTTGGCGGAGGTGTTGCATGTGTTGCCAGGCCACACAAGCGCTAGCTTGCCAGGCGCTGCAGCGCCCTCTTATATTGTATCCGATTGAGCATTCAAAGGCGCTCACTGGCGCTCGCTGCGCCTCGATGAGCCTGGCACGCGCAATCTCAGAAACCTCTTTGGAGTTACCTGCCCGCCTCGCACTCGCATGTGTAGCAGGGATTGAGGCTCCGCGAATTCGTACCTTGGACACGGAAATGTCTCTGAAAGCAACGTTCCCCCCCACCCCGGCATGCACTGATTCATGAATGCCCCTCAAACATTGCGTTTCCTTTTTTGTTTCTTTTTTGCTGGGGGGAGGGGGGGGGCCGGCGAAGCTTTGTTCCGGGTGGGCCGCAAAAGAGAATCATCAGGGTGGGAATATAAGAAGGGCTACGTAAGTTAATTTAAGCCCCAAGACCGATTTTGCTTGTTTGGCCTGGCTGCCACAAGCCGAACAAAAATAAGAACAAGCAGTCTTTGATCCGAGCAAGCTCACAAAACATGAAAAATATGACCTTCCCCGCTAGTACTATTTTCTAATAACAACCTTTGCTTACACAAATCAAACATCTGTCCCGAAAGCGGGTGGCGCATCAAAGGCCCGGATCCTAAAGAACAACTTTATTTTGCGCCCTGCTAATAAGTTTTCCTGTTTGGCCACGGCAAGGCCCAGATCCTCAATAAACACTTTGTCCGCCCCCCCCAAATGAACTCTTTCTGGTTGGACTGGCTGCCCAAAGCCCAAAGGAAGAGACAGCCAGGCCAGGAAGCAGCAATACTTTGAATAGGAACAAGCAGATAAAAGAAGATCAGAAGGCAACAATACTAAGCAATAGGAAGCGTGACCGAAAAAAAGTGAAGGGTGAAGGCTCCAGTACTAAGCACGAGAAACGAGTCCTAAACAATAAGCAAGAGTCACAGGAGGGGACCGGAGAAGAAAAGAAGAGGCAGCAATATTATATACACGTAGGAAAGAGTCCCGAGATAGGGAAAAAGGGCGCAGCAATACTGAGCAATTCTACATCAAAGAATATTTGCCAAACAACTCTATTCAGGAAAATTCCTTGTTTGGGGCGGTTGGGGGGGGGGTTATGCCACTAAATGGCTCAGGCGCTTAAGAACATCCGGGTTGTGAACCAAGCTCGCGCCATCAGCCGAGAGTCATTTGGCCTTAGCGAAGAGGCACTCCAATCGGTGCCAGCACCGGACGTGGCCGCGGACGCGGCTGGAGGGAAGATGCCGGCGCTGGCGCTGGCAGGGTGCCAAGCAGGACGGGCGCGGGCAGCCACTCGAACCTGGGCTTCAACAACTCCATATCCCGAAGGAAACCCAAACAACAATTAACGCCTGGTTGATCGGTTGATTCTTTTGCAGAATCTCCCATTGTAGAGGGGGTTTTGGGAAACACCCCCACTCCTCGCCCTCAACTCTTACCAGGCCGCAAGAGCTCCGTTGAGCGGAGCTGCCAATAGGCGTCAAAGGCCGTCATTGGCAACGGAGCAGGTGCTGGTGCTGCCATGGAACCAGCTCTATATGTAGCCTTTAAACTTGAGCCAGTGCCTTGCAGCATATCCTCAAGGTTTTGAGTTCAAACTAGTGTGCCTTTTTCGGGTTCAGCATTTCTTTAAGATCCCCGGTTTGGCACTCCCCCATGAAATAGACCCAAGCTTCACTGAGAAGTCAAGGTCCGGACAGCCTGGGGTCGTAGCGCGTGAGCCGGTCGAGCAGTCCACGCCATCTGCACCCACCTGAAGCACAAAAAGCCTTGGGTGAGAAAATATGCGCTCCTTTGAACAAAATGGATGGCAAATTGTCACAACCTTGAACCAATGCCAATCATGTTCAACCCAACTGACCTATGCAATTGAACAATCCAATTGTCATGCCCCCCATATTTGTGTTTGCTTGTTTGTCTGTTTTTGTCTGTGTTTTCGTCAGCGTGTGTTTGTGTATGTGTGTTGGTCTCTGGGTTGATCAAAAACTCAAACAAACCCAAACGAAGCCAAAAGGCCCAACCAAGACACAGGGCTACCCGAGGGTCCCTGGATGGGGTGAACACACTTAGACGCCCGAGGAGAATTCTAATCCTCGAGTTGGATCGGGTTCAGCTTGGTAGATTTCGAGTACGACGGGTTCAGCTGGCGAGACACTGGCTTCCCTCTAGCTGGAAACGGTTACATCCTCAACAAAAGCACAGCGAGAAAACCAAAGGGCTAGAAGGGCTTTAGTCCCAAACAAGAACGGACCCGCCAACCCGCTTCTGAGCGCATGGCTTCTTTGAGGTCGTCCACCTGATATAGCCAACCAAAAGCGTGAACCACCACTCCCGAACACAGAGAAGAACTGAGGCAATCCCTCGCTAAGTGAAGCAACTGAGGCGGGGACATCTCTGACACTTGCAGTAATTTTGAACGGATTGCCCGTCAATTCAAACTGTTCGCCGTCCTCGAACTTCACAAGCGCTGGAATTCACTTCATGTGGAAGTTCGGCAAGTGTTCAAACAGGATCCGAACAAAATCATCCGCTTGTCTTTGAGAATGAATTGCCTTCAACATGGACATGAATGCGCTGCATACGTAAAAGAACTGGCAGTCCTTGCTTGGCTGGAGCTGACAAACCCAAACAGCTTGAGGTGCTGAGGCAGCGCCTTGAATCGAAGGGTGAAGGGCTCAGAAAATGCGAGTGTCCTCTTCACGTCTTTGTTGAACAGACTCAGGCCTGAGAGCAACTCTGCCAACTCTGCTCACACATGCCAGGAGTCATGGACCAACATGCAAACCCAATGCAACAAACCCAATGCAACAAATCCAACATGCACTTGTCTTTGGCAGCGAAGTTGAACATGGACATGAAGGCTCAGGTTGCCATGGGGCAGCCTTGCAGGTGCGCAATGTCATTCTTACAACCAGAAATCCCAGAAACAAGTGCAGAAATGAAACTCAGGCAAAATAAGGAAAGCGTGTTTGCAGAGAACCAAACTCGAATCAAACTGATAAAGTCGAATGCTGCCCAGCCTGCCATGAAACGTCGTCCAAAGATGGAAAAGCCGACTGCGAGATGGGGCTGAAAGCTATGATTGGTTGCTCCAAACGAGAACACGATTTTTTATTCCAACGTTGCTTGGTTGTATCGTAATGAAGGACAGTTTGCATCTCTGTTTGTCTGCAAGTAGAATGCCTTATCAGCCTTATCACATGCTCAATGTGATGTCCAAGCCAGCCCTTTCCCAGTCCCCTGCCTGCAATGGCTGTGACCGGCTTCCTGCCTGAAAGCAGGAACTCTTTGATGTCCACTGGTTTCCAGCTGCCATAAGGCATGCTTGCACTGTCCAAAGTCTTCGAGATCAGGAGCTCATCCTCTTTGAACTCGGCTGTGGTTTTCTGTACTGCCTTCTCAAGCTGGGACTCTACCTCTGTTGTCTGTTTCTTGAAGATATGCAGCACTGTGCACCACCATCTCCACCATCTCGTTCTGCGGGGCTTGCTGGAATTCTTAACCTTCTTTGTTGCATTCAAATACAACAGGAGTTCGTATGCCTGCATCTCATTCCATCTGTACTCTCTCACGCTCACATTCTCCTGCTGTGGTGCTAGTCGTGTTCGCGCTCCATTGAGATGAGCTACTTCCTTCGCAATTCCTTCAGACTGCGTAACTGCGATGACCTGTCCATATCCGTGCGCAGCACGGGCGAGGCTCATCAACATCTTCCCATCTTCACCCAGTTCCGTGTCAAAAATGTTGTCCAAAACCAACTGCAAGCGAACTCCGGCGTCAGACAAGATCGGAAAAATGTTTTCTGCAACAGGTTGCACAAAGCTTGTGTCTTCTACATTGAAGAAATCCTTGAGACGCGCCAAATTCTCCCTGACCAAAACAGTGACGCACTGTGGGTTGTCTTTAGCCCATCCCAGCATGGCCAAAGCTACAGCAACGGACTTGCCCACGCCAGGTTCAGCATGAATCGAAGTGACTCCGGTCAAGGTTGTGTTCGATAGCACATTGCTCACCACTTGCTGAAACTGTGTGCCTTTCAGTGGCAACGAGATGTTCGGCAAAAAGATGTTCTGAGCTTCTCGAGTTTGTTTGGCGTTCTCCACGAGGATGCTTGCAAGGCGTTCTGCGTGTGCTTGGGCATAGTTGACGTCCACCAAAGATGTCTGCTTTGAAATCGAGCGAACATTATTGTTTGCCGCAAGAACTCCCTGCCCAATTTCCTTCAGCGATGTCCCAAACACGGTGGCGACCTTGTGGTTTTGCTTGGATGCTTGTGTCCGCGTGGGGTCGATCGCGGTATCTCAACCAAAGCAAAAAATGACCTCCCAACCAGAATGGGCAAAGCCAATGCAAGGAGCTTGAAGCCGCGCTTTGCCATGGAGAGACTGCAAGCTGAAATGCTCTGGTGCATGAATGACACAAAACCTGAAGCATATAGCAAAATGACTCAAAGTGATGCTTGCGTTGCTGGCATGCAAGTCAAATTGGATTTGAAAACCTGCTCTGAGAAGTACAGCTGCAACACTAAGCACAAAGTGACTGGTTCATACGTGCAAACATCTGCCCAGCGATTCTCGGGAAATCTGCCACAGAGTTTGCGGAAATCTGTCACGATTTGTGGGAAATGTGCCGCCGATTAAGAGCTTCGCGGCAAGCTGCTAGCCATTTGGTGCAGCAAAAGAGAAACCATGCATGTGAAACGTGTCACATCCAACCCACTGACAAGGTTGCGTGACAACTTGAAGTGCAATACATTTCAGTCTATAAGGTCCTCTGCTATTCAAATAAAATAGCAACTAAACCAAATCAAACCAAGTTAACTGCGAACACGAATAGTGCAAAGCTGCCGCCTCCTTCAATGTGCTCATGAACTCTCACCCAGCAAACTGCGTTGCTCTGGTTGAAAACCTCTGCTCTGTTGCTCGCCTTTTCCAAACATTGGACATTGCTGAAGCCCTCGTCTTGTGCTGAAGCCCTCTTTTGGTATCTTTTTTGGGATGCTGAAGGTCAAATCATGCAAGCCGAAGACCAACAGACAACCAATGGCAGCAAAGCGCAAAGAGGTGATGAACAGCACAGTGTAATAAAAATCATCGAACAGCGCAGTGTCAAGTTTGAATGAAGTAGTTGTTGAAATTGGGTGGGCGAAACCAAACACATCTTGATGTTCACATCATCCATCTCTGAAGTCACTTTTGTAGGGGCCAGGCATTGGAACTTATCCGCAATCGTTAGGTCCAAAAGCTTGAAACTGAGCATCAAAAGCCCGCAGCTGCACACGCAAGCAATTTGCCGTGTTTGCCAATGCACTTGCTACCTGACACAAGCAAACCAAGTGGCTGTGGGCAAACTGCCGTATTGCAATTGCATGGAAAACCCAAGAATGGCTTGATGACAAGGTTTGATGTTTGAATCTGAGCATCCAACACGGAGCTCTTCGTTTCGTTGTGCTCCGTTTATGGTCGCCCTCGCCTGACACATGGTGATCAACTTGGGCAAGCAACGCGTACCATTTGAAGAAAAACAATGGAATCTTATTAAACAAGGTTTACACCACCGAAAACCTCAAACAGTTCCCGACACAACGGATTGCAGCATCATCTTTCGCGAATTCAAAGCGACTTTTGGCCACAGCGCCCAGCGTGGTCAGTCATGACTTCGGGGCTTTTGAGCCATTTGCAAAGACTGTGCTGGAACCCTTTCGCCATGCCTTGAACCCAGGCCACATGCACAATGTCCGGCCACCCACACGGTTGCAACTTGTTGGGTACTGCATCTATGCAGTCAAGCACAGCTGTTGCTAGTACCCGTTGCATTCCCTGCTTGAGTTGAGCACCGTAGCTTGTTGTTCAAACCTGGACCCCCCTAACCCTGCAAGCCAATTAATGCCAAAGTCACACTGCAACGAAGCGACCTTCACCCGCTCTTTCCTAAGCGACAACGTGAAACAATGCCTGCTTCAGCCGAGAACATCAAGAGACCAACGCAAACTCGAACGGCATGTACTGCCCTGCTCAGGGAGGTGCCTATTCAAAACCCTTGATTAAGACGTTGGGATCGGCGCAGGGCGCCCCCCTTAAATGAACTCTTTCTGGTTGGGCTCACTGCCCAACGGCAGCCAGGCAATACCAAGCAATAGGAAACGTTACAGAAAGGAAGGCATGATTGTTAGAAATGGACGCGTGTTCACACAGAAAGTTCCTCCGCGCGCTTGCAGCGACGCGGCTGAGGCAATCAGTAAAGCACTGTTCCCCATCACATAGGGAGGGCCATGGCAGGAATCAATCAAATGTTGACCGTGACGAAGTTCTATCAGCAGCAAAGCCACATAGTCAAGATGGATTGTGCGCATGCAAGCCCTGTAGAACATGACATTCCAAGACCTCTTCTTTTGGTTTTTGGTTAGCTATTCGTAAACGGGAGCGAATTAAGTCATCTGTCGACCCGTTTTCATGAGTGCAGCACCTGGCGTCAACAAACGCCAATTTGTATCAGCTCCTCACCTAAGAAACTATCTGAAAAATGAGTTGCCAGACGAATTTCGCCACCAAAGCCAGGGCTGCGAAGAAATCGGCAAACAGTTCGGCATAGAAACAGCAACGGCAAAACAACGAGGATTGAAACCCAACTTTGGCCAGACATTCCCTTCTTGAGCCACGCCTAAACCAAAGCGCCATAAGGCCCGGAGGTGTCACTGAAACCCAAGGCTGCGACGCTCATTCTCATGTGTAGCAGTTCTCAAATGCAACTCCACTCATGTCTGGTTCAGGTACTGTTGAATAAACTTGAGCATCTTGTCCGTGCATTTGCGCAAATCGCATGTTGGTGCTATAGAGTGTGTTGAGATCTAAAATAGCTTTAGAGCCCCTTCGGATTCATGTTTCAAGTTCCGAGGACAATCATTTCAAATCTTGCGCAGTACGGCTCCAAGCGAAGGGCTTTTAAGTGGCTTTAATGCCATTTTGAATTCGAGATTCATGAATCTCGAGAAAGGTTCCAAAGTAAGCTTTGAAGCGTCACTGACACCATTTTGGATTCAAGATTCATAAATGCAGCAGCTCCAAGTAAAGCTCTAGAGCGGCTTCAAAATGCAAGATTCTCGGGGCTCTCATTTTGCCCACAAGGCTCCAAATAAAAATATCTTACAGTGCTGAAGCGTTGTTGGCTTTAGAGTCTCGAGTTGAGAGACGTACATTGATATGGAAAGCATCCCTCACACCTCCGAAGAGATGCCCTTTGTTAAAAAGCTGACATGTGCAAACAATTCTGACCCAGGAAACAGCGTCCATGGCCAGCACTGTTAGATGGCTTGGTAAAAGAAAGCCTATCAAGCGCTTCAAAGCGTTTTCTTGTACAATGACTAGATTCAGGGTTGAAAAGTAGAGTCCTTCCAATCTTCAACGAATCCCGGATGAGACATATGCAAGCGCAATCTGCACTCGACTACGTCAGACTTGTTCTGCTGATACTTGCTGTACGTTTGGCTCATGTTCACGCTTTCTGGGACCTACCGAATTTGAGCATCTGTTCTGTCAGTGAATTTGCAACAGCTTTGAAGAGCGGTAAAGCATTTTGTGGTTCGATATTCAAGACTATCAGGACTACTCTTCAACCTTGAGTCCAGCACTGATCCCAGCTGAATGCGTTAAAGCGCTTTAAAGCATGTCTGAGGCAATCCTCAGGACTCTAGTTTGCAATATTGAATCAAAGCCTTGCACGGAAATTACATCAGCATAGACCCCAAATAGCGAAAAAAGTGCCAACGATTGCACTCCAGCACCTCTAGCAGCACTGCCCGAAGAGCACCTCAACCAACACTCCAAACAACATCCCAAAACAGCGCCTGCACCTGCATCAATCTCGCGAATAACGCGCCCGCCCGACACCAGCCCCAGAAACACCCGGACCAGTGGACCAGCACCCCGAACTGCATGCCCCCAAGCACCCACCGTCAATCTGGTAAAAATGCGCCCGCACCATCACCAGTAGCTCAAACAGCACCCCAAAACAGCACCTACACCAGCACCCCAAACTACACGCCACCTAGCACCCAGCTGTCAATCTCGAAGATCTGTTATCGCTCACTTATTGGAAGTTAGCACCCCTATGGCTTTCAGCTATCAGGGGAAAAAACGATTTACGTGCTAGAAAGCAACCTGAATTCTAGATTCAACATATCAATATATATATATATATATACATATATATATATATATATTATATATACATGAGAATCTTCAATCTTGAATCCCAACAGGCTTTAACGCCGCTTTAAAGCCCTTTTCAAGACTCAACCAGCAGAGTCTCGAGCAAGCCAACTTCTATCTCACTGGCTGGAAAGGTGACTTGTTGCAATATCTGTGTGTATATACGATCATCATGATATTCAAAACAGTCAAGTTTGGCACAAGCATAAAAATATATTGTGGCATGTATGTCGAATAGATTAAACCAAATATACATCTATATAAAACTTCAATATCTATGATTTGTTTTTTGTCCCAATGGAAGCCGAAGCCAATCAGATTATCTAAGTCAGGTTCCCAGCTCCCCTCAAGTGAGTGTCCTGCCTATTCGCACAGCAGATCTTGTCAACCAACCAGGCCACAGTCACGTTGCAAACATGACCAACGTACGCTCTGTCCCAATCGGTCTGCAACAGAACATGCGAAAATGCTAAGCGCCCCGCGATGCGCGAATTCTGCGCTTGCAACGAATTAGATGTCAGCCATGCTAAAGCTGCACCGCATTCTAATTGCCGACTTCAATAGGCAGCATCCACAAAGCGCCATGCCGTCTGTCAGCGGGCAATGGTTGAATGGGGATGCTGTCACATCGCAGCTGCTTTGCAGCGCGGAAAGCGCAGCCTCTATTGAGGGAGCTTCTGAGCAACAGCTATAGCGATGGTTGGATCTCATGGACGGCTAAGGATTTCTGTGCAGACTTTACCTGCGCACCCCTTAAGAGAGCTGTCTTGAAAGCACTGAGTGGATTCACCATTTGGGGACGCTCCCGAGATGTCGGTTCTCCGACTGGAGCCTTCCCAACAGCTCGCCGACTCGCCAGGGTCACAGGCCACCTGTGGTCTTCAGAACATCGGACACTCCTTCAGAACAGTGGTTGCCGCAACATGCCTGGCTGAGACGCTCACGTGGCGGGTCTAGGCGTTCTCTCTGCGGTCGACATCCCGGAAGTACCTAAGTCGTTTGGCATCTGTGGCAGGGGTGCTCTTTCAACAAAATGTTCGGGTGTGGACATGATGAGGCATCCAGCGGCTTCGGCAGCTGTGGCTACATTGCCCAGAAAAGAGTAAATCTAAGGGAAACGTATATATAAAACCTTGCGGTCCAACCTTCCATTCATTTGGATAGCCGCTGCCACATGCCCAACGCTGAGCCTTGGCCTCGCCCTGTCAAAAGGGCCTGCAAGCTCGGATGGAATCCCAGGAACGATGCCAAGCCACTGTGGGAATCAGTGTTGCAACTTGACACAACAAACTGCAACGTTTTGCCATGATGCCCGCACGTGATTCCCCCCGGCTGAAAACTTCTTAGCAACGATGGCGTCCATTCATCGAATATCCTCTCAAAGGCTAAACTTTGCCTCTCGAAAGTCTGTTCATCACTCAGCCCCAGACGGGTGCTCCAGCGCGCGCTGCGCTGTGATTCGCCTTGTGGTTCGGAATCGGGGAGAGGTGGGTGCCAGTGGTCAATGTGATTAATCTGTTTGGCATATCAACTTCTAGTTCATGATGGCTTCGTGTACGTGCTCTTGCTGGGTTTCCTTCTTAGCAACGGACCCAAGTTCAGAACCTGCTTGCCTATTGTTTGCTCTCTATACGCAAAATATGCCATGGCGGCGATGGTCTTTGCAACATGAGCTGCTTTCCAGCACCCATGTCCACCAGTCCGCCCAGCAGATTGAAAATAGGGGCCAAAAAATGCAACCGACGCAGCGGTCGCTCGATCTCCTTTTTGAAACAACGTAATCTGCGGGCTGAGCGCGTCGATCTCACGTTCTCCTGCCTGGCAAGTTTCGCTTGTGCTGGTCTATGCGCTTGAAACATAAGCCGTTTACTCTTCTGCGCTTCGTGTGGTGCTGCTTTCGATGAGAACATGTGCAGCTGAAAGAAGCAACAGCGAGCTGCAGTCGTGGCTTGGCGGAGGTGTTGCATGTATTGCCAGGCCACACAAGCGCTAGCTTGCCAGGCGCTGCAGCGCCCTCTTATATTGTATCCGATTGAGCATTCAAAGGCGCTCACTGGCGCTCGCTGCGCCTCGATGAGCCTGCCACGCGCAATCTCAGAAACCTCTTTGGAGTTACCTGCCCGCCTCGCACTCGCATGTGTAGCAGGGATTGAGGCTCCGCGAATTCGTACCTTGGACACGGAGATGTCTCTCAAAGCAACGTTCCCTCCCCCCCCGCATGCACTGACTAATGAATGCCCCTCAAACATTGCGTTTCCTTTTTCTTTCTTTTTTTCGGGCGGGGGGGGGGGGCGGCGAAGCTTTGTTCCGGGTGGACCGCAGAAGAGAATCATCAGGGTGGGAATATAAGAAGGGATATGTAAGTTAATTTAAGCCCCAAGACCGATTTCGCTTGTTTGGCCTGGCTGCCACAAGCCGAACAAAAATAAGAACAAACAGTCTTTGATCCGAGCAAGCTCACAAAACATGCCAAATATGACCTTCCCCGCTAGTACTATTTTCTAATAACAACCTTTGCTTACACAAATCAAACATCTGTCCCGAAAGCGGGTGGCGCATCAAAGGCCCGGATCCTCAAGAACAACTTTCCTTTGTGCCCTGCTAATCAGTTTTCCTATTTGGCCACGGCACGTGAAAGGCCCAGATCCTCAATAAACACTTTGTCCACCCCCCCGACCCCAAATGAACTCTTTCTGGTTAGACTGCCCAAGGCCCAAAGGAAGAGACAGCCAGGCCAGGAGGCAGCAATACTTTGAATAGGAACAAGCAGATAAAAGAAGACGAGAAGGCAACAATACTCAGCAATGGGAAACGTGACCGGAAAAGTGAAGGGTGAAGGCTCCAGTACTAAGCACAAGAAACGAGTCACAGGAAAGGACTGGAAGGTAAAGCGGAGGCAGCAACACTAAACAATAAGCAAGAGTCGCAGGAAGGGACCGGACAAAAAAAAGGCAGCAATACTATATACACGTAGGAAAGAGTCCCGAGATAGGGAAAAAGGGCGCAGCAATACTGAGCAATTCTACATCAAAGAATATTGCCAAACAACTCTATTCAGGAAAATTCCTTGTTTGGGGCGGTGAGGGGGGGGGGGTTATGCCACTAAATGGCTCAGGCGCTTTAAATGCGCGTGTTACACGTTCTCCTGGGGACTGGTTTAAGAACATCCGGGTTGTGAACCAAGCTCGCGCCATCAGCCGAGAGTCATTTGGCCTTAGCGAAGAGGCACTCCAATTGGTGCCAGCACCGGACGTGGCCGCGGACGCGGCTGGAGGGAAGATGCCGGCGCTGGCGCTGGCAGGGTGCCAAGCAGGACGGGCGCGGGCAGCCACTCGAACCTGGGCTTCAACCACTCCATATCCCGAAGGAAACCCAAACAAAAATTAACGCCGGGTTGATCGGTTGATTCTTTTGCAGAATCTCCCATTGTAGAGGGGGTTTTGGGAAACACCACTCCTCGCTCTTAACTCTTACCAGGCCGCAAGAGCTCCGTTGAGCGGAGCTGCCAATAGGCGTCAAAGGCCGTCATTGGCAACGGAGCAGGTGCTGGTGCTGCCATGGAACCAGCTCTATATGTAGCCTTTAAACTTGAGCCAGTGCCTTGCAGCATATCCTCAAGGTTTTGAGCTGCAAGCAACACCTGTTCAAACCAGTGTGCCTTCTTCGGGTTCAGCGTTTTTTTAAGATCCCCAGTTTGGCACTCCCCATGAAATAGACCAGACCCAAGCTTCACTGAGAAGTCAAGGTCCGGACCGCCTGGGGTCGTAGCGCGTGAGCCGGTCGAGCAGGTCCACGCCATCTGCACCCACCTGAAGCACAAAAAGCCTTGGGTGAGAAAATATGCGCCCTTTGAACAACATGGATGGCAAATCGTCACAACCTTGAACCAATGCCAATCATGTTCAACCCAACTGACCTATGCAATTGAACGCTTGATGAATAATCCTAAAATGATCGAAGCACCGCCCACGAAAGGATCCTTCTTCGTGGGTAAGCTCATTGTATATTCCAGGTGGCCTGATAAGGAATCAACTAGTCAGAAACATGCAGCTGATGACCTCTCTCTGTGAGCAGAAAGGTTCTGCTGTCGCTTTGGTTCATATGGCAATGACGTCTGCTCTCCTGAATTAACTCTTGGAAATCTGAAATGGGCAAGGGTGCTGCGCAATCCTCACCAATCCAAGTCAGTTGAATTCAATGCAAAACTATCTTGAGGATTTGTCCCATCTTTGTCTAAACTGACTGAATCATTTTCACAGCCTGGCCACACATTGCTAAGGGAATGGGGAATTTTAATTGTGAGCCAACTCCTTCCCAAATTTGAAGGTTTTTCTCCATCGGTTTCTCTTTGATATGCCAAAAAACATGTATATGTAAATTGCTGGGCCATGTTTTGCCTGCTGATTTCCGGGTTTCTTCCCTCAAACGACCCAATTCGACCGTCCGCGCCTTCGCTGCAGTGTCGCGGATCTGCCCCCAGGACCGCGAAGCCCAGTGGGGGAAGGTGGGCCTGGGACGGCGATGGCCCGAACTTGGTGCGCTGAAAATCCACGGGTTTTGGGAATGAACCTGGTAGCAAACCACGGATGCTTCGTGGGGCTTCCCTCATTCCCGCGCAGCAAACCAAGCCCTCACGCCTTTTGTGAAAGATTGGGCATCTAGAAATCCCCTTGCTTCTATGAAGCCTTGCAGCCAGCTGATGATCGGATGGACACTGAGCAATGGCAATTCCCGCATGCTTTCTCGCTTGGAGCATGTGTGAGTGCGTTGCCATAAATACAGTGTACACTTGTACAGGCAAGCTTCTCCTGAGCCAGCGATTGAGTCTTTGAGCCTACCCCAAACGGTGAAACCTACACGTGTAGCACACCATGTCTCGGCAGTGGCGACATCTGAAACCGTAGTGCTGCATCCAGAACCCGCAGTTTGAGCATTCCTCGTTCAAGCCACAATGGCCGTAGTGCTTCTCGATCCAATCACCGTGTTGACATTCCCCGGCACGGAGTCTTTCTCGGATCTGCTCACGCTCAGGCTCCTCAACCCTTCGTCGTTCAACACGCTCCACAATTGCCACTGCTCGACGCTCCTCTACCAGCAGGTTTTCCTCCTGCCACAAGTCACAGCGACACTGCTGATCGGGACCAGCGGCATTCAGCCATGCAGTGCCACAAACGTAGCAAAAGTGATGTCCGCAGCGGCAGGTCATGTGGTTGCATCCGGATGAAAGTTGCACCATGACTCCGCATTTGCCACATTTCCGCCAGCCCTTCCTGTCTGCCAATTCTTGAAATTGCAATTCCACCTCTGACATGTTCCTTGATTTGGCTTCGCTGCATGTCATGTCGGGGTGTGCCGCCCCCCGACAGCTGAGGCACAGCAGAGTGGTGCACTTTGGGCAAGGGTAGTCAGCATGGTCTGAATCAATCATGTCCAGGTTCAGGAAGTGCGAGCAGTAGGGGTTCGAGCAGTACATCTTGTTGACTGCCATGGCCTCCTGCATCCTCTCCACGAAGATCACGTGCTCATGCGCTCGCAGTACCCGCTGAGCAAGACCTATCTCAATCTTCTGCTTGCAACAGCGGACTGGCCACAAAGTCAAGTCGCTCACAGCGCTCATGAACAACTTGCTCAAGCAGCTTCGGCACATCTTGTGATCGCAACTTAATTTGTAGCAAGGCTTCACATCAAAGCAAGATGCACATTTCACAGCCGAAGTCAGTAAAAACACTGGCGCTGACTCGGGAGAAGAAAGCAATTTCCGTGGGGCTTGGTGGCTGGAACTAGCGGCCTCATCGAGGTGACTTTCAAGCTTTTGGCTTCCTTGGGACATCTGGCTCATCTCTTCAACTTCAAAATCCTCAGCTTCTGAAGCCTCCGCTCCCGCTGCAACTTCTTGAGCAAACTCTGCCTGCGCTTGCGCTTGCTGCGCAGCTACTGCTTGCGCTTGCGCTTGCGCTTGCCGCAATACTGCACGGACTTGCTCCTCGCCTCTGGCTGCATTCACGGCAGCAGCCGCTCGGGCATCGGAGCACTCCAAAGCTCGGAGTTGCTCAAGGTGCTCATGGAGCTCCCTCGCGGCGGTGCCGCTGGCTTCTGCGGAACGCTGCAGTCCAATCTCAATGGACTGAATTTCGTTGCTGAAATTCGCGTCATCGATGACTGCCTGCAGCTGATGCATGTCCTCCTGCCACAACTCCACCGCCTTCACAAAGTCATCCTCAGCCTCTGGAGAGCTTAAACTGCGGGTGCTGTCGGTTTTCAAAGATGCCAGGTCATCCTTCACGCTACTGAGCTGCTCGGAAACTGCCTTCTTCAAGTGCCGGTTCTTTTCCAAATGGCGGACCTGATCTACGCGGCTCATGAGTTCCTTGCGGACTGCAAGGCTTGAAATTCGCAGCTCTGAGCGGATGTCCTCTGGTGTAAGATCCAGAAGAGTTTCGCCATCGACCTCATTCAGCCGAAAACTCTCCAGAACATCTGGCCTGGCTACTTGAGGGCCCTGTTGCAGAAGCCACGCCTGCACGTCTCCGATGCTCCACTGCGACACTTCCGGTGTGGTCATGGCGCTCACGAGAACTTGCCACTCAGCTGGTGGATGCCTTGATCACAAGCCGAGCCGGCTGCAAACATGCGGACAGGTAACTGGCAGCTTGCATCGTGTGACTTGAAACGATCCGAATGCCGGCGCACATCTGAGTAACGAGGGCTACCCCGACTTAGCCTCGCCCAGCGCCCGGGGCTCCTGGCTTGAAGTGAGGCAGCTCCGACAGCCCTGGCCAGGTCGCCTGCGAGGTCTCGGTTCGTAGGTTAGGGTGGTGAGTGAAGAGTCGTGACTGAGTTTGACAGATTTTGCACAAACAGCCCCTTCTCAACAACTTAAATTAGAGCAATGCCCTGAGCTGCTCAAGTACAACTATACAATTATGCTGGCTGGAAGCTGATGCTGTGCTTCACATGAGTCGGGAACACCTTCCATGGAAAAAAAAGGAAAGTATGCAATGCAAAAAACAGGGAAAATCAGGCTTGTCCTCATTGAGGAACAGAGCCGTGGCAAGTGGCAAATTAGCAAAGTGGCGAAGCTGCTCCCAGCGCCTCGTTGGGCGTTCCCAACCTCTGAAAGATCTTGAAGATGGTGTCGATCTCCTTGGCAAATCCGCATGGGCTCACCCTCTTGCATGGAGTTTCCGTACCCCATTCAACCTTTGTTGCGAGATTTCGGCGTCACATGCGAGTCGCACTTGCTCTGAGGCAGTCATTGTTGGCGTCAATCAAGCAACCCAGCACGGGTGTATGGGTTCCAACTGAGGACCGTTTGGCGGACATCGTTCACATTGGATTGCTGTCCGCCAACCATTTGTGAGGATGTCCCACAGCAAGATTCATGGTCAAATACACAGACTGCAGCCAGGTTTCAGAGTCCCCTGGGAAAAGCGGGCCTCCAGTTGCCATCTGCAGGGCAGGTTCAATGAAAGCTGCAGTGTCCAATGACTGTCTCCATGCAACGCACTGTTCAAGTTCTATAGCACGAAAAGCAGGTTTCAGGAGCAATGTGAGGAGCATCACCAACCCGACAGCACACCTCTGCTATGACGCAGCCGCAGCTCCAAAGGTCTACAGGCAAGCTGTACCTTGGTGGCACGATGTGGAGAAGCTTGCAATGGAACTTGCGTTAGCAAAAACAACGCCACTGCGTTTCCAAGATATTGAGTGCGTGCTGCAGGCAGAAAACATGTTGCTCTTTCTTTCATCAATGAGGCATCGCAGCTTGAAGTCGCTTGCTCAGAGGTTCCAAAGGACCCGGCTTGAGGCTGCCAAGCAAGATCTCCGGCGGTCGGTACCACACAGTGACCACTTCATGTGTGTACCTGCGAAGGGCCGATGTCTCTAGCTTTGTATGCGTGACAAGCAAGGAAAGCAAACAGGGAAAAAACGCAACGGCCTTCTACGAGCAAGGATGCGAGTGAAGCGGGACGAGGCGGGAATCCGCAACGATATATTGGAAAAACCGCCTCCTGCTCGCGCTGCCCCATCCCCTCCTGAACACTCCCCTTGCCCTCCCCTGTAACACGCTTCCAAAAGAAGGTTGCGCGTATCAAAGTCACTGGCCCCGGAGCGAAACACCAACGCGATGCAACCAACCACCCACGGACCGAGTTTGCCCAAGCCCTCGTTTGGACATGTTCGAACGACTCTTTGAATAAACCTTTCAGGAGTCCATCTGCAAAACAGCAGCTCGCAGCCCAATGTGTCCTTTCTTCTGGAGAACGGCAAGGCCGGGGCTGGCCTGTGAAACGCACCAATGGGCCAATGCCTCACAAGTGCTAAGTGCCCTTGGGGCGAAGGCTCGTCCGAATGCCGCCGAGCCTTGAGAAACAATGACTCTTACCTACCGTTGTATTTTGATTAACCCAATGAAGAAACAACAACAACAACACGCAGAACATGTTTTGTCTGAGAAAAGGGCAGGCAGGATTTCGCTCTTCCAAAAGCCTTCGCTCGATGTCAACATGGCGCACGCCCGCGACTTCTTTGGAAGGGACTTCGGGTCACTACATATGGGTATGTGTCAAAACTAAGCACTGTGGCGTGCTCTGAGACGGCCGGCATGAAATCAGCCCATTGGAGAGGTCCCTGGTTTTGACACATCCCCATAACCTCTGGGCCCATGTCCTCCCGAGTCCCTTCCAATGAGATTCAAAGGGCACTCGGGAACTGTTGAAACTGTGCAGGTCTCCAACCCCTCTGAAGGGCGCGACTTGGAAGATGGACACTGCCCCCTTCCCTCGCCTTACGCGGCCTCAAAGCTTCGACAGGCCAAACCCGCTGTAGGGCTCAGGCGCCGGTGTCTGAGAGGCTTTGGGCTTCATGCCTGCCTGCCAGGCGACTGCCAGGCGACTGCCAGGCGACTGCCAGGCGACTTGCCCCCGGTCTTGTCAGCCTCTGTTTCATTTGTTTCCCCCCCAGGTTGAACTGGTTGGTCTGATGCCCCCTCCCTTCCACCCTCAAGCTGCAAGGATCACTCCACACCTTCTTGTAGATAGCATCCAGGACAGCAGCATTCCGCACCGTGTCGGAGGGTCCCTTGCCTAAGTAGGCCCACGGCATGCCCGGGTTCCTCAGCTGGGCAGTCAAGCGAAGGCAAACAGTTCAGCCAGCTTCTTGGAAGCAGTGTCAAAGCAGTGCGCTTCAAGTTTTCTCAGTTTTGTCTTGGGGTTCCAACACAGTAGCTATTCGTGAAGCAAGCATGGTCGAAGTTGCCCAGGCACATTGCTGGGTTGACTAGAAGGCAGACTTGCTTGCAGTTCTTAGCTGCCACTCTTGCAAGCAGCCGAAACCATCAGTCAGGATGCTGGCCGCGCTCTTGGTGGGCAACTTCATCTGCAAACGCCATCAGCTGGAAGTAGAATGTGTCGCCTCGAGTCTGGCATGCAGCGTGCTCTGTGAAGCAAGTGAGCATCAATTTCAGGCTCCGAAACGGGGATCCGCCTCTCACCTCGTGAAAGAACTCCAAATATGAAGCCACAACTCCGATGCAGAAAGCCGATGAGATCAAAGAGATCTGAGCCGCGATTCGCCGCGTTGTCCACCCGCTCGACCCAGGACTCGCCACTCCTCAGCGCTTCGAGCGCCAGGTGTCAAAGCGTGACTCCACCCGTAAGGGGGGGTGCGGGGTTGCGGGGCTGCCCCTCCGAATGGCAACATTTTGTAGGTTGATGGACCACCATTTTGGTGCCTTGGCTGTGGGTTCTCTGAGCCGAAGGTCTCTGCGAACTGCTCCAGCCTGATCTCGTTAGAGCTGCGCCCCTGCCCCGTGAACCACTCCTGCACACCTCGGAGCAAACCCAGGCCTCCGGAGGAGCCTTGACCTTTGCGCAAAAGGTCTCCCAAACAGGGAAGAAAAGTCTCTCGCCAAATCGTGGCGACAAGAAGCCAAACAAAGACCAACCCATCGCAGAGACACACTCAGGACGCAGCGAATCATGCCATCCGTGCCAGAGATGGTGAACTTCCTGGGCGCAAAGAGGCACAAAATCTGCAGATTCGCATGGTTGAGGTGTTTTTGTTACGAGGTGTTTTTGGTACTATCCCCCGCCCTCTTTTTGCTAGCCCCGGCTTAGCACAAGGCCTCCCCTCATCCCTTGCTCCTACTGAGAGTTGCTCGGGGCTAGTTTCAGGTGAGGGCGGGTCTTGGTTTTGTTTGGGGTTCACATTAGGCTCGGTAAGGGGCTGATATCCAGGATGCTGCGCGGCTGGTTTAGCAGTGGCTTTAGGGTTGCTTTGGGGATGTGGTTGCCCGAGCAACTCTCATCTGCCACCAAGCCAAAGCCAATAGGCAGCCGTAGGTCCTTGCGAGGCCGGGGGATGTGGCCGACGGCCAACCAACCAACCGACCGACCACCCACCAACCAACCAACCAACCAACCAACTGACTACGGCTCAGCCCCGGCCAGGTCTAGTAAAAACAGAAACACCGGTTTCGATTCACATGGAACCCCGATTTGCGAGAGGCCCTTTTTGGTTCAATATTCATTGCAGGGGAGCAAGAGCTACTCCTTTTCGGGCAAGAGCGGCATCCTCAACCCATTTAATTGTTGGTCTCTGCCATTAGCCATTGCTGTCAACCCACCTAGCAATCTGCTCCCAAATGTTTGAACAACCTTTGTTCAACCCATGCAGCTCCCAGTGCAATGTCAAACTTATGCTTGAAAGTTCGTTCTGCCAACGGCCAGTGCGTGCAGCCCCTGGCATATGGGTAGGTCAACCTAGGGGACCGCAACATGGCTCCCTTGTGACCCAACCTCAAAGTCCGAAAAATCCCAACTCAACACATCCATCTCAGCCCGAGCATCGTGGGGGACTTGGCCATCTGCGGCAGCACGGAGCAGCCGATGTGGGCGCCGCCGCCATCTCAGGTGGCCCAAAACGGCTGAGGTGCGAAACGGGGCAGGGGCATGTTTTGGAGGATACATATCCTTTGAAAAACCCTTTTTTTCTCACCCTCCAAACCACTTTTTTTTAACCTTTCCCTGTTGTTTAAACCCTTCACCCTTTCAATTTATTCCTCCCCCCGTCTGTTTTATCCCTCCCCCCTTCTTTTTTAACCCTCCCCCCTTCCTTTCTGACCCTCCACCTTTTCCTTTCAACCCTCCATTTCATTTTTGCCAACCCTGTTCTTTTGGCCGACGCCTGCGGCAACTGCACTAAGCAACGGTTTCGGGTTGGGTTGGCTTCGGAGTGGTTTTGGATTTAGGGTTGGTTTAGGGTGGTGGATTTAGGGTTGGTTTCGGATGGGAAGGGTGGATTTACGGTTTTGTTTAGGGTCGGTTTTGTGTTGGTTCGGGTTGGGTGACCTCAGATTTAAGGCTAGTTTGGGGTAGGATTAGGTTTGCGTGGGAAGGGTTTAGAGGCGGGGTAGGGTTTGTTGAGGGTGGGTTTAGGGTTGGTTTGGGATGGAAAGGTCAAGTTTGTGGTCGGTTTAAGTTTAAGGTTGGTTTCGAGCAGGTCTCTGCTGGGTATATGGTGGGTTCAAAGTTGGATAAGGGTGGGTTTTTGGCTAGGAGAATGGGTCTACAGTGGGTTTATGATTGGTTTAAGGTTGGTTTAGGATGGATGTAGGGTTGGCTAAGGGTGGGTTTAGAACGGGTTTAGGGTGAGGTCAGGGTTGGGATAAAGGTTGGATTTACATGGTGTTAGTTTACGGGTGGATTTAGTGCTGGCTTAGAATCTGTTTGAGGTGGGTTTGGGGTCGGCTTCGGTTGTAGGGTTGGATTAGGTTGACTTGGAGCAGGAATTCGGTGGGTTTGTGTTTGATTTAGGTGGTCTAGAGTAGGTCTCTGGTGGCTGTAGGGTTAGCTCAGGGTTGGTGTAGGGTTGTTTCAGGGCGGGTTTGCGGTTTGTCTATGTCTAGGGTGGCGTTGGGGTTGCGCTAGGGGAGGCTTGGGGTCGCTCAAGGGTGGCTTAGGGTTGATTTGGGGTGGCTTGATTTCAGGTGGGCTTAGGGTTTTTAAGGGTATGGTGTTCGTTTGTTTTGGGTTGGATATAGGCTGGTTCAGGGTTGGTCTGGGATGGTTTAGGGTGGGGTTTGCGGTTCGTTTAGGCTTGGATGTGGATTGGTTTTGCGGTTGGCCTAGGGTTGGCTTCACTGGATTTAGGGTTGGGTCAAGCTCAGCTTAGAGTCTCAGGGTGCGCTTAGAGTTGGATCAGGGTGGATTCATGGTTTGGAGTGGCTCAGGGTTGGTTGGGGTTGGTGTTGGGCTGGCCCGGGTTGAGTTTAGGGTGGGGGCAAGGTTGGTTTAGAGTTGGTTTTTGCTGGGCTTGAGTTTAAGGTTGGTTTTCGGGGGGTGGTTTGGGATTGGTTAAAGCTGGGTTTAGAGTGAGTTTAGGATTGGGTTAAAAAGCTCGTTTTAGGGTTGAGGGTTGGTTTGGGTCAGTGGGTCTATTCAGGGTTGGTTTAGGTTGGGCTTGGGGTTGCGTTAAAGCTAGATTAGGGTGGGATTGGGGTTTAGCTGGGTTTCGGGTGGGTGTATTGTTGGCTTAGGCTAAGCTTAAGGTGTGGGGTGAGATTACGGTTGGATCAAGGTTCGGGCGGGTTTAGTAGGGTGGGTGTAGCGTGGGTTCAGGACTGGCTTGTTGTTTTAGGGTTGGTTTAGTTTGTTGATTTAGGGTTGGTTTAGGGTCGGTTTGGGATTGGTTACGGGTGGGTTATGTATGCTTTAGGGTGGTTTCGAGTAGGTCAGTGGTGGTGTAGGGTGGATGTAGCTTGGCTTGGGGTGGGTTTAGGGTTGGACAAGAGATGTTTCTGGTTTGCTTAGGGCTTGTTTAGCGTGATTTAGTGTAGGGTGGGTTTGGGGTGGGTTTGGGCGTGTTTGGCTGGTTTGAGATTGATTTAGAGTTTGGCTGGTTTGAGGGTTGGCAAAGTTTGGCTTCGGGCGGGCCTAGGGTTGGTTTGGGTTGGGTTGGGTGCGGGGCGGGCTTAGGTTGTTTTGGGTTTAGGGTGAGAAAACAAGGTTGCGCGGTGAAACAAGCAAGCTGGCGGGTAAAAAAAAACACAAAAACGGCGGAGGGTGAAAAAAAGGATTTCTCAGGGTTGGAGAAACAAGGTTCCCGCAGACGGTTCCCAAGCAGGGTTTGAGGCTCGAGGGTTGAAAAACCAAAGGAAGGTAAACAAAAAATGGAGGATGAAAAAAAAGGGAGCCCATATCCTTTTGAGGGCTGCTGTATGCTGTTGCAAAGGGAAGCCAAGGGCTTCTCTTTTAATTTGAGGGGGGGGTCCTCTGATTTGAACTAGCGCTGCCAAACTCGGCAAATGCCAATAGGTTTTCCGCAGTTGTTGGGCCAGGAAGTCAGGCCCAATAGCGCCTGACTAAGCTTGAGAGTTGGCCACTGACTGTGCCACCTTAGAGCGAAAAAAGCGTCGGCACGCTTGGCCAATACAAGGCCCCCCGGCTTTGCAAGCGCAGATTGCAGCTCATGGCGGCGTCAACATTGGGATCATCGCTCCTCGGATGTTAAAGCCTAGCTTTCATGTCGGTTTCCAAGTCTAAGCAGCAGTAGCACCTTTCAATCTAGACATATGCTCTCAGTAGGTGTGGAGGTCATACAATACAACTCAAACTCTCTGAATAAGCTAAAACAACCCTAAATACGCCATTATGGATGATTGAACTCCCGAATCTACGAATCAGCTTTCTGCTCTCAACCTGACGAGTTCTGACTCTCTGACTCCCCCTCTCGGGGACGCGCCGGAAGCCGCAAAGGTGCAGGCTATGCGAGGCAAGTCTCGACTGTTCCGCCTTAGCGCGCTTGCACCAACATCTGGCAGCTCACAGCATCAATCCGCAATTCCGGCCATTCCACACACAGCTTTATGGTGAACTGCGTAGTTGGGGGGGGTTGCCCCAATCCTATGTGTCCAGGCAAAAGTGAAACATCATGTTGTTTGTGTCCTCCCGTGTGCCACGGCTTCAGCTTAGCTGAGAATCAATCAGAAAAATAAATCACGACAGGGTGAAGGAGATGTCTCCATGCACTGACGGTTCTGTGGATAGGAGTTGGCACATGCACACCAAATCCTTGAACACAGCCCCAAGGCTTCTCTCCGCAAAGGAAGGTGAAACCGGAACAATGGTCCCGCTGCTGAATCTCCACATGCAAATTTCACGTTCTCTGTGTCTTCAGAAAAGGTTCACAAAATCCTGGCGCGCCAGCTGAAAGCTGGTTCCGTTCACTCGTTGCAGGACACTGAAGACCATCTTCACGCTCTTGCCCCAAGCAGAATGATCAAGGGCCATCATCCCGGTGCTTTCGAGGGGAGATAGCCCTCCTCCGAGCGTGTCTCGCCGAGAAAGAACATCACTCCTGTGGTTGGAACAATTCGCAAGCACGCTTGCAGGGTCAAGGACAACAACATCTTCGCCACGTAGCCCGATGGTTGGCTGTCCATCTGACCGTCCCGAAACGTCTCCCTAGCCCAGAAGATGACCAAACCAATGATCACGGCAAGGCCAATGAACAGCCAGCAGTAGACGATAAGCATGGGGAGGCAGTGGGTGAAGAGTACCGCGAATGGCAGTCCACCAGAACAAACGAGCAAGGCAAAGAAGGCAGCCACAACCCCTTCGCGGGTGAACAGACTCGCCACCAACAAATCGACAAATAGCTGAACCCCGGTGTTGAAATGGTTGGAATTCATGACGATGTAGACAGTCCAGTTGTAGGTTGCCCAGCCTGTCTTGAATTTAGTATGATTCTGTATCCAATTCATGGTATAAGCCGTACTAATGTAAATGATTTGACCGGTGCTTCTCGACCAGCGCAATGTTGCCATGCATCCATCTTCTGTGGGCGCCAGGCACCAAGAGACAAAGAAGTAGAAGGCATCGATGCAGGCAATGATTGTGATAGGTTTCGGCGGCATCCCAGCTCCAAATTTCAAGGAGCCCTCGAGCCATAGCTGTTTGTCTAGCTCGAGGCCTGGCGAGTTGGTGTGGAAGGGCTCCCAGTCCAGCAACAAGCGTCCACACAATCGAGTAAGCGATGATTGCTGCGAGACTTGCTAGAGTAAAGCAGAGAGCGCCTGCGAATGCCTGAATGCCGTCACAGGCCTCATCGGACTCTCTGCCACAATGAATGACCCCCACACCTAGCAGCGCTAGCAGAAAAAGGAGCAGGAGCAGCCACCAAGAGTGCGGCCAATTCTTGACAAGAAAGAACAAGCCAGCCGCAAGAGTTGCGATCCAAACCGCTAGCAGCAATGCGCGGCCTAGATATACCGGGTCACCATCATCAGTGAAGTGGGGATGCAACAATAGCGCACATCAGGGCCACTGCAGCTGCCACAGAAATGACGAAGAGGACCCAAACAATCCCCTTCACCACCCAGTACATCGAGCTCAAGGCGAAGTCTGGGGCGAAGTCCGGCTGTCCATGAGAGGACTTCAACCCAGCCCATATGTGTCATGCCCCTGGAATGCATGCCAACAAGCACCAGTGTGATCACTCCACTTGCCACCAGCAGGATCCTTGCCGACTTGGCCATGCATGCTCGACTCAGCATTGCGTATGTTGCAAGCCAAGCTGTGAAGCTTGCGACTGTTCTCGAAGCCTGCAGCTTAAGCTTGAGCCTCAAGGAAAAGAACAATGGGAACTGCCCTCCCCGACAATCCTTGGGTCTTGCAGCCTCGGCACAGTGGCGCTGACCACGGTGGGTTCGTCGTTGCAAAGGGCGCGGATGATGGCCACGCCGTGCACGCCGATGCCCATGAGGGCCCCCGTCTTGGAGCAAACCATCTTACCTTGGAGGGAGAGCCAAGTTGCAGAACAGCCGTTGTGCAATCCGAAGAAGGTTCTAAAACCCTGGGGATTTCAAAACTGTGGGAGTTTGTCCGCTTCCTTTCACAACCCTACACCAAACAACGGTCTCAAGGAGCCGAGTGCAGAGAAAGTGTTCCCCCATGCCCCCACCATCATGGCTGCCATGATACCCTGCAAGGAGTGTCCCACAGGCATACCCAGGTCGATGTGCTCCAAGGTTCCTGCAAGAAAATGTCAAATTCTGAAGCGAATTCCAGCAAGCGAGCAACACGGACAAAGGTCAGCCATTCTCGGCTTCCTGTCGATCTCCCTGCAGTCCTATCTTCCCCTCCAGGATCATCTGCCGCACACGCTTAGTCACCGGGTGGCATGTGGGGTGCGTGCCCTCCATGAGAACTCGGCCGGCATCCTGGCAGAACGTCTGTCGGAAGCACACAGACAGTCATTGCCTGTACCTTTCTGCCAATTGTACTCAGCTGCGAGGAAGTACTTTGTTCCGTGCCACTCTAGGAATCTTCTTCAAAGGTGATGCCATGGCTTACGCAATGGAAGCACACGGCTCGATCCAAGCCCCGACCTTCGGCCCGCCTCCGATGCTCGCTGGGTGATCACCGCCTCTCTGGCATTTAGCACCTTAGACGCTGTCAAAAGGAAGCGGGACCCTTTGGGGGGGGGGGGGGGAAAGAAAGAGAAAGAAAGAGAAAGAAAAGGAAAGCGACCGTTTGGAGATTTGTTTTGACGCGCAGCCAACCGATTGTGACATTGTACATCTTGTATCCTAAAGCACCTCCATTGGGTAGCCTACAGCGTGGCCAGACCTGGTGGCAGCCAAGGCTCCGAAGGAGTCTCACAAAGCACGTGCTTGCCGGCCATAATGGCGCGGACTGTCCAGTGGCAGCGTACAGCCACCGGCAAGGCGACATACACCTCAGCCCAGAACGCCCATGAGCTGCGGAGGGGGGGGGTTGGCGGGGGGGTTGGGGGGGGGAGCTGGACCAAATCGGCTTTGCATGGTTTTGGGTTGCTGGCTACGTAGCAAGCATGCCTGCAGCTTCAAACAAACATGCTGCCGAGAGTCCGCTTCCACATCTTTGTCTGCTAACAACTCCTGGCAAACATATGTTCTGCTCTTGCAAGTATGCATGCCACTTCCAAACCAATGGGGGCTCATTTCCTTCTCCGGCAGCTCCCTTGAAACTCACTACAGCGAAGTCGTGTCCTCGAAGCTGGCATAGGCCTTCTCGATTCCCCAGTCCTGGCCAACGATTTCCAGTTCCGCTCAAGTTCCGGAAACAACGGGGGCATCCATCGAAACAACAATACTTGCATAGTTCCAGTCACCGAAATCGCTACCCCTGCTATTTGACATGTTGGCCAGCCAGGAACAGCCCCGGAAAGGAATGCCAAAACATGACAGAACCTCGGGCCGAAAGAAGTCCCTCTCCTTGCACGCCGCCTCCGCCTCTGACTTCTGCAGAGAGGCCAGGCCCACCACTTTGATCCTACGAGTCGCTGGCTCGGCTTGGTTATGCAGCACCGAAAGCGTGGGCTTTGAGGGTCCGGTCCATTTGCCGGTCCAAAGAGAGAGAGTTGTTGCAACCAAAACAGGGATGCACTGAGGAAGGTGGAGATAGGCCCTACTTGTCTATCATGCGGGGGTCCTCCTGCAACATACCACAGGAATTCTTAGCGATTCCCGCCATTTGGCCTGTAGCGTTCAGGGTAGCATGCCGTAGGTGGCATGCCGTGGAAAAGAATCCGCGAGTGCCTGCATTGCTTCCAGATATTCAATGACGGGCTCAAGAATACAAGGGGTCCCTTTCTTACTGCAACAACGTGGGGGCGTCAACTATACACATCTTCCAACCCAGGGACAGTATACCAGTAGTGCCAGTAGGGTCTTCCAGCAAGTGGCGGGTGATCCTTACCACATGGTCATCAAGGGACGCGGTAGAGGATGAGTAGCGGTGTTATCTTTTTGCTTTGTGCTAGCACTGTTTTTTCGTTCTTTCTTTTTTTCGCATCCCCAGCATGACTGGCGTCACTTGAACCTAGGGCTGCCTATTGGCTCTGATTCGGTGGCAGTTGGGAGTCACTAGAGGGATGGGTCTTGGGTTGGTGGGTTCATTTACTCGGCAAAGATCTGACATCCAGGCTGCTGTTGGGTGGGGTGTGGCTTGGAGCTGATTTGGGTTCAGTGTGCTGCTGGTTTAGCGTTGGATTTAGGGTTGCTTTAGGGTGGTTACGCGAGTTTTGGGCTAGTTTTGGTTACGCGCCCAAACCACCCAAACTATCCCACCCTAAAGCCGCCGAACACAAATCAGCTCCAAGCCAAGCCCCAAACTCACCCAAAGCCAACCTCCTCTGGTCACAAGAAATATACCTGCAATGGAAATGGGACATTACGGTTGCCGCTGGAAATGTGAGGCCCCATGTCGCTCCCAGATTGACTTTCGATTACTGGACAGTCTGGTGAGTCTCTCAATATGTATATGGGCGACACTCCGGCAACCCTCGTCCTTGCTGCAAGATCAGGGTTCTTCTTAAGCGGGTGCAGCAGCGAGAAGGGCACGTTCCTGTGCATGTGTGAGGATTTGGAAGGAGACTCTCCCTCGATCCTTGAGTTGAATCGATTGCCAGTCACCAACACCTAGGCAGAACACATTCAAGTGACACCCAAGAGGCGGATTGCAAAAAGACATGAAAAGCCGCCGGTGACGGCCGGAAAAGCCGATGCTCTCGGCCGGGCGGCCGTGCTGCCCCGAGGATCCCAATCCCCAGCTTCTCCATGGCGCCAGCTTCAAGTTGCGAATTGCGACTCGGAGCCCAGGCAGACCGACGGACCGACGGGCAGATGGAACCCCCATTTGCTCCATTTGCTCCAGTTTCCTCCGGATTCCCTGTGTCTCAAAGGGGGACATGGAACCCCTATCCGCAGTCGCTTTGAATATCCCTTTGGCCAAAAAGAGGCACCTGCAAAAAGAGAAGTAAGCTCCATTTCTCGAACAGCGCTGTTAGAACAGCGATTGCAACATCAAAGCTTGTCCAAGCCGGATAAAGAATAAAGGACTTGTTGCAAAACTGATGCAAGACCGGCAACTGCAACAGGGTATCCACAGCAAGCAGCCAGCTAGTGGTCAGCACTCAGCATGCCCTGCCAACTGCAATCGTCCTCAAGCGGATTCCAGAGCTTTGCTGCAGGTTCATCACCAACGCTATGCGCTTTTGCCACGCAGCCAACAATTTGTCTGGTACTGGGGCAAGCTAGCTAAGTCGCTCCTACACGGGCCACTGGGCACAACACACTCGAATTCTACGGGTCCGAAGTGATATTACTTGAAGATCTTCTGCAAAACGCTTTCATCCTGAAGGCAACGTTCTGGGCTGAGGTGTTGCAGCTGTTGCGTCAAGTCTTCGGGCGCAAGTCCTTACAAGTGGCCGAGGCTGGACGAGGTGCGCGCCCCGCTGACAAGGCCAGCAAGACGCACAGGGGGGCACTCTGTACATACAGGCCTCCATATCCCAAGCGGAGCCCCCGGTCATCCGTGCATCACTCGCATCTTCACCGTTCTTGCTTGCTTGAAAATTCCGGATTGCACAACTTTTCTCAACAAACCCACAAGGCAACGGGCAACACTGTTTGGCCTACCCAAGGTGGAAGCTTTGGTGCACAGCCAAAACCCTTTGCGCGACGGCTCAACGAGAGTGGCAGCGCCCGCACCGAAGCTCCAGGCCTTCCCTAGGCCCGGAAAAAGGGCCGACAGGACTGAAAATATTCCGGGCCAGGGCCCGGAGACGTCAGGACGCCCTTGTGGCTTGCTCCTCGTATCTGACTGGCTGGGACGCGGGACACAGTGGTCATGTAAACAGGAAAAGTGCGAGGCTTAAAGCTTACATCCTTTACGACTCTTGGAGTTATCCGCCTGAAGACTCTCGTCGTGGCAAAACTCTGTCGTGCTCCCTTCTGGCTTTTTGGTGGCTGGGTTCTGTGTTGATTTCTCAGCTTTTGTGGGATTATGTGGCGTTTTGTGGCTGTTTTGGCTTCCTTCGCTGGGGTCAAACAGCCCTGTTTGAGCTGAGACCACTGGTGTTTCTATGACATCAGCCGGAGCATGGCGTGGCAGACCGGCCATGTTAGTCGCCGATGCTGGTCCTGGTTGTGGTCCTTCATAGCATGACCATGCCAATAATTGGCTGCTCTTACATATGATAAACGCTTCGGCTCTCCAAAACGCTGCATTGTCCTTTGTGCAGCTAGAGACTTTTCTCCTCTCCAGCTTTCGTTGTGACTGACACTTCCTGCCCACAAACAACTCATGTTTGTCCGCCCCATGTCCCACATGTTTCCTCCTCAAATGTGTCCCACAAAAAGCCGGGAGAAAGACTTGTTTTATCTGCTTTGAGTGGGGCGTCTTCAGTCAAAAGACCTCCCCTTGACAGAAGCCGTGTTTTATAGATCCTTTAGAAAGCAGAAACCGAAAGTACAACAGGGCGCAAGCTGACGAAAGGAAACTGTGACAAATGAGCTCTGAAGAGCACAACAACAAAAATCGGGTTACCCAGCTCCTGCCGCATGTGTTCGAGCTGCTCCTCCAAAGCTTTGTTTCGTGCCTGCCGGTCAAGGGTCTGCCAACTACTTTGCAGTTGGTCTGCATGTCGAAAAAGCAGCACCACGCAACGCCCACCTCCAAGCATGGCAAAAGGCCCTGTACACTGAAGCAATCCACGCAGCACCCTCTGAAGATTGCTTTAATGAAGTGCCGGAGGGTTCGAGGCAGCTGTAGCTCGATGTGCACATATTTTTTGAAGAGGAACAGAAATCAAGGGGCTGGCCAAAGAAGGTGTCTGCGTTTCACCAAATGTCCTGCGAGTGATATATCTCAAACTCGAGCACGGCCCCAACAAGAAGGCTCAACAACTCATAACACGAGGACACATCCAAGGAAGTTCCAGTTTGCCGTGGATAACTTGTATTCTACCAAGCAACATGGCACGGCGTGAAGCGCTTGCAGGCGCAAAGTACAAGGGTCGGTTGCGTTTCTTGCGGCCCAGAAAACATCTGGGCAGCGACAGATCCTTCTACCCTGCAAGCCTCTAGCTCGGCAATCCTCTCGGCAGTAGCCTCCTCCCGGGGCGATCGTTTGCGGGCAGGGGTTGTCAATCACACCGAAGCCGGAGCCACATAGGAACGCGTCGTGGCAAATCCACCGTTCGCATGATGTTTGAAGACACAAGGAAGCCAACCACGGCAACGGCCTAAGTCTGTGTTGGGGGCAACCGCCGGTCAGAAAACGATCCCCTCACTGGGCCCGTAGCAAATCCTTCCAATCCGTACAGCAGCACACATGCTTGCGAGCTTTCAAAAGTAGATAATTTCAAGGAAGGCGTCACAAAACTGCACATTGCCAACTGACGATGAAACTTGGCATGCAGGACAAGAACAGCCTGTCCTTTGCTGCCGGCTTGGCTTCTGCTGCCTGGCATCTCCCAAAGCCCCAGAGCTTTGATCCACGCGGTTGGACATATGTTGGGACCTGGTCTCCAGACTCGACTCAGAAAGTTCACACAGCGCTGGAGGGCAAGTGAGATGCAAGTTTCAGAAATAGCTGCATCTCATGCGGAAACATAGCACTGACCGTGACCAATCTCGACAAGTACGTGCCTATCAAGTCCGACACGAGCAAACTTCATTCCCATTACAGCGACGCACAGTGAAGTCTAGATTCATATCAGCAACCGACAACCTGAAACTTGCGCACAAACATAAATCACGCCAAGGACATCGACTGGAGGACGCCTTCCAAATGGTAACTTGCAGCCTTGCCCGTTGACTTGAGCCTCGGAGCCCTGTGCTGCAGCAGTTTCTCCTCAGAGGCTGAGCCAAGGACCACATGCTTAAATATATTTCAACCAAACCCACTCTGGTTGAAACAACTTCCTTTGGGTTCCCCTTTGTTGGGGGTAGGCGGTGGCTGGATTTAGATCCACCCACATTTGGGAGCAGATGATGCGCCCCCGCCGGCGGTTGTGGAATTGGCTCGTTGCTTACACTGCTGCCACCTAATCCTTTCAGCAAAGTGCAACATCTTCCGCCCCATGCCGCTTGGCATCTTGGCATCTTGGCATTTTGTGCCGTTCGCTTCGTTTCGTGAGAGCCCGGATCCCCTGAGGCTGCGGCCCGAGGATGAGACATTTGAGACATTAACAGTCGCACGAAGCCTCGGCAACAGTTTCGTGACCGTTGGATCATGTGCAAGCTCATTCCTTGCCCTGACTTGCTTCCAAGTAGGAAGGTGCATCAGAGTGCTAGTCAAACACAATGCCAAGGTGTCTTCCGTCCCCACGCCTTGCCAACATTTGCCAACTACCGTGGATTTGGCGGCATCCTCAAGCCTACGTATACGTATCGACAACACAAAAAACATGTCTAAGACTGCCATGGATGGGGCTGCTGAATCACATATCATAGAGCTTTGGCCACATCCGTGAGACCCTCTGACCATCTCTGCTTTCTAGCAGCGAGGACGTGGAGCAGACTGAAGTAGTGGGACCTAGCATCGGGGATGGGGTCGGTGGGCGGAAGTCCTGGAGCCATCTGTCTCGAACCCACAAGGTGGCTTTGTCATGGTGCGTCCTCACCAAGAAACATGGACTGAAAGTGCTGCGTGACCGGCTTGCACTAGAAAGGACGCTCCCCGGGGAAAGGCCGTGTCCTGCCTACCTGGCACTCCGTTTATAACTTCAAGTTTGCAACACTTAACCCACCCGCAAATCTCCAAAGGGCGCAGCTCCACCAACCCACCAACCACTTTGGAGGGTCTTAAGTTCAAAACCATCTGGAGGGGGATGGGTCCATGGTTTTCTTCGACACACGCAGGCCGGCCTGGCACATCCCTGTCCGCCTGCGCCAAAGCAAGACGAGTCGAGTCCATGGGCTGGCGGCTCTGATATGCATCCCTCGGGAATCACCTTAGGCGACACGGCACAACGCGGAACCTGACAAAAGGCTTGCACAAGAACAGCGGCCCTCCCACAGATCACATTCAAGACCCGGGGCTCAGCTCTTTCCAAGGCACTCTGTGCTAAACTATACGTATGGATCAAAGCTCTGAATCCGCATGGACTGTTTAGACTGCTTGGTATCCCCTTCAAAAAGGCGGCAGCACCGTGCAAAAACCTCCCAAGCTTTGCCACGTGATGCCTCGAGGGAGGCCAGCGCTATGTCCGGCAGCTGGCTGTCAAAGTCTGGCACCTGAAGCTTGCCCCGGTACGTGCTGAGGAGACTTTTTATTTGCAATCAAAACAAAGAAGTTTGATTTCAGCCGGGTCAGCCTTGCAACTTCTTTCACTCTCTGACGCATGCCTCCACAAAACAGGCAACATGGAACAACGGTACGATGCAAAAGCTATGCTCACCGTTCATTTGAAGAGCCCTCCCCTTGCACCTCCACGGTACTGGCTGGAGCAAAGGCTCCTGCAGCAAATGCCAAAGAGGGAGTTGGGGGGGGGGGGGGCAAAGTGAGGGTTCAAAGCTAAGAAGGGCTCCCCTGCCATCATCATACTTACCCATGACGCGCCACATGGATGCACCACCATCATCATCACCATCACCATCACCATCACCATCACCATCACCATCACCATCATCATCATCATCATCATCATCATCATCATCATCATCATCATCATCATCATCATCATCATCATCATCATCATCATCATCATCATCATCATCATCATCATCATCATCATCATCGCAACAGGTCCTGTTGTAGTAGCTTCTCAACAAGTTCAAACCCAATGACACGAGCCAAACTCCGCTCCTAAACCCTGCACGAGGTCCACAGGCAAGTAGCAGCTATGTTCTGGCCAGGGAGAGGGCTTTGTGACATGCCCACGTCTCGCAACTTCCAAGCTGACAGTATGTCGAATCAAGCGCAGCTCTCACCGGACTCAACATCTGCTCATGAAGTCTGGGAATGCAGCTCTGCAAGAAGCCACGCCGCCTGGCACATCTGCTTGGCGCCACGTTGGAGACTTGCTAAGGGGAACAAACGGGGCGTGTGGGACTGTGGGATTGAACCGGAGACCCCTTCAAAAGAAGTTTCGTTGCCAGGAGCCTTGTGGTGTCCATGCTAGTGGGTGGGAGGCAACAAATATTGCTGCATGCTGCTGCCTGTGACACAAACGAATCATGTATGCGTTCGCATGACTGCTTCGTGTGGCTGTCCATAAAGAAGGAAAACACAATTTCCTAGCTTTGACACTCACCGTGAAAATGCCTTCCGCTCAGCTAGTGAATCCGGAGCTGAGCCTGCTGTTCTCAGCCTCGACCATCCTGCAAAAAGCATGATCCAGCAGCCCTCTGCAAGTCTCCAAGCATTTGCAAGTGAACCACGCCAATATAATGGGATTGCCCCACGGACATGGAAATCTGTCTCCCCCTGGTTTCGCAGAGAAATTTAGCAAGTCCACCATGACCCTCCATCTTTACGGGGGCCGTCAGAAGTGAGGTTGCATCGAGCTATGCCGTGCCAGCACAGAGGTCTGCAACCAGTCACAGAACTGCTAGGTAAGGCGAAAGTCCTTTGGTTTAACATGCTCTTCTCCTTGTACAAAATGTTTGTATGTGTCGAAGTGCATGACTTTTACTGGTGCATAGTATTTCCAGGACGCCACAGCCAACTGGGCCATTCTGGGGCAGATCTGGAATAAGCACCAAATCTGCTTCGCGGAAAGCCAGGGCAGGCGCCAGCCACAAGCATGGCAAGCGCAGCGAGCACACGGCGAGGAGGGGCGGCGGTGAAAACACTGAGATACGTTCGGGAATTCTGATCTTGATTGATCACTTGATGGCCAGCCGGGCAGCCTGGCGACCCCCCAGCAGAACTCAGATGGATCTGTGATTTGTTTGGCGTCGCTTGCGGGGGGTCGACAGGCTGGATCCTTGTACCTAAAACAACGTCATGAGCCAGGCTACAACATACGACATAAGCGCGGTCCCCTCTGTTTGCATGAGGCAGGCATTCCCTTGCAGCAACGGGCTTTGGGGATCTTAGGTGTATGCAACTTGAATTAGTCTTCACTCGAGCAAAATCAACACCGCACCCTTGCGGTCCTGGAGAGAGTCGTGCGAGCCTTCTCGGCCTGCGCAACATAGCCTCAGGGTTTGTTTCAGATGTTAAGCTGAAGTGAGGGACATCAATGCGTGATGACACGCATAAGCAACTCGTCGTTGCACGTGTGCAGCGCCCTCTTTCCCCCGCAAGAGTTGTAATTGGGCTTGCAAGCAGAACGGAGGAAAGCCCCGGCCAATCTCGGGACCGGCGCGGTTTGTATGGCTACGGCTGCATTTGCAACCTCTTTGCAGCCTCCAGTCCCGCTTCCTTGGTCAGCGCTGTGTGTCCCCGTGTGACAAGCGCAACAAAGAAGCTCTGTACCAGCTGTATAGGTCAAGGCGCAGTGCAGAGTGCGGTCGGCACTCGAAATTCAACACAAAAATTGGGTAAAGTACACGGGCACACCTATTTGGCATGCCAGCCTCTTGAATTGCTCCCTCCAATTCAACTCAGGATTTTAATTCACAGCCCGTTGACAGCCGGTTCTTAGCCAGCCAGTGGCTTCAGGCGCTGCGTTCTCTCCATTTAGAGGTCCAACTCTTTCGCAATCTTCAGGGCACGTTGGCGGCGCTTCTTCTCTCCAGGCCGGCACAGGTGGCAGAAACTGCACATGATGCCGTCGCGGCACCTTCAACGTTGAATATGTTCAAACCCAAACCTACAAACCCAGGCGCAAGGGTTAGACCTTGGATGAGAAGGACGTGTTTGCTTCATTTTGGTCAAGGGCAAAGACGCAAGTTACCAATCGTCCCAGGCACCCCTTGGAGTGGAAGAAGGCGCAGGGCTTACAGCCCAGGGTGCCATGCCACTTGGAGCCCAGACTGGGCAACTCCTGGCGACGCACACAGACCACTAAGTCAAAAGGGATCTACCGTGTTTGTCCCAAAGAAAGTTGAAGACAAACTCATTTGGGTGTGTCTTCGCATCACGGATCCCTCCAAACACTTGGTGGAAAAGAGGATCTCAACTGCTCGGTTTGCTCCCAGGCTACTCAAATTGGCCACAGGCACTTGTCAAAATCATTCGAGCCATGACGTAGCAACCCTTCCAATGATTGCCTAGACTTGTTTCGTCCATGACCATCCCTGTCCCAGAGTTAAGGGGTGTTCCACTTGAACGGACATGTAAGCCAAGTGGGGTTCCCAGAGGACCCCTTTCCAGTAAATCACCAGGGACCGATTTGGAGTCATGTCCTCAGAGCCCGGAGCCGGCTCCATGGGCGCGGGCAGGGGAGCCCTGACTGCCATGTGAGGGATCATCAGCACGTCATCTGCTGCCTCCCAGGTCCACTGGCCCACGCCCTTCCCCAATTGAATGGCCCGACTTGGCCCGTGATGATGGTGCATGTCCATTGTTGGGCGGTGCGTTGGAGAAGAAAAAACCTGGAAGACTCTTTTGACGATCTCAGAAGAAAGGGTAAACCACTACTCCCTGCCTCCGTCTGGGAGGCGTAGGCTACCTTTGTGGTGCCGTCCTGCCCGTTGATGACGACTTTGAGCATTGCAGGCGACGGTGGGCTTGCCATCAAAATGGGCTGCCTGGGTCCTGCTTTGCCTGAGGAAGTGCACTGTGATTTGAGCCAAAAGGCTTTCGTTGGGAACTGCTCAACCCACAAGCTCTTCAACAACTCCCTGCTCGCCGCTACCCGTTTCCGGATGCTACCACTTCGTGTGTTGGGGCTTTTCTGCCTAGCGTATCCATTCCGGGCAGCCGAGACGGGGCCCCCGGCGCTCCCGGAACTGCCGACGCAAGCCAACCTCCCGCAGCGCTGAATAGTAGGCCTCAACCACAGCAAGGGACATCAAAGAGCCCAACCTTGTCTCAACCCCCTGTCTTCTTTTCGGCGAAGATCGCAAAACTAGGGTTCTGAATCTCGAATCCCAGATCGCAACTCCAGAGTTCTGAGCACCGAATCCCAAGGTCCAAATCCCAAATCAAGAGTTCCAAACATCAGGTCCTTTCCCAAGCTCCTCGTCCCGAAATCCCCGCAGTGAAGCAAGGGACTCTCAGCTAAGTTTCTTCTGGAGGGGGCTGCCAGGGCTGCCAGGCTTTAGCAATAACACAAGCGCTGCCTTGCCTAGTTGACTACTGCTGCAACTAGACCACCATGTTCGGCACAATGGAAGGCTGAAAATTGCAGTCATTGCCGGCATGGCGGATTGAATGTTTTGTAAGCAATTAAGCAGAGGGTGGTTCAATTGCGCGGTCCCACATCCCGATGTCATGTCCGAATTCCATAGTTGGGATTCGAGCCCGAAACTCAAACATGGGATTTGCAATTCGAGCCCCCGAATCCCGACCGCCGCAGCAAACCATGATTGATCGACACTCAAACAAGCACGGAAGAGCAACTGAATACAATTCATCAGGGCCTGTCTCCTCTCAACCCAGACCCAACATGTCTCTCCACCTTCGGCATCTTCTGCAGTCGCGCCAGTTGCTGGGCTTTGCTGCTTTGCGCCTCACCATGACCCAGGCACCAAGGATTGCGATTGCCGCAAAGTCTGAGGCACTCACATTAACTTCTTCCTCCAGTAATGCGGCTTGCCTCTCCACATAGCGCACCTGTGCTTGCACTAACAGAGAGAGAAGAGAGAGAGAGAGAGAGAGAGAGAGAGAGAGAGAGAGAGAGAGAGAGAGAGAGAGAGAGAGAGAGACAGAGAGAGAGAGAGACCACAAAGAGAAAGAGAGAGAGAGAGAGAAAAAAAAAAAGAAGACAAAAAAGAGGAGAGACGGAAAAGGATCAAGGATTCAGCCAAAGCCGCAGCTCGCAAACCCTCACAATCCGCAAACTGACCTAGATGAAGACGGTGCCACAGCGCGCCTTGGACTGCACATAGGCAACTTCACGGAGCCTTTGCACGAACATCTGGTGCTGTCGGTCCTCGGAGCTGCTTACAATCGTGTCTGTTTGATTTACATCTTGGCATGATTTTTGCTTGGCACCTGCTTCATGTCCACCATCAAATTCATGGCCAGTTCTGAGGGTGGGGCCCAGCAGCTCTGGAGCTGCTCCATGGCCCGGAGCAGCTTGGCACAGGCGCTGGTGACGCCTCAGGTACGTCTGAGAAAGGAAAGCGAGAAGTGACAGCCCGGACGGGCATGGAACAGAGCACACAAGGGAGAACCACGGAGGAGGAATAAAGAGATACAGCGAGAGAAAGAGAGCTAAAAGCAAGTTGCCCTGCGTTTCACAGTGGACGTTGTTGGGATCACTTTCGAACTATCCGGCCCAGGATGATCAGACCGCGCAGTCGCTCTTCAACCGGAGCCACTACGTGTGTGCTTCTATTGCGACTGCAGTGGCTGCCATGTCCTGTTCAGCTTGCTGGCGCGTTGTGAGCGCTTTTCGAGCGCAGTCTGAACAATACCATTCTGGATGGCGCGAGATCGCTCAGCAGTCAGATGGCATCAGCCAAGTTGTGGCAGCAGTGACATTGAATTCCTTTCGTGGCTGGGCCAACGGGGCAGGAGTTGCCGACGGCGCTACTGACTTGGAGCATGCTTGGAGTCATGCGTGGGCACAGATTTCTCACCCTAGTCTGGGCTTGCTGGCAGCGATGGTGGCGCTGTCCAAAAGGCTGATGGATCATTTGCCGTTCAGCGTGCCTCTGCATGAAGCTTTGAGCGCTTGGCTACATCTGGAGCCAATGACAGGCCCAGCAGTTCTGAGTGAGACTCCGAGCCATGTTCAACAAGCCTCCTCTGATGCGCAGGAGCTCGCAGTGCTCACCGCCGATGATGTGTTTCCATGGCCTTCTCCTGGCCACAGGTCCCAAACTGCAAAAGCAGCAAGCAATGCGGCAAGCGGCACAAGTCTGGAGATGGTCTGAGGAGATCAGGCTTGCGAAGGTGCTGCAGCTTTTTTTGGAGCAAAGTTTGCGGCGCATGCAAAAGCTGGGCAGAACAAATGCCAGCAGACGCGACCAGCATGTGGACCCTTTGGCTGCTGTCTACATCAACGCAAATCCAGACCAAGGGCATTCTGGATGCTTGCAGGTTGTATCGAGAATTTGTGTCAGACAAAACCCATCCTGCACAGGCATTTGTTGATCAGGGTTGGCTGTACGCTTAAAGCGTGCCTCAGCCTCTTGATGCTGCAGAGAGGCAGGTGCGGTAGAGGGAAACAAGGGCGGGCGGCGATCAATATTACCCCCCCGGCCAAACCCCCCCAAACCCCACCCAAGAAATCCATGGTGGGTCAACCCCGATTGTTTGCACCTGCGGCAGCACAGAAGTAAGTACGCACTAAAACGCAGGGCACACCCATGGGCAGTGACCCACCATGTTGGTGGGGCCTGTACGCAACCCTGCGTTTGTAAACCTAGAAAATCCTCCAACAGTCAGGGATGCTTGAGGGCCGAAGGAAACAAAATCTCGAGTTATTGCAAGTCCTCTGATCTTCAGGTCGGCGAGGGTCTCATACGGGTACTAGCAGCCCAAACAGGTACCCTGAAACCTACATGGCACACTGCTCCAATTGCAGGAAACATAGGAAACAAACCCTAAAAAAAAGACAGCAGCGTTGCTTCTACTTGGCAAAACTGCCTGAATGCCATAGGTTTCTCCAGAATACCCAAAGACCCCACTCGGATTGCCATCCAGCCAGCAACACATGAGTGATTCAGCGACTCGGAAGGTGGATGACAGTGACTATCGTCTGTGCCTCCCACAAAAGCAGTCAAATGCCCTGCTCAGAACCCCGCGATCTCGCAGGAGCGCAGAACGCTTCTCATCCTATCAGCAAACACCGATTCCTCCGAATGGCTTTTACGCAACGCAAAAGGCTGGATAGGACACGAATATACGAACAACTGCAGTTCAGTAAATCCACAAACGCTGATTCAAATAGCGAAAGCTGGACATTTGAACAAATAGCAAGCTGGCAAAACGGAAGTGCAAAACTGGAGGCCCCACCCAAAAATGACTGCTTCCATGGCTTTCCTTGAAAACCGCAGGGGAAAACCGGGGAAAACGGCACCAAGGTTTGGCCCACAGCCACGAGCTGAAAAACCACCCAAGGCTCTCCGCGTCCGCGCGGTGAGCGGGCCTCCAGCACCATGGCCGGAGCCGCGCCGGCCGAGGGCACCTGCAAAAGCCACACGACTCGACCGGGGTTTGGCTGGGGTTCGCAACAAAGGGAAAACCTAAAGGACAGCATTGAGGAGCCCCTTGACACAGAATCTCAAACGAGCCAACGGAACCATGCTCCACGGCAAACAGCATCTGAAGGTCAAATCAGGTTCACACGCATTCGGACTTTCCATGTGACATGTTGATACCTTCATCTCGCAAGAACTTGGGCCACCGGGCTAAGGCCCTCAGCTTGGGCAGCTCCCGCTGAGCGCACACCTGCTGCGAGCCGAGCATACCCGAGCCCCCACTGCCACACCTGGGACACCTTGGCAGTTGACCGAAGAGACCAAGCCTTTCCAATGCTCCCAAAAACGATCAACTCTCCAATGACAGCTCAGCAGCTGAGAAGGCGCTAGCGAAGCTGAGTGCCAACTGCTCTCACTTTGGACCTGTCCGGAGGCCTGCTCCTCATGGATCTGCTGAGCTTCAGCGCCGACCTGGAACACTGTTTCCCCCTTTGAGGGTCCTCGTTTGCGCGTGTATCTCTGGCACTTCCACTGTGCTGGGGCTGCAACCGCGTCCTCCCGAATCAGCTGCTCCACCTCGGGCGCCGGGACTTCCTTCATGGATGAAACCAGCTTGGGACTTGCAAGGGCTGCAAGAGAGACCAATCAAATCAGTGCCGCGCTCGAATTGGGAAGAACTTGTCCTATGCCTCTCAGCCCCTTGAGCCCCTGAGGTGCAGGCCCGCTCCGCCACCTGCTCGCACATGCCCTCCAGCTGGCTGTCCTGTGCGGGCTCCCAGCAAACAAGCCAGCTCCGGCAAGCACCCCGAAAGGCCGTGCTAAAATAGGGCCATGAGACATCAATTCAACCTTCATCTACCCGATTTTTGATTGTGGCTCACTCGGTTCCAAAGGGCACCAGAAGGAAGCCGAATTTTAACGCGGCGGTTTATCCCCTCACTTCCTCCCTCACTTCCTCCCTCCCTCCCTCCCTCCCTCCCTCCCTCCCTCCCTCCCTCCCTCCCTCCCTCCTCCCTCCCTCCCTCCCTCCCTCCCCTCCTCCCTCCCTCCCTCCTCCCTCCCTCCCTCCCTCCCTCCCTCCCTCCCTCCGCAACAAAGAAACAGGGGTACCATTGCCAACAACCCTAACCCCTGTGCATAATGCCCAAAAAGAAAAAAGAGTTCCCCAAGGTGCGGGCACTACCCCCAACCCCCCTCCCTACCTCCCCAAACCCCTCGAACCTGCCGCTGGAGCTTCTCCAGCCGTTGTACCAGCTGAGCCGCCTCCGCCTGATCAGCGCCGGCAGGGTTTTCAAGGGCAAAACCAAGCCCATTCCAAGAGGTCCCTGAAATCTTCAAGAACACATTTTTCCGTTGAGGTTCTTTTGTTTGTGGCGCTCAACACTGTGCTCCATGCTGCATCGTTTCAACCCGCATCCTGACCTCCAGGGATTCTGTGAAGCGGAGAATCCTGAGCCAGACGGCCAGACAAGGCCCCTTGATGTGTAAGTAAGTAAGTCACCAAAACTGGCAAAAGCACGATGGCCCCGTATATTCCCAAGGGGCAAGTGACCAGTCAGCCAGGGGGCCGATCTCGTGGCACCACATCAGCCAAGCACTGCCCTGGCACAGGCGCTTGGCATGGCAGCTTCAGGCGCCAGCAAAAAATGGACAGTTCGAAGGGCGTAGCGGGGATTGGGGAAGCCACAGCTGATGTGCAGCGGTGCGATGCAGTGCCCATCTGCTTGACAGTCAGCAGTCATGCAGTCATGCAGTCATGCAGTCATGCAGGAGATGTCATCGGCTGGTTGCAACTCATGGCATTCTGGAAACATTGGCTAGATGGCACTGACAGTCTTTGGATCCTGACTGGGGCAACCAAATGGGCTTAAATTGGTTTCTCACACATCCTCAGGATCAGCTGAACGTGATAGACTGGTGAGGGGAGGCCAATTTTCGGACGGGTTCCAGGCAGGTAAGCGGTTGTCATGCCAGGTGCACGTCCCTCGCTTTGCAATGCCGTGTGAAGTGCCACCTGAGAAGAAGCAGTCGCACTCCACGTGCCAGTCCAACGTGGATCGGCAAAGCGGCCGCAAACATGCAAAAAGAGAGGAGAGAGAGAGAGAGAGAGAGCGAGAGAGAGAGAGAGACAAAAAATAGAGGGGCTGGCATTCAAACCAACCTGATCCCATGCCGAGTACTTTTTGCGGTATGACTGCGGATCATGACGATGAAAAGGTGAAAAAATGAAAAAGCCAAGCTTGCAGAGGCACAGCACAATCACCCCTTGCAGCAAGTCTAAGAATGCGGCTGACTCCAAAGCCTTCATGGAGGCTTCCACCTGAAACGGAAGGCAAGATTCGAGGGCGAAGGGGATTCCTCGTGCGAGGGTGCCCAGGTTCTGCGTCTTCTTTCAGAGGAAACCTGCAGCTTGTTTGGTGTGTGTTTTTTTTGTTTTTTGTTTTTTTATTTCTGGGGGTGGGGGAAATTCTCAAGGAGCCCAGAAAAACTTTTCCGGAGGTTACCCCACCCTATTTTTAGAGCGAAAAAAGGTGTTCAGGGACCCAACAAACACCACCAAAGACCCCTGCAAGCAACATTCGGAGTCATAAGTCAAGACCTGGTGAGCTAAAGATAGCCCGCCCAAAACGCCATTTATTGCAAGGGGACTTCCCCAATTCCAACCTTCTACCCTTCAACTAACCAGATCTGAAGACGCCCTTGCAGAAACATCCAGATCCCAAAAAGAACCTGAACAAATGCGATGAGTTAATTTGTCAAGACCCATGACTTTTCTCCAAAAAGGAAACCGAACCCTTTTCCTGCCGAATGCCGCTTTTCGACCCCAGGCCCCGCAAAAAGAACGCAACGCCGACCTTCTCCAAGCAGTCCGAGAGCTTCGCCTGGACCTGGCTAAGCAACGAGAGAAACTTGCCCCAGCGGTTCGGCTTCTGTCAGTTTGTCGAAGGGCTTGTCTGTTTTTGATCTGAAGCCGGTGAAAGAAACATGATGACAGACCATGTACGGAAACCATGTGGTCCCAACTGCGGGAGACTGAAGCAGGCCGAAGCTTGCTGCATGCGGCAGCCGCGACACACAGACACACCTGGCTGTCATCCATCTGACTGGCCCACCACTAGCAACATGATGTCGTTGAGCAGTGCCCCCTCCCCCCGTCATCGAGCCTCTGGAACATCCCCCAACCGGCCCCCAACCGCCCACCGGCCCCGCGCACCCGGTTGCTCTTCTGTACAAGCAAGGATATGGAGCGGCCACACCTCAGTGGCAATGGGTCCAGCGATTCATCTACAACCACGGGCGCAATGGCTTCATAGGCTTGCCGGCATCCAAAGGCTGCAGTGTTTGGGACCCCATCCTGCGGATCTGACAAGCCTGAACTCTCAGCGCAGAATGCAATCGGTGTTACTGCCTCACTCAAGCAGACATTGGGCTCATTAAAACATGCTCGGCTTGTATCAAATTGTTGCGCCTGATAGGAAGGTATCACCAACGAGTTGTCATGCATGTAGCCCCCGAATTGCTGGGTTCCATGTTAGGTCTCTTCAAGCAAAGACCAACAATGGCAAACCTTGCCTTTCTCGAGACACACCCGCCAGCTTCACCACCTATCACTGTGGCCCCGCACGCCGTTCGGTGGCTATTGAGGTTCTCCAGCACTGCCTTATGGGACCCCCAAGAAAGTATGTCACGTCTTCCGGCTCGCTCCATGTGCACCAAAACTCGCCTTGCCTCGCTTGGATCAAAAAGCCCTGGCCCTTAGCTGGAACTCGAAAACCGGGCGCTGGACCCGCGCGGCCCTAGTCTGCGCTTGGGCGCGCTCTTCGCACCGCTGTGCCAGGGCGACTACCTCAGTGCGCAGAAAAAGCTGCGGCCAGGGGCTTCTTTGCTTGCAAGTGCCACAGGCTCATTTCTGTGAATGAATGTGAACACAGAAATGAAACCACAGTGCCTAATATGGGAAAGATGGGTTTGCTTTTAAAAAAAATAGTCTCTAATTGTCCGATCTTAGCTTGTCCCCCAAATTATTTTTCCACCAAAACCAACGGCTTTCTTGGCGCAGAAGTCTGAGGCGCGCACGGGCCGAGACTCAAGGATCCGGGCCCGGGCCTGACAGCTGAGGTTTCATGGCCAGGTCTACCTGGGGACTCACCACTCTATGTCAAAACAAGGTGACCCCCAAAAAATTGGCAAGTTTCCTTCTGACTTCCCTTCAAACCAACCTTTAAACAAAAAAGAGCCCGCGACCAAGAAACCACGGCCACTTCGCCTCCGCGATGTTGCTGCGGAAGGCCTCAAAGACAGGATCGATGACCTCAGGGCTCCGGCCAAAACTCGGTCCCCGAGCTGACTGGTCAAGCATGCGTGGAATGGGAAGGTGTTTAAACCAAGACTAGGGGCCCAATGGTCCATGATTGCTCAGTGATGAATGATGATTGGCACCTTGGTTACCCCTATGAGACGGCGTGACACTTACGGATTTTGCTTGGGCGGCTCCGAGGCAAACCCTTGCAGCCGGCAAGATTGGCGTCCAGTGTAAAACCCCAGCAACACACATACTCACACAATTCCGTCCCAAGCCCAACCGCCGTCCCCCAGAAAGCCCCAGCGGCATCCTCGCATCTCTGCCCCACCACATCATCCAGCTCCTGAATGAATGAGAACCCTTTGGCGCACATTGATTTGTATGGGCATTTGGGCCCACCCATCCTTCCTTGTCAAGGGTGATCTTGCCAAATCAGCTATCGGAGGCAGAAACCAGCGGAGCAAAAAAAAAGATGCTTGGCGATTGACACCCAAGAAGCTGGTATGCACCCCGAAGATTCCAAGATGGTTTCCACTAACGTCGAGTCAAGCCACTATTCCAGGAGAAAGCACGTAACCATGTCGTTCAGGGACAGTCGCTCCTCTACGCCTCCGAAGGCGGCAAGGCTGGGGTCCGCAGGGTCCAGGCGGTCTGGGATAACCTCCACCTGGCGAAACGGAGTGCACGCAACGTGCTCCAAATGACCCGCATGACGCATGGTCTCACGAGGAAATCCCCAAAGTGCCAGAAGGCGTAGCCGCAAAGCAACATATTGCTCACTGCAACACCGAAGCTGAAACCCTGAGCGCCTGTGTTTCCAGGCACTGCCTGGTGAAGAAGTAGACCTCCTCCACCTCCTGCGGCTCACATAGACAAGCACCAAGCTTCACAAGGTACCCCCATGCAGGTGAACATGGGACCTAGCACCCCAAGAGGAGATGCCTTCAAAGGTGGTGGTTTGTTGGGTTCCGTGCGAATCTGCTTCAGATTACAACCAACATACAAAACCCAAATTACAAGTTGAGTTCAGTGCTCCCCAGCTCTCCTCCTCGCGGCTTTCTGCACCTCAACATGGGGTGCGACTTGTTTAGTAAGACATGGTAAAATTCGGGGAAGGTTGGGTTGTACTCCCATGTCCTATCCAAACCAATAGCATGCCAATAATTGCATCGATTGCTGCATCGATTCAGCGCCAAATGTTTGCCAATTCATCCACCAGCTGCGAGCAGGCCGTTAAAAAAAAACACAAACCACCTGCTTCCCCTCGGTGCCTTGGAATGGTTTGATGGGCTCCAGACAGAGATGTTGGATTGGCACTGGCCGTCAAGCCTCTGGGGCAGCGGCTCAGCACATTCCCATTGGAGGTTAGCACAATGAGGTCCTGGCATCGGCCATCAAGCGCGCCGAAACTGCAAGTGGCAGACGCTGGTTCACCAGAAGCGAATGAAGCTGTCGGGCAAGAAACGCCCGGCAACTACCGTACATGCTTAGAAGGCCCAAGTCCCTTGCCAAGCCGAATCACTCGTGCCGCAAGAGCAAACTTGCATTTGGGCCGATAGTGCAAAAGCCCGCTCACGGGGTCACGAGCAAAACGTGCTCCATGATCTTGAAAGTCTCATCTCTCCATGGCCCATCTCCATCCCAAGCTTGGCGGCTGGCTGTGGAGCCCTTCGGCGGCTTTCAAAAGGACCCTAGTGATAGGCCCTGAAAAAAACATGCCAAAATCAAACCAACTGAGTCCCAAGCTTCGACGCTTGAAAAGCCCCTCCTCGAGCTGCAAGCTCCAGCGCTCTCGAGCGTGCTGCCTTCAAGAATCAATCTGCACCATTCGCCAGAGTCTGGACACTTGGGCTTCTCTCTCACAGGACCGAACACTCGATAAACATGGCCCACCTGACGCATGTTAGACCTGTGCGCGAAGCAGGCAGCAGCATCGGGGGAAAGGTGAGAGAGAAACTTAATGCCAAGAAGGCCAGGCAGTTCTGTGCCCACAATGTCTTCACCCATGGTTTTAGTTGCAGGGCAGGGCTTGCAGTACGAGGTGTCCACCACAGCCTGCTTCAGGTGTACGTGGCAGCTGGGGTTGCTCTCAGCCAAGATATCATATTGACGCCAATGCGAATCCGAACTTTGGTGCCAACAGAGCTGGTCATTGGTCATGAGTCATGATTGACGCGCTGCGTTTCATGCTGGAATCCTTGAGATAGAATCACATATTGTTTTCGTAGTTCCCCGTTCATAATATGCATATGTGCTTGCATGCTCTGTTCAGATGTTGGATGAATGACAAGGCGGCAAAGGCACATTACTGGAGGCCCGAAAACAGATTTGAACACATTCAAATGCACTTTGAATAGCAAGAATAGAGCTATGATCGTAGGTGTTGGGCACCTTAGGTTAGATTAGATTAGATTAGATGGTTTGATTAGATAGATTAGATAGATCAAATGGATTAGATAGATTAGATAGACTAGATACATTGGATAGATTAGATACATTGATAGACTAGACAGATTAGATAGATTAGACAAAATAGAGAGATTAGATGGATTAGATAGATTAGATACATCAGATAGATTAGATACGTTAGATAGATTAGATAGATTAGATAGATTAGATAGATTGGATAGATTGGATAGATTGGACAGATTAGATAGCTAGATAGATTAAATAGATTAGATTAGATTCGATTCGATTCGATTCGAGTAGTTTCGATAGATAGACAGACAGACAGACAGACAGACGGACGGACGGACAGATAGATAGATAGATAGATAGTTGGATAGATAGAATAGAATAGAATAGCATAGCATAGCATAGCATAGAATAGAATAGAATAGAATTTGTTGATTCGATTAGAATTAGAATAGATTAGGATTAGGATTAGGATTAGGATTAGGATAGAATAGAATAGAATAGATAGATAGATATACATATGTATGTTACGTAGAGAGAGAGAGAGAGTGAGAGAGAGAGAAGGAGAGCTCAAGGAATCCCTGTCCCCGCCTTACCAAGTCCAGCGGCTTGCGGTACTCCGAGTCGACCTGGACAACCTCCCCTGCCAACCTCGGAGTGGCTGAGAGGCGCGAACCGAATCTTTTCGCAGGGTTCCAACCAGTTCAAACTGTGGCAGTTTCCCTGGTTCTTGCATGCCCGATTCGCTGGTGCAAGCTGGGTTTGGTGAAACACATTTAGGGGTTAAGGGCCCACTGACAAACATGCTTGGACTACACGTGTTCGAAAATCGCATTAGGTTGCGGCTGTCCTTTTCGGACTGAAGACAGTCACAGTTTCAATGCTTCGGTCTGAACCCAGGGCAGCGTGAAAGTGCCAAAGCTTCTGGCCCGTGGCAAATGCGCATCTCTAGCAACCTGGCGCATGGCGGGAACTCGCTTGAACATGTTGAAGAGGACGCATGGCGCACAGGTTGACAAACGCTGGTAATGACAGCTACTCTGTCTCATTGAGGCGATCAATTCAAATCAAACAAAGAAACACAAACTCCGGCGCAGTCAGAAGAGCTTCGGCGATCAGCATCAAGCAATCTAAAGGCTAGACATCTGCGTGCCAAGCACCCAGCAACAATTCAAGAACCTGGAACAAGAGGCCTTCCTGTGTGCAAAAACTCCCGCCGACTCTATACTTGCCTGGAGTTTTCCAGCGCAGCGGATCATCAAGACGGTCCCGCACTAGCCGGCCACGTTGCGTGCTAGCATGGGTCCTTGACGCTTGTTGTTTCCTGTTCTCAAGCCCGTCAGAGAAACGCAGGATAGCTAATGAGTAGGTTGCTGTGGGCGCCAGATATGATGAGTGAATATGGGCATTCAATCAAGCGCGGACTGTGCTGCTAGCAGAACTTGCTGGCCCTCAGGGCCGAAAACAAGCTTGCTTCCTGCCGCAGCCTGCCTTGAAGAGAAAAATATCGCGTTACACAAGCTATCGGAACCAAAAAGGCGGCGAGCGGCAACGGCAGGGGCTGGGATCAAACATGGCCATTCCTGGTCCAAGCAGTCAATGGTGTGTCATTCTTGGCCATCATCACTCTCACGAGAAAATTGACGCCAGGGTCAAAACGTCCTGTCCGAGCGGCAAATACATGAGGCAAAGCCTTGAGCCAATATTCGATGTTGATTCTGCGAGGCCTTGAGTCGTGGCTCTGGCCAAAGCCCGAATCATCACAATGCCAGCGGACGTGCTTCAATCCGTCACCCGGAAAATGGAGCTAGAATCATGGTTCGTTCGAAGCCTGTGCTTCAGGCGCTAGGGCTGTTGGGGTTCAGTCCCTGGGGATGCTAGGTACTCCTGCGCTCCTCTTTCGCAGCCCGGCTCGCCACTTCCAGCCAACAGGCTGGGTCCAGCAAGCGGTCTGGGCATGTAACATTGCCTGGACGGTCAAACTCTGTCGATGAATTCAAAATTCACTGAGTGAGACCACGCGAAACAGGTCGGTCTCAACGCATCACAACATGTCAGGTCTCACCAAACAAGTCCCCTTCAGGGGTGCACAACGAATCACGCACAGTCTGGTCAACTGCATTGTGTGCAAATGGCCCCCAGACAGTTGGGGCCTTGTAGGCCAAAGCAAAAAGAACCAAACTGCTCAAAGTGTTTTGGCCAGTTGCCTGCCTTAGGCTCACAAGCCTGCCATGCTCTTGAGATTCGCCAGGTCGCTTTGAACCTGCCAGAAACCCAGGCGCCAGAAGACGCTCACGGTGGGATTTTCTGTCTGGTACAACTTGGGTCTGCAAGGCCCGGGGGCCAGGGCCTGTTTGGGATGGCAGGCGATCGGTGCGCCTCCCGCAAATGCTTCTTCAAGTCCTTGATCTCCGTGGAGAAAGCGGTGCCGGCCTCGGAACAAAGCTCAAGGCATGGGAATCTGTGCAATGCCAAGACTTACAAAGCAAAAGTTTCCAGATCCGCCCTTGAAAAAGCCAACTCGGGCTCTGACGGCACTCACCACCACCTGCATTTTCCGCAGCTCCGCTTTCTCCTGGGGCCGAGAAATCCCTCAATTTGACAAAGTGGCATTCTCCGTACACTGTAGCCTTTGAGCCTTGCACCTTGGCAGCGGTTCTCCCATTTGTTCAAGTAATCCACGGTGTCAGAAAAGAAACCCGCTGCTTGCGAGTGTTTCGTCTGGCAAGCCAGTCGCGAGAGGTGTGCAGAGCATATGGCGGTCGCAAACAGGTGTGCATGTCTTAGAGATCAAACCCCGGCAAGCTGCTTGGGAAAAAAGGAGCTGCCAAACAGTCCACTCGAATTGCACAGGAAGGGCCAGCTTGGAGGACTAGAACATCATGGGGAAGAACTCATGGAGTCAGTGAAAGAGACTATTTGAAGCTGCCCATGATTCTTAGAAAACGCGCTTCAATTGGCGATTGACACTCAATGCTCGCTCGGTTCTTTCCTCGGGGGCCATCCCCGCCACCACGGAGCCCGCCAGCGAGGCGGCCGTCACGGAGCCCACCTCGATGCCGGGAAGGGCGGTCCCTGTGGCCCCCGTGGACGAAGTCAACTGCCGTTCTCCGGGGCTTCCCAACCGGAACAAACTGGCAGGAAAGGCTGTCTTTTCAATCCCACTGGACAAATGTGCAGGGCCCCTGGCATCGGAGCAGTGATCGGAGCCCGCGTCGGAGGCGCCATCAGACACCTTGCGGCCCCAGCCTTGGCCGAAAGGCAGACGCTCCAGGCGTTTCTTTGGGCGCCTCTTAGAAACCTTCAAAGGGGACCGATGCGAAAGCTTCCGAGAGGTTGAAAGGAGCCTTGAGCCTAGATGCGGAAAAAAAGGCAACCAGCAGTGCCGAAGACAGGAAGCCACAACGAATGAGTGTATTTGTGTGTGTGTGTGTGTGCGGGCTCTGGCCAGATCGGATGCGAACACTCCAGCTGTTTGAATGAACCGCGGGGCGCTGATCAGGTCGCAGTTATCAGAAACGGTGCAGTCCCTTCAAATCACGCGACACCTGCTTGAATTTGATCAAGTCTCAATGAGAAGCCACTATCTTGTGGCCAAGGTGGGAAGCATCTGTCACAACACAAGACTGGCCTGAACGAAATGCAGCCTTGCAAGAAGCAACCCATTTGCCTGTGCACTGGCTGGCATTGTGACCCAAAAACAAGCAAGCATTCTGCCAGGGCACGGTGTTCCTCAAAGCCGTCTGCAAGACTTGTGGGTCTAGCAGCCTCCTCTTTGAGAGTCTTCACCTGGCAGTCCAGTGCTAAAGAGCTTTCTAATATACCCATTGCTACTGCTTGCTACTGCTTGCTACTGCTTGCTACTTCGCCACGTGACCTTTCACGCTCTCCCGAATCGAACCCTCGCCTGTTGCCTGAGCTCCTTGATCTGTTTGTTGAAGTTCGCCCCCGCTGCAGCCACCAATGCTTTCACCTGGCCACTCGCAGAGCCCTTCAATGCCGGCCCGACCTGCTCAAAAGCCACAGCCAATGTCCCGCGACTTTGGCATCCTCTCCCTCGGCGCCTTCTGCAGCTCCAATCCGCCCTAGCGAGTGGTTCAGCATGCTGGCCAGAGATTTCAGAAAGACGCCATGCAAGACCCAACTTTGCCGACGACATGGACCAACCAGGCAGAAATGCCTCAAATACCTCAAACGCCCCGCGCGCTCGTGCACGCGCGCCTGGGAGTCTTCCTCAGGCCTCCCAAGCGCATCGAGAGAGGCTTGTCCGTGTAAACAAACTCGGGCGAAGCAAACGTGGCCGGATGCATCGAGCGTAGGCCAGAAGCTCTGAAGATGCAACCACCGTTATGCGGGTAGCATATTTACATTGGGCTTCGTTTGATGCTTTGGCCCTTCTTGAATGAGCGAATGGCTTTCCCAGACTAAAAGTCTTCACATCTGATCTCAGTTTCCTCGACAAGTACACATCACCATATGCTAGACCCTCTATAATTACATGCCGCAAAGCTCTCATTAATACAGTGCCGACAGGGACTGACAAGCCAACGGTATTCGCAGACAGAGTAAAGTCATCCAAGCTCTGCTGCCTGGCTCGGATCACGACTCTCTAAGATACAGTTGCCGTATTTCCCATGAACCCCCGTCCCAGAAGCTTTGGTTTCGTCGGACACGGTAAAAAAAAAAACTCGGACCCCACTTAGATGGTGGTTGTCCCTTTGCTTCCCCATTAAACCAAGCAAGAAGAGGCATCAACCGAAAGAGAAACAAAAACCTCCATACCTCCCCCCACCTCCCACCCCCTGTCTGTCTTGCAGGCCCGTGCCTCTTCTCCGGGCGCCGCAGCTCCTGTTGCAGCGCGTCCACCTGGCAGATTGGAGTCTACCAAAAGGAACTCCAAAGTGAGAAGTGAAAGCGTTCCATGTGTGTCGTGTGTGCCATGTGTGCCATGTGTGCCATGTGTGCCGTTTCACATTGCGAGATGCATGGACAGCTGGTGGGACCCAACATGCCTAGTTTTCTCCCTTCTTGCCCTGTTGCTACCCAAGGACACAAAGTGGGTGCGGATTGAAAGACTAAAACGAACTGTCGTACCTCTGCTTTGTGACGTGTCTTTCGACCTGCCTTCTCCTGCAACGCCTGATGGCGGTCATCAGCCTTGGCCAGCTCGGCTGAGAGCCTGCGACATTGGGGCTGACCCGGCCCTTGTTCCAGTGGTACTTGGTTGAAGCAACGAGACCCTTTCCCTCCTCTCCCCCAACGTCCAACACCAAAGCGGACAGGTGCAAACTCGTCCCAAAGCTTCCTCCCCTCTGCGCCTCTGCTGCAACTCGTGGAGATTATTTGTGGCATCCTTGGAGACCAATGGAAACATGTCAACAGGGTGCCATCATGACGTTGCTAGGTATGTCCGTGCAAGGGTTGGAGTGATCTACAACTCAAAGGATGCAAGGCTGCAACTCAAAGCACACAATGAGCCCCCTGCGTGATCCACTGTGGTTCTCTCGAGCTTGGCATTCAGTGCCTCAATCACCCCCACCACAAAATATCCGCGAGTTGCGAGAGATTCCTTTCATGTAGTGCTCTGGGAAGAGCAAGGCCAGCCGCTCCATGGCTGGTCTTCCAAGGTTTGCAAGCCACTCATCCCGCCTTCCACTGTGACATGGTAGGTACACCGTTGACATCGGCCTTCTTCTGCAGAGTAGCAGAAATCTCCTGGTCAACTGATGTGGAAATCTGAAAAAACGCATGGGCGCCATGTCATCATGCAAACCAGAGTGATGCACCGGGACAGCTTCTGATGCTCTTCTGAGGGTGTGCGTGTCTCTTTTTGTGGTACCCGCTTTTCGGGAGGTTGTTTTACAAAGAAACAAACGCAATGGCGGGGGGGGAGCGCTGATGTGGAGTTCAAATTGGAATGAAAAACCACTCATCCTCAAACTCCAACATTTCTTTGGGGGCCGGAGGACACAAACAAGAGATCCCGTCTTCCGTGATTCCAAAGAGGGCTATCCTTCATAGCTTTAAACGGCAGCCCGTTCGTACCACAAAGAGAGAGAGAGAGAGAGAGAGTGGTGCCAACACCTAACTTCATGACATATCACAGAAAGTGGCCCCCACAAGCCTTTTTCCCCGTGCAGCAATGCAGTCATCTTCTGTCCTGAAGCCTCACCAAGGTGCTCACAGCGTTCTGCTCATTGCGCCGGGCCACCTCCACAGCCACTGTCTCGCGGAGGTCCTGAGTATGTGTGTGTGTGTGTGTCTGTCTGTTTTGTCCCCTTGGCTGAAAGAGAAACCAAGGAAAACCACCATTTGGGGGATCCGCCACTTTCACACATGTGTCACTCTGGCATCCCAAATGGCGTGGCTCATCTTTGGGGACGCCCGCTTGGTCGGTTTTCAAAACGAACTCGGAAAGCGCCGTTGCCATTTTAGGGGCCTCTCTAGTTTTGAGAGCCCAACTCAAAGCGCGACACTCCAAAAAGAAGGCTGGTGATTCCTCTGCCAGCAATGAACACATGTCTAAAATTCACTCCATAAAAATCTGAAGCTCTTGCAATACGGTCCAACTCTTTCTGGGTCCTTGGCTGTTCAACTGGGTCAAGAGTGTGCGGTGTGTGTTGGGTTCGACAATCTCTTGAGGGTGCTGCGTGGTCCGCACAGCGGCGTGCAACCCCAAGGCTCAAACAAGGCCCTCCCCGTCCCAAGCGATTGCCGCCAGGTCCTGATTGATCATCACTTGAAGCTCCTGCGAGAAGTTTCCAAACAAATAGAATAGACATCCCGCGTGTCCGAAGGCTTGAGCCAACACATTTGAGACCTGGCTTGTCCACGGCTTGGACTTTCGGACAGGGAGCGCAGGGGTGCTCCCAAGCAAAAGGAGCCAAATACCAATTTTCTACACATGTGGCTGCACCCACCCTTCACACTCTCGAAACCAAACATGCAAGTATGCATGTGCACAAACCCCTCTTCAGAGAAGGGCGGTTAATTGAAACCATCCAGAAATAACGGGTATGTGTTTGCAACAAACCCGAGACTTTCCACCATGTCCAGCCCCTAACTGGTTTTGGTCCTTCGAACCGGACCAAGAGGAGGCGCTTGTGGGCGGGTCGGGGCCCCGTGCGGCTCGCTCGCTCGGGTCCTGCAGCTTCTGCTGCTGGAGCTCCGTGGTGCTCTGCAGGGATCGGATCAGGGGCGAGACGTGGTGCTCGAAGTACTCCATGCAGAGACCTGACTCAAAACTCAAAACTCAAAACTCAAAACTCAAAACTCAAAGCCATAGCTCGAGCTCAAGCAAACCAGCCAGAAAAATCAGAGGGCCATCCAAACTCGTGGAGTTGGAAACCCCAGCGCCAAAGGCGCCGGCAGCTGGTGTGAATTGGTCCATCATTGTTGGGATCTGTCTTTCAAATGGACTCATCATCAATGGCCATGTCATACTGTGGTTGACAAAACCCGCTTTGCACCCACGTCGGTGGTTTATGTTTCATCCCGACACCGCTAGAGATACCCCACAAAGTTGACCACCAACCGATTGCCATCTCCCCAGCCCCGCCAACTGGCCACATGCCTCCCAACTCCCAGAACACATTGCCAGATTTGCCTGAGTCCCACGAATAATAAACCCCAAATCTGCCAGAAAGTGGACTAAACCAAAGAGAACTTTTTTAGAGGCGCCTCGGACAGCCACGCTCAGGTCCACGGTGGTGCGCTGGTGGTCATCCTCGTGATCTCCTGAGTTTGAGACATACTGCAATCCAGCAGACATGTGGCTTGCAATTACAGGCATTCCATACTTGTCGAAGCATTTGTGCCGACCATCCAAAACACCTGCCCAGCACCAGTGAACTTGGGTGCGTTGCCTTGCATCTGGCTTCAGCTTAACACGGAAAAAACGGTCCAAACAAATGAGAGGATGCTCGCCCTATGGCGGGCCGCGATGCTGGAAATACTCTGAGTCTACTCTATGCGTCGTAGACCTCTGACCATCAAATCAGCGGTTATGAATGCAGTCTGCTTCAAACACTCCAGTCTGCTGTCAGGCTAAAGAGAGCTCCACAGGATAGATAGAAGCTCGTGCAGATTGTTCCATCAGGAAGAAATTCTGAGACATGTCATGTGACGACACGATATTCGCGCCATGGCGCCGATGAAGAAGTTGCCATCATCGTGGGGGTGGTTGTACCAAGCTTGCAAAGAGTTGCTGGCTTTGCCATCCTGCCCACAAGAGCCAAGGAATGTCGAGCGCTCGGGAAAGTGCAACAAGTGGAGAGTGCGAACGACTCTTGCCAAAAAAGTCTGCCAAGGTCCGCTGTGGGCTTGCCCCTGAAGCATGATCTCCAAGCAAACAATATTACAGCTCCTAGGTCCCTGCCGCAACACTGCAAGCCGGCTCCCGATGAATTGCACCCATCCCCAGCCTGCACAGAAGCGCCGCTCAGGCGGCGCTCTCCCGGGTGTGGGTGCGCCCGTTCCCCTTGATGCCCCTGCTGGTGGTTGTGGACCACATGAGGCTCCCTGTGGCCCTCCTCCTCGGCACAAGCTGTGGCAGCTTGACTGGCCCAGGTCTGTTGTGCTGTTGCCCCGATTAAAGCGTGGCTTGATATCAGCTCACTCGATGAGTCAATATGATCTTAAGTCGCGCCTCCAAAGTACATGATGCTAGCAAACTGCGGGCATTTGGCACCAGGCAACCAACTAACCATGGTGATGCTGCGGGTGCTTCCCGTTTTTGCTGCTCTTCTGTTTGTCATTATCATGCAAATCCTTGATGCGATGTTGGCTTGGGAGCTGTTTGGGCACTGTATACTCCGTCTTCGTGAAAAAGGCGACACGGCGACGCTAGCAGTGCTGCCCTGGCTCAAATACATCTTCCTCTATGAGACAGGACTCTTGACTTTGCATCTTCCTTTCTTCCAACGCCCCCACGGACACAATCCTGCGGTTTCAACTACACTGTCCTTTCTTGTAATCCAGACACACGCTCGACTCCCCGACAGGGTCACATACATCTTCCTCTCCTCTTCTTAAAGATTATGCATGATTGATTTCCCGACGTGTTGAATCATATCATCCTCACGATTCCCCAACAAGATCCAATGCTCTTCCTCCCTTATTTTCTCCCAAGTGTTTGCATTAAGTTCCAATTCCACAATACCTGGCAGGCGCAATTCCACTTGCGCCTTTTCTGCTTCTCAGAACGCACTCCCTATTCCCCCATGAGGTCGATTACACTTTACCTCCTGCTTGTAACTTCCGAATTCACAAATCCGCAACGGGCTCACCATAACGCATTGTTCGATTCCTTGACGAGCTCGAACGCACGCCAAGCAACAACGAGTTCAATCACAGCTTCCTCTCTTCAAACTCTTGGGTGTGAACCAAATCTCAGCGGGCTTAATACCCTGGCAGCCAGAACCGCAGCCAGAACTCATACCCCGTGCCCCAAAGCGTGCAAGGCACCTTCCTATCCTACTTATAAACTTTGCGAATCGATCTTTGGCGGGGTTAATCTTAATCAAACTTCCCCTCGCCTCTAGCCATAGCACACGCCCACCTTCGCCCCTTGCTAATAAACTTTGTTGAATGCAAAAACCACGACGAATTCAATCACACCTTCCTCTCTTCAAACTCTTTCGTGTCAACGAATCCCCAGCTTTGATTACTCTTCCCCTCTTTTCCAGCCACTACGATTACCCAACTGTCCAACGCATCGCATTACATGGTCGCCTCCCACTGACAAACTCTACGAATGCACAAACCCGCAACAGGTTTATTTAGACCTCTTGCTCTGCAAACAATTTCCCGGGAAGGAATTCCTAGCGGGATTAATTGTACTTCTGCTGCCTTTCTAGCCAGACTGCATGCCCGACTCCCAAGCAGCAGCAAGCTCAAATACGCTACGAATGCACACCTCCGCACCGCGTTCAATTGCATCTCCGGCGGTTTCACTTGCACTTTATTCCCAGCTCACCAAAAACTAAGCTCACTTTTGCCTCCCATCGATGAACTTCACACATGCACAAATTCTCAATGGGCTCAATTCCACCGCTGTCCAAACCCTTCGTCGTCATTTCACCCCACATGTGCTCCTTGAAGGCATCCTTGCCCATTGCTTGTCACAATTCACGCTCAACTTAGTTACAAGTGCTTTGCCGAGCTCTTACGCCCCGTTGACAGTCTCAGTATGCGAGCACCATTGTGGCATCGCTCCGCCGCCGAAAAAATGGAAATGCCAAACGGCATAAACGGAGAAAAGGACATGTTCTTGTGTACTCATGGCTGTACCCAATGAATCTCACTGAGTGCAGGTGCCGGAGCTGGGCAGCCCCTCGTATCTTTAGGTCACAGTCCGACATCCAAACAAGTCACAGCGAGCACGACAACGAAAGGCTGATATATCGTGTTGGGCACCCCGACTTTGGCCGATGAAGGCGAGGACTGCACCGGTGCCCAAACAGGCCGGCCTGCCAACACGGAGCAGGTACATGTGATCATCACTTTCACAAACAAAACTTGGAGCTCATTGTGCAATATACTCCCAAGAACGTGCCAGCTCACCTCCATAGTCAAGTAGGCTGGATTTTGGAAACAGAAGCTGTTGCATTGCTACGGGGCCTCAATAGCGATGTGGGTTTGTCTCCAAATGCGATATGGAACCCCCAAATGGTGTGGTTTGCTTTTTTGGCATCATAAATAGCACAAAGAGTACGGAGACTCCAAGAATATTCACGCGCATGTGGATAGCCCAGGTAAGACACCTCAATCACCTCTTGCTCGCTTTCCCAAACATTGAGGGCCTCTTCCTACCGCCAGCACATAAACGATTGACATGTTAGAAACTAGCTGCTTGTGTTGATTCCTCGCAGCTCTTCAGCAATATCAAAGTATACTTAGACGCTAGCAAAAGTCAGGTTCAAGGTTCAACTTTCAGAGACAAACCTGTCTTGCTTTGCTTTGATGCTGCCTCTTGCCACCAATCCACCCCTCCAGCCCTGCCTTTGGCATAGACCGGCTGCATGTTGCAAACGAGCGGCTGGCTGTATTGGGGCCCGCCCCCTTTCCACATGGCGTCGCGATTCCCGTCCTGGCGCTTTACAATAGATCGAAGAAGGGTAGGCAAGCCAAGCATGCCAACCCCGCCAAGCATTGCAAACCCCGTCAAACTTGAGCCAAAAATGCGGCCAAAACATGCCGAACGCCCCAGCCCAGAGTCCAGACAGACTCCTCCGCCCGCCCCTTTGCCCCTCAAGCGGTGGGCGCACTCCCCAAGCGGCACGTTGAAAGGACGCGCCTCACAGCTCAAATGGAAACATTTTGTCCGGTGAAAACACATCAAGCCCAAGCCCTATACACGGAAGAGTGCACTGCGGAGTGTGGTTGGCAGAATGCGAAAGCTAGCTTTCCATGAGGTCTGGGCCAGGCCGAAGTCCGCAATCTTCAGCCGCAAACGCTGGTTGATGAGGAGGTTCTGCAGAGACAGCGCAGCGGAGCCAAAATCAAGCCAACATGAACTCATCATGAAGCTATCAAGGCATGAGCCAACGGCTTCATGAACCCTTGGCAGTGCCTGCGGCTTCAGGTCTCGATGAAGGATGCGCATGGAATGGCAGAACTGCACCCCTTGGAAGAGCTGGTGCCTTGGCACTGCTCAAACCTCGATGGTCAGACGATTTTTCCCAAAACTGCCTTTGTGCCCGATGCTTGCATAGAAACCCTACCACCAAGAGAACTTTCCCGAGCGATGTAATAAAAAGGTAAAGAGATGCTGGGGCTGCGCAGTCCACGCCGCTTGTATGCACTCTTGACAAACAAACAAACAAGGACGACGAGCAGGGCACGAGAAGTTCTTGACTGTCGCAGATGACAGCTTCATGTCCTGGGATCGCATGTACCTCACCAGCTCAGACATACACATCGAAAGGCATCAAAGGGGGAAGAAGGCACCTTTGAGGAATCTGAGGAATCAGTGGGTAGATATCTGAGGCACAATGAATCCGAGCCAATTGTCTATGAAAGACAAAGGAGCCCAACGCACGCCTGTTTCGCGTGGCCCTGCTTTTGCCCGCGGGGTGAGCGCAGCGTGGCTGCGTGGCCTTTGACCCCCAAGCAACTCTTCCACGTCCCAGGTGGCGGTGCCAACCCCGCAGCATCCCATCACAAATCAAAGAGCCTCGGGGTAACACTGGCCCAACCAGCAGGCTGAGTCTGAAGTGGAAAAAGTGGAAGCCTGTCAACCATCAACTTTGTTGAAGCTCCGCTCTTCGGCTTCTCCCGAACTCGGACCGATCTGGACATGCTGCGGAGCTCGAGTTGCAGGCCGCTGAACGGACAGCCCGCAGCTGCCAGCCCCAAGCAGCCGTGAGCTCCCAAACATGGCTCCCATAAGATAGCAAAACGCAACACAAACACGTCTCTTCCCAAAGAACGCGCCATAGGAGCGGATGTTCAACTCTGTTACAATGGGATATAAGCACCCATCTCTGCTCAGCTATTCATGCTTTCAAGCAAGACACGCGAGCCATGAAAACTGCATAACGTTGATTCAAGCCAGACTTGCCTATGTTGGCATTCTGCGTGGCTAATTCGCCCTCACTCTGGCCGCTGTGCCCGCAGCAGGTCCGCAGCAGAGCAAATGAGGCCTGATCAGGGGTGGGGGGGAGGGTTGGCTCTGCGCATTCATGGCAGAAGGCTTCAGTGGAAAATCTACGGCATCATCAATGCTTCCGACACTGTGGTGTTGGAGAAAACTCACGCGGCTAAATCGCCGCATGCCTTCTGGATGTTCCCAAAACTGTGTTTGACAGAGAAACGGACTAGACGCTGTTGCTCATATCTGGCCAAATAATGTAAAGGAAATTGAGCTCATGCCGCACGGGCCACACCAGGTCCAGCCTGCAGTGCTGGCCCTCCCTTGGAATCCCTCGGCCCTGGCCGGCGTGGCCAAGGCGCGGGGGCGCTTGAACTGGTGCCGCGCGCCCGGCCCCAGGAGGCACTCCTCACCGGGGAGTTGCCCCGCTTGGAAGTTGTTGGACCCCTTTCCAAGAGACTCGTCTTGCTTTTAGAAAGGCAAGGCCCATCTTTGGACGATACTTGGCCCGTGCAATTGCACTGAGCTCAACCTTGCCCTCTCCTCTGCCTGCATCTCCCGACTGTGCGCATCAGCTCTCCGAGGTGCCTTGAAGCCGGCCCGTGCCTGGGGTCCAAAGGACACCAGGGCGAAGTCTCTGTCGCGCTCCTCGTCGACGTCTCCGTCATCCGCCACAATCTGCAGCTCTGCCGATGCCACGGCCTCCCTCAGGGAGGGCGCCGCCGCTGGCAACGAGCCCTCAGTTGGCTCATCTGGCTCATCCAGCTCCAGATCCACACAAATCACCGGCTCCAGCGGACGCTTTGGACTTCGATGCCTGACATCAACTGGAGCTTCAGACATGTGAGTGCGATTGCGTGTGTGAGCGCCCATCGAGCCCCATCATCTCCCCCTTCTCAGGCAAATGCTCCAACCTTGACATCGGAGCTGGAGTCCATTTTCCCTGCCTCCAGCCCGGGAACAGCTCCGCGGCGGCCCAAGCAGACTTGCTGGGCGCCAGGCGCAGGGCAAAGGGTCGGCCAGACTCCAGCGGCAAAGCTTTCTCAAAGTCCAGGTCTCCTCTATCGCACCATGGGCCCCGGGACCAAAAATAGCTTTGCCCCAGACCAAGCCGTGTCTTTCTGATGCGGTGTCTCAAACATCGGAAGCGACTTTTCAATAGTTAGGGTCAAAAGGATGCCCACTTGAAGGGTCCTGAACTCTGCCACACACAGCCACACCTCCATTGGAGACTTCACCGGAATCACTAACCTGGAGGACTCGCTTTGACCCTACCTGAACCCCATCCTGGCTCCAGGGACACAAGGAGGCCAGTGCCGCCCATTGCATTGCCGAAGCTTTCACGGCGGCCCTGCTGCCTTTCCGGAACTGTGCAGCTGTGAACTTTTGCCCAATGATTGGATTCCTCGATGCTGCCAGAGGCACAAGCAGGGGTCCTTGAACAAGATATGACATTGGTGTTCGTGTTTGTGTGCCGGTGGTCAAATCTGCTGAGATTCTGTACCGGCACGTGCTGAAAAGCTCAGCTCATAGTTGCGGCTCCTTGTGGCTCTACCCTCTCCGCTGTGCCAACGCTGCGCGGCGCGGACAAGCAAGGTCACAGTATCACCATCAGCAACAGAAAAAAAACGAGTTGCAGGAGGTTGCGACAGCTGCGCCTGTGGCAATCCATCCCAGAACAAGCATTGAACACGAGGTCTGGGAGAGTGCGATTGCAGCACAAGGTGTGTGTGTGTGTGTGTTTGAGACAGAGAGAGAGAGAGAGAATAAAAGAAAGGGAGAGTGAGACTGCTAGTCAACTGCTAGCCGACTCATCCAGCACGCCTGCTAAAATGATGTTGCCTCAGCACCAGGGACCCTGATGATCTTTTGGCTCTTGTTGAAAGTCGGTGCCCAAGTCTTGGCGATGCGAGGACAAACACATCCTGCAGTGGGCCATGGAGGGGGGCACTTCTTCAGATCGTTCTCGACGTACTCGAAAACCAGCACTAACCTTATGCAGCACCCGAACTCACAAGAGGGGTGCCTTAAAGGATGTGTGATGCGTCACATTAAAACCACCCTTTATCTCAAAGAGCTTCTGCCACTACCAGGTGATTTTGGAGTGTATCCTAGGGACCCTGATACACAAGTGCCCCTTTGGAGTGGCCCCGTCTGCAGCTGGCCGAGGGACTTGTTGGGCTTGTAGAAGATGTTCAAAAGCCGCACGATATTCGGATGGTCTTTTGTTTCCTGGCGGAGCACCCTGGCACATCCAGCAAAAGAACTCCCCTCTGGAGGTGGGAAGGCCTTCCAGGCTTGCCTTCCTCCGACAGCCTCTGGGGCATTCTTGATACCTGTATTTGACTGGCACCTCGCAAGCTATTACAGCTGCCGCAGCACGTCCTTCAAAAGTGAGATCTCGCGCAGCGCAGTGCTGGGTATGCCATCCTCCTGACACATCAAATGAGGTAATCGAATCATGGCTCTGCCAGCCGACAGAAATGTGCTGATCATGATCGTCATGCCCGTCACTGTGCATAAAACGATGCGCAAGCCGTTTCCGTACGTTAACATGCCATCACAGTGCCGCATAAAATCGCACATGTTGGATGTCCAATTCCTGACACTGGCGTCGCTGAAAACATCCGTTGCGGGTCTACCCTTCAACCCCCAGCAAAAGAAGACATAGGTTTGTCTCCAAATAGTGGAGCTCACAAAACTCTGACCGGTTCACTTTGACTTCGCTTTGGCACAATCCTGAAAAGACATCCAAATTCTTCCATCAACCCCTCTCCCCAAATCAACATGGGACCCGAATAGGGCGGGGTCCTAAAGGAGATGCCTCTAAGGGTAGCTTTGGGGGCTCCATGCTCAAGAACAATATTGGAAGATTGAATTGAATATTGGCAATATTGGCCATATTGGGGCTTTCTCCTGACTCGCAACTACTCCAAGTCAGCCCAGACCGCGCCGAGCTCTCGATCTTCATCTGCTTCATGGCCACCAGCTCGTTGCTGCGGATGTTTCGGGCCTTGTGGACCTCCGAACCAAGCTGAGAAGAGGAGCACGTGGAGCACACGGACACAAATAGCCCGCACTCCACGCCAATTTTTGACCAAAGCTCCGGTGGGAATGCAGCTGGCATCGACCATGTTAGCCTTATCATATTACTTTCTTTGCTTTTCCTTGATTGTTTGACCCCTCATCTGCCCAGTCGTCCTGTTTCTCTCTGCGTTCATCTTGTTTTCTGCGAGTCCATGCCATCTGTGACAGGTTGGCATTTCGTCTGCTCGGCTATCCTGCTTCTGTCTTCGCTCCTCCTTTCTGCTGTCTTTGCCCCCCTTTGTTGTTTCCTCCGTCTGGCCAGTTTTTCTGTTGCAGTCGTTGCTCATTCCTATTTATCGCGCACTGTGCCTGCCCAACTGCCCTGCCTCTATCTTGGTTCTCCTCTCTTTTCTCACCCCATGTCTGCTGAGTCCGGTTTCTTCCCTCACTTCTCCCTTGCTTTCTGATCCAGCGTCTGCCCCATTGTCATGTCGCGTTCTACTTCCCAAGTCGCTTTTCCCCCTCTTTTCTGTTTCTTTTTTCAGCTCTTCTGTCCTGTTTCTATCTCCCGCACTGCGCGTTAAAGGCCTGAAGGGCCCCGTAGGTGGTCTCTACTCCGTTTTTGGGGGAGGGGGCCTGAACAAAATGCATCTTAGACCTGCCCTGGTTCAAGCTACATTTCTTCAACCACAACACAAATAAAGGACGATTGCCCTGATCCTCCCACTTAGACGATACCAAACCCCAATAAAAATGTGAGCATTCCACGAATCTGCAGGCTTGGCTCTGTCCACAACTTGCCACGGACAAATTGCTCTGCGTAGTTGCTCTGCGCAACTTCTTTGCGCAGGTAGCTCTTTTCGAGTAGCTCTCTTGCTTCATGCTTTATGCAAGTCAGTTGCCCCGCGCAAATTTTGCTCGCAAGAAATTGTTTGCGAGTTGATCTGCGTAATTGCTCTGCGCAAGCGCCTTGCACAAGTTGCTCTGCGCAAGTGCTCTGCGCAAGTTGCTCTAGGCATGTCTGCAAAACTATCTGAGAGTGTTCTGTGGAAGTTGCTCTGCGCCAGTTGCCTGCAAAATGGCCACACACAAGTGTGTCTGCCCAGCTGTCCAGTCTCTTTCCTCGTTCCTGTCGTGTCTTGTATTTGGCAGCATGTCCGGTTTCTTCTCCTCTCCTGTTGCTGATCCTATGTCTGCCCAATTGTCCTACTTCTCTTTCGCTTCAAATCTTGTGTTTGACCGCCTGTCCAGTTCTTCTTCATTTCTGTCGCTGATCCTATGTCTGCCCAACTCTCATACTTCTCTCACGCTTCGTATCTTTTGTCTGTCCGCCTGTCCCCGATTATCCTACTTCTCTTTCGCTTCGTATTTTGTGTCTTATCGCTTGTCAGATTTGTTCTTCGTTCCTGGTTGTGATCCTATGTCTGGCCACTTATCCTTCTACAAATTCGCTTCGTCTTTCTTGTGTCTGCCCGCCTGCCGATCCTATGTCTGCCCAATTATCCTAATTATCTTGTTGCTGATCGTGTCTGCCCAATTCTCCTACTTCTCTTTCGCTTCGTATCTTGCGTCTGCCCGCCCTTTCAGATTATTTCTCTTGTTGCTGATCCTATGTCAGCCCAAAGATCACTTCTCTTTCGCTTCGTATCTTGCGTGTGCCCGCCCGCCCGCCCAGTTTCTTCTTCGATACTGTTGCTGATCCTCTGTCTGCCGAATTATCCTACTTCTCGGTTGCTTGATATCTTGTGTCTGCCCGCCTGGCCAGTTTCTTTCTTCCTTCCTGTTGCTGATAGTGTGTCTGCCCATTTATCCTACTTCTCTTCCGCTTCGTATCTTGTGTCTTCCCGCCAGTCCAATGTTCTTTGTTCCTGTTGCGAATCCGCTGGCTTCTCTTTCGCTCCGTATCTGCGTCTGCCCACCAGTTCAGTTTCTTTCTTCGTTCTTAATGCTGATCCTATGTCTGCCCACTTATTTGTGTTTAAGCTCGCTTCATATCTTGTGTCTGCTCGCCTGTCCAGTTTCTTCTTCGTTCCAGCTGTCTACCCACCAGTCCAATCTCCTTTGCTCCCGTTGCTGGTCCTATGTCTGCCCAATTGTCCTACTTCTCTTTCGCTGCGTATCTTGTGTTTGCCCCCTGATCAGTTCTTTCTTGGTGCCTGTTGCGAATCCGCTGTCTGCCCAATTATCCTGACGTATCTCGTGTCTGCCCGTTTGTCCAGTTTCTTTTTTCGTTCCTGTAGCTCACCCTGTGTCTGCCCATTTATATACCCTGCTTCTCTTTCGCTTCGTATCGTGTGTCTGCCAGCCAGTCCAATTTTCTTTGTTCCTGGTGCTGGTCCTATGTCTGCCCAGTTGTCCTGCGCTGCGTATCTTGTGTCTGCCCGCCTGATCAGTTTCTTTCTTTGTTCCTCTTGCTAATCCTACATCTCCCCAATTATCTTACTTCTCTTGCACTTCTCATAGAAACCACTTAGGGGCCGCTTCGTTTAGGGGCTTCTTTGCTGAAACCCAGCCATGCCCGGCACATGCTAGATTTCTCAAAGCCCTGGAAAAACCCCAAGAAGATACTTAGAACCTTCCGAGTGCGAAATGTTGCTCAGCGAGGCCTCCAGGAATCTAACTAGAACCCTGTCCCCCTGCAGCATTTGAACCCGTGTGTGTTCCACTCGTGGGCGTACTTGCTTGTCATTGGCAGTCTGGCGGTCACTCACGGCATGCAAAAAAAGTACTGCCAAACAGCCTGGCAACTCTAAGAACATCTAGAAACATCTAGAATCTAGAAAATCTAGGAACATCTAAAAACATCTAACGGAAAATCTAACGGAATCTAAGAAGAAGAAAAGCAAACAAAAACAAACACAAACTAACAACATCTACAACATATATAAGAACATCTAAGAAAATATACAAGCAGCTTTGCCTTGCCAATTCTGAAAATGCATGACCAAGAATACAGCCGTGGTCTGCAGGACACATCATGGGGTCTAGCTAGACTTTCCCGGAATCTACATCGCGCCAAACCAGCTCCGAAGAAGACCCTCAACGAAGAGGGCTCCTAAGTGCTTCGTATCTTGCGTCTGCCCGCCTGTCCAGTTGTTTTCTTCCTTCCAGTTGCTGATCCTGTGTCTGCCCATTTATCCTTCTTCTGTCTTTGCTCCTTTTGTCCGATTTGAAGAAATGGATCCTGTGTCAGCCCGCTGGTCCTGCTTCAAGATTCTGTCTTCGTTCCTCATTTCTGCTTCCTTCCTTCAATCCAAAGTCTCACACTAACCAGGAGTACAACCGATGGCTGTGAAAGGGATTGATTAGCGCTGCATGTCGTGGACCCAAGCCCCTCATATTGACACGGTAGCCTTGCCGCATTGGCCTCTATCCTGCATCAACTACTACTCGGCTTCTCCCATGTACACCTTTGCATTGGCTCTTGCAAATGGCTGGATCTCCCTCTGGGAGATCCCGTGCCTATGCAGAGGGAGTCACGTCAAGGTACAAATCGGAGAAGACAACTAGTGTCTGGCCACCACCCTAATCTCTGTCTTTTTCGGGGGGTCGCCAAACCTGGAAGTATGCCTCTGAAGCGAACCACTGCAAGCCTTGCCATAGGTTCCCTCACCAAGAAGGGAAGGCTCCACACGCTCATACCTGGCTGCTTCAAGCGGAAGCATGCCCTCTTGATCCAGCACCACAAATCTGCTTCAACTTCTATACCGAACCACAAAGAGTCGCACCTGTGTGGTGCTACCTGAAAGTTTTTGCAAGGCTGTCAGCTTGCACGCTCATCACTAAGCCTCCGGCTGACTCTCAAAGGCCCTCTCTGCTTCATCCAGATTGTCATCCAAGTCCGCCATGCTCCTGGCTGAGTGCGGCTTGCAAGGCTGTGGCTGGTGAGCACTAGCATAACGAAACCAAAACCAAGTTCACAATTTTCACTGGAGAGGATTGACAAGAGGTCATTGTGTCGCAAGGCTGGGCCCAAAAGCATCCATGCTTGCCACTCCTCCGCAGCGTGCTCGTCCCCCCCAACATCTTCTCCCATTCTCGAGCCAAGGGCAGGGCGGCAGATGGCATGTGAGAAGATGTGCACCAAAAAAAGCCCCAAGGAAAACATCGCCAAAGTGCGGGCGTGTCAACACTGCAGCGCGATCCTTCACGCCGTGCCCAATCTGCAAAACCCCAGCTGGATCAAACGCAAATGAGCCATGCGTTCTTTGAGCCACGCCCGCGCGTGTCTGAATCTCTGATCCGTTCAAGGCAGGCAAATGATTGGCCTGAGGATCTGCATTGAATTGCAGCGTGGAAGCTGACTTACCTACGTAGCCCTACCAAGCCCGCCAATGCAAGGGACAAGTGTTCTGCGAAATTCACCCTGGCTCCACCATGGTGGCAGCACCTTTGCGGTTTGCTTCCAACTGCATCAGGCAAAATCTGGATTCACGTTGACGACCACCGAATAAACCAGAAGATTTGCCCTGCCTTCACTGGCGACTGGCGGTTGACATGAGCACCGAGCCCATGGCTCTGGCTCCGTGCAGGGGCGCCTTTTACCGCCCCGTCGAATTCCGTGCAGTCACCACCTGGCAAACAAAGCAGACAAAGCTGGCTCGCCACAGGCTCGCCCGCTGGATAGACGAAGAGAGCATGAACGAAGCCCCATTGCTTTGCTTCAAAGAAGGTGAAGAGCAGAGATGCTCTGCCAGCGAACTCTGTAAGCATGCCAATCTGTGTCTTGGGTAGTGCCAATATGCAAAGCGCCCACCCCAAGGGACCCGGTTGCACGTCTTGGCGTGTTCAAGACAAGAAGCAACTCCGTACTGTTGGCAGTAAGTTGAATGAAAAGTCTGAATCTTGTCATACAAAATAAGACTGTCAAAAACATGCATTGAGGAAGGACAAGGAACGCAGAAACCGTTAAACTGAGAAAAGCCCGTTAATCCAACCTATAGAAGCAAGAGCCTCATACTCCAAATCCAAAAGGGCAGACCTCGATTCTCTCAGCCTCCACAACAGCCCGCTTTCAACAATCGCGGACAACGCAAGTGCTCTTTTCTCCCAGCGGGCTATGAAGAAGCCATCCGTGCCATCAACATGTGGAAGCAGTGTGCGACAATGCCTGCAGGGGAATCGCAGCTATGCGAGGGCGATCTCCTTGTGCACCAGTCTCTCTTCGCATACACAAATAGGCTTTGGCACCTCAACCCTTCCCGCCTGCCATCAGCAAAGGGCCACCTCTGAAACTCAAGGCCATCGGTCGAGGCCTCAAAGCGTTCCGCCACCGCCTGCGAAAAGGCGAAAACGCCAAGCACGCGGAAAGGTGAAACTCGGTTTACGCCTTCCTCCCCTCCTCTGCCCAACTCTCCAAAACCACACTTCCCCACCCCAACATCCACCCCCAACCCCTCACCTGGTTCTCCTCGCCGAGTAGAGAGCAGGTGGCGTAGACCAGGCGCCCGCCCTTGTGCACCAGGCGCGATGCCTCGCTCAGAATCTCCAGCTGCAGCTCTGGCAGATCAATGGATCCGTCCAACGCCCAGCGCTGGGATGGGTGCCGCCGCAGCACCTCCACCCACCGGACGGCAGCCAAGGTAGGATGAGACAAACATGTTGAAAACAACACATAAAACAACCGGATGACAAACTTGAGATGTGTAAAATAAAGAATGGTGGAGTTGAACAAAGGGAGAATGTGACCCGAAGTGAAGGCTTCCTGAATCGAGACGACATGCTCTTGATCAAGTACGTCAAGCAGGGGTTTATTCATCCTGGACTCCATTAAGAGCCTCACTCAAAACATAGTGGCAAAACTGTCCGGCTTTTCAGGGTTGGGCGGCGAAAGGGAGCTGAGAAAGCAGCCCAGGCACCCCAGAGGAGGAGCAGGGCGCATCCACCAGCACCACATCCGCGAGCTCCTGAAGAGTTGTCCAGTTAGGAGAAAAGAACATGGGCATGAAGATATGAGTCTTAATTGAGGACCATTGAGAGTCAGAGCCACGTGGCCTCTAACGGTTTGATTGGTTTGTTTTGCCATGGCTTCAACATTCTGGAAAGGATGCATTTTGCCAGCTGTTCCCAGCCCGACTACATTGTATCTGCTTTCAGCGGAGCCAAGCTGCCTGCCACAACCACCATCGCTGAAACATGTTTTGGCCGAGCAAGGAACGTGCGAAACAAGTCGATGCTCCAGCAAAGCGAGCATACACTGCCAGCGCCACAGAAGGCGCCCTCACACATTTTGGGGAGAGCAACTCGCAAAGAATCGGTTGTCAGCCTTCCGAATGGAATCCCAGTCCAAGTCTTTGGAGTCCCCGCCCTTCTGCCATCCCCCCCTTCCCCCAGCTCCTGGGGTTTGGCGTGGAGCACCTCCACCAGGCCCTGCGCCTGCGCGCGGCTCTGGCGGGCGCCCACCAGCTGCTGCCGCAGGAAGTCCTCCACGTCCCAGGCGCGGACGAGGCCGTCGGGCGCCACCAGCTGCGCCAGGACCCAGGTCTTGCCGCCCCGGCCCGCGCAGTAGTCCACCACCCGCTCCCCAGCCCGGGCCTGAATCACTGAAGGAAAGAGGGGAGCAATGAGAAGCATTGGGGCTAACCGCGACTGAACAACCAAAAGCCATGATGCAACGCCCCAGAAACACGAAAGGGGGTTCGCTCAAAAGGAAACGCACAATCAGATCAATCCCCTCCCCCCCCTCCCCCCCCTCCTCCGTGGCCAAGGCCACCAGCTGCGATCCTTCGTCCTGGACCTCGAAGAGGCCCTCCTTGTAGCCCGGCAGCTGCCAAACGCCTCCGCCGGGCGGGCGCCCGTCAGGCAACCACAGGCCCAATTGGCCTCAAGCGATCAACAATCCCCCGCTTCTCAGGGTCATTTGCGACGCCTCGAAGTCGATCACTGACGTTCGCAGTCATGCTACGCTGCACCAAGATCCCTCGTTTAGCAGCCACAGATACACGCAACAACCCCACGCAGAAAGAACGACAGCAGTAATGAATGGGCGGCAACTGCAACATCAAGCAGCGGTGCTTCATTCAACCCAGACCGCATCCAGATGCAGCCAAACAGTGCCATTCTGGACAACCTCATTATGTGGCCAGAGTAACTCCAAAGCGGCTTGTGCCGAGACAGGCAGAAAGCCCAACGGACTCAATGACTCATATTGTCAAAACCAAGCGCTGAAAGAAGCATTTGGTGGACATCCCCAGGTCAAATCCAACAAAAGGATTCGGATGTCCGACTTCGGCACCCAACCAGCAGCCAAATTGGCGTGGCCGAGCAGCTCTGCGCGGTGGGGCAGCTGCGCACGCCGCGCTTGGCGAGTACGGCCATCAGCTCCGCGCGGCTTGTCTTGAACCTGACAGGCTGGCGGTCAAAGCGCCCTCTTGGCGACAAAGCAAATCTTGGATACGGCAACGGCACGTTGAGACTCATATGATGCCACTGCTGACTTGTGTGTGGAGAAGGGTCAGACCAGACGAAGCCTGACAAACAAGTGAAAACAATGCCCAGGCAAGGAGAACGGCCAATGCCCTCAGACATTCAGATCAAAACAAACTTATCTACAGCCCTCAGTTTAAAACGCAACACACTGAATGCTCAACTCGAAGTCGACAAGCTGGCGGACCAGTGCGCTGCACAAAGCCCAAGCTGGGGCAACTCCGGGTCAAATGCCACCTTCCTCACACTTCCCCTCCAGTTCTCCCAAGGGGCGTGTTCACTCGCAGCGTGACCCGAGCAGGAGAGCTCATCGCGCGTCCAAGACGGAAGGCTTCGAGGGCGCCAAACTGCCGCACCCACTCCTCCGCCACCCACGTCGGCAGGGACCACGCCACCGAAAGCCGCACAGCGGCGGAGGGCCGCTCGTGCTCCTCGAAGAGCCTTGGCGCATGCAAAGAGGCCAGGGGGGTGGCAAGAAGCGGTCGAATGGCGGAAACAAATCGGAGAGTGCGCAAAGTTTCGCCTCTTGACTTCTCTTTCCTTGGCTTTCTTCTGTCTGAAGGCCAAGGGAGCAGGCCCTGATGCCTTGCGCTGGTCAAACTGAAAAGCGAGTCTTATGTATCCTTGAACAGCCAAACAACAAACAACAAAAAGCCTGAACATCAATGTGTCGCTTCCCACCAGCCTCGGGCTCCTTCTCTTTCCGAGGCACGGCGCCTCTGCCGCTCCCCGCAAGTCGAGCTCCGACGCGACCTTCAGCTCGCGGCGCTCGAAGAGCGCCAGCAACAGCTCCGCGCTCTCCGGAAGCTGCGCCCGCTGCCTGGCGAGCGCACCCCAAACCCCCGAACCCCCCGAATCGACTTTTCGCAGAAGGAATTGCTCATGGAGAGTTGCTCCCAAGCGCCCCCACCCCCCCGGCAAAAATTGCTCTTGCGCCGGTGGGGCGCTCACAGGGACAAGGAAACTTGCCTGTCAAATGACGTGTCAACGCATCATGCGTCCATGGTTGTGGGATTTCACATTTTTCTCCACAACGAGACTTCTCATGACTCGTAACACCAGGCGATTCGACAAAAAATAAGCCAAGCATCCGAAACCCTCGTGCATTGTTCAAGGCGAAATGGGGGGAAGTGAAGTACTGATTCTCAAAATTCTGTATTCACAGTAACGGCTCTCTGGTATCAATGAATTGGTTTAACAAACAAACCTCATCCCCCAAAGCAAACCCCTAAAATAGGTGCCATCCAAAGCAAAAAGCACCAAAACAAAACCCCTAAACAAGCCCCAAAAAACATGCAAACTCAAAAACAAACTCCCGTTAATAAAGGTCATCCAAATTGTCCGAGCTGCAGGAGGTGCGCCAGGCGCTTTCGGAGCACCGCCACCCCCAGCACCCGCTTCGCGATCTGCGCACGCGTGGCTTGGCACAGCTCGCGGTGCCTGGGGCAACGTACCGTGCGCGCGAAGGATCAAAGGACACTTTGATCGAAACGAACAGTACTCGCGCATTGGGGATGCCCTTAGGAGAAACTAAAAGGGTTTCACTCACCAACTTTTCGGGGCGATTGTAGGAAGCACCCCCTTTTGGGCAAATCCCGCCTTTGCACTCAAATTGAAGGGCAACGTGGACAAGCTCATGCAAAGGGCCTTTCACATATGAGGCACGGTCGAAATTTCTTACTTGCGGCCTTTTCGCTACTTAGTTTGAGAGTCCCCTATCATTTCTCCAGCGTTTCCATCATTTTCCAGGGGTATCGTTTTGTTTGAGTGTCCCCTGTCGCTTTCCATGGTTTTGTGAACTGTAACAATATCAATGACACGCCGAATACTGAACTCACCGGAAATAATTGGGGTTTGATATCCACGGACAAACCACAGGGTTCCCCGACTTGTCAGCTCGGACAGGACGTCCGTTCATTCCGAGCAAAGCCTGTGGCATAGCTCTGGAAAGCCAACATACCCGGAACAGATTTACCCTGTTGCTTGCCTCCCTAAATACGGTGACCTTCTGGGGAAGCATGAAGCTACCCCTTGGCTCATGACCCAGGTCAAGTCTCCGAACAAGGAACCAGATTTGCCGATGGGCAAACAAGCTTGCCAAGCTCGTTCACCAACCATTGCGCAGAGCCATTTAAGCCTCCGCTGAGCAAAATACAATAACTCGTTCATGTTGATAGGCAAAGCTGAAGCGCTGCGCCCACATAAATCTGCGTTCCTGGCACACCGAGCCTGGAAAAGAAGACACCCCGAGCAAATCTTCCTCCTCAGGGCCATGGTTCTCACAAACGTGTCAGCTCCTGACTTTTCCGGCCATCCCGAGTCCTCCCCCCCTCCCCCGCAACGCCCTGGCCCCACCCCCCCCTCCCGCCTGTCGCGCATGGCCCGGCGCAGCGCCTTCTCCACGTCGCTCCGCTCGGCCGCCAGCCACGCACCCAGCGCTGCCAAGGACACGCTGCGCACCAAGGCGCCTAAGCGACTTCGGCTATGCGTGGTGCAGACGAAAAGATGGCGAAACGGTAGACACAAAGCGAACATCAATCCAAGGGGCGGGCGACGGAATCGATCTGAGTCTGCTGAGTCGCCGTCTCCGCCGAGAAATCCGGCGGCGCATCGACTTGGCATGCCATGGCCCACTGGACGTCCGCATAGCGAGGCGTGACAGCCTCCTTTCTTTCTTGCTTGTGGGATTTTGCCGGGCCATGTCGTGACGAGCAACATTGGCAAACCATTCAAGCATGAAAGTGCTTGAAAATAATTGTTGGAATCAGACCGTGCAAAGAGGATTGTCTTGGCAAATGGGAAGCCCATGGCTTGCCAGCATGCAAGCAATGAAGGTCCCTCTATCTTGGATCAGTCGCTTTATGCCACGGTCGCAACAATGACGCCAGAACACTGGCAAGCGCCTACCGTGTCCGGCCTTCGCTCTCATCGCGCAGTGTGTGAAGAGCGTGACAGCAAGTCATTGTTGCTCAGAATGCCTGAGCTGATGGCCCCATTTATACGGGCATTTCGTCTCACCCGCATGCACATTCGCTCCTTCATGGCCCGTCTTGTCCATCATGTCAACTGGATGTGTATGTAAGCTAACCAAACGGCACCACACAAGCAAGCGATAACTCTTTTATCCAAGCAATGTGTTGGTGCCAGGGACTCATCTTCCCCTGTCAGATGTCTACGGCTGGGTGGGCCCCATGGGCCACCACAAACTCTCAAAAACTGAAGAACGGGTGTGCAGACTGATAGCGCCCGCCCCTGGGCCGGGGCCAGGGGCACCCAGGCCACAGGGGGGTCTGCCACCAGGGGAAGTGAGTCACCCACCGGCTCCGGTCACGGGAGCATGGGTGGGCCCACGCTAAGATCAAATGCATCTCCATTCAGGAGACGCGGGAGAAAAATGAACTCCTCGCAGAGTTCCTGTTTAGGAACTCTGTGCAAAGGGTCGAACCCCGAGAAATCTGGGTGCGTCAGCTCATCGGCCCACTGGTTGAATTCCCGGGGCACGTGGTTGGCCGCCAGCGAGCAGCCATGGGTGTGGAGCAGGAAGACCAGCTCCATCAGGATAGCCGCGGTGTAGGGCTTCTTGGATCCAAGGTTGAGCATCGCCATGACGTTGCCCTGATTGTCACTGCCCACCGGGAGTCGGACCCGGGAGGACAGAGGGCCTTGGTGCGTGAGGATCATGTTACAGAGGAAGAGCGTGCCCAGCATTTCCAGAGCCGCAATCCTCCGCTTGGGATCCCCATTCTTGAATGCCCACAGGTACTCCTCCACGTGGATCTGCTCGTGGAACCAGTACACCTCCTTCTTCTCCGGCTCCACTTTGTTGGAGCACCAGCCTCCCACAAATGCCAGTCCTTCATCCGAGGCGCTAGCATCGCTGCAACCCCACCAAGAGGACTTCGACAAGTAAGGGGAGTACTGGACGAAGGGCGTGTTGAAGAGGAACCGCAGCATGAACGCCAGCATCCTGACCACCTTAGGGGGTTTCCCCACCCTGGTGGTGGCCATTTTCCAGGCCCACAGTGGCTGAAGCATCGACTTCGGTTGCCCATGGGATGCGGCCCAGGGCCCCCGCCTTCTCGATGCATCGCCTGCCCTTCCACCATGATCTGCAAGACCTCCATCACCAGGATGTGTTTGTTGGCGGCCATGAGAACCTGCGGGATGTTCGGGTGGACCACGAAGCCCAGCCACGTGTTGACCTCCGCCAAATGTGTCTTCTTCCAGCTAAGCGGGGTGCCCAAGGCCAGGAGTGTTGCCAACAGCGCCACCGCCAAGTTCACTGCCCCCTTGCTGCGAAGCAGCGACAGGAAGTCATCCACAAAGACGAAGTTCCAATCCACTTGAGGGAAAAGTGCGTAGAGGACCCTGAGTAGAAGGGCTGCCAGGCGTCCCCAGTAGGATTGGGCACTGGCCATGCCGTATGTGCCTACCTTGTTCACCCACCATTCTTCCTCAGTGAGGCCACCTGGAACCGCCAGTCCTTCCTGAGGACCTTCACTCTCCGGTGGGCCTTGGTGACGTCCGCCTTGAGCAGCACCCACCTGGTGCCCGGCTCCGGCCATTGCCAGCCCTCGGGTGGAGGTTTAGCGACCTCCCTCTCGGGGCCGGGGGCACCCTGAGAGGGAGGTCCCTCCTCAGCTGCCGCATGTAGCCAATGAAGAGCTTGTACCCCATCCAGCACCGCGGAGCCGTCGTCCTTTCCACCGTCTGGTTTCTGATGGTGTCATTGGCCCCGCCCGCCGAGCCATCGTAGATGGTGCGGATCTTGTCCCCTTCGTCGATGCCCGCTAGGGGGCCTGGGCAAAGATCCTCCATATTGCAGCCACAGCGCGCTGCTGCCTCTACCTTGGTGAGAGGGCCATCTACCATGCCCATGGGGACCTCCTCCAGGAACGCGCTACGGATGAGCTCAGTGAAGTGATCCGCTGAGGGGTAGTTACCCCGGCCCGTGTGGGATGAGGGAGTTTCTGGAACTCCGGCTCCTCCCCTTTTAGCTCCTTCTTGAGTGGCCAGATGCCCGGCGAGACTAGGGGTGGGTCCGTGACCCCTTGTTCCAGATCCCGAGGAAACTGGTGGTCGGCAAGATGTCCAGGAAGCCTTCCGCTGGTCGGCTTGGCGCCAGGATCTCCCTGATATCTTCCAGCAGGTCCTCCGGGAAGGGGTGTGACCCGTCCCCCAACGAACGTGAGGACACAGATCTTGACCCCCAGCGGGGCAGCCGTCCAAGTGAGGGCTTCCCACCCCCGTCCCCTGAGGGGCGCTGTTTGAAGGCCATCTGGAGGTACATAACCTTGTCGGAGAGATTTGGGTCGTGCGTGATCGGCAGGGTGGTGGGCCGATCCGAGATCTCCATGCAATGGCGTGCCCATGGCTGAAGGGGAAGAGTTTCACCCCGTAGTTCGACCTCCCTGCCCGCCGGCTGTGTTGGTGTCCGGACCTCAGGATTGTCTGAGGCCGAGACCGGACGTGAGCCCAAGGTTAGTCCCGCCAACGCTTGTTGGCCGGCCTTCAGCCTCAGGGACTGGCGCTTGTTGTCCCCCGGCGTGTGGGGAGATGGTTCCCTCTACCGCCTCGGGGGGGTCGTTGGGTCCCGCTCTGCAGAGGATGGCCGCTGCGAGACCCTGCATCATCTGCTCTGGGCACCGGCTAAACTCACTGGAGTTGAGCTTTTCCCCCCCTGGGGTGAGCTCCGTGGTTGCATCGCAGATCATGCCAATGGTGAAGGGGAAGGTCCGTTGACAATGTCGTGGACTTCACTACCACCTGGCCCAGGCGGCACTCGTCAAACTTGATGAGGGAGTGGTGGAGTGCGTTCGCCCATTGAATATAGGCCCGTGTGACCCAGATCGATGAGCACCTTGCTGCGCTCGGGCTCTTGCTGCACTCCATTGGGTCCATCGGGTGCTCCAGGAAGGAGGAGCCCACCTGCGGGACCGTTCGTTGACCTAGTCCTTGGTAGGCCAGCGAGGTCAGGTACATCTGTCGGAGCATGAGCACGCTGTCGTTGTCCGTGTCCTCCCTTACCCGGGGCTCCAGGTCCTCCAAGCCCCACAGGGTCTGCTCCGCCCTGCCCCTCACCGGCGGCGGGCCTCCCGGTTTGGGGAACCATCTGAGAATGCTCCACGTTCTGCAGTTGGGGCCGCCCCCCACAAAGGCGACCTTGCCCGCCATGGCCATGGAGCACATTGTAGAGTATGGCTTGTCTCCCAGCATGTCATGTCCAAGATCGCCACCCTTTCGCCTAATGTCCACTGCCCAAATGTACTCCGAGAAGGCCGGGTTGTAGGCATGGAGGTTGGCATCCAGGGCCCCCGCGTCGTCCTTCCCAGCGTACAGCATGAGGGTCGGCTTCGACGACTCCGGCACCGGTCGTGGCGTCCACCTTAGTCTGGACCTCAGTCTTTCCGGGGTGTCTCCAGGGGAAGGTGGGGCTTGTCCCTTGCTGGGGTTTCCGTGTGTCCTTTGTCCGACCCACTGGTCGTCTGGCCCTGGGCTTGCTGCTTGCCCTGACGGTTCTGCCCGCCTTGGAACGCCCCTTGCTGGGCGGATCCCCACCTCTGGGTCTCTCTGGGGGTTCTTCCCACTGCCTCGCTGGGTGCGGGGGAAAAGGGTGCTTCCGCCCTTCTGGAGTGCCCTGGCTGGATCCACTCCCTTTCTTCGGTGGAGGGGCTTCCGGGGCCGGTGGCACCCTGGAGAGGTCCCCTCCCACCTGCGGCCGTCCTGGCCTCCCCAACTCTGTCTGCCTTCCGCTGTGGCTGGGATTGGCTCTCCTCCCTTCGGAGACCAGGCAGCCACGGGGCCCATGGCACCCTGAGTGGCCTCCTGTCACTTGGGCACATGCTTCGCTGGGGGGGCATCACACACCCCATCCTTCCTGACCATCAACCGCATGATCCAGGGCATTTGTTGTGAAGGTGATGATCCCTGCAGTACGCCACCCCTTTGGGATTCTTGAAAGCCCAGTGGTCTGGCCATGGGGTCGAGGAGGTGTTGGGGCTTGGAATGGGTAGGCAGCGAGGACCAAGATCCTTTTCCCCCCTTCTTGGGCTTCTCCCACTGAGTCTGCCACACCTTGGGTGCCTTGCTCTTGCTCTTCCCCTTCGTCGGCGCCCTGTTGAGGTGCTCATAGACCTCCCGTTGCCAGAAGAGGAAGTCGCCCCTGATGTTCTTGAGGGCTTCGGAGAGAGTGGTGCCCTGGTGCACCATCTCGTGAATCTTGCGCCATGCATTGCGCTCTGCAAACAGCAAGGTGGTGTCGCTCGGGGGAGGTTTCCTGCCGGCTATGTCCTCCCCATAAAACCAGGCATACCAGTCATCCAACTCCTCCTTGGTGACCCTCAGGTTGCCAAATTGCGGCAGTGCTGCCGTGCACATCAGGAGCGTGCAATCGTTCCAGCTGGCGCCGAGATGTAGGGTGGCTCCTCACCTCTTCTTCATCCTCCCTGTCCCAGCCGTCCACCGTGATCTTCTTGTGGGTGGATGAAGGGCGTTCCCCTTCTTCCGGGAGCGCGCTCACGATGTGTTTTGCCGGGATGTAGCCCAATTCGCCCTTGGCAATCATGCGCCATTGCTTCTTGAGGTAGCCATCACTACCCTGGAATTCCAACCTCGGCTTCGGGGCCCCATGCGTGGCCACGTAAGCATCTTCCAGCTGGCGCCTGTCACACAGGACTTCTAAGGGAGCCTTTATCGGGCCCGCATGGCGCGCCGGGTGGTCACCCTGGTTGCCCCCCCTGACCAAGTTTGCTGCCACCCGTACTGCCTGAAGGAGGCGCATTGCCGTGAAGGCCGAGGTCTGGGCGTTGAATCCATTCTCTCCATCCTGGAATCCCAGGTCCCGGGGACCATTTTCCCTGGCCGCAGCCCCCAGTGCCGCTTGGATGACCCAGGGGATTTCCTTGCCCACCAAGATGGCCGCCAGTGGCTTCTGCAACTTCGCCACGTCTTCCTTGATCGCGGCTGGGACCTCCTCCAGTGGTTTGGCGGGCGCCGCAGCCATGACCTCTTACCTTGGTGTGGGTGGGTGGGTTTTCAATCAGCTTGGGTTCCAGGAACCCAGAGCAAAGCTTGAGCCAAAATGGCACATGCCATTATGGTCAAGCATTCCACACACAGTTCATGTTTCCACATGCGTTTCAACATTAACAAAGTGTATGTAAGCTAACCAAACGGCACCACACAAGCAAGCGATAACTCTTTTATCCAAGCAATGTGTTGGTGCCAGGGACTCATCTTCCCCTGTCAGATGTCTACGGCTGGGTGGGCCCCATGGGCCACCCACCACAAACTCTCAAAAACTGAAGAACGGGTGTGCAGACTGATAGCGCCATTTCCGAAGGACAGTCTGGCACACCCGCCATTTCCGAAGGATGCCAGTCTGTGCTGAGGGCAGGGCCGGGGGCACCTAGGCTTCCAAAGGTAGGGCCACCACCTCGGTCTCCGACTGGGTGTCCACCGAGTCATCCGTTTCAGAGCCCGAGTCCGCCGAGAGTCCAAGTCCTCCTGCAGTGCGGGGACCTCCGCAGGCTCCAGTACCCAGTCCGCCGGGAAGCCGTACCTCTTGAAGCAGCGTTCGCACTTGCCATAGGCCTCTGGCTCCGACATGTAGTCCAGCACGGAGAGCTCCTGGATCTTGGAGGCCGCCGGTCGCCACCCACACCCCACAGCCGTGCCTTCGTCATTCAGCAGGTGGATTCTGGCCTGGCCGGCGTTGCCTGTGCGTTTGACTGCCGCAACAACACGAAGGGGGAAGTTCGGGGTGGTGGGAAACAGGTCCTTGACCTTCACTGGTGTGTCCTCGGGTCCCTGTTCCACCAATGACCATGAGCGAGTCGATGGTGCGCTCCCTGAGGGTACCGTGGGGGACGCCTCCCCTTCCCCTTCAGTTTGGTCCTTGTGGCCGTCCGGTCCCGCATCCGTGATTTCCACTGCTGGCGGCGGGAGCGGGTCCGCCCAGTCCGGGTGGTTCAAGTCCTCCCTGCGTTCCCTGCCTGGCCCGAGGTTCAGGTTGGGGACCTTCTGCGCTACCTGGCCCCAAATCTCCACAACGACATTGCGCTTCTCCCGCACATAGACGTCTGCTGCGCTCTCTGTGAGCCAGTTGCCTAAGTACATGCGGCGCTCCCGGGGGAGCCCCATCTGGAAAGCGCAGTCCGGGATGAACACTCGGAATGAGTGCCACGTCAGCGGCTTCACCAACCCCAGGGTCAGTCCCCGACGGAGAAGAGCATCCTTGAGCCATCTCAGAGCTCTTTCTGGTGCGGAAGGTCTCGGGATCAGCCCGGCGAAGTCTTTGCTCACTGTCGGGAGCAAGTAGTCCATGTCCTGGAATGCCTTCTCGGATACCAGTCGCCGGACCGTGGCCACCCAGGTAGTCCACCAGGGGATCCCCGTGAAGCTGTACTTCGGCGCAATCAAGGGGACCGGGTTGCGGTTGATTCGTGCTGCTGAGACCGTCTTGGTCTGCCAGGCCTTCAGCTCCACGGTGTTACTGGTGTGGATCAGGTCCTTAGGGTGAACATGCTGGAGGTCATTGAAACGAGCGCTGCACCCTACTTGGAACCGGGCAAAACCCAGGATGAATGCGTCCAGTACCTCGTGTCTGCTCCTCCCCACCGCCTGCGTACCAGGTGATCGTAGCCAGCCCCTTCCTCCAGAGCCCATATGACCTCTTTGCTGGGGACCACCGCCTTGCGCTGCGGCCGGGTGACCGTGTCCGTGAGCGCCTCTTCCAACGAGCTCTTCTTGGACTTGAGGCGATGGAGCTCGTCTATCTTCAGCATACCGAAGGTCTTGGGATACCATTTGAGGGTGTTCCACACCTGCCGTAGCTTGTACGGGGTGACCTCCTCTTCGGCGAGCTGGTTGAGGAGAGAGCGGACATGTCGTTCCTGCCAGGGAATCACCGTGAAGCCTGACCAACCAATGCTGCCTGAGTGTCCGGAACCTGCCCCAGGAGGTCCAATGCCTCCTTGCGGAAGTCCTCCCCCAGGATGTCCTGCATGTACGTGATGTGCTCCGCAAACGGGGCAAAGTGGGCGAGGAGCCGTTCCGCCCATTTCCCGCGCATATGGAGTTCCAGCGCTCGCTGGGTCGTGGGCTCCATTTCCCTTATTTTGCCCGGGCGCCAGTGCCTCCACTTCAGAAGCTCCGGTTGTTGGAGTGGGGGTGGGTCATCTCGTGAGAATCACCTCAATTGGTCCTGGCGGTCCCATTCATTCTCCACCGGGAAAAGTCCTCGCTCCCTCCGCATTGCGGCCCCGGCGTTGCGTCTTCACAATCAACGGCAAGGTGGTCCAGGCCGAGTAGATATACTTAAATGTGAACCTGTGGGCGTACACTCCCGTCAGGCTCGGCAGGTCCCACGTTCTCGTCTGTCTGGCCCAAAACCCCTCGCCCAGAAGATACCAACCACCTGCTCAGGCGCCGGGCGCTCACCCCGGTTCACCTGAGCCCGGATCTCCAAGGCCGTGTAGATGACTGGGTCGATGTGGTTCTGCTCGCACGTGCATGGGTGAGTCCTGCGCTCAAGGGCCAGGAGCTCCTCCGGCGCAAGCTTAAACTGCTGGTCAGCGCCCCGGGGGATCTCACCGCTTGCGTGCTTCCTCCAAACCCCCCCAAACATCCGGAGCTCTCCCTGGTGCCGCTTCATTGCTCAGAGGATAAGGGACAGCTTGCCGTCCTCAGAGTTCAGGTCCTGCTGGGACATGGGCTGGTCCCCCGCACGGGGCCGGTGGCACTTGGCGGGGGCCGGTGCCTCCAGCTCGGGCATCTCCTCCAGCAGTGCCTCCTGGTGCCACGGGTTCTGCGACGCTCTGAGCATCTTGATGTAGGGGACATACTTCTCCTTGATGTCCCCCACCGGGGATGTGTCGTCGGGGTCCTCCAGCTCTAGGGGGCAGAATAGGCCCCTCTCCAGGGCCTTCCTGAGATCATCCGGCCACGCCGACACTTGCAAGGGCTTGAGAGTGTGGTTGAGCATCCATGCCATGCCTGGTTGGTGTCCTGGATTCGCTTGTTTGCCGCCTGGGCCGCCTGAATGCCTGGCTGGCGTCAACGCCCTTCCCCTCCAAGTACTGGTCTCTCAGCCTGGCCTTGAAACGCTCCAGGTTGACCTTCCTGAGGGCACGGGCTCCTTCGTTGGCCACCTCATCTGACGGCAGGGCCTGCATGCCCTCCTGGAGGGGCGCCAGGATCGCCATCTCGTTGTCCAGCATCTCCTCAGTGACCAACTCCTTGTGCAGCCGCCGTCGGCTCCCGTCCCGCAAGGCCCTTCCTGATCGCCTGGTCCACCTGGGGATGGTAGAGCTCGAAGCTCTGAGCCTCCGCCTCTTTCAAGGACCGCTGCACTTTGACCCGGATCTCCTGGCTTTCCCGGACCTTCATCGCCTCGTCATCCGCCTCCATGGACAGGATCTCCTGCCGGATGTCCACCCGCATGTTAAGCGGGACCGCATCTGCCATGGTGATCTCATCAGCCGAGTCCGTTTTTGGAGGGGTTTTTCCAAGACCGTGCCATCCACCAAGTTGCGGTCGGCCTGTGCCAGGGTACCACCGGGGCGAACGGCACCCAGGTCCCCATTCCCGCTGCTGGATCCAGATTGGCTTGCCCTCCAAGATGAGCAGGTTGTAGGTGATGCCGTCCGCCTCATAGGTGCCGGGGCAGACCCAGCACTGCTTGGGCAGCCAAGCCTCTGCCCACCCCATTCCGCATGCCTTGCACATGAACTTGTAGTCGGAATGACCTGCGTCGAGCCTGTACATGCGCTGGGTGCCAATACACGCCTTGTTCCTCTGGAACTGCGAAGCCCAGACCTCCTCCTGGCGGAGCTGGATCTTCATCGGGACGTACGCCTCCAAGATGCGGATCACCAGGTCCTCCGTGAGGTTCTTCCCAACAAACTTGTAAAACAGGGAGACCGCCTCCTCCACCGTGATGTCTCTCAGCAAGGTGGCCGCCGACGCTGGAAGGACTGGAAACAAGTCCGGGAGGTCCACCAGCTTGAAGTACCCAGGTTTTCCGTCCACCGGCACCAAGGTGACAGGTTTGTTGGCCTGAGACGTAGCCTTCTGAGAAGCCGCCACAAAGCCCTTCAGTCTCTTCGTGGGTGGCGTCTGCGCCTCCTCCGGTGGTGTGGCCCGCTCCGTGCCGTCCGCATCCCCCATGTCCCTGTCGCCCTCCTCGGCGGGGCCAGGGGCACCCAAGCCGGGAGTCGGTGTGGCAAATGCCACTTGGAGACGCTCCAGTGCACTGGAGAGGTCATTCATCACATCGGTCGCCGAAGCTGACGGGGGGGCCTCGGGCTCGTCCAAAACCAAGCCGGCCGCCACTGCCGCCTCCCGTGTGCGAATGTCCTGGGCCTCCTGGCTGGCCATTTCAACCTCCTCCACGGTGAGTGTCTGGTCCTCAATCAACTCAAAGGAAGTTGCCGAGGTTGCCGAGGAAGCCATTGCTTGGTCGGGGTTAAGTTCGAAAATGCAAAAGATCAAAGTTGTTCAATCAGCTTGGGTTCCAGGAACCCAGAGCAAAGCTTGAGCCAAAATGGCACATGCCATTATGGTCAAGCATTCCACACACAGTTCATGTTTCCACATGCGTTTCAACATTAACAAATTCAGCTTGTGGCCTATGCAGAACTGGCACAACGCTCCCCTCTCCTTACGAGTGGCGTGCTTTTCCTAATGACCTGAGCAGTTTCCACAACTGTGCCGCACTCACCTGCCAAGTGGCCAGGCACCTCAGATCTCCGGCCCACTGACACCGAGAGGGGCTCCTGGTTGCAGGATCATGCAAACAGCTTTCAGGTGAGGTTTCAGCGCCCCTCTATCAACATCAAGCGCAGTCAAACATCAGCCTGAACTTTTAAACCACGCCACACTATAGGAAAACATCTAAAAAGCCAGGCCGGTAAAGAGCGCAAGCTCGTTGGCCAAGAGCTGTCTGAGAAGCTTCGCCGGTTCCCTTGCAAATGATCGGCTTTCTATTCTGCTTGTCATCCCTCATCTGCATTTCACTAAAGAAAGCACCACGCCGAAAGCCCGGAAGAACTTCCAACGTGCGCTCCGCTTTCCCCCTCCTGCAGCCACCGCCGGGGGCTGGGTGCGGAGCGCCGCTCTGGGCGCTCCAAAGTCAAAGGCCGCTCCCGGGTGGTGGAGGAGGAGTTGGTGGGCGTGGGCAGGGCCTAGCGCAAAGAGCCACGTCTTCAACCATTGGCGTCGGATTGTGTTCACGGATTGGCAAAAATTCCACTTGCCCGCGCCCCAAACAAGGCGACCTGATGTGCCCCTGTTTCTTGCTTCCACTTCTACATCCCTTGTCCTTCAGTCTCGAAGCACTCACAAGAGTCCTCAAATCTCACCAAATCCATCTTCAGTTCCCCCTAGAAAAGAAAACCACCCAGAAGTACTTCACAGAATTCCCTTTCTGCAAAACACACGCACAGAATTATTATTGAAATAAAAATATAATAATAATAATAATAATAATAATAATAATAATACTAAAAACAAAAAACAAAAAACAAAAAACGACCCCCCTCCCCCAAACCGCGCCTCCGTGGACCTTCCCTCCAGCAGCTCCAGCCGCTCAGTGAGGCCCGCCACAGCCTTTGCCACGGTGCCTGGCAGTCGCCCCAGCAGCGGATTGCCCGGCGGACTCCGCGCCCCCCAAAACATTCGCGTCCCCCAAACAACATCCCAATAAAACAAAAGGGAACCAAGAAAGATGGAGTCCCCAAACAAAAACAAACCTCGGGTCCCCCAAAAAGCTTGCCCAAATGGGCCAAAGTGGCCACCACTTGGGCCTGAATAGCTGACATGTCGCCGAAATTGTTGGCATCCTTGACGTTTGATGGTTTGTGACATGAAACCGAATGGGAGCCACTTGCAGGGACCTCGTACAGTAGCAGAGTTTGAACTTTGAATTGATTTTTCCCGGCCTACTGGCGCAAATGCCATGGCCACTCTCAGTTCCATTGCAATCCCCGCCTAGTTCACAGCTGAGGCGGTCATTGGAGTTTGTGCCGGCAAGCTCTTCGACCTTCGTACAAAGCCTCAGCAGGTCTAGCGACTCCCTCGAGCCTGGCGTGCTTTTCAAGCGAATCCAAGGTACTGGGTGGCATGTGACTCAGTCAGCTCTCGTTCCAAGATATTGACAACTAGTCCGCAACGAAGCGGTGACCTCAACAAAAGCCATCTTGACGCCTGCGTGGTTGTCCAAACAGTTTGACGCTTGCAAGATGCAGAACGGCAGCCTTACTATGCCTTGGGGTCATGCCTCTCATGCTGCCATTCAGTTCAGCGACATGCTCAGGGCATCCGCAACGGTGGCCACCTCTTTGCGGACAGTGCTGACCTGCGTTCAAAGCCCTCGACGTGCAACGACGTACGGGATCAAAAGCGCCAGCAAATGGCCATCCAATGTCTAAAATAGTTGCTGTTTCAATCAGCATTGCCTGATCTAGCTTTGCAACGTTCAATTACACTCAAACCTTGAGAGTTCCCATCTCGATCTGCACTGGGCCCATATCGCCTCGACCAAGTGCGCCTTTTAACAAACAACTCATGTTTCTGAAGCCGCAGAACGTCACCTCGCTGATTAGACTTCCGGCAGGACAAGGAAACTCACAGAGCGTCGCATGACAAATACTGTAGTGGGATCGCTAAGCGACTTCTGATCCCGCTAATCCTGACAGAGGTTCAACTTTGGGCCCCTGCAAAGGGACCGGCAGCATGTTGCCCATCAACAGAAGCGAATATAGTGGGAAGCCAAACCATCGATTCAAACAGCTCAAAACGCGCACGAGAAGGACATGACTTCAGGTAAGTGACTAGTTAATGCCAACACCCCAAGAAAGAAGCTTCTCTCAAACGTGCAAGTTGTCAAATTTATGATCCTTTTTGGACCCGAGGCAAAACTAGTGGCGCCCCACATCCATTTCGCCTCTTACTCCCGCCAACCCCACAGCTCCGCGGGTCAGCGTTGCCTCCTGGCAGCCGCCTGGGGTGCCCTGGGCTCTCAGCTCTTGTAGCTCCCTCTCCTGGCCAGCGACTGGCACGGCAGCCCACCTTTTAAGGCCTTGCTCCTTTTTGGGGGGGGCACCCTTCATGGGCAAACCGAAGGGAAACCGATGGGAAACCAAAAGGAAACTTAAAAAGGAAACCGAAAACCCACTCCGGGGTCCCCAAAGGTTGAGACGATTGGCGGCCGCTGAGGGCCGAATGGAAGGGACGCTGGCCAGGGAACTTGGTGAGATGATGCCTGATGGGACATTGAGCGCTGCCTTCTCTGCCGATCTCCAGCTCCACTGCACACATTGTAGACATTCGAGGATTCAACTGGAGCTGCAGAGTGCGTTGATTGCTTGGAATGGATGCCGGCGTGATCAAGCAAGCATTGTCCTTCTGTCTGACCGTCTCTGTCTGCCTTTGTGCCTGTTTGTATGCGTCTGTCTCTGTCTGTCTCTGTCCGTCTCTGTCTGTCTCTGTCTTTCTCTGTCCGTCTGTCCGTCCCTGTCTGTCTCTGTCCGTCACCGTCTGTCTCTGTCCGTCTCTGTCCGTCTCCGTCTCTGTCTGCCTCTGCCTTAGTCTGTCTCTATCCGTCTCTGTCCGTCTCTGTCTTTCTCTGTCCGTCTCTGTCTGTCTTTGTCCGTGTCTGTCTGGCTCTGTCTGTGTCTGTCTGTCTCTATCTGTCTCTGTCCGCCTCTGTCTGTCTCTGTCCTTTGTCTATCTATGTTTGTCTATGTCTGTCTCTGTTCGCCTCTGTCTGTCTCTGTCCGTGTTTGTCTATCTATGTCTGTCTATGTCTGTCTCTGCCTGTCTCTGCCTGTCTCTGTCCGTCTCCGTCTGTCCGTCTGTGCCTCTCTGTCAGTTCGTCTGTCTGTGCGTGCGTCCGTCCGTGTCCTTCCGTGTAGCTCATTGGGCGAAGGAAGACTGTTATGCGGCTCATGGATGTGCAGCAAGATTGAAAAAGAAGACCTGCAGGGCAGGCATGCCGCAAACAGCAGTTGACGCAGCGTGGAATCGCTCTACCCTGCGAATAAGCTTGAGCGCGACCTTCCTCCAAACATTTCCAGGGCTGGAAAGAGCCAAGAGCAACTGGTGGTCCAATCTTCTGCCGTCATTCTTGCTTCGCAGCTGCGGGAAGGAACTCCGCACTCCTGCTGTTGCTGACGCTGCTGGACGGGCTGCAGCATGGCGGCCACGGCCTTGGGGCTGAAAAAATGGATGAAACAACTTGATGATTTTACAATCACTGGTCTGGTAAGTTCATGTAGCACGCTGGTCTTTCAACACTGCGGCGGGCAGCTTGGCTTGAAAATGCATCACAAGTCAGACAACAGGGCAAGTGGATGGTCAATTAAGCCGTTCACAAACTGCACATTCGTAAGGCGCTGACCACTTTGTCCATGGATCCCTGAGCTCATGTCACGGCTCAGGAACGGATTTCATGGGACATGGATAACCAAGAGATGGGCCCACAGCTAGGCTTCTAAAGATGACAAATAGTGGATAAAGCGAGAGATTGGAGGATCTCTTCGCATGGGAGCGAAAGGTGTCGCTATGAGAACTACTTAGCTGAAGCTAGAAAATGTGGATGAAAACCCTTCTAGAATCAATAGATAACCGGAGAGTCTTGTGCAGGAGCGAAGTGGCGAGACATTCACTTCTTCTCTCATGCTGCTCATCATTGTTAAAAGCTCAGGTTCCTGCCACATGCTCTGGGCAAGCCTAGCAGCAAAATCACGAAGTGAGAACACTGCGCCCAAACAACACTGCTGAAAGCAAGGCAAATCATCCGCCAGCGCCTGGTACATCTTCAGCACGTCCTGTCCCACGGAAACGTGTACGGAAGAAACAACGCATTCTGACAACGCCAGAAGTTTCAATACGTTGGGCAAGATTGGCCTTGATCTAGAAGCTAGGTTAGGTGGGCCGCCGCAACGCACAAGAGACTACCTGTCTCCGTTGCCCAGAGCATCATCACCTTGATTTCGCTTACTGCTCATCAACTATTGCTGCTGACTGCAGTCCACTGACGTAATGAACCAACTGCGCAAGTCGACAAGAAGTTGTGGATTTGCGTATGTGCCCTTGGCAGAATTTGCAAGTATTCTGCAAGTCGGTTCTGTTTAATTGATTCCCTTTGCAAAGTGGGCTGCTAGCTCCACAAATGTACTCTGGACGTTTGTTGGAGAACGACAAAGACATGCCTCGTGGCTTTGCGCCAGTTGGAATTTCAATTGCTGCCACAAACCAGACATGGGCTTGCTAGCCTTTCAAAATCATACTTGGATAGACTGCAACCGATGTAACCGACAAATACTGGAAAACTCTTGATCACGCGGAGCAATGAAACTAGATGCCGAATATCCCAACAGAATGAAACACACGTGGATCCGCGGCCAGACATGCGACTCCCTCTGTCTGCGCTGCCGTGGAGCAGCTACCTTTGAAAGTATCAAGACAAGCACGGAGTTGCATCAGCATACCTTTGACGTATCTGCAAGAATGAAGACATCAACCTTGGCACAAGTTTCACTCCGCGTGCGAAGTGTAGATTGAAGTGAGAGCAATGTGTGGGGTTACTTGCCGAAGTTTGAAAGTCACATTTTGTGCGGTAGTGTTTTGCTCATTGGAAAGGGTTCATCGGAGAAGTCAAAAAGTTGTGACCTTGTGTGGGACCGCAGAGCTGTGCAAGCAGACCTGCAAGGAAGGATTTGCAAGAGCCGCTGTGCAAAGCAGAGATTAGCAAGCAGAGCTGTGCAAAAGCATCTGTGCAAGCCAAGCTGTGCAAGAGCAGCTGTGCAAGAGCTGTGTATGCCCGTATTTGTTTCGAGCAACTGGAATCCAAAAGACTGCAAAAAGATCAACCCGCAAACTCTGCAGACTCCCGGCTTCCAAATGACAAAGGCCCGTGCGGCGTCCTGCACAGAGGCCTTGAGCTCCTGCTGCTGGCCCTGCAGCGCACTCACCGAGCGCTCCAGCTCCTCCAGCCGAGCCTCGGAAGGTGCGAGTGACGGTCCACCAGCCGAAAGCCGAAGGTGGGACAAACGGCAAAATTTCAATCCAGCCTCAAGCTAGTCAGCTAGTCCCCCCAGTTGCGAGTCAGACATTGGGGCAAGCCGGTTCGTCTCATGGAACATCCGGAAATGGGAGGTGTGCCCCTTCGGTTCCCCTGTGCGCACGTATTTTGCTTGTCCAGTCTTGGAGAAGGATCGAGCGGTGGCTGCAAGAAGCCATCTTTCTGCCTTCACTGCACACACGCGGTCACACGGCCGCAATCAGTCCCTTTAAGGGCCAGCAGAAGCCATCATTTCTCCAGGCTTCACACTTGCACATCAACTGCTTGCAATCTGCAAGCAAAAATTTAAGGCTCCAGTTGGCGCAATGGAAAGCCCATAAATGTTTCCAGGAACATCTCCATATCGCAACTGAATCTTGGGCTGCGCTGTTGGCGAGTTGAAGCAACAATCTACACATTGCAATGTCTCACAAACACTCGGCCACAGCTCCGGTCCAAAATCGTTGGCTTCGGAATCAACCCCGACTTACCTTACTTGCACATCTGCTTCACCTTCGCGGCAAAGACCTTGCCCTGCTTCTTGGCAATCCTCAACTCGATCGCGCTGGGCTGCCGGCTGCCATCAGGACCTGCAAAAGTGCTTGCACCCCAGGGGGAGCCGCCATGGAGCTCGGTCATGTCGAAGGCATCAGCGCCTGCTTGGTAACCCAATGGAACGTAGATCATGCCATGGTGCACCATGTTAGTGATGGTCGTCATGTGCGTGCTCTCCTGTCCACCATTGAGGGTGCCGGTGCTGGTAAAAGTGGCGCAAAGCTTCCCTGCCAAAGCGCCGGATTGCCACAGAGAGCCCGTGCTGTCGAACAGGGCCTTCATTTGCGCTGCTGCAGAGCCAAAGCGTGTAGGAATACCGAAGACCAGGCCATCGTAGTCCGCCAACTTGGCCACCTTCACATGGTCCATGACTTCGTCCTGCGGCTTTGCTGGTGCTCCCATCTTCTTCAGCACGTCCGCTGCCAGAAGTTCGGGCGCCTGGAACAGGTCCACGGTCAGTCCTTCTTCTTTCATGGCGGCGGCCAGTTCATCAGCAAGCTTCTTCACATGCCCATACATGCTGTAGTAGACCACCGCCACCTTGAACTTGCGGCTGGAAGCCGGCGCCACCGAGCGCTTCACGGCATTGCCGAAGACCTCGCCGTGTTTGCCCGCCACCTTGAGCTCCAACTGGCTGGGCTGCCTGCTGCCATCAGCTCCGGCCAAGGTCGAGGCGCCCCAGGGCGATGCGCCGTGGATCTCGGACAGGTCAAACTGACCATCCGTGCCCGCCTGGTATCCCAGCGGCACGTAGGCCATACCATGATGTACCAGCTGAGTGAGGGTGGTGAAGTGCGTAGTCTCCTGTCCACCCTGCTGGGTGCCAGTGCTCACAAAGGTGCCGGCCAACTTACCCACCAGCCCACCTGACTGCCAAAGCGAGCCAGTCCCATCAAAGAAGGCCTTCATCTGCGCCGGCATCATGCCGAAGCGCGTGGGCATGCCAAACATCAGGCCGTCATACTCAGGGAGTTGCTGTAAGAAACTTCGATCCAACAGCATCACGTCCGCTGGCTTCTCCGGAGCAGACATTGCCTTCAGGACCTCTGGTGAAAGTGTTTCGGGGACCTGGAACAGGTCTACATTCACACCAGTGGATTCAACGCCTGTCTTGATCTGCTCAGCCAGCGCCCTGATGTGGCCGTAGGTAGAGTAGTAAATGATGGCCACTGATGGACTGCCTGCCCGTTTTTGCGCCAGGAGGCCTGCCTGGACCGGGAGGCTCATCTCGGTCTGGACGGACGTGCACGCGTTGCCCATCGCGATAGAAGCAAAGAGCGTGTGCAGGCGGTGTAACGGGGAAAAGCTGCAGCCAAACTGCACCAAACACGCATCTCTCAACCAGCCATCAACTTCGGCCGTGGCAACCGACTCTGCAAACGACGCTATGAGTTCCTGGCGCCAGTCTCCGTGCCCTTCCCGCCTCGACTACCGAGTGCTTCAAATGTTGAACGAATGAACCAGTAGGGAGCAGGCTGAGGAACCCTTTCTTCACATTGTCACAAACACACCACGAGTGTACCAACAACTTCTGGGCAAAAGGCTTTCGCCGTTGCCGAATCCCACTTCAGGGTTCCATCAGTTAGAAAAGAGCCAAATTTGGCACAAGTCATGCACGTTGAAGTTCAGCGCCAACTCAAAGAACAGCCACACGCGAATGGCTCTGCACTTTCGCACGGTCTACCCTCAAAAATGGGTGAGTGGTCGCACAAAACCAACTATGCAATTGCGAAAAATGATGTCCACCAAAGGGTCCAGCTCCATGTGTGAAACAAACAAACAAACAAACAAACAAACAAACAAACAAACAAAAAAACACAGGCAAACGAACTGTCAAACAAAACAAAACAACAACCACAGTAAATGAAAACCCTGTTAACAACTAACACTTGAAAAAAGAAAAAAGAAAGAACAAAAACAGCAGCCGTGCTCCGGAGGGCCCCTTTCGGAAGCCCCGCCGGCCAGCAGCTGCGTCTGCATTTGCTCCAGGACCTGCTGCTGCTGCGCCATGGCGCCCAGAGCCTCTGCCACCTTCGCTCGGGTGGCAGATGGTCCACCAGTCGCTTAGCCCGCAAGGAAGAAGAACGTGTATTTTTGCAACGCTGAAGGCCCAAGGCCTGAACCAGAAATCCGTTGAAAGCTTTTGGATTGCTTGACTTTAGCAGACTTCACCCGAAGATGCAGAAACAAAGTTTCGCCGCGACCGTCAAGGCATGGCGGAAAGCCAAGGCATGTCACAGGGCATGCTTGCGGTTTCATTGACAATCACCCACCACGTGGCCGGGTAATATTTGCCAAAGCGACCCTGCAGCAAGGCTTTCCATCAGGACATAAACATCCCGTCCAATCTCATGAGCTGGATCCGCTACCTGAAACGACGCCCGGCCTTTACATTTACCGTAAGAACTTCTTACGTGAGAACCGATTAGTGTAGACACGATGTTTGGGGGAAATGGTTGGAATGGTTCTTGACAGGAACCGTTTCAAAACTACGTTTCAACCTTTTGCCAACCCTTCTTGTCCACCCTAAAAATGCCCTGCCCCATGTTGGGCGAAGTTGGGCAGGGTCACCAACACAAGTTGGAGGGCTCGTGCCCAACGTTAGACGACCAATGCAACTTCATAGGCACTAAGGTCAGGAAACACTGTTTCAAAAACGCATTGCTCTTTCCTGCAGTTGGCTATCAGATTTCAGAGGCGGCGGAATCCGCATGCTTGCCTAAGAAAAAGGTGGTCCGACAAAACAAGACACATTGAACTCATCACGCCTGCATGGCCCAACTTCTCCTGCCCTTCAGCCAAGATCCCACCAAACCAGGTCTCACAGAGTCGTCCCTCAAACGCGTGGAGCACTCGGCTAGGCGGTGCTTGCCTGGCGCTTCTCCTCCTGCAGAGCCTGCAGCTGGCCCTGCAGCTGTCGCACGGACTGCTCCAGCTCCTCGGCTCCGAGACACCGCTTGCCGTGCCGGTTGGTTTTTTTTCTTGTTCGCCCATGTTGAGTCATTCTCGTCATTCTAGTCAAATCCGACCTCTGACATTCGAAGAAATACGAAGGTCGGCAGCAGTGCTACAGTGCTACAAGCCGTAAGTTCTGCTCGGCAATGCCATGGGTCACTTCAAACCCGGTGGCCCGGATCACTGGCTTCAGGGCTTCAATCACATCGGAGGTCTTGCACTAAGCGAGGCATCTTCGAAGTGCTTTTTATTTATCGCCAACATCTGAAAAAATTCGGCCTCTCGGTTTGAATGGAGTTGACTGCCGAGCGCTTCACCGAGACGAGTAATGATTCAATGGCTTTGCATATGTCGGAGCGCTTTGTTCAAAAGAAAGCTCGCTTCTTCGACACCTCCCTTAAAGGGCAGTCAACCCTTGGATTGACGTCAGCTCAGATCGTTTGTGAACCAGCATGCCAATATGGCCCGTGCTTCAGCATACCTGGTTGGCTAAAGAGTGCATGGCACAACCTGCGGATCAATGATCAAGCAACCGCGGAATTAATCCACGCCCCTTGAACAGGAAATGGGAAGCAAGCATTGCCGATCTATCCCAGAACTTGTTCTACCTTGCGCAGATACTCGTAGGCACATCCCCCACAGCTGGCTCCTGCTCCCTGGCTGAAGCCTCGCACGGCGCACCCAATCAAAGCCGATAACCACCGCGGGCACACGTTGTCCCAACCCAACGCTTGTCGAGCATGTAACTCGCCCGCAATGCAAGCCTTCCTCTGGGATACTGTTTGAAGCATGCTGATAATCGATTTGGTGCAAGCTCGACATCATAGACATGTCCAGCGATTGATATGGTGAAACCTGCGCTTCGGCAAGTACAATACTTCGATCAATATTGAAGATTGCCACGCGCTCCCGGCAAAAAGCATGGATCCAGAACCAGGGTGCTTGCCAGTCTTTACATCCCCTGCAATTTCTGAAACTGAACATGGGGTAGGATTCAAGACATATGACAGCTTTCTTGTCCAGTGTTCTGCCGGTGGCTTGGTGTCCTCCTGAATCATGTGGCAGTTTTTTGTTCAGGTCGTGGCACGCGGCCAATATAGTTCAGCCGGCGTGTCAATTCGCATGCGGTCGATTGGTAAAAACGGAGCTGTACCAAAACTAAAACAGGTAGATCTTGGGGGTTAGCATCCACACCCCGCATCCTGGCCCTCGTTTGCACTCACCTGGCTTTTGTGGGAAATTTTAGTGAGTCCCCCATGTCCCACCCAAATGAATCGTGGCGATTTCAAAGGGCTCTTCAATAATCCAAGGCAGACATCCCCAACCCTCAGTCTGAATGAATCAACATGAATCAAGACTGGCCTGCGCAGCATGGGGCATTGCACCATTTCCAGACCAAGCAGAATCAAGACAAAGCCGACGCTGCAAGCTGAGATCCAAAAAGATGAAGCTACACCAAGGTGTGGCGTCTCTCCACCAATATCGGAAGAGTGCTTTTGGCAGAAATGCCAACAATATTGGGCCCGGACCCCTTTCAACAGCGTGCCACAAGCAAATCACTACCAACCGTTTGGTCGATCCGTGCAGCTTGCACCTCCATCTGCTTCACCTGCTGTTGCAACTGCTTCAAGGACTTCTGCTGCGAGGCAAGGCTGCCCGCCAAGCTCTCCTTGCGATGCATCGCTATCGAGAACTCCAAACAAAAACAAGGAGCGGTTCATTAGGCAATTGACTCGCGTTGCCATTCACAACATCCACCAGGCAGAGTCCAGCGCTGCTGGCCTATTGCCAAAGAAGGCTGTGTCCTTCTAGCGATTGAAACTTCTGACGGGCTTCCCCTCTCAAGAGGAACGAGAACTGTTGACCCAGGCGCTGGGTTTCAACTGCAGCAGGTTGCAGAGGCGAATACAAGTGGCCAGACGGCCACTGCTAAACCCATCATCAAATACTGAAGTTATGTGCTGCTGCCTGATCCAGTAAGAAACAAAAAGAAGCGAGCAGCACACGGATCAACATCTAAATAGCTCTTTCTTGCGGCTTTGCCTTCACTTTGGAACGTCCGCCAAGTCACTAGCCCTTGCCAGCCAAGCACAAACGAGTCTGAGACACAGCAACAACCACGTCGTCTCCTCACCCTCTTGGCTGGTGCCACACCTCACGTTGAGCTCTTCCACCCCACGCCTGTCTCAAGCTGAGGGCTTGTTTTTTTCAGCATATTCTGTAGAGATGACAAGGATGGCCGCTGTCCTGCCTGCTGATGTGGGTGTGGGGGTTGGTGACACAAATGCTGGTGAGATCGGTGCTGTCGATGTTGCCGATGTAAACAATCTTCGTTGAAGAAAACGAGTTGATGCTGGCGTTGCTGCGGAGAATAGAAATGATGGCTTGGCTGGATATACCAGCGATACTAGCAAGGCGGTGATGCCAGCAATGCCGACGCTTGCGAGGGATGCCTACGGTATTGAAAATTATACTTAGATGATGTGAGTATGGTGCTGCTCACGTCCTCGCCTCAAGGCGTTGAGCATGGCGTCCGTGGCGGTGTCAGTGGCATGCCGTGCCTCCGCGACCTGTCGGGCAACTCGCCGCTTCCGTTGACCGCTGGATCAATCACTACAGACTGCAGGTTGCAGCCGGCTATTCAACTTCAAGAGAAGCCAATGATCGATCCATGGGCATTCCAAGGGATCAAGCCTCGAGCAAGAACCTTGGTCATGTATGCATCAAGCTGATAGAGACGTGAGAAGCAGAATGGGCGCCCACCCGTCGGGCGAAAAATTGGACAAAGTGCGAAGGGCTTCAGTTCTAATTCTGCATGCTACTACGGCTGGCGAAGCCAATGTCAAGCAACACCGGCAATCAAGCACTGCGGTGTTCCTTCTACAAACAGCGCAAACATCATTTTGCTTTGCTATGTGGCACAAGCACTAAGACAATCTTGCACACAACATGCAACATTCGCGAATGCCCTCCCTTTTCATTCCCTGACTGCACTCAAGCAGCTCTTCTCTCTCGGTTGCCTTCCTGCTGCATTTCAGCTCGGCCCTCAATGCAGCGACCAAAGAGAAGCTTGGCGCTGGGGGTATCGCTCCATGGCCGGGCTGGTCAGACTTTGCTGAAACCCACGCAGGGTACAGCGGCGTTTGCCGTCAGCACCGCGTGTTGGGGAACGATGCAGCGAAGATCTTTTGGAGATCCAGCTGCTCTAATTGAGCCCGAGAAGGGCTGGCTCGATCTTGGAAAACATTTGGGGGATGGCGCAAAGTCTGGGGCTGTATCCTCTGACATTCCAAACGTCTTGACACCAAGAGTCGTACATGAGAAAGTTCCAGAGCTGTGCATGCCTGGGCTCAATGCAATTCCGATCAGAGGGCTCACGATGCCTGGCAGGCCCAAGACACTGCGTCGGCTCCGCAAGCCACAAGCGCTCACAACGACTTTAGGAAGCGGAAAAAAAAAAAACAAAAAGAAAAAAAAACGCGACGCGTCGAGCCCAAGGAACTTCCCCAAATCCTGACCTTGTGCACCAGGCCAAGGTCTTCGGCGAGCCCCAAGGCCTGGATGTCCTGAAAGCTTAAGTCCCGCAGGTACCTTCGCAATGCGTTGAACAAAGGTCGCATCGCTTTGATCCGTCCTCGGGGATCGGGTCTGAATGGTCTGAATCATATGCATGTGTTCAGTGATTGGCATAGCCACATGCATCAACATTCGCAGCCCGGAGCGCACATGTCGTGGTCGAGCTCAACCCTGCGAGGCAAACCGTCACAAGGCGCAAGCTTGGGGCAGAAACCCCCCCTTCGCGGCTGTTGCTTTTTCTCCAAACCATCTTTATTTAGTGGACCTCGAAAGGACTGCCAAAGCACTGATTCGCACAGGTTCCAAACCAGTTGCCTTAGTCTGCTCGCGCCCAGCCGCCGTTCGCAGTAGGGACCATCCGCACACCACGGTCGTGCCGGCGGAGGGCCATATTCCTGCAGCGGGTACAGAAGGCAAAAAACGAACGAACGCCGATTCCGGCATTACTTGGCGCATATGTGTCTGTGTCTGTGCGTGTATTCTATCTGTGTGTGTGCTTGTGTGTGTGTGTGCGTGTGGGCGGGCGGGCGGGCGGGCGGGCAGGTGGGTGGGTGGGTGTGCGTGTTTCTATGTTTGCCATGTGTATGTTTGCGTGTGTGGGTGCATTCATGTATGTGCGTAATGTGCTGTGATTGCATGAAATGATGATGTGATGAAAGTAATGCGGTGCCATGCATGCGATGTTATGTAATGTGATGTAATGTAATGTAGTGTAATGCAATGTCTTAATGCAATGCAAGGTAATGTCATGCAATGCAGTGCAACGCAATGCAATGCACCAACGAAAAGAAATGTAAACGTTTGAAGCATGTGCATGTGCATGTAGGTTGGTGAGTATAATATGTGTGTGTGAATAAGTATGCCAATAACTGTGTATGTAGGTCGGCATTTTGGCAAGTACGCATGAAACTGTGTGGTGACATGCAACATGTGGGTGTGTAAACACGTGTGGGTCTGCGTGTCCATTCAATTCAAGTAAAGGAGCGAACAAACTGCATCATAAGTTTACTCTCACCACATCCAGCGCAAATCATTCAAAAAACAATGGCTGGCAATGCTGCAACCCAAGGTAGGGCATGCTGCCAAGATTGCAGCTTGGCTACGTGATCAGATCTCAGCTATCAACAATCCCTGGATCGAATTAATTATCCCCTTGAGCTCTCACACTCAAAGCAGAAGGGACCCTTCATGATATGCTGAAATGCCATCAATCGAATGGGCCCTGTCGGTCACACAACTCCCCCAACTTGTGTGACACACTGTGATGCAAATTGCAAAAACCTATCAAGCCCTCATCACCAACTCTAAGCTGCGCGTCTACTTCGATAAGCTGCCCTTCTGATCCATTTAGCCTTCAGTCTGCTGCCTAATGTTTCATCCCGCGGTCCGCGCCGGCCATCAGGTAGGGCTGCACGGTGAACAGCCAACCTGCAAGGAGTGGGATCTGAGAGTGGTCAGAAAAAGAAAGGCAGGGAGAGAGAGAGAGAGAGGGATTCCAACTCAGTCTGACTGTTCCTCGTCATCAACAACGTTATTCTGGATGTGTGAGAAAGTCTTCTGGATGCGCCAAACCACTTCAAGTGCTGCTGACGTGCCCGTGCCTTCTTCATCCTGCTTCACTGCCATGATTCTCCCGATCATGTGGCCTTCGCAGCGTCTGCTCGAGCTTCTGTACAAATGCTTCACCAACAGACAGCAAGACCTCAGCTGCAGCTGTAGATCTTTAAACATGATCAAACAATTGACCCAACCCTAGTCACCAAGCAGTAGCTTTCAGGAAGCTGCTACCTGAATGCTTGGAAAGAACGCCCTGGCCTAGAGCTTAAATCACACTGGTCTCCACCAATCTCCAATTCCATGCGGCGCCTAGCATGCGTCAACTTAAAAATCTGAAGCGTGCCTTGGTCAGAAAAGCCTGGACTGCTCTCCCAAACCTCAGCGTGAACAGAGGTCAACAAGCTCTCAATGTAGCCCAGCTGTGTCCCTACGCATCAACCCAACCCTGTATGCCTGACAGGCATCTCAAGGAAACTGCACCAATTTCCTCCACGCTGGCCCAGCTCCATCACGCTTCTCATCTCAAGTACTCAAGTGGCTTCCGCTCTCCAAGTGTTCGTGCCAGAACTGGGCCCAGAGCTGCATAGTCACGGAGCATCAACTCCGGCAGCTTCTGCAAGTGCAAAACACTGGCCTCGAGCGTGCTATGCGTCAGTGTCAAATGGCATGGTGTGTCCTATGCAAACAGCCCCTACTGAAAAAAATGAAAGGCGGCCTGTTCGTGCTCGCATGTTCTTCGGCTCCTCACCGATGTGGATACTACTCAAAGTGGGCAAACTCCGTGCTTGTTTGTTTATAGACGGAAATAAACCGTGCGAAGAAAGCGATCAGTTGGAGCATGTGACCAAGCCAATCTGCCCACGTCCATTTCCTGTGCATCAAAAGAGAAACCTCGCCGTTCGATCTCCAGGCCGCGGCCGTCACCACGCGGTGCCGCACCGACAAAGTGAAGAGCGGCTTCACCGCCTGCACCTAGCATTCTGCGAGACGCCCCGGCACTCGAAAGAAGCAGTTGGACACCGAAGCGGTGTTCAGGTGAATCCTGAGAAAGTCCCCAATCCCTCTTGACGCATGGGGCATCGCTGTTCCCCCTCCGGGAATGCATCCCCTTAATTTTACGACTGGGTTGTCGGGTTGTCGGGCCGTTGCAAGCAGATCGCCGATTCTGCACTCCAACCTTTTCCAACTGCTGGCTTTGCCAGACATTCTCCGAGATTTATGCTAATGCAAGTCAGCTGCATCTTTGCCTCAGCTGGATTTGACAAGTTTGTTTCGATTGGCAATCACATCCTCAAGTGAGATCATGAAATGCATGTAAATAAATATGCAAGTCACCTGTGCTAAGTCTGATGTGCCTGGATCTACGGCCAAGCATGAATTGCAAATCCACAGTGATGGCGCAACTGATAGAGCAGCTCATAGGCCTCTTGTCGTCCATGGAAAGTGTGAGTCCAACCAATCGCCTTCTGAGTGAAGTGCGTCTCGATGAACAGCTCATCTACCAGTTTCCAGTGCATTGACAACAAGTCCGCCAGTATGCCCCACTCAAGTGTTGCATCTTGTCCCTCAAAATCTGTGTCCCACATGAGAGCGACAAAGTCATCCTCCGTGACCCAGGAAGGAATCGCTGCAAAAATATCTGCATCATCTCGTGTTGCCACCTGAGCAGTCATCTGCCGCGTTGTGATATTGCGACTCAAAAACGCGGAAGGCACGTCAAGCGCATGAGCATCAACCAAATGAATCTGATCGAAGTCAAAATATGGGCTGTACATGTCCATCAAGTACTTGGGCGCACGACAGAAGCGGTTTGCGCCAACAACAATGAGAATCCTTCGCTTCGCATTTGAGAAGTTTGCAAGCGCAGGAAGCGGCAAGTAGGGCGTAAAGTCAATGAGGGTGGCATGAGCATGGTACCACAGATTCCGCAGGTCTGGAAAAAGCGGCTCCAGCTTGTCAACAAGGTCCCAGTGCGGCTTCATGCCTCCACAAGGGGGCAGTGGGAAGCGCGAGCACTGCGGGGCGTCGCGAATGGGAGTTGTGTAGATCTGCATCAGCTTGTGCTGCGCCAGCACGATCCGGGGCAGCTCGTCCACTCTCCGATGCCATTGATTCTCGTTGATTGCATTCCACGCAGATGCGCAGGCGCTCATCGACCTGCAAACCCTTGCTGGTCGACTTGCAGAGGGACGCTTAAAGCACTTTGCAGTCATGCTGGCCAATCGAGCAGAGTCTGAGATACCCGAAGCATTGGCCGGACAAGCATTGAGGAGGGAGTCGAGCTTCCAGAATCCTGACTCTATTGGACACTTGATGCTTTGCCTGACTGGCCTGTCGATATCACCAGCCCACCGGCGCCTCCCAAGAACGCAATTGAACCTGGCTTCAGCTGACAAGCCCATCGTCTGAGGTGTGTCCTGCCTCTTAAAGGGCAAGGTGCAGCTCCTGGCGTCCGCCACCACCACAGTCGCGCCTGACCCACACGGCGGCAGCCCAGAAAACGCCCGCGTGGGGCCGGCGGTTGTCGTGGTGGTGGTGGTTGTCTGGACAGTGGTGATCAGGCTGTCAAACATGGCTTTGGCATCCAAGGATCCCGGCGCACGAAGGAAGGACTGCATGAGCTCCTTGGCAAACGCCTGAAGCAGCCCGCTTGCATCATTCCTGGACAGAGAGTGCCAGCATCTGGTCACTGTTTTTCAACAGATGTGTAAACAAAAAACAGTTGCATCGGTATGTCAATGATTTGGCCCCCTGTCATCCCGGAGATCCAGGTCACCATCACATCGCTCACCTCTGACACCTCCGCGACATGCATCAGCACGTTCTGTCCCAGGAAGCCTGCCACGAAGCCACTGCACCAAAAGTCGTCCAGGCAAAAACCAAGCCAAAAAAGACATGTGAACAAAACACCAGGAAGGACCTTGTGGAAAGAAAATTCGGGCCCGGCCTTCCAGGCCCCCGTGCGCCAACAGCCATGGCCCGAGGTGGTAACCGGCGAAGCCGCGGCCGGTGAAGCGCAGGCCCTGCTGCGCAAAGTCTGTGGCCGGGGCATTGGTCTGGAAGCTGGGCACGGCAGAGGGGAAGTGCACTGCCAGCTGGTCGGTGACCACCTCCGAAACTCGTTCCGAAATGCGATTGAATCCCCATGAGAAATGCGGTGGGCCCCATCCCCTCACAATTCATCAGAAACTATGGATGATATCGTCAGCTTCTCATTTGGGTGGATCTCAATAGGGGGGACCCAAATGGTGTTTTTGTTCTTGGTTTCCGTGCAAAACAACTGGGTGCCGCAACAAGTCTCAAAACGTCAACAAATGCTACGATTTTGACTGCAGCCTGCCTCGCGAAAGCTATGAGGGGAGAGAAGGCAGGCCTTGCACGATTGCCGCAGCGTCGCCCCCAGCAGGAAGAGGTCGTAGGCTGTGGCACACAGGCCAATGCCTGCACGCAGATTCCGCTCGAAGACGCTGGTTTCGGGACTCTGAGCGCAGCTAGATCTGTCCTCAGACCGGTAGTAGGTCTGTTCGGAGATGCCCAAAGGATCGAAAAGGAATCGACGAGCCGCAGTGGGGAAGTCCATTCTGGTCCTTCGTTCAATGGCAAGTTCCACCACCGCCCACTGCATGTTCGAGTACACAAAGGTACTGCCAGGAATGGTCGCCTCCTCTACATGGCTCAAAGCTCGCTCTGCCAGCTCCAAAGGAGACCGCACTTCCTTCGTCACCCACTCAGGTAGCCAGCGCCACATTGGAAGGCCCCCTACACCGGCCATGACATGCCGCAACGTCAAGTTCTTCATGACCGGGTGCTGCTTCCAGTTCGGGAACCATTGCCCGCTCAAATCCAGAATACCTATCATGGGCTGGTCAAGGCCCGGCAGGATCTTGAGCTCGACTAAGCGCATCACAAGCAAAGCTGTTGCTAATTTTCCAGCACACCGAGTCCATGCATTGCTCTCATGAAGAGCAGGCACCGTGGAGAACACTTGAACTGGGCTGGTTGCATTTGCTTGGCTGAGAACCCACATTGACGTGGCTGTTCCTTCCACAGACTCCGCGTGGACCTCTTCTGTGACAGTCGTCGCCGGTGACCCCAAGATCTGGAGCGCTGCGGCGACCCTGCCAGTGTGTATGGCTCTAACATTTGCCTGCAAGCACCGGGGCAACACTTCGTTCAGGTCTTTCAGGAGCAGCAAGATCTCCTCATTCCCGATGTCGCAAACCAGTGGCACACTGCCAGCCCAACGCACAGCTTCATCAAGCTGCGAGGGGCTCACATAAATGCCTGCGAGCTTCGAAACCAGTCTGGGCTCCAGCAGCTGCAGGAGCTCCAACCCGTCTGTTCCTTGGCCGTTGGGGATGCCAATCGCATAGCCATAGGCCACTGGCTGCTGCAGCCGCAGGATCTCTGCCGTCTCCTGGCAAAGTTGGTTTGGACAACTCCCTGCCTCAAAATGCAAGGTCACTCAAGCAATGATTTGAACTTCATCCGTGCTTATACAGGCTCAGCCTGAACAGGTGGCCCATGTGTCCCGCTCCTTGGCCGGGCAGAAGAAACGCAGCGTGGTGAGCTCTGGCTGCGCCATGCGCCGCGGGAACCTCAGCAGCAGCTCTTTCAAAGCCGCCTCCGCCAGCAGCTGCTCCCCGCAGGGTCCCTTCAGGTCGAAGGTGATGGCCACCTCGCGCTCCGAGACTCCAAGCGGGTCGAGATTTAATTTGGGAGTATGTTTATTTATTTTGTGCATTATTTTTGTTCCCGAAAGCATCGCGAAGGGTTCTTCCGCGCGGAGCTCTCGGACCAACTTGCATAGAGTCACTGGCGCAGAGTCAAACACATAGAGCCGGTGCATGGAGCCAAGTGCATAGAGCCAAGTGCATAGAGCCAAGTGCATAGAGCCAAGTGCAAAGACCCGAGTGCATAGAGCCGAGTGCACAGAGCTAAGTGCGTGGGGCCAAGTGCATAGAGCCGTGCATAGAGCCAAGTGCGTAGAGCCAAGTGCATAGAGCCAAGTGCAGAGAGCCAAGTGCGTAGAGCCAAGTGCATAGAGCCGAGTGCGTAGAGCCAAGTGCATAGAGCCAAGTGCGTAGAGCCAAGTGCATAGAGCCAAGTGCAAAGAGCCAAGTGCGTAGAGCCAAGTGCATAGAGCCGAGTGCGTAGAGCCAAGTGCATAGAGCCGAGTGCACAGAGCCGAGTGCATAGAGCCAAGTGCATAGCTCGGCGTTAGCATGTAAGTTAAGTTTAGGTTTCTAGGGAGGACTGTGATCGTCGATCGGGTTTGCGACCCTGTGTGGGGATCGGCGTGGTCGAGGTGCAAAAACTCGAGGTTTTTTTGCGATTTCTGATCCGCCCGCGCGACCCTCTGCGGGGATCGGCGTGCAAAAACTCGAGGTTGGTTTTCTTGTTGTTTTTTGGTTTTTTTTTGGCGTTTTTGCGGCGCGCGGATGAACCCTCGGCGGGGATCGGCGTGGTCAAGGTGCAAAAACTCGTGGATTTTTTTGCGTTTTTGCGGTGCGCGTGACCCTCTGCGGGGATCGGCGTGGTCGAGGTGCAAAAACTCGAGGATTTGTTGCGTTTTTGCGGTGCGCGGATGAACCCTCTGCGGGGATCGGCGTGGTCGAGGTGCAAAAACTCGAGGATTTGTTGCGTTTTTGCGGTGCGCGGATGAACCCTCTGCGGGGATCGGCGTGGTCGAGGTGCAAAAAACTCAAGGTTTTTGCGATTTCTGATCTGCCCGCGCGACCCTCTGCGGCGATCGGCGTGCCCGCGCGACCCTCTGCAGGGATCGGCGCGGTCGAGGTGCAAAAACTCGAGGTTTTGTTGCGATTTCTGATCCGCCCGCGCGACCCTCTGCGGGGATCGGCGTGCAAAAACTCGAGGTTGGTTTTCTTGTTGTTTTTTGGTTTTTTTTGGGGCGTTTTTGCGGCGCGCGGATGAACCCTCGGCGGGGATCGGCGTGGTCGAGGTGCAAAAACTCGTGGATTTTTGCGTTTTTGCGGTGCGCGTGACCCTCTGCGGGGATCGGCGTGGTCGAGGTGCAAAAACTCGAGGATTTGTTGCGTTTTTGCGGTGCGCGGATGAACCCTCTGCGGGGATCGGCGTGGTCGAGGTGCAAAAAACTCAAGGTTTTTGCGATTTCTGATCTGCCCGCGCGACCCTCTGCGGCGATCGGCGTGCCCGCGCGACCCTCTGCAGGGATCGGCGCGGCCGAGGTGCAAAAGCTCGAGGTTTTTTTCATTTTTGCGGCACGCGGGCGAACCCTCTGCGTGTCGAAGCGCTCTCGCTGCGGCGGCGTGCGTTTTTCTTACTCCCAAACTAATCCATAAAACGAAGGGGGGGGGGGGTTGGGGGAGGCGGCAACCCCCCCCCCATGCTGATTAAAAATGATGATTCAAGTAGGGGCAAAAATATCAAAAAGCATAAGGGGGGGGTTTGGAGGGGGCCCCAAAGTAGCGGGGGGGTTTGGGGGGGGGGGGGGTGAGGCCCACTGCCCCAGGCGCCTATCCCCGGAGAACTGGAACCCTGTGGTAGTTGAGGTCGTTGTTGGTCCCTGGATCTATTCCGGGGAGAGTCCAATATGCCAGTAATGGATGATTGGAGGATGGATTGTCCCTGGTGGATTGTCTGATGGCTAGTCCTGTAAGCGGCCTGCAATGGCTCTTTTGTCCTCACGCTCGGATGGTCGTCATTATGCAAAAGGGGCCTTGAGCCAAATGTTGCGGGAGATCAATGGTCTGAAAAACAGAACAGAAAACAGACAAATTTCTTTTGATCTCCAGCACAAAGTATGAAACACTGTTGGCTTCATGGCCTTTGACCGTAGCCTTAATGTGTGCCGTAGCCATGTGATTAAAAGTGCCGGATTCATCCTTTTTCTGCTGGATGAAATGTCTTGGCCTTCGAAATGGGAAACACTATGTACGCTTCTTTTTGGATACCTAATTGTATCAGAGGGTGATGTACTATGTACACGCGGAACAGTTGTCACTCACTCATGGTATAGTCTTGTAGAAGAGGAGGATCAATCATCTGGATTGCTCGTGGTGCTGAACGTATCTTCATGGTCAGTCGGATCGACGCTACCATCGGCGGCTGCTGTTGGATTGACTGCCATGGTCTCCATAATCATTCCAGGTCGAACTGCTATAGTCCTTCCACTGCTTCTGATATCCCCACTGCTTGTTGTAGTCCTTGTACTCCTGCATGGTCCAGGATTGTCTCTTCTTGACGTAATCCTGGTATCTCTCAGAGCTGCGTTTGAGAGGACTGTGGGAGTCGGAGTCCTGCGAGCCGTTCATGACATTTCATTGTTCACGTGCTTGTAGCGCTCTGCGGATGAGACCTGGTAATCGAAAATGGCCTTGTCTGGATGGTTCCGCATGAATTCCAGTTGTTCATCATCCATACTGTTCATAGTCCTGCTGGATGTTCGTTTTGCCCCATCCAAATACGATAGTCATCATCACATCTGGAAATGTTCGATCAAAACCTGATCCGCATTTCATGTACAGGTGATGACGGACAATGGATTTCAGGGTGCACGAAGTCTCCACTGTATACTCCATTCTGTCCACGAGTGACAAATTCTTCGTCGCATTCCACAGTCTCTGATATGCTCTCATGAGGATGTTCACGAGACCGTTGGTTGGATTGTAGACATGCTGGAGTTTGCTGTAGGTGTTCGCCGATTTGTTGGCGTCTCCGGTGATCGCATCGCATCGGTACAAGGTCACGAGCGGCATGATTTCATTCTGAAGATCTTCCTTTGCTGCTCCATGGCTAAGTGAAGGATGGATGTGGAAGACTCCAATGGTTGCGAATGGTAGATCTGCCCTCGTTATGTGGCGGTCGTCATACTCGTAGTATGACTTGTCGGATGATTTCGGGATCATGCCACGAAACTCATCACTCTGCTCGATGTGGAGAACGACGATCTCCTTGTCTCGGCCATGTCCTTGGACAATGGTGCGTGCTGGCAATCTCGATCCAATGTACTTCTTGGGTTCGGTAAACATGGATGTTCCTGTGGTTGCCAAGCAATCCGAGGTCGGAATTTCGTATTCGGGATCAGTGCCATCTCCTTTGGTTCCGAAAAAAAACATCTGAACATTCCGAATGTGGTTCCCCAATTCTGGCTCCTGGTAGAAATGTGTCTTGCCAGAAGTTCCACTCGTGCAGAGGGTCCGCCGCGGACAAAGCATGCGATCGGTCTGGATGACCATTGCTTGATCACAATGCCCTTGTAACCGTATCGGATGAACGTCTTGATGAGCTCCCTGGATTTCTCATCATTCGGACTGAAGAATGCGTCTGCCTCATTCAGGCATAAGATGTGTGCACTGTTCTGCATCATCATCTTGACGATCGGTCGATCCTTCATCGGCATGTTAGGTTTCCATGGTTCAGGGTAAGGATGTTGATCCCTATGGATGAGGTGAACTCATGCATGTTGAGATAGTCCACGGAAGGACGGTCAGTCGGCTGCATCAGCGATCCCAGGATATCGGCATAGGCTCGGATGATTTTCGGGTCATCTTGTGACCTGAGCTTCTTCAGTCCAAGCGGCAGCTTGATCGGATATCCGGATCCTGGTTGAGCTTGCTTGTACTCGTCAATGGTGGGACATTCTCCTCGATGAGGGAAGTAGAATTCTTCTTCACCGAGATTGACATCAGGATCGACATGTGCCAATGAGGCTCTCTCGCGCTCTGTCAACTTGGGATGAGCTCCTTTCAGATCTTTGTTGAACTGGTTCATGAAGCGTTTGAGTTCTTCCTTGATCCCCGCGAGCTCTTCCTCTGCGTCCTTTTTGTTCATATCTATTTCGAGATAGATTCCCTTGAGTTCTTGGATGAACTCTTCTAGGTTCACTGAATTGTGATATTCCACGATGACCTTGGGCTTGACGGATCTTTCCCCGGAGGGTTCCATCATTTCTCCTTCGGTGGAGTCCTGATCGGTGGAATGCCGTCTCTTCTTGGTCTCTGAGGAGGTATCTTTTTCCTTGTTGTGCTTGGTGGAATTCACATACGTGAAGAAGGCATCGGCGAATTCGCGGATCTTGGTGTCGTACATCTCGTAATCTTCATGATCGAGATACTTCTTCATGATCCACTTGTTGCTCGCCATGAGGCTGCCATCAGGTTCGAATGCTGCAACAATGTTTCTTGCCTCGATGGTTTTGTCTGTCAACGCTGTTCTCTCTTCGGAAAGGCGGATGCCATAGTCTTGGTCCTTGAGAAATGCAAGGATCAGCAACGCATCTCTTCCTGCTGGCACATGGGTCAATGCGGTTTCTGACTCATCGTCTTCGAGGATGACGTCATCGATGCATGCCATGTGAACGTGCATTCTCCCCGAAGGGTTTGACTGGGACTTCCCAGATTTGAGCCCGTGCTCCATGATGCTGTAGAGCTGACTTCCATAGGTTGCATGGAACATGAATGTGATGGGCTTCTTCGAGAACGGCTTGATCTTTCTCTCTTCTTCAACGGATGGTGGTGCCGGCCTTCGCATTCTGTACTTGGGCTGAGCTGTGCTTTCATCTCCATGAGGCGCCTCGGATCTTGACGGATGCGGACTTGGCGGAATGGATTCCGTTGGCAAATCATAGTCCGGTTCGTCGTAATGAGGCTCTTTCTGCTCAGAGAACAGGGGTCGTCCAAAGGATTGGATATCGAC